TAGAGATATAAAAAGACTAGAGATATAAAAAGTAAGTCCTATTCTAAAACTTAATAAGACCTAACCACCTACTCTTGATTAATTAAGTCTAGCTACTTATAGAATATATATCTAGGATATAGTATTTAATTTTACCTATTAGCTTATATATATTTCTAAGCTTCTCTACTGATTTAGATATATCTGATAAATTCTAGAGCTATACTATAATTATCTGGTCTATAGTTAAGTCTAAGTTAGTATCCTATAAAATACCCTAATATTCTGATTAAGTTAATTTCTAAATTATCTATTATTAGAATATTTTAATATAGTAATAATATAATTAATAGGGCTTCTATTATATATACTAAGAATAATATTACTATACCTAAAAATTCTGATGTTAATATAGAGCTATATTAGAATACTACTACTCTGTCTTTACTATTAATTATTCCTATATTTAACCTACTAACTCTATATATACCTACTATTACTACTATATCCTATACTAAAATATTAGCTATCCCTATAGCTATATATATCATACCTAGTATAATAATAAAAGGATTAGCTAATAAAGTATTCTTTAAAACCTTATAATCTTAGAGACTCTACTTAATTTTTCTTCTTATTAATTATATCTTTCTCTAAGGTTAATAAGAGCTTTTTTTCTGGTATAAGCTATATAGTAGTTTGAATAGACCTAAGTATGCTTAAATAGTAAGAAGTCTGAATAATATAGTGGTAGATATAGAGAATAATAAGAAGATTATAAAGTAAAAGGCCTAGTATTAATAATATCTTAATAAAATGTGGAGTCCTTAGAAAGATAAGGCTTTTTATACTTGATTATTAGTTAGGTATATATTTTATTAATAAATAGAAGATTATAGGGAAGTATATTAATTTTAGAGAAATAGAGATATACTATAAATTATAAGACTTAAGATAATATAAGGCTAGATTTAATCAGGAATAGATTATAAGATTAAGATATACCCTAAGCTATTACCAAAGTAATCTATAAATATTTAATTCCTAACAAACTAAGAGAAAGAGACTAAAGATTAAAATATAGTATAAACTAGTTTAATATATCTAATAGAGAAATTAATACTTATAAGATCTAACTTTATATATTAGTTTTACTCACTTATAAGCCTTATAACTAATAATTTACTTTTAGTTCTAATATATCATAAGCCTCTTATATCTTATTATCTTCCTATAAGTACTATAGAATAAGATATTTAATAACTAATTAGCTATTCTGGATAACTACTTATTATATGATTATTTTAATTAGAATTTTCCTATCCTATTATAAGATATCTACTAGATTAGTGATGTGATTAAGAGTTTATTATAATATAATTAAGAGTCTATTATAATGTACTTACCTAAATACTAAATTCTTTATTAGCTTATAAGAAACTATTAAAAAGATATAAAGTATCTAATAAATTATATAAGGTATATAATAATCTTTCTATATCTAAAATAATAAAATCTTAGTTATTACTTATCTCTAAGGGTACTATAAAGGATTTTTCGGAAGGGACTAAATAGATATCTATATCCTCTGATTCCTAAATTAAAAGCCTATTCTTAGGGTTGGTTATAATAGCTAATAAGATAGTAATCTAGAATAGAAGTACTAGGTTATTAATGCTAAAGGGATAAATAAAATTAATAGATCTTTCTAAAGCTTTATATAACCTAAAATCTATACTAAAAACTTTTAAGAGACCTAGATTTTATAGATTAGAATTATAAGTATAGATTCTAGATTATTTCTATTATTATAATATAATATTATAGTCTCTTATAATATCAAATTTTAAGTAATTATTAAAAGTAAACACCTATTCTTACTATCCTTACCATCCTTACCATCCTTACCATCTTTACCATCCTTACTATCCTCACCATTACTCTTCTTTAAGAAGAATAATATAATTATCTTAGAGATAGGAGGGGATCCTAGTAGAAGTATAAGCTTTATACTTAGATTAGTGAAATTAGTGAAATTATTTCAGCATATTATTATAGCTGACTATCTTATAAAATAGAGAAGCTTATTATCCTATATACACATAAATAGATAATATTTATTATACTTGAATATCATCAGTGCTAGGAATATATATACCATCCTAATATTAGGTTATAATATAAAACTTACTTTTAGAGGAATTTGATTTCTCAGGTATAGTTAACTATATAGGGTAGGTACTCTAGTCATAGAAATAGGCCCTAAGGGTCGAACTTCTTTCCTCTGCTAAAGATTTTATCTTTCCTAACCCTATTATAATAAACAACTACAAATTTAAGCTATTAACCTCTAAACCATAAGATTTGGAACACTTTTAGAAATAATAAAAACTAAAATAACATTATTTAAATAGTAGAAAAAGGTATAAATAGGGTAGTTCTATATATTATAGGATTATATTCTAATACTATAACTCTATCTTATTATATATATATATTAGCTATAATAACTATTCTACCAGTATTATAGGCTAAAAAGGATGCTATAGTAGAAAAAAAAATATAGCTAGAGTTCTACCAGAATTATGATAAAATAAAGGTTCTACTAGTATTAAACCAAAACCATAATAAGGAGCAAGTAGTATTAGTAAAAAAATATAGCCTATAACACAAAACAAGCTATTACCATAAATATATCTAGTTTCTTATACTTAATCATCTTCTATTCCTTAGAGCTTACCATCTTATTTAGATAGTATCTACTATATTAACTTATCTAAGGCATAAATCCTACTAGGATAGGTATTCTTATATTCTTAGGTATTTTAGTTTAGGTAAGGGGTAAGTGATATAATTCCCTATACTATCTTATATTACTAGAGTATTAGAGATCTATCTATATTACTATATATTTTATATGGTAAGAAGTAACTTACCGGAAAAATCAAGTTATAATAAATAATAATAGTACTATACTTATTAAGACCACTTTTAATACTAGAAGGTATAATAGGCTTAATAAATCATATCTATATAGACCCTAGGTATTTTATTAGATCTTCTAATAAGCCATCTTTAATTAGCTATTTTTAATACTAGGTTATATAGGAGATTAGAATATTAATATATAATAACAAACTACCTATATTATATAGGTTGGTTATCACTAGTTCAAAAATACCTAAAAATATTAATATCTATTTATTTATAGCTTATAATCTAATCCCTAGAAAAACTTTACTAAGTATAAGCCTAAGAGATAAGGTATAGATAGGTATATTAGTAGTATTAATAATACTCTAATATTATAGCTTACCTACTTAATAAACTAGGTTAAGATACTTATAGCTTAATAAAGTATAGGGGAGATATCTAGGTATAATATATATTTTTACTTAGTAAGACTATATCTAGTAAAGGAACTTAGATTACTTTATAGGATATATAAGAATAATCTTTATAGACTAGTTATTATACCTTATACTAATAAAATATCCTATACTCAGAGTTAATATAAAAAATAGAAGCTATATTAAAAATCTATAGTAGAATTAAGCTTATAATCTAATAATAGTAATACTATAATAAATCTCTAAGCAAAAAATATCTATATATATAGTTATTCATATTCCTTTATATACTATAGCTATATAATAAAGTAGTTTATTTTTTAGTAAACCTATTCATTAGATAGAAGCTACACACCATAGAGATCCTATTATAGTTAAATATAAATTATTAGTGTATTATTAAAAATATATAACTTCTATAAACTTTTTATCATAAATATTATATATAATTATCTTACTTAATAAAATCTTTTTAAGATACTTTATTTTAATATATTTAGTAATATCCCTATAGGAGGAAAACCTTTAAATATACTTTATAAGGTCTAGGTCTTACTAACCTAAGTAAATAAAATAAAATAATAATCAATAATCCTTTATAGCAAATCAGAGAGTAAGTTTAAGTAGAGTTTCTAGTATATAGACACTATCTATCACTTCACTTCCTTATTAATAACTATTAAGGATCTTAACATTTTCCCCAGATCCTTTTAATCTTTTATTCTATAGTAAATAGTAGCTATCACCCTCTTAGAATTTACAATAAGTAGCTACTAAATCAATAGCTTTAGTTCTCTAAGTTATCTCCTCCTCTATTATTAGGTATAGTAGAGTCAAAAGACTCTTAATTAATCATTACTATAGTATAGGGATATCCATAGAGTACTTTAGCTATTCACTAGAAGACTTAGCTAGCTTAATATCAGATAATTATTACTTAATCTCTAACATAGGCTATTCTTAATTATATTTATTTTAAATCTATAAAAGAAGTATATTCTACATACACTACCTTACTCCTACCAACTCCTAGTTTAGTTTTCTATATATATTATATACAGGTATACCTCTATATTTTAATAGGGGATACTCTAGAGATCAACTAATTTTATTATATCAGTATATTAAGTCAAGAATTTCCTACTATTAATTCACAGAGTAAGATTACTTAGTTATAAGCTCCTACAGGCAGTACAGATTAATTATTTAGCTTATTTAACAAGCAGTATATATAATATCTTCTTCTAGATTAAGGCTATAAATTATAATAGGCAGGTTCTTAGAGATCTTTCTACTAAGATAGAATTTAAGAAATATCTATATATCAGCATAATACATTATAAGGTTACAAAAGGAATTACTAACAGAACCTAGAGCTAGATTAGTCTATAGATCCTATAGGGTTAAACAGTCCAATATACCACTATTATCCAAAACAGTGCCTACCCTATAGTATAAGCTATAAGGGTATATAACTTACCTAATACCTATAATCATACCAATTTTCTTAACCCACAGCTCCAAAATTAAGTAGGGGAGAGGCCTATTAGATAATATACCAATTCTATAAAAAGTCTACTCTAATATCCAAAATACTAGTACATCATCTATCACTAAATTAAGCTATAATCTTAGTTTATTACACTCATCATAAATTTAAAGCTAAGGAAGCTAGCTTATAGAAACCAGAATTTCCTCACCCTTAACATAGTTAAATACACAATCTACAAAGAGTAGACCTAACAAGAAGATATATAGACTAAGCACTAATAAAGGATTAAAGATGATTTTAGGTAGAATATAAGTATTACTAAAAAAGATATTAGAGGAGGATTACAACACAAAACAGAGTAGACTAACACTTCTTTAGCACCCAGCCATTCCTTAGTAAACTTAAAGATAAACTTAATCATAATCTAATATAAACCACCCTACAAATCATAAAAAAGACTAATTTAGATATAATAATATTATAGATTAAGGATAGCTTAGGAATAATTTATCATAAGACTTATAAGCTATAAGAAAAATCCAAGCTTAATACAATAGCAGCTATATCCAAACTTTTTTTTTATTATATTAATAGTAATCTCTACTACTTTTACTAAGTCCTTTATATCTATAGGAGGCTTATCTTATCTTTTAAAAGATAACTTATACTTTTTAGTTAGTTACTAAATAACCTAAGTTTAAAAGTATATTAGTCTTTAAAGAGGGGTAAGATTAAGTAAATAAAGGTAGGAATAAGTATTTATACTTAATATATCTAATAGTTTATCTAATTTCTGATCTTTTTTAATATAGATCTTTTAAAGATTAATTAAAAAACTTTCTAAAAGGTATCTAAAAAGCTTTTATACTTGATTCCCAGAAGCCTTCTTCTATTTTTTCCTTATTATAGATTAAGAGCCTACTCTAGAAAGCTATATAGAATTATAATTAATAAGTATTAATATTCCTTATTAAGATCTTTCTTAATAAAAATATAGAATCTTAGTAATACTTTTATAAGTCTATAATACTCTACTAATTAGGGGAAAATGAAAGATAAAACTTACTATAACCATTTTTCTTTAATATAATTAAGGAGAGTGGTAGTACCCTTATTTTAGTCTTCCTATATATATATTATCTTATTAAAGTTTTAAAGTTGCTAGATATAGGATTCTGCTATCTACTTATTATTTATAAAGAGTAAGCTTATATTACCAGCATTATATACTTAATCTACTTTATCCTTAAGCTTTATTAAATCTATATTAGATCTAGTATCTTCTATACCTTCTCTATTAGAATAGTTACTATTACTAAATAACTTATAGTTTATTTTATAAGATTAGTAGGTTATAATTAGAGAAACTAAGGGTTATAGTAGTAAAAGTAGTAAAAGTAATAGAAGATATGAATATATAGTCTAGGTATTAGTAAAAAAGAAGGTTATTAAAGTAAGAGATTAATTAAATCTTAGTACTATAATCCTAAGATTAACTAAGAAGAAAAAAGAAGTAGATAGGGGAGGAAAATCACTACTATTTTAAATACTATAATTATCAAAAACCTGATTTTCGGTACCTTTAAGGGCTCAGAACTCTATAATATAGGGGTAGTAAGGGGAAGGGGAAGTATAGAGTGGATCATAGGTGTACGCCAAGATACCACTAAGGTTCTAGAAGAAAGTACATGGGTATAAATCCCATCATAAGTGGCAGAACGGTTAGCAGATAGGCGGCTGAAAGCAGCCTCAGAAACGGCCATTTCTAGCCGTCCATTTACCATCATCTAGTTTTAAGAAGTTCTTTATAATTAATTATATATTATTACTTAGAACCTAATAGTTTATTTATTTATTAGTTTTATATAAGATAAACCCCTAACTAGAAGAGGTATCCTTAGTCTCTAGTCTCTTAACTTAGAACCTAAGTATAGCTTAACTAGGTAATACCCTCTTAAATATAGAACCCCTTTAAGTCTATTCTATAGACCTGAGTCTATATAAGGCCTAATATTAACTGGTAATGGTATAGTTGTGAATTGATGACTTAAGGATTGAGTGTCTACTTAGTAAGTAGGAGCCCTAATAAATAATACTTACTATGATCTTAGAGTGTTATATAATAATTATATCCTATATCTATAAGCTACTATTTGTTATATATATTAAGAGGAATTATAAACTTATACTCTTTTTTATACTTATTATATTGTTGATTATATGTTTTAGTTAACTCTATAGTATTATTATAATTAATAAATACTATACTAATAAAGTTAGGAACTGCTGAATTATATATATTAGTTATTACTATAGTAGTAGTTATAGAAGTAGAAGAAGATATAGTATTTAGTGTATTTAAAGCTATATTTAAAGGTGTATTTGATATAGTATTTGGTATATTTAATATATTATAATAAGTAGGGCTAAGATTAATTCTTTTTTTATAAATCTAGATATAATTCTATATCTTTTAATCTTCTAGATAAAGATTAGGATATAGGGCCTAGTATTTATTAGTATTATAATTATTATAGTTATACTTATAATAAGTATATTTATTATTATTATTATACCCTTTCTTATACTGCTTTATATAATAAGTATTATTTAAAATACTTTTTAGTGGTTTATTCTTTTCTTCCCTTAGCTACTTATTTAAGTCTTTAAAAGATATTAAAGTTAAAGTTATATTATATATAGGAATAGAGGAAGAAGATTAACTACTACCCTCTCTTATAGAGACTTAATCCTTTAAATCTATTATATATTTATAAAAGTTATTATATATAAATATCTTAGTAATAAGCTTCTTCTCTTTTATTATATATAGAATAAGATCTTATATATTATCTTATTAGACTTAAAATAAGAGAATTATTATTATATAATATAGTTTAACTCCTATCTTATACTCTTTAAGCCTTATATTTTATATATAATACTTATTAATAAATATAGTTATTATAGGGAAGTCTTCTCTTCTAAGACTTGTATAAGTATTATATTAAATTATCTCTTAGTATATACTAAAGCTATATATTTCTTCTTATATTCCCTTCTAAATCTTATCTATAAAGATAAGAGATTTAGTAGAATAGGCTTAAACTTTATTATAAATCTCTATACTTATATTAATAGTAAGCTACTTACTAATAGTCTTTAATACTTTAAACTAAGTAGATATAATAGTGGTATTCTTATATAATCTTAGAAGATTACTATTAATTAGGCTATCTATCTTATAGTATTTAAGATTAGAAAGTATAATTTACTTCTAGGAGTTATAATCTTTTACTTTTTATAAAGGATTCTTTAAAGGATTAATTATGAGTTTGGTGATTATAAGGCCTATTCCTTGATTGGTTTGAGTCTTGACTGTAATATTCTTCTAGTTATTATCAGTAGTGCTACTGAATGGTTTGTTAATAAGACTCTTAATATCATAATTGACTGAAAAGGCCGTTATAATAAAGACTGGGGGGGGATTTTTAGTACTAAAAGGCTGTGTTGTATTAGGATTGACTCGAGTTTGAGTCTAATGAAGTTGACTTAAGTTTAAGTCTGGGGTTGAGGAGCCTAAATCTGCTAAAAAGCATCAAAACAGGGTTCTGGAAAAGAGAATCTCGCTTAAATTTGCTTAATCTTATCGATTTACAGCGTCAATAAGTAAGAAAAGGAGGGCTCATAACCTCATAGAACACTACAAGGAAGAACAAGAAAGAATGGATATGATTTGATTGTTCGAGGAAGGAGAGAAGGAAGAAGCGAGATGCAGCCTGCAAACTGGAACTACAAAGGGAAGCACTGACAAACATGGTCACGTGGTTCTAACATATGTTCCATTTTCTTACCAAGCCTAAGAAATCTCGAGTAGTCGAACATAGCCTTTCGAAGGCCACACCTCCTGAAGTAAGCTCGGAGATATAGGTATTGTAGTGGGGAAGAGCGAGTAGCGCCTCGTTGTTATTGATTCTTCATCCATAAAAACTCTCAAGTGCTTTATTTGGTCACCTTTAGAATGCTTTGACAATTCAAGCTAGAAGTATGACCCGAATCGGGCCGACTTGTCACCTGTGAGGTTAGCCTTCGCCGTAGCATTTCCCTCCCAAGTCAGACCGTCGGTATTGAATTAATATTTCTCTTCCAGATCCCAGTATTTGTTGAATCCCACTCCGTAGCAGACCTGGTCATAGCTCGGAATCGGTTCCGATTTGTCAAGTGTTAAGCTCTTCTTTAGGGATTCAAGAGCCTCTCGAGTGCTCTTGAGGTGAGCTGCGACTAACGTTCAAGAGTAGGCAACAGTACACATGCCATTCTCACCAAGTTCCCGGGCAGAAATATTCTCAGTAAGGCTATCCAGTCAAATTCTGGTGACTAAACTCAACGTCTCTCTTTTAAATGTTACTGGTGGTACCTCAATTTGAAGTATCAGAATATCAAGGGTAGAGGAATACTATAAGATTTTAAATCCTTCAATGTTTATCTTGCCAATATTATTATTTCTTTTAACACTATTGATTCAAATGTTGTTTAATTTCGAAGGCCTAAATTTTCAGGCGTGGCTAAGAGGCTGGCCTGGCCTCGACACCATATATGACCCTTTATAGCCTTGTATTTCGATGATTAGAAGGCCAGTCTCCTGTTTAGGGTCTAAATTCTTGTAGACCATTGCATCTCGAAGATAAATTGAAGATATAGCACTCCTAAATTCTCGAGCTGGAAAGGTGACGATTTATTAAGAAAATGGTGGTTAGCCTCTTCAATACTAAGTTTGGGGGGAATAGAGGGTTCTTGTGCTAGGGGAATCTTTGCGGTCTGGATGTGACAGGTCGCTGGAGGACGAGGGTAAATGTTGTTTGTTGATTTTGGGGTGAGAAAGCGATGGGCGGTATCGTTTGATGGTGCTGGGGACAGACAGCTGTTGGAGTTGGTTGCGGTTCTTGGTCGGTCGTGGTGGTCGCTTAGGCGCGGGAGTTAGGGTTGGCGCTCAAAAATCCCTATACTGCAGTGGGTGCCGTTGGCGTTGGCTGGGAGTTTTTGTCTGGGTGCTAGCGTTTGTGGTTATTTTCTTGGGTAGTTCGCTGTTTAAGGAAGTATGGGGTTGATTGTCTAAGCGCCGGGGGTGCGTTGATTGTGACTGTAGGCGTGTCGGCGATTTCGGGATGTTATTTCAAGTCCTTGTGGATGACCTGCCGTAGGCAGTTCCTGGATTCTGTAGCTGTGTCTCCTGGACATATACATATTGGAAGCTTTCTAGGCGTTTGAAGGATTAACAAACAAAGCAGCAGGCCAGACCACCGAAACTTGGGTGTGGTTCGTAGTGATAGCCACTTTGGGCCAGCGGAAGCGGGTGACGCCATTGAGCACTTGTCCCTAGAATGACGGGGCTCTGGCCGTGCTGGAAGAGTACTAGGTGGTGGAGATGAGGACTTCCCCGTGGATAGGATGTTGTGGGGTGGGTCGATCGGGTGGGGTGGAGGGGAGGCTTGCGGTTTCGGAGGTGCAAGAGCGGCGGTGCGGGCGGTGAGGCTTTCTGCCTGCTCTGTCCTGCTTCCTTGATTTTTTGTTACTATGTATGTGTATGCGGAAACTACACCCTAGGTCCAATCAATCGCCTCTTACAGACGTGCTTGAAACGCATTTCACGTTTTACTCTCCACAATTCCTTCACTTTGAAACAGGTTATCCCAGGAATAAAATCACATAACAAGGGTAGGGCCAAATACTTTACCGAGAATAGAATGCTATAGCCCGAAGGTAACCTAATCCTTATCGCGTTCCTCTTGTCTTCGCTATACATCACTCGTCCAAGAAATACACTGGGTCTTCCGCATGATATCGCGTCCGGTATCACTGTAGGAGGCCAGGGGAAGCCATGTCAGCTTTGGTTCAACCAGGGAACGTGAATTCTATAAGTAAAGCAGCCCCCGCTACAAGTATATCATCCGCCGATCTAGTTGATTGAGATAAGAGTCGCTTTTGTAGGTACTTGCCACCGTCGATACACCATTTGCTACATTTTAATCACAATACCTCCTCCATAGAGCTGAAGCCCTATTCTTCTCCTGACTCGTCTCTTTCCGCCTTTGCTCAGTTGGGCGCATTGCGACTCGAAGTGCAACGATCCACAATCTCGCTTTTTGGTCGTTATGAGGAGCATATCCTAACCAAAGCAACCAGAACCCTTAGTTTGCGGGATGATAGCGACCACAACATTCAAGATAAGCTTTGGGTGGGGACTTATATAATATCCTATGAACGCAGCCTCTGCGCAGCGATTGTGAGCATCACATCGTCATCCACGAATACCCTCCCCTATTCAGTTATTATAATCCCCGACCTGATACAAAGTGAGCTTTATGAAAATCACCCAGATATCACCGGCTACCCCAATTTTCGCTTTATTGCTTCCGCTCCGATCGTCAGCCCAAAGGGAATCGTGATTGGTGCCTACATCATCCTCGACGATAAACCTCGACACTCCATTGGTCACGATTATCAGAAGTTCCTGATAAATATGGCAGCGACTGTAATGGACTATCTAGTTACAACTCGGTCAAAGACCTAACATCTAAGAAGTGAGCGTATGATTGTTGGACTGGGAAGCTTTTTGGAGGGGAAAGGCAGCTTGTGTAGCTTATAGGTGGGTGCTGAAAACGATGGACGGGATATCGCGCCAGTGGATGGCGTCGAAGGATATATCAACACCCAACAACAGGACAAGCAGCATTCCGAAGAGATGGCCTCAGTAAAAACACAAAGGGATCGTTATAGCAATCTACCTTTTCGCCTAGATCAATCCCATGCCTCGCCGGGACTAAGAGCGAATGATTCTTAAGAGCGACCGAAATCTCTACCGAGATCAACGACCGGAACACCGCGGCTCACGAAGAACTATTTAAGGTCTTATACTCTATCTGGGTCTATACCCTCTGAAAAACATGAAACGAAAAAGCCTAAAATGAATAAAGAGGTAGCTAGAAGTCAAATAGAAGAAACTTTATCGCGTGTGGCCAATATTGTTTGCGAAAGTCTAGAGGTTGAGGGAGCCATCTTTTTTAACGCCAATTTTAGTACTCAAGCGGCACTTGTAACGACCACCACCTCTGATTACGAAAGCAGTCTAGAAGGTTCCTCGAGTGAGGGTGAGTGAATTGAAAACGAAGATGGGGACCACAAGGGCTGAAACTCTTAACTTAATAGCCAAAGAAACTGGCAGAGCAACAGTGAATCTGTGTAAAATCCTAGGATTCGCCACCTCGGACACCTCCAGCGTCAACAATGAAGCTACTAGGGATAGGAATATCACCTTGTCCGAATCCTTTCTTGCTGGCCTACTGCGCCGTTATCCAGGGGGCAAAATCTTTAATTTTGACGCCAACGGATCTATCTCATCCAACGAGACTAGTGACTCTATGTTCAAAAGCTTCAATTCTTGTAAGAAGTATAAAAGAACTCAGAAGTCAGTATTACAACAAGATACTTCAACACTTCTCCAAATAGCTCCTAATACTCGAAGTATTATCTTTTCGCCGGTCTGGGATTCTTATAAGGTAAAATGGTTCGTAGGGTCATTTATATAGACTAGAACTCCTCAACGAGTCTTTACTTTTGACGACGAAATAACATTTTTCACCACATTCGGCAGTAGCCTCATCACAGAAGTATACTGTATTAGTACCCTATTTACAGAGTAAGCCAAGTCCAACCTTCTAGCTGGCCTAAGCCATAAGCTCCGATCTCCTCTTCACGGCATATTTAGCACGGTAGAGCTTTTAAGCGATACAGTAATAGATTCCTTACAACGGGGATTCGTGCATACTATAACATCCTATACAAATACCTTACTCAGATCTATAAACCAGCTTCTCGAATTCTCTAGTATCAATGATTTTAATCAGAAACGTGATATAGCATCATTGCCCTCTCTGGGTCGTCAGAATTTATCAACCAGCCAGTCTGATCCCGAATCTAGCATTCAAGTAGATATCACTGTGGAAGACACTATTAAGGCTATTTTTACAGGGTTCTGCTTCTTCCAAACTTTATATCTTCCCCTACAGAGCGGTTCTGGTACTAATACAATATTACCTCGGTGTATCAATCTCATTCTTAACATCGATAAGGCATCAAGTTGGAACTTTATTACACATCCCAGTGCACTGCATATTATATTAACAAACATCATGGGTAATGCCTTGAAGTATACCCATAAGGGTTATATATCCGTCCAGGTCAAGGCAAACCCCATCATTTCCGACAACAATAGTGTACCTGTGCGCTCTGGAATCACAATTTCTGTTCAAGACACAGGATGCGGCATAGATCCAGAGTTTCTCCGGAACAGTTACTTCACTCCCTTTTCACAGGAAAATAACATACTACCTAGAAATAGTCTCGGTGCTAGCATCACACAAAAGACGATTCAATCTATCCATAGAGATGTTGAAGTTCACTCTCAGAAAGGAATCGCACCCATATTCGAATTTCCCTCACACTCAATCATACGCCTAAGAAGACACCTTTCGAAGGAATTCTAGCACACGCTAGTGATCTTACTCCTACAATAGAGCTAGTGCGTCAGAAATCTATTAGAATACTAGGTTTCGGGACTTCCGACATACATACCTCAACATCTTTTTCTTTGGAAAGAATATATCGCGAGTGGTTTTAGATGGATGTTGTCCTTGTCACCCCGTCGGATTCAAATTTCCCTTACTGTGATTTCTACATCGCGCTTCATGATTACTTGGATATTGGCAATATGGAAATCAAAGCCATCGCACCTGCTCCAGAAGCACGATTCTCCTCTCCTGTCATTATTATATGCTCGTCTCCGAGGTCTGCCCACTCGCTATTTCTAGCAGCTCAACAACGAGGAGATGCAGAGGTGCTAGAGTTTATTTCTCAGCTTTGTGGGCCCAGAAAGCTAGCAAATTCCCTCGAAGTCTGCCTAAAACGCCAGAACCGCCGCATCTCTGGACTCAAGGTCCCAGGAAGCCCGATGGCTTCATCCCTTGATAAACTCAAGAGGCAGATTTCTCCCACTCTCAATACAGGACCTAAAACCTCTTCGGGTCTTTGGAGTACGAGTGCATCAAAGTCAATCAACCAAAGCCAGGGCCAGGGCCACACGGAACCACCTAAGCAAGTCATGTCTCCACTAGCAGATGAAGATTATTTTTCACTTGTATCCCCTGGCATCCCCCCCTCACCGGAAGTAGGCGGTTCACCTGCACATGACAGCAACGCTCAGGTCACACATACGCTGCAGCCACAGGTCCTTTTCACAGTCCTCCTTGTCGATGACAATCACATCAATATATCGTTACTGGTTGCCTTCATGAAAAAGTTAGGGCTTGAATACATCATTGCGCAAAACGGCCAAGAGGCACTCGACAGGTTCAAGGAATCATATTCTAATATTCGCATCATATTGATGGGTAAATCTTGCCCATATTAGACGGAGGACATGATTTAGCAGGTATTGACTGACATACTATAGATATCTCCATGCCGGTCATGGACGGTCTCGAATCCTCACGGCAAATTCGCGCATTTGAAAGGTCTTTGAAATTGCCTGCTCGTGTGCCCATTATTGCCTTGACTGGTGTTGCCCAGGCTGAGCTCCAACGTGACGCAATAGGCTCGGGCATGAACTTGTTCCTAACGAAACCTGTACGATTGGATAAAATTGCGAGTGTTATAGAGGGTCAAACGGGAATCAACATGGCCTCCTTGAAGGCTGGAAGAAAAATGTCGAAGGGCGGTCAATCAAACGGCGACACCAAAGACTCATAATAAGGGAATGGGATGAATTGTACGCAGAAGTTTTTAATTCATTAGCCCATGATTCCGAATCAGCAACAAGTTTCCGGCAAATCAGAGGCCTAATTCGGATATACGACCCGTGACAACGTCCATAGATTTAATCCTTACCTTGCTAGGTAGAGATTTGCTAGCAAGGACTGAATGTTGAGCTGACAGGTCTCGGTAAAAAAACCACTTGAGACCCCATGCGATAAACAGAGTGGAAATAGCGCCTACGCTATAACTAACACATCTTTTCTTCTAAGATGGCCTGTTCATATCGAAAGTATTTGGATTTTATTTCCGAAATTCGAAACTATTCATTAACATGAATGTATTATTGGAGTGCGATCTGAAAAGAAAATCACAAAAAGATGTAGAGCAGCAGCAATTCAAACGCTAGACTACTATTATATAGAATTCATAATACATACCACCCAAAAAAACGTTTGGAAGGGATTATAAGAAGAAATAGAGTAGCAGCAAATCAAACACCAGACTTTATGATGCAAATTTTGAAACGTATCCCCCCCCCTAAAAAAAAAAAAAAAAAAAAAAAAGTAAAAATTACAAAAGGATATGGAGCAGGGGTGAATTGAACGCCGGACCTTTCCTGTGCAAAATTTGAAATATATACTGCCTAAAAAAAGAATTTATAAAAAGATATGGAGCAGCGGCGATTTGAACGTCGGACCTTATCGATGCAAAATTGAAAATATATACTACCTAAAAAAAAGAAAAATTATAAAAAGATATGGAGCAGCGGCGAATTGAACGCCGGACCTTTCCTATGCAACTAAGGGGTCAAAGTTAGTGGGTTGATCAATGTATTTTGAGTAAGGGCAGAGAGACATACAAGGAATGTGATAACCCCTACACTACAGCCCCGTATGGATGAATGATTACCCCAAGATAGAGTTATAATAGTGTCTGACACACAACAGGAATGGACTGGAAATCCTTTTCACCTAGATCACAACCCCATTTTGTTGAATATCTATTCCAGAATAAGTTTATAGCAGGCGAGTTTGGGACTCTAAGCCGAACTTCTCCAAATCGCGCAATTGGAAACACTACCATGACCAAACAGTTTTCAAAAAAGAATTCTGGGCGGGGTCCTCTAAAGACACTAAACATTGACATCAAACATATCCCCTAGCCAATCTCATAGGTTTGCATTTTACTGCCACTTACATGTTCATGCATATAGCAAACTGAGCAGGTGGCGAATAGCCGCGCAGTTGCTCCCGAGGTCTGGGGCGCAAATCTATTGATTGGCAAGCAACATTTCAATGTTTGAACGGCGATCTAGGGGTGGTGCACGGGTAGTGTAACCATACTTCTGATTCAATGTCGATACCTACCTTTCTTGAATATGACTTCTTTTTGAATCTGGCGTTCAGTCTCGACTCGATACAGTGCATGCCAAAATTGAAATGTACCCGTCCCGATACAGCACTGTATAAAATCAATACATACCCGATGCAGTGTATTCTACAGAAAATGCACCACCACAACGGACGACTGTTCAATCGCACACGTGTATTTCTCAAAGGGGAATCTGTGAAAATTTGATTGTCGAGTTTGGACTCCTGGTTGATAATTCCAGTGTTTATGGGGTAGCACCACAGACAGCCACTGAGTCTACCAGTCCTCCCAACGCGGAATGCAAGTCTATAGCCTTGGAATCATGACATAGTTCAATAATTATGCCTGGCTCATATGTATGATGCCAAATTCTTTTTCAAAGTTTTCACACATGTTGTCCAGCTCTAGGGCGTCGTGCCATTCTATTTATACGAGGGATGAGGCCCAGATGAACTTCACTTTTTACGAGCCACGACCAAGGGGAAAAAAATCTTAAGTTCCGACATCCTATTCTTGACAATGAAAATCATTAGCTCTGTTGAGAAACTATTTACTCAGGCACTGGAATCAATTCTCCAATTTGTCAAGACTCTACTTGACATTCTTCTTTTTGTCTTGAGTTTAAAGGTCTTTCCGCTGGCCTGGCATGTAAGTAAAAACCCCCAATCTAACAAATTATCAAGTTGCTTTACTAAATCAAGTCCAGGCGAGAAGTTTCTACTCATATGTCTTTCGAAGCAAATTGAACAACAAGCCTATTCCTCTCACTACACTTAACGTCCCGACTATCTTTCAGCCGACTATATGGACATCAAGTACACCACTTGGCGAGATAGATATCATGGGCCACAAGACCAATTCCACCTACGCTACGGACTTTGATGTGGCCCGAAACTACCACATGTGCTCCCTTTTCCGGGTTGGCTTAAAGAAGTGGGGCGACTTATCTTTCGTCAATACCCAAACACGCGATGCTGGAATTGGGTTATTTTATCCGGCCCTTGCTGGGGTAAACTTTACATTCCACAGGGGCATTCGTCCTCGACAGAAGTATGAAATATGCACTCGTATACTGTCATGGGATGACAAATGGTTGCATCTGATTTCGCACTTTGTGGACAGAGGAAATTGCAAGCCTATCTATATGAGTGACCACAGAAATTCACAGTGTGATCCCGAAATGGATTTGGGAGATTTGGCAGAATCACAATGCGTCAATCAGGGTGAGAACTCCAGATCTGTCGTCTTTGCTACTGCTATGGCGAAGATGGTCTTTAAAAAGGGTCGAAAGACCGTTCCTCCTGCCCAGTTCCTAGTTGATTGTGGCCTTCTTCCTCGCCAGGAACTTGCAGCTAATCGCGAACTCTCACAAATGTCCAAGGAGGACGAGAAGCTTCATGACGATTGTATGACCAAGATTGGAGAGAGCATTGAAAGAACAAGATCAGCGGGCTATCACGTCGCCGAGCGCCTTAATGCCCTGGATGAAGGGTGCTCTTTTTTTCATATGAGCGAGAAAGTCTTCTTTTCTAAGCGTTGAGGAGCGATGACTCTATGTTGTACTCTTTTACCACAGAACTTGAGTGCATAACGCTTTACGATTAGGATTATTTTATTTAGATTGATGGATAACTTCAAACAATTGATTTAATGTGTCTGTGAGAAATGTTTCAGCAATAGGAATTTAGTTAGCATAAATATAAAAGAACCTTGGAAAGGTACTTTGACTCTGCACATGTGTATCACGGTTCCGGCGTAGGAACATCAATTTGAAGCCAGCAACATTTGAAAATATTTGAATTCGACACATTCAGGTTCAAACTTTGAAATTCATTGGAGAGGGGCGTTCTGTAAAACACTTTGCTATGTATCATGAACTCCAAAACATATACATATACTGCATGTGGGAGCTACGAAGCCGGTCGTGATATCTTCTTCCATCTACAACGACCGCTTTTCTTTCCTTGTAAATTGATCCACTGTCGAGGATTATCTTTAATCTTTCGTTTATCGCCCCATGACAAGCTAAGAACGGTAAGTAAGTATACTTAATGTTACTTTATCTATTTACGGAAGAATATATCGATTTCTAGTTCGGTGTGGCAAACGCTGGTGGCCAAAATATTATGCAAGGAGGTACATTTACTCATATGGACCTGAGTCATGAATTCTCGATTTAAAGCGCGGTTTAGTCAACATTGAATGAACATTTTGAAAGATCTTGTTCACTAGTTACACTAAAGCCTCACCAGTGGGTCCTAATAAATGAAACCATTGGAACCGGTCGTTGACTTGTTGGAGAGGAAAAATATTCGCCAATTGCCTAGGTGGCAATAATTATATAGCAAGTACTAAGGATTTAGTTGTGTGCTTGGACATTTTGTTGTCTTGACTCGCCCCTTTAAAGCATGCATGTGTAAGTTTTACCAAGATCGGAATGACAATGGTCTCCATGGATCATGACTCTCGTCCACCTGGACAAAAATTATAGATCGAGAAACTCATGCATCCTGCTACTGTTCATACGATCGTATACTGCAGTGATGTACGATTCACGAATATCCACACTGAAATGCCGGCATATCAAACTGTGGTTACACAACTTCAGAAAGGCGATCATATATCAGGGATTATTCATCAAAATTACTTCAAGATAGCCCAAATTTTCCTAAAACAGTGCCTTGCATGAGATTTTTAGAGATCAAGCTTGTGGCACAGTAACACTGTGTAGGATAATGGTGTTTTTGCGTCACCGTTTTCGAGGCCTCCGATCGAGGCATCCATGCACATCTGTGGTGATGAATTATAATTGAAACTACTTATAAGTAGGTGCAATTTTCAATCTCCAATTTCCAGCAGAACGGATATCTGTTTTGTCAGAAAAAAAACCATCACTTCTCACAATGGACCATGAAAAGTCTGAGATACAGGATGGGGACATTACAGACACAATTTCCTCCGATATCTCTATAGATAATGAGAGCGATCATATCAAAGGATGGCGACTGTATCTCACCATGACCGGGTATGTATAGAATTTTTGCTCCTTCCAAGCTTGAAAGGCTCTGCTGCTCTAAATCTACTAACCAAGTCTAGCCTGCTTACTGGACTATATTTGGTCAATCTTGAGGTGACAATTGTCAGCACAGCACTCATAAGCATTACAAACGATCTCAACGGATTTCAGCAAACTGGTTGGATTGTAACCGCGTTCCTGACGACTTATACCGGTAATTAAAATAAAAAGGCACAACAGAATATCATTCCAGCTGATGAATTTATCGATAGCATTCATGTCTCAATGGACAAAATTGAGCAATATAGCTGGCCGCAAGAGAACTATAATTGCTGCAAATATCATATTTTTGGCCTTCTCGCTTGGGTGTGGTTTGGCTCGAAATATGAATCAGTTGTGAGTTAGAAACGGTACCTAACTTGTCAGCGACCCATTCTGACGCCCTGAAAGGATTATATGTCGATCTCTGCAAGGTGTTGGAGGAGCAGGGGTATACTCAATGGTAATTTTATGCATTTATGGTGAGCAAAAATGGCAAGCTTTTATCAAGTTCATCTCAAGGACAAGCTTACTGAGATTTGTCTTTAAAGAGGTTAGCCCAAAGACAGAGAGACCATTGTACGGTGCCATGGTTGCCACTGTGATTGCACTTGCATCTCTGACTGGGCCCATCTTTGGTGGATTACTGGCTCAGAATTTGGCTTGGAGATGGACCTTTTATATCCAGTAAGTGTTAAATATACCAACCAAATTATATGACCCAAAGACAATGAGTTAACAGTTATGGCATGCTATAGTATTCCACCTGGAGCTTTGGCAGTATTGATGTTGTTGGTTGGACTCCCATCTTCGTTTGGAACTGTCACACCGCAGCCATTGTCTTGTTTACTACCAAGCCTTACATTATTCAAGAAGCTTGATGCTCTAGGCGGCTTTTTGCTTGTCGGTGCTTCTCTTCTATTGGTCACTGTGCTGAACGAGACAACCATAGAGTTTGATTGGTCTTCAAGGACGGCCATTGGGCTTCTCGCTCTTTCGGGTACCCTGTGGATCGCATTTTTTTTATGGGAATGGTATATACCACAATATATGCCGGAGATTGAGCCAATGTTCCCGAGGCGTTTTCTTTATAATAAAGCATGGATGGGAATGTTATTGTGAGACCCTTGAAGCACTTGAGTTTCCCCATTTTGACAATTTTTGACATTATGCATTTCACAGGACCAACTTTCTCTGCGGCTGTCCTTGGAATGTAGTTATTGTCTATCTTGCTCAAAGATTTCAAGTTGTCTCCAACCTTTCGCCACTCGAAGCCGGTGTTCATATCATACCATACTCCGCTGTGGCAACGGTCGCAACGATGCTTGCTTGTCTTGCGAGCCGCAAATTCCGGATACCAGTGGTGTACTTTGCCCTTCTTGGATCAATTCTCCACACTGTTGGAATGGCACTTCTATCAACACTCCCTGAGACAACTACATACCCCAGAGAGGGGTACGGATATGAGGCCATTGCTGGTGCCGGTGTGGGAATCACAATTGGAATTCTGACCTTGGCTGTACCTTTCGTTGTTGAAACAAGAGATCTAGGTAATTGAAAATGTTTCTTCCTTTGAAAATCTCTCCAGACTTCAACTGGACTGACCTTGAATTCAATAAAATAGCAACGGCAACTGGTGCCCTTAACCAGGCTAGATTTTTGGGAGGAGCTCTAGGACTGGCTATTGCGTCCAACATCCTCTATGGAAGACTCGAAAGCCACTTGTCGGATAAATTAACTCCTGAACAGGTGAATGAAGTGCTTCAAAGAGCCGGTGATATGGGGAGTCTACCGGAGAATGTGCAAAAGGCAGCGATTAGTGTCTTTACGGGAAGTTACACACTTCAATTCCAGGCGATGATCGCCTTTTCCTCCGCACAGATCCCCGCATCGTTGCTGCTTTTTAGGCGCGGGGGCCAATATGTTGCTTCTTAGTTGTGCACTGAAGGCTACAAAATTTTCTTGATATCTTTGTTTTACATATAACATTGCATATAGTTGCTTGAAATCAGATTGTGATGGACTTTGCTGTTGAGAAAGGTATTATCGAGATGTCAAAGCGCCTATTCGGCGATTGGTCGGAATTCTAGTAATGCTCTGAGTCGGGGCAATAGAATGCCACATGTGCATGAGGGAAGCCCCCCTGAAACCCTTGGAAGCATGAGATCGAAAGGGGCTGACATATCCCACATCCATTCGATCTTAATACGAACTACTCCGCTCGTACTCCGTATATTATCCCTAATTAAACCAAAATTAAAGCGTTTTTTTTAAGCGGGTCTGGAATTGTTGATGGCTCTCAACGGAGTAAAGAGGCAAATGTTGTTTACTAGTAGATGACATTTTGGCGTAGTCAACTGGTCCCGATCAACATTTGAATGGTACTTACAATCTACGAGGTACATTCCGAGATTAATTTCTAATAAAGTAAAAGATTTTCATTTCAAGGTTACATGCATTCTCACATTCAATGTTCACCTACAAGATCCTGATCACTTGGAACATCACCGGATTTCTGTGGGGGAAGTGGCCAACACCTTCCTGACATGGACATTTTTTTTTTCAGCTTATTTGCCCACAGACCTCCCAACCTCGCGTAAAAGTAAAACATAACTAGGACCAACATGGCAAGTGATTGGGGAATTAAATCAGAAATTGCCGACCATTGAAATTCCAGTGCAAAAAAAACAGTCTGTAACACTGATTGAAAAAGTGGTCATGTGCCCCCCCCCCCTCAGAGGGCCATCTTGGCCATCTTGGCCTTAGTGGGCGGCGCTAACCTCCCTAAACCGGACTAGTCTCGGAGACGCGTCGGCCATCCGTGTTCCAAATGACCCCAATCAGGATAAGATTAGGAATTAGATACTCTCTTGTCATCTCATTGGATCATCTTATCCAGTCAGCAAGAAGGCTTATTGGCGGACATCTCATGCATAGTCCCCGGGGCCATACGAAAAGACAAGCTTTAGTGGATCAGCCAAGACAATGCAATTCGTGCCATCTTAGGGATGGAGGACATTATCCGGAGTACCCCGTGGTCTCCGGCTTTATCTCAGGGATTCCAGGAGATTTCATGACAACTGCGCATTTGCCATTCGTCCGCCCGATAAGGACTTTCGCCCATTCCTTTCTCAATCGCATGGAATATGATCCATAGTGGCGTTGGGACCTTTCCTTCCGGGGTCCTAGCCTGTTTTCTTTGGTTTCTTTTCCTTTTTCTAGCGCCGTTGTGACAACTACTAATAAGTCCATTGCTCCCTTGAACGGCGAACTGGTTCAATTCAAGGCCAAATCCCTATTTGGCTTCACACTCTTGTCATGACAGATTTGAAGGTTAATCGTCTACAAGATGAGCTCTCGTCTCAAGATGACAGCCCGGCCGCTCCTGCGGTAGAAGAGAAAAAGATCCCCGTGGATATTACCGCCGACTCTTCAGTGGATGTGGACAATGGGGAAGAGGAGGAGGATGATGAGAAGATCCATCATCCAGCCAACCAGGATGATATTTTAACACACACCCTTCACGTTAAAGATGATCCAACGTTGAACTGTTTCACATTCCGTACCTGGTTTTTGGGTAAGTCACTCAAGTCACCTCCGATCTTCCCCCTCTTCCCCGCCTACAAACCTCCTTGATTTACTCAGAGCTCTAACTGATTGATGTTTGACTTGAAGGTATCGGTCTCGCGGTTTTTGGTGGCACCATTTCTTCTATTTACTATTTCAAACCCCAAACCGTTGTGGTGTCGACCGTCTTCGTTGCCGTCCTTGCATATCTCCTCGGTGAAGGTTTGTCGATAATTATTCCAAGAAAAGGATTGATTGGGAAGTGGTTCAATCCTCATCCGTTCAACGTCAAGGAGCATCTGGCGATTATCGTCATGGCCAACTCGGCCAGTACCGCCGCCCTCGGTATCGAACTTTTGGCCGTGGAGCGACTTTATTACGATTCCAAACTCAACGGGGCAATGTCGATTTTCCTATTATTCTCCTCCCAGATGCTGGGTTACGGATTTGGTGGATTGATGCGCAAGACATTGGTCTACCCCAAGAGCATGATGTGGCCCCAGAACCTCCCCGTGAATAACATGCTCGAAACTTTGTATCGCCCTCGCTCCGTGACTCGGGGACCTCTCAAGGTCTTCGGCATTGCATTTACCCTCATCTTTCTCTGGGAGATTGTTCCCGAGTGGATCATGCCAATTCTTACGGGAGTGAGCATCTTTTGTCTGGCCAACCAGAAAAGTGCTGTCTTTACTAACGTGTTTGGTGGTGCGAGTGGAAACGAAGGAATGGGACTGTTTTCTCTCTGCCTTGATTGGGATTACATTTCCGGAGGTTACTCTCCACTTTTCTATCCCGTTGACAGTCTAATTAGCCAAGGAGTTGGCGTGATTCTGTGCATCGCAGTGTTTTCTGGTGTTTACTACGGTAACATATGGGATGCACAGAATTTCCCCTTCTTATCCCAAGTTCTTTTCAGTGAAAACTCCACAATGGCAAACCAGCTTCAATGGAACCAAACTTTGGTCATTGGCTCCGACAATCGCATCAACCAAGACGCCTTGGCTACGGTGGGGCTGCCATGGTTTGCGGCCACCTACGTTATCAACATCTTGACCTCCAATATGTGCATATCCGCAGGTATTGTTCATATGTTCCTCTGGAACTGGACCGAAATGAAAACTGTTCTGATGATCTTCCATTGGAAGAATCTCTCACAAAGACTCAACCCTAAGAATTGGAATCTAACCTTCTGGCGAGAAGAAGCGAAGCCTGACCCCGTGGAAGAGCATTATGACCCGCACTACAAGCTGATGCTGAGCTATAAGCCGGTTCCAGACTGGTGGTATATTTGTGTTCTGATACTCTCCGTGGTTGTAGCTCTCATCTGTCTCTACAAAGGAGATTCCACTCTACCATGGTGGGGTTTCTTGGTCTCATGCTTGGTAGCATGGTTGTTTTTGCTGGTTTTTGGCTCCATGCAAGCGACAACTGGCATTGCATTCATCATTCAACCCATCGTCCAATTGATTGGAGGATATATTCAACCTGGAAATCCAGTGGCGAACATGTACTTCACGCTTTTTGTAAGTATTGCGCCAAGGAGTGTTCCATGTGCCTCTAAGCTAATCATCGACTTCTTCCTCTTGTTTCTAGGGCTATAACTCTGTAACACAAGGCTCTCTACTGTGTCAAGATCTCAAGCTCGCTCAATACGGCCATCTAGCACCTCGAGTCACCTTCACTATGCAAATGATTGGTACCTTCATTGGCGCCATTTTCAACTATATCATGATGAACAGCATTGTTACAAATCAACGGGAGATTCTCCTCTCAGTGGAGGGCACCAACATCTGGTCTGGTCAACAGCCACAGCAGTACAACACTTTGGTATGTCGGAAAGTCAGTACAGTACCGAGATTTTTTGGCTAATCGGCGTTCCTATAGTCCGTTGCATGGGGAGGTCTAGCCCACGAGCTGTTCTCAATTGGCTCCCGCTACCAGTGGTGCAGCATCATCATTATCGTTGGCTTCTTTGTGCCACTGCCTTTCTACTTCCTCCACAAGCGGTTCCCATCCCTTGGGCTGAATAACGTGAACACGTCTGTCATGATCTACTATTGCTCGTACCTTTGTGTGGGTATCAACTCGTCCATCATGTCGTTCTTTATCATCGGCTTTGGATCTCAGTGGTACTTGAGACGCTACCACCCCAACATTTTCATCAAGTACAACTACCTGGTATCGGCCGCGTTGGATGGTGGTACCTCGATCATCGTTTTCATCATGTCATTTGCATTGTTCGGGGCGGCTGGAAACTCGGTCTCCTTCCCTACCTATTGGGGTAATAATTCCAACGGGAACTATGACCTGTGCCTCTATACTGATTAAGGGAAATCGGATTGTGTCCCATAGCTATTGGGAATCGAATTGAATCTATCAATGCATTGACCATGTCACTCCATCCTGCCTACTGACCCCAGCCTCGTTGAAGATATTACTACCATATACCTACCACTTTATAAACGAGAGTAAGACCTTAGAGCATCGAACAGCTTCCTACCCGAGAACAATGCTACTAGTATGTATGATTCTGTCAAATACTAGGATAGTACGTAGTGACCTTGGCTAAGCAAAGGTTCAAGGGGGAAGAAGTAGAAAAAAAAAATTAAACTATTATCACAGTTCAATTACCATCTAAGATGACCCTCCGTGGAAAACAGAAGATTAGAATAGAAGAAAAGGCAGACACAAAACAGTATCTGACCAGATCAGGGATGCGATGGAAGCTAAGAAAACCAAAAAGAGATAATGCTCTGAACACAAAAATATTGGTAAGGTCCCACTTTACAGCCAGAGATAATAATGACAGGAGAAGGAAAGGTGAATCACACGAAGAGAAGTAAGAAAAAGAAAAGAAATCGAGAAAACAAAAGACATTAAGGGAAAAACATGGGGGAAAATAAATGTATTCTGACAAAGGAAAAGAAACATGCTAGACAACCAATCAAAAACACCCGGTGGATGAAGAAGACTTTCGCTTCATGCACATACAATAAAGGGGAACAAAAGCAGGGTATCACATGGTTTCCCAAACAACCTCACTGCTCTTTTTTGGAGAGAAAGGGAAAGAAGAAAAAAAAAACAATCAAAATCAAAATCAAAAGTTAAACGGATACAAGAACCATGATTATTGACCTTCACCAGCACGAGACTTGGCTCGACGGCGGAAGAAGTCCATGACCTTCCGAGCTGCACCAGAGCTACCAGAATGATGGGAAAGATCCCGTTCATACTCATAGGCATCGGCAAATTTGCGGTTGTTTTTCTGGAGAACACCCGGGCCTCGTGCAGACCTACCAACCTGCATTGACTGCCGTGGCAAGCTGTCATAGGTGTTGTTGGTGTTGCTGCTGTACTCATCATAGTAGTTGGGTTTGGAGGACCCATATGTGTAGTTGTTCCCAGAGTAATGGTCATCGGAATTTTCGTAGACGTGCTCCGAAGAGACATTGCCAAAAGAGTCCTGAGTTTGATCGAATCGATTGCCGAGCTCAGCGAACTGCTGGTCAATCTGAGCCTCGTAACTCAGAGGATCTGACTCGTTTGGCTTTGACTCGTTGTGAACTTCATCACTAGGTCCCTCACTCACTATACCCATCGCCTCTTGCGTTCCGTAGCTGGTTGCGCGTGGGCGGCTGAGCGTGGGTCCGGTGGTTGGACGTTGCTGTTGTTGACCGCGATTGTCCACTGGGTATGAGGTCTGAGCTGTATCGTCGGGGCTCTGGGCTCGAGCAGATGAGAAGGTTCGGAAGGAGAAGGAAGCTGGGAGGAGAGAAAAGCGACGAGGACGACCCTCTCCCGCTTCGCTCGCCTTGCGAGTATGTGAGTTTTGCATGGATCGGCGAGAATCCATCGACCCACGAGAATCATCACGAGGAAGCGGCTCTTTCATGCTGGTAGGAGGGTACCGTTTGTTGGGTCGCGTCCGAGAAGCAGTGGTTTGAGAGTTACGGTTACCGCCCATAAGAGATGCTGAGCGTCCAAACAACTTCTCGCCGATGCTTGAAACGGTATTAGACCGCTTGTGACCTTTGGCCGGTGGGTCCTGTCTTGGAGTGGGATTGAATGCAGATGGTAATTGTTGGGTGCTGGGACGGCCAATCGATGTGCTCGAGGACTGCGCCGGGTTCTGGGGGAATGCGAACTGCCTGCTCTTTGGCTGCGCCAGACGGCCTTCCGTGTTGGTTGCAGTGACCATGGGGGCCACCGGTTGCCCACGAGAAGGCAGTCGGCCTGTGTTGAACGACGCCATTGAGCCACCAGTTTGAGGCCTGGTAGACGATGGGATCGCAGCCGGAGCCGGTGGCGGTGCAGAGATGTGCGCTCCAGTAGCCACAGGGTAATCGGAGGCGGATCGAGGGAAGTGAGTAGGTAGGGGCTTATCATAGTTGATTGGCGGCTTCCCGACGGGCTTAGTAGGCGCAGGCTTAACTGAGCTCTCCGCAGATACAATTTCGGACTGAACAGGCTCTCGGCTGTGTGACCCGGAAGCCTCGGCTTGGTATTCACCCCCTCTAGTAGTTTGGGACTGGGGAGCCACATATTCAACCTGCACTGTCCTTCGCTTTGCATCTCGAGAGGTCTTGGATTTTTCACTTGGGGAATCCTGGGAGACATCACCTGCGTGGTGGTTTAGACCTCCAACGGCCGGAACATTGCCCTGGCTTGTCTTGGGAGGCTCACGAACAGAGGCACTGCGGGCAAGAGGTGGGGGTTCGTTTTGTGATTCAGTCGGGACGGTTGTATTGGCGATGTCTGCCACATTGGTAGTGCTGCTAGTGATATGTGAGACAATGTGGGCGTACTCACTAAGCCAGCTGTGACGAGCAACTTCAAACAGATCCGCACGCTTGCGAGGGTCAGGGACCAAAATCCGCCGTAAGAGATCACGAGCGTGTGGGGTCACATATTCAGGAAAGGTGAGAGGAGTAGTGACAATGTATTTGTAAAGGAGGTTGATGTTATCACCATCGGGATTTGCTGGGTCGTCATCGAATGGAAGGTAACCGGCCAACATGGCATACTATAAACAGCACACGGGAAGGGTCAGTTCAATTCAAACAAAATCAAGGGATCGCATGAGGGAAGGAAAACATACCAAAATCACACCACAACTCCACACATCGACTTTCCGTCCGGTGTACAGTGAATCACTTACCACCAATTCCGGGGCGGCATAACAAGGACTTCCACAGCTGGTCTGCATAAGATCTCCACGACGCAGCCCATCAGGCCCCAATTTGTCGAGACGCTTTCGCTTGACATACTCCTTGTTGGTCAGATTATATTCAATCTCTTCCTCCAATTGGTCAATCGGATTGAATGTATTGGCAAAACCAAAATCCGTGATGATAATGTTGCGATTCCGATCCAACAGCAGGTTCTCCAGTTTGAGATCACGGTGCACAATGCCCTTCTTGTGTAGATAACCGACACCCGACACTAACTGTGCAAATAACCGACGGGCCGAGTTGTCTTTGAGGTAACGGTGGTTGAGAATATAATCGAACAATTCTCCGCCTGATGCGTACTCCATGATGATTCCAATGTGTCGATCTGTCTCCACCATCTCGTGGAGGCGAACAATGTTGGGATGAGCTAGTTCACGCAAAATCGAGATTTCCCGGTAAATCTTTGGCAGACGAGTAGGGTTACCGCCCAAGGTGTCCCTACGAATGAGCTTAATTGCAACTTGAATGCTGCCATCCCTCTTCCAGCCCAACTTGACCTTGCCAAATTCTCCCTCGCCGAGGGTTTGGCCCAGGATGTAAGAGCCAAAAGTGGTTTCCTTCCGCTTGATGGTATTGCCGTTATCGTAGTCATGGCGACTCCGAGGTCCACGGCCTCCGTCCTCGGTGCTATCGTGTCCGATAGGCAAGGTCATCTCCGCGGAGGCCCCCGGTGATGCGCCCGCTTGTCGCACCTGTTCTCGTTCGTGATCCACGGCGGGGTCGCTCACCAGGACGGCGTTGATGACGGCACTGGGCTCTTTCACCAGACTTGATCCCTCGTCAATGCTCAATTCCGCGGGAGATGCGACTGGAGTTCCTCTGGACCGCCCGGTCTCTCGTGTCGGCTCGGTGGGATCACGTCGAGATCGACTTTTTCCGTTGCGGTCACGGTCACGGTTTTCCTTGCGATCGGATCGGCTTTTCCCCCGCGAGCTATCCTTCTCTCTTGATCCGTTGGGGCTGTGACGGTTGGAGGAGGTCCTCGGCGGAGGAACAGGAGGGTTGCCTAACATGTCGGGATACGGGCGCGCATTCTTTTGAACGGGAGAAGGTGTGTGGGTTGCAGATGGCACATGGGCAGAGATTGGCAGGGCCGGCTGGTGGGAAGTGCTCATAGCCGATAGACGTTGATTCGGACCAGCCTGAATAATGGCTTTGAAGCGCTGATTAGCAAATTTCTGTCTCCCCATCGAGGCATCCGACGTACCTTCTAGTCAGAAAGCGCAAACCAAGAAAAAAGAAAAGAAAAGAAAACGTCGCAACTTTCGGCTTTATGAGCAGATGAAGGCAATGGAGTAGAAATGGTTGCGCTCAAAGCACCACACCCTCCCGAGGGTGATTGGTGTGAAGATGTTGGGGAGTGATTGGGGGCGATCGGTCGCACTCGCTGAGTGTCGACCTTCAGCCTTACAAGCTGTGACTGTTAAGGACATGCGCGTCAGTAACTGGAAATATCCCCACAAGCAATTCCGATCGGCAATCAAGAAGAATGTACAACTTTATTCGGAATAGGGACCTTCGACAGAAGATTCGATGAGAAGAATGGGGGGGTGGGAAAGGGAGGCGGGGGGAAGGAAGGAATGTCAGGCTTGAATCGCGCGCGCCCGAGGGAACAAGAAGCAGTAGTAGCGATAGCACCAAACACCAGATACAAGGCTGCATATGCGATGCGATAGAGTTCAGGTGAAAGAAGACGCGTAAAAATGCACAGAAAATACGAAAGAGAAGGGTATTACCTGCGCAGCAGTCTCAAAAGTCCCCTCTTTTCCGATTCCACGGGGGAAACAGGTCGCACGTTGTTCCAAAAGAAAAAGGCCCGGGGGGGTAGAAACAAAGGAAGTCAATGTCTCAGGCGCGATTGAATTTGACAAGACCTCAAGACCAAAGTTGGATGCTGAACATGATCGAATCCAGGGTAGACAGGGGGCGCGAGGGGAGATTGTAGCGGGAAACACCGGTTCACCCTGAGAGTCGAGGGGGAGGAAAAGGGGGATGGAGAATAACGAAGCTTGGAAGAGAAACAGGGTAGACAGGAACGAATTCAACCCCCGAAAAGAAGAGCGAACAAAAGAAACAGGAAAGGAAAAAGACTACAACGGAGGAGGTTAAAGGAGGGAAGTGAGATTTGGTTTCCAAAGCAGAAAAAGCGGGTCATGAAGAGCGACACGTCTTTTTGGATGACGATGGGATTAAATGTTCAACTTTGCCTAACAAAGAAGTTGCTTATAACAATGAAGAAATTCACAACGGTTGAAAGCTTTGAATAGCTTTTCTACCTTGACGTTTGGATCAATTATCATACTGAGACTGGCATTTCCTACAATAATTCCAAGGTTCTACCGTGAGGCACAAAAAAAAAACATGATCAGTCATGATCAACTGGTCCCCACAATTGATATAAATGCAGATTGTATGTACGGGGAGGATAGATAAAAAAAGAAGGAATACATGCCCCCTTACTTATTCATCTATTTCTTGAAGACTGTTTACTTCGTGCTGATTAACCTATGATTAGAACAAAGGAGAGAGAGCTGGGGCCGGAGCTACTCCGGCAATCAAAACAACCCACGAAGAACGGGAAAAGCCCCATAATGAGAGTAAAAAGAAATAGAAAAAAAAACATATAAAAAAAAAAAACAGAAAAACCCTGGAATCAGAAAGCTGAGAGAGGGTCAAAGCTTTGGCAAAATTCCCGTTTCAAGGGGCCATATAACCGGTTGTTTCGAATGGTAGAAAAGTGGATTCGCTCACTAGCTCACGACGATCGTCATTACACCCCCAGAACCCAGCTCCGATCCATTCAATGTTTGGATCTTTACAACACCAGATCATGATCGACATTTGTATACTTGGGTATGTACGGAGTAGCTGTTGACGATTCAATTGCACAGGGTTGAATCATGTTCGACGGTCCAATATTCCACATGTCCACTCTATCTTGGGTATATCTAGACTTCGGCAGCTTCTAAGCTTACTTTCAAATGTTACGGTAGTCTGATGGAAGGTACCGACTATACGCTCAAGTACTGCTAGACCTGTAGCTTATTGTATATCCCTTGAGGCGAAACTTCCATGAAAGGGGCAACATTGAATATTCAAATGAAAATCGATTTAACCAATTCCGGGAATTCTTTATCTCAAAGAATATAGTCTTACTCAACCATGGTTCATTGCTTAACATTGAAGGTTCCAATGTTTGAGGCTTTTTGGGTAGCGGATCGAGTCCGAACCAAACGCTACATAATTCAAATCTTGTTGTAATTGATTCATTCCAAGTAGTTCTAGCTCAGGTATTACTAGTATTGAATAATACTCTCCCGATTACAATTGACTTGTACCTGAATTTCGGGAGGTCCGCGCGCTAGTTCGATATTGCCTAACTCCACTGCATCCACACGGTAGCGTATTATACCCGTCAAGAGGGGAAGTATTGCGGGTAACGTGGGAAGAGAAACAGATCCAAAGTAGCCGAGGGAAAGTATCAAAGAAGTACTGGACCAATATCTGCATATCACTTTGATGTGGAGTCGTCAATCCCAAACTCGCTAGCCCATAATATCCCTCATTGGCTCTGCGGGGCCAACGGTCAAGCCAACTGTCAAGTGGTGCGTTGGCAATTGGGCTGCTCCGCGCCTCTCATCCAATCGAGCCCCTCCCTTTTCCAGGAAGCGTTAAAAAAAAATTGCGGCCAAGCGGCGGTCTAAAAGAGCGATCATCGACTTCACGGGTTAATATGCATGATTGATTGCCGGAAATTTTTTAATTTTTTTTTCAAACATAAGACATTGGGAAATACTATCGCCCACCATTCATGGATGTCGAAACCTTGTCCAATCATGTCGTGGAAAGACCTATGTACACTAGTATACTATGTATATGGATACTACGGACTGAGTCTTTCAAAAGGAAAAATCGTAATTCCAGCGCTATCACAATATTTACATCGTCGGGGAATTCACCCATCTATCGTGAAAAGATGAGAGATGAAACCATAAACATAGGATACTAGAAAGATTCCAAAATATGCCCCCAGACCACCACAAGGAAGAAAGAAGGAGAAGAAAAAAAGAAAAAAAAAAAAAAAAAAAACGGGAAAATAGCGCTAACTCACAATAAGAAACAAGTGAAAATGAAACCACTACAGAAGTCATGGAACGAATCATTTTTACCGCTTACCCCCGGACATACTCATAGGCGTGCCGCTGAGCGACGTGGTCCCTGAGGCGCCATATGCGGGCGGTGGCGTTGGATTAGTCGATGAGCCAGTCTCGGCAACACGGGCGGGAGGAAGCTCGCCGCCATCACCACCACCCACCATCACCTGCTTCCCGTCGCGCATCCGTCCCACAACCATGCCCTTGGCAACTGATTTCAGGAGCGCCCGCCGACTCACCCCGGTGGCATCAATGTAAACCAAGCCCACATTCTTCACGCCACCGGTCAGGTTGTTTGCTACGTCGCCAGCTTCCGCACCGTACTTGTGACCAATCATCGCACCGGTTGCTGAGGTGCCGGTAAGAAGGATACTCCGCGCACCTTCTTGAATTCCATCGGCCAGCGTGGAGAAGGCGATCATGGACTTGTTAAGCACACCGGGCTTGTAGTCTGGCGGCGGACGACTCTTGTCAAAGCTCTTGGGGTTGGTTTCTTTGCGCGACAGCGATGCGCCGACATTCTGAGCCACCCGCTCGACTTGTCCGACGGTGCGAGCGGAAAGCCCGGCGGCTCCGCTGGATAAGCTACCAATCTTGCGAATACGCGCATGTGTGGCATCCGAGAAAGTCAAGGGCTTTTGATTGGGCTTGGTTTTCTTGGTAAAACTTTCGGCACCACTGGTGATAGCGTTGGCAATGGAAGTGGAGGTCGCAACAATCAGACGAGATGCGGTAGCTGACGTTTGCACAATGGTCGAGTCCTTGTACGCAGGATGTCGAGACATGGCCAAGTACTCTTCTGAGACATTGCTAATACTGACTCGGTTGCCTTCACCCTCACTAGGAAGCTCAATGTTGACCGGTCCTGTTAAAGAATTGACATTAGTTTGAATCAGGAAAACGGGGGGCAGGGGCTTGGTTTCTACTCACTCTTGGATCCTGGTTTCACATCAGGATCTTCAACCACATCATAAGCGTCGCCCAGCTCCCCGACCACACTACCATCCTCCTCGTCTATGAGGACAATTCTCCCATGCGAGGTTCCATTACCAGCACCTTCGGAAGAGATATACCCCTCACCAGGCGCATAGTCAGCGGGATTGTACGCAGCAGTATGACCGAGGGATTTCCCACTCGATTTCTGGGGAGGAGCAGCAGCCCGCTCTAGAAATGCGGTACATTGTGCAAGGATGGTTTCGAAGGTGTCAATGTCGTCCTGGGTCACTTTGTCTGGACCGGACCCGATCCCCGGGAACTGGATTCGTATGAAGGCACCCGGGGCCAAATCCCAACGTGGGATCAAGTAACTATCGGGCAGTTGATGATAAATTTGAGTGGTAGCCGGTAAGGTGAGGTCCAATTCTGGAGGAAGACAAAGGTGAAGATAAAAATCCTCCTCGGGAGTTTCGGTGCCCGCACCGGTTGCGAAGGGTGGCATGGATGGTGAAGATGAGGTGGGGACCATAAGGAGTGAGAGGGTTTGCGGACCGGATGGTGTCAACTCCTGTTCCTCTCCATCTTGGAGGTGAAAGGCACGGATATTCGTGATGCTGTATAGTAATCGAGGATCGTGAATGCCAGCCATGATGACTGAAGTTTCGTTTCGACTCCCAAGTAAATTGTAGGAATGCTTCTTGGAAGTTGGGGGTGAGTCCCACAATTTCAAGGCGCGATAACGCGGATAAGGAGAATGACGTCGTAACTTGTCACTGAATAGACTGCGGGTTGAAGTAAAAGACCAAGATGCAGGGGAGTTTGGAAAATTTGATATAGACCTGATCGATTTAAATGAGGAAAGTTCCAGGTTGAGTAGGCGCCAGCCAAGCCCAGGGAGGGGTCCTTCTTATGAATCCTCCTGGGCGCTTAGATAACAGGTGGATGAGGGTCATTGCACCGCCACACACTCACTACTTGTATGACGGGCACCACCGCGCCACATCCCCACAGAGGTACATCAACTGGACCTTGGCACCAAATTGTTTGGTTCTCCTTTCAAGGTTCTCATTTCAAAACTTCTTTCTTTCCTAATGGCCAGCATGCAGATCGTATCAGATCTCCACCTGGAGAAACCTGCTGCCTATGATATCTTCCAGATTCCACCCCAGGCTCCCTTCTTGGCACTTCTTGGTGACATAGGTGCCGTGACCGACGAGGGCTTCTTCCTTTTTGTTGAACAACAGCTTCGGAATTTCAAAATTGTGTTTCTACTGTTGGGAAATCATGAACCATATCATTCAACTTGGAAGCAAACAAAAGCAAAGATTTGGGAATTCTCGGCCTCTCTGAACCAGCGCCATTCCCAAGATAATTCATCCGGCACCTTTGTCTTTTTAGACCAAACTCGATATGACCTTGCAGCTAACGTGACGATACTGGGATGCACGCTCTTCTCAAAAGTCTCTGAACAACACCGCGACGGTGTGAGCATGGGCCTGAACGACTTTTACTATATCAATGACTGGACTGTCGAGGATCACACCGCTGCTCATGAGGCCGACCTCAAGTGGCTGAATGACCAGGTTGCACTGATCGCAGACCGAGAACCCCATCGAAAGATCATTATTTTCACCCACCATAGTCCTCTGGGTGGTGATTTACGCGCTGCTGACCCACGACATATCCACAGTCCACTGTCGTCGGGATTTGCCACGGATTTGTCCTTGGAGGAGTGCTGGAAGAATGCTCGAGTGTCCTTGTGGGCATACGGTCATACACATTACAATATTGATTTTACCGACAAGGCGACTCAAAAATTGGTCTTGAGTAATCAGCGTGGGTACTATTTTTCTCAATCACAGAGATTCGACGTGGAGAAAGTCGTTCATATAGACAATATATAACGTGCCCATTTCCCCCCAGTGTCGTACATATATCACAACTCCACACCCGCACCTGCATCCATGGATCCTCTGTGTAAAAATTACAACTAAACTTGCGTTCCTTATGTTTCAAACTTATATGTAGCCACTGCAAGCCTGAGCTTGAATATACTGCCTGCACTAACATTTGAACTTACCTAGTCTTCAAGTCTTGTTGTTGGTCAACAGTGCTGGTCGAGCGATATTGCGACCTCAGATTTCAGGCAGCAAATGGTCTATTCAAATGTTTACATAATCGTAAGAACAACCAGTTGACGTTGGCCAATCAACATTTGAACCAGATCGAGTTGCTTTTTGGCAAACAGTGCAAACCTTACCCGCCACTCCGCGGCTCGCGAATTTTTGATTGTAGATCGGAGTACTCCGCAGAACTTTTTTTTTTTTGCAAACTCCAATATTCTGGCTGGACCCACGCAAAAAAATACCAGCCTGAACGTTGCTGGCTCTTAATAATGTCTGGCGTGGATTTGACGGCCCCGACGGCCCCGGAGGCTAACAATGCTGCTCCAGAGGCACATGTTCCTCCGCGTGACCTTGACATCGGTTCCAGCGCTGATGAGCCACCCGCAAAGAAGGCTCGTCTTGAAGGTTCTAATAAGAACAATGGCGATGCACGCGATAGAGGAATTGCGCCTATCAAGGCAGAGTATGTATCTCACTTCCAAAAAGCCAAATGACCGCAAGCCTGATGATATTATGCGAAGATACCGAATTCAATCTCAACCCAAACCCCGGCCCACCGAACCCGAGATTAGCCCCGACGATGCTGCAGAAGCAGCCCCCCACGCCGAACGCGAAGATGACGGCAGAGATAACAAGAAGAACAAAAAGAAGAAGAAGAACACTGGCCAAAATACCAACCGGACCTTCGGCAGCTCAAAGGACGCCAAAGGCCTTTGCGGTTCGAGAATGTTCAGTGCGGAGTTCTCCCCGGAGGAGTGCCAATTTAATGAGAAATGTCGCTTCGAGCACGACTTGCGGGTGTATCTGAAAGAACACAAGCGCGAAGATCTTACGACTTTCAATGGAATCTGCCCGGTATATGAGGCCCTGGGCAAATGCTACTCCGGATGGAAGTGTCGTCTGGTTGGATCGCACTCGCAGGAGAGAGAAACGACGGATGGCCGGAAGGAGCTTATTTTGCTAGAAGACGCGGAACGCATGGCAAAAGCCAAGCCACGTGTGCCATTCTCGACGGACGATGGACTTGTCAATATCATTGCCAACGAGGATAAAATAGCTCTAGCGCGGAAAAAGGAAGTGACCATTCGTGCAAATGCCGTCAATGACTGGCTTCACAAGTCGGGCGAGGAGTTGGAGAAGTATCTACACAGTGGAAAGAAGAAGGCGGGCGAAGAAGATGAAAATGCCGAGGGCGGAGCTGAAGTGACCGACGCGGAAAAGGCCAAAGAGGAGAAAGAGGAACAACGGGCGCAGTTTACAGACCCTCCTTTCTTGCCTTCTGAGAAACGTCGCATCTATTTTGGACCGGAAACCCCCACCCTGGCACCTCTGACGACACAAGGAAACATGCCTTTCCGACGACTTTGCACAGATCTAGGCGCCCAATTCACTTATTCCGAAATGGCCATGAGTATGCCGCTCATCCAAGGCGCAAAGTCCGAGTGGACCTTGATGAAGGCCCACGAATCGGAAATGCTCCCACCAACCATCACGAACGGTAGCAGTGTGGTCCAGGGATACGACAATTCGAAGGATTTCAAATTCGGCGCACAGATTGCTGCGAACAAGCCCTGGCAAGCCGTGAAGGCTACCGAGGTTCTTTCGAAGTTCACCCCCCACTTGCGTGTGATTGACTTGAACTGTGGCTGCCCGATTGACCTTCTATTCCGTGATGGAGCTGGTTCTGCTCTGTTGGAGCACCACTCCAAGTTGGAGAAAATTCTTCGCGGCATGAACATGGTTTCCCAGGAGATCCCTATCACTGTCAAGATTCGTATGGGAGTCAAAGATAATTACCCTACTGCGTTGAAGCTCACCGAGCGTCTTATCATGGGTGGCTACGAATCTAGAATCCTTAACGCGGGTCCTCCAGGTGTTGCGGCCATCACTCTTCATGGACGTAGCAGACAGCAGCGCTATACTAAGGAAGCAGACTGGAGCTACATCGCTGATTGTGCAGCCCTGATCAAGCGCATGAATGAAAAGACCGACATTGTCACCGACACCATCCGTGAACCCGATGCTCGTTTCCAGCCAAACGCCGGAAAGACTTACTTCCTTGGCAACGGTGACTGCTATTCACACACAGACTATGAAAACCACATAAAAAATTCTGGCGTGGATTCAGTCATGGTGGGCCGTGGTGCTCTGATCAAGCCATGGCTGTTCGAAGAAATCCAGACAGGTCAATACCTTGACAAATCTGCATCAGAGCGTCTTTCCTACATTGAAAAGTTTGCAAAGTACGGTCTGGAGGCTTGGGGATCTGATGAGTATGGTATTGGTACTACTCGACGATTCATGTTGGAATGGTTGAGCTTTGCCCATCGCTATGTTCCCATCGGGCTGTTGGAGTACCTCCCCGCTCGCATTAACGACAGACCCCCTGCTTGGCGTGGCCGAAATGAAATGGAGACTCTGATGGGCAGTGACAACTACAAAGACTGGATTAAGATCACGTAAGTCTGTTCTCTATCTTTTGTTTCTCTTTTTCTTTCTCTTTGGATGAATTTTAACTAACTGATTACGTTGCAGCGAGATGTTCCTCGGTCCTGCGCACCCGGACTTCAAGTTTGAGCCTAAGCATAAGTCTAATTCTTATGATCAAGCAGAGGGGTGAGGAAAACCAAGATTTGCCATTAAGTGATGTCTATATACATAGTAGCATACATACATACAGCCTCGATAGAGGGTCATCTAAGACCGAGATCAACGTTCCACAACTACCAGTCCGACCTTGAGAGCAAATTATTGTTCTAACATGGAAATGTAATGTTCAAATGTTCAAAGTGCATAACGTTCAGTAATGGAGGCGAGGTACCAAATAACCTTGGAATCTTCGGACCACTCTCGGCACTGAGTGCTGTTGTTTACATATAAGTTGATTATCAATCTGATCTGATCTGTGGGCCCCGATGGCGCAATTAGGGGGCTAATTTTCGCTGTACAACTTGCACTCCCACCGCGTGCGGGATTGGTCGTTTTCACGTATTATATTCAAAACACACGATAGCTCGGATGGATCTCAATATACGGCATCAAAGTTCATGCTTATGTTTAAACTGCGATCTCGATCAGATTAGAAAAATCAAATTTTCTGCATTAACTTATGCAGGGGGAAATTCAATAATGTGTGTAGCGGAGATTCTAGCGGGAAATGTCTCGGATACAAAGTGGATCGTCAGCTCAGCCACAAGATAGGTGTGCGAAAAGAGAAGAAGAAAAGAAACAAAATCCCCAGCAAAATTGACGCTAAGAACAAAAAGAGCAGAGAATAAAGTATCTTGTCTTTCGGACTCTTTCAGACATCTGGAATTGGATTTGATATGAGGTTGGCTGGTTTGTTGGAACATTTGAAAGGTGGCAGCTCATCGGGGGGGATTTACCGATGGATCGCACTTGAAGATCAGGACTAGTATACATACTAGTACGGTACTATCCGACCTCGGGACTTGAGAGTTGAAATTTGAAGCGATGGAATCCACCAAGTAGTCAATAGGAATCATGCCAAGATCGAATACAAATACCGAGTAGAGTCCCACAAATTTCACTTCACTGGGAAAGAGAAAGGGTAAGCCGGTCCAGATGATTGCACAATACTTCATACAATGGGTGAAGCAAATCCTGCTGATCACATTGTTGGTCAGTTACGGGGAAGCAAATCAATTGAATCGAGGTATTCACCGCCGCTCTCCTAATTACACCCGCAACAATTCATCGTCGGGGCATCTTCACACATCGGACTATCGATTTCTGACCAACAAGACTAAACGTATGTGATGCGCTTGACCACTTCCCTCTTTTCTTTTATTCCCTCCACCTGCGCACGACATCAAACTATTCAAATCTGGGCTAAAATTATTGTCGATCATACAGCTCATCTGGTAGAGAGCCTTCCCAATGTTCATTTTGACCTGGGGGAGATGTATTCGGGCTTCATTCCCATCCGTGACAACTCTTCTCTGTTTTACGTCTTCCAGCCAAAGATCGGAGAGCCAACCGATGATCTCACCATCTGGCTAAGTGGTGGGCCTGGATGCAGTTCAATGCAGGGATTTCTGCAGGAAAATGGACGCTTTACCTGGCTGCCTGGTACCTATGAGCCGGTTGTGAACCAGTATTCATGGGTAAATTTGACGAACATGTTATGGCAAGTCGTTTAATAGAGACATAAGTGCTCTTTTACCCTACCTGAATATAGGTGCTCTTTGAGATTTGAATCACAAACTAACCGTGAGGGCTGAGCAGGGTTGATCAACCTGTGGGGACTGGGTTCTCGACTGGAACACCTACAGCGACCACCGAAGAAGATATTGCCAACTCATTCGTGTATTTCCTCAAAGGCTTCCAGGAGCTGTATGGGATCAAAAACTTCCGAATCTTCATGAGTGGCGAGAGTTATGCGGGCCGTTATGTGCCATATATATCAGCTGCCATGCTTGATCAGAATGATACAGAACACTTTGACATCAGCGGTAAGCCATCAACCCCCCCCCCTGATTTACATCTTCATGCAGGCCTGATATTTGGTCACACGCTAATGACTACTGATATGACTAGGGGCACTCATGTATGATGCATGTATCGGTCAATGGGATTATATCCAAGCCGAGCTTCCAGCATACCCCTTTGTGCAGCAGCATGCTGAGCTGTTCAACTTCAACCAATCCTTCATGAACGACCTAGAAAGCACCTATGAACAATGTGGTTACAAGGACTACTTTGACACATACCTTACCTACCCAGCCTCTGGAATACAACCCCCCAAGTCCATGAACTATTCTGTCTGCGACATATACAACATGATCTACGATGAAGCATATAACCCGAATCCTTGCTGGAGCCCCTACAGGGTAGGACAAATGTGCCCACTACTATGGGATGTCCTGGGCTTTCCCACAGATCTTGCTTATGAACCATCGCAAACAACTTATTTCAATCGCAAGGATGTCAAACGGGCTCTGCATGTCCCCGAGAGTATTGAGTGGGAGCTCTGCAGCACTGAAAGTGTGTTCGTGGGCACTGACCCAGGTCCCGAGCAGCAATACGACGAGTCTCCAAATCCAACCGAGCTTGTGCTGCCTCGTCTGATTGAGGCAACTAGCCGGGTTCTGATCGCCAACGGGGACTGGGACTATTTAATCATCACGAACGGAACCCTATTGGCAATTCAGAATATGACCTGGCATGGAGAACTGGGCTTTAAGAGTCGCCCAACCACGCCAGTTCACATTGAAATGCCCGATCTGCAATGGTCAGCGATATTTGATGCTCAAGAAGGATATGGCGGCTTCGATGGTCCACAAGGGTTGATGGGAGTTCAGCATTATGAACGTGGCTTGATGTTTGCGGAAACTTTCCAAGCGGGTCACCGGCAATCCCAAGATCAAGGTCGAGTATCCTATCGTCACGTTCAGTGGCTGCTAGGAAATGACCACCACCTTTGATTGTGAACTTATTTCACCCAGATGTGCAATATATTCATTCTGAAATAATAATGTTGAAGGTAATATTCATGTATTCATGGGAAACGTTTGATATTCAAGTTCAATGTTGATAAAATTTGCCGTTGTAGAGAACCAAAAAGATCCAGGGAAACAAAAAAGCTCCATGGAAATAATTCAGAGAATCAATCGGCATATGAATGTATGACTGAATGCCTTGTCTGCCTACGGAGGTACTTTCCAAAGAAATAAATTGGCACACCCAGGGCCATCGGTCCAACCGTGAGCCCAAACTGGACCATTGCAGGCGCCAAAAAGCCTCGTCGAGCAGCCATTGGCATAACCCAATAACTCATAGCGAACCCACACGAGTTCTTCACGACTGTGGCAACGACCATAATCTCCCCCGAAATGGGCTTGTAGCAGTCAATAGCATAGGCAATTGCAATAGTAGGAACACCAGTCACGCAGATACCGCTGAATCCATACCCCACAATCAAAATCACAGGCCAGTTCCAGAGCCGATCGTAGCCCACGCCCCCGATCACAATCCCGATTACTGTGAAAATGAAATAAGGTATCAGGGCCGGCAAACGCATTTCGGCTTCGCGGATGCCATTATTGCGCTCTGTAGCCCGCACGGCAATCCAATCCGACAACGGTCCCGCAGTACCAAGACCAATCAGACCTCCGACGACGAAGGCGAAGTTTGCGTATCCCACACTAGATGGCGGGAAATTATATGGAGGTGCACTTAGGACAGGAGATTCGGTAAGGTTCCAGAATAGAAGGATATTTGCCGGGCCAGCCACATTCAACGCTGCCCACAGGATAATCGGAATGAGAAACAGGCGGAATGGTAGAATGATATCTCTTAGAAGAAAACTTTTCCATTCGGCCTCTGGGGCTTGCCAGAGACGGAATTGAGATTTTGAGGGTCGACCTGTGCCAGTAATGTTGGCGCGTTCGATGTATTCAAGTTGCTCGGACTCAACCTCTTGGCTGCTTTCCTTGATATTTTGAACAGAGCATACGTTTGTGCTAAGCTCCAGTTGTCGAGATGCTGGATCTCTGCGAAAACGGGTTTCGGGGAAGCAGAACAGAATAGTGACGAAGTTGAAGCATGTAAGTGCTAAAGAGAGCCAGAAAAAGCTACGCCAGCCATATCTTTGTTATTTACGTTAGCCTGACACTTCAGACGGGCAAAGTGGCGATGAAGATCATACCTTTGCGCAATATTCCCGGAGATAATTGGCCCAATGAATGTACCCAGGGCATATCCCATACTAACAGGACGTTAGAATAATTTCATAACGACGGTAGGTCAAATACTTGCAAGTAAACACCTGTCCAGAGGCCCTTTTCGTGAAGAAAAAGCATGTCACCAATGACCTGCATTAGCAGCGTCTCACTTGTTGCTGTGGCAATCCCATTAACCACACGCGCAGCAAGAATGCTGTTGTATGAGGAACCCAAAGCTTGCCAAATACAAGACGCCATCCCCAGCAAGCAGAACACAAGACTTGTCAAGCGTCGACCGAATATATTCGAGCAGGGAACAATGAGGAAGTTCGAAAAGCCCAAAGCCATGACACATGCGCCAGTCAGCAGACTCAGTTCCGTATCATCGAGGTGAAATTCGGCAGCAAATAAGGGGAACATGGGTCCCATTGAGAGGGCTGATTCCACAGAAACGAACAAGAAGAGGAATTGAACAGTGATGACTAAATCTGAGTTGTTTAGAGAATTCGTGGTTAGCTTTTTCATGGCTGTTTTTTTTTTTTTTTTTCTGGAAATTGGACTCACATTTATGACTTGCACCAGTTCAAGGGGTCTTTTGAATCGTCTGAAGGGCGAGGGATGAGTCTGTCGCGATAAGTATCCATGTACCAACTTGAGATATATCTTATTAAGCTGACTTACTGAATCTCATGATTCAACGTATTTGACAGAGGATGGCCTTTCCCCTCATTCATTCTATCCGTTCCAGGGACAGAATCCATGTTTACTAAGAACCCCAACGGCATATGGTTATGCTCAACAGGAGAGCCTTCGACGTCGGTGGCCATTTCGCGGATAAATAACAGGTCGGTTGGAAAAGAGTAATGTGCGATCAAGTTGAATCAGCATTAGGCGGCCCCAAGACTATTGAGACAGAGTCTGAATTCCCCAAGTAGCGGATTAGTTTGAATACATATAGGTACCCCGGATATCAAATGGGTACCCCGACTTACCCCAGAGTCCCCCCAGAGTCCCCAGACTTCCAAACCCTGAAGATCTAATGGTCCCACCGACATGTTCCAGCAAATCACCGAAAGGAAATCCAGAGCATTTGATTGACGATGTTGATGATTTGACGGGGTTTGGCCCCACGAAATTGCGGGACCTTGTTAATATTTGCGGGACTTGGCGGATACGAGGTTTGGGGAACTCGGAGACTCGGAGAGTCAAAAATCAAACGCCACCGATAGGCAAGAACTTTTTCTAGGGAAGTGTGTCTTTGTCGTGGGACTATCCGAAACAAAAATAGTAATACGCAGCAGGATTTCACCTGCAGCACGGGAAATCCTCAAGTTCCCCGCCACATTGAATCATGACTGAAGGCCGAAGACGACGCCAGCGAATATGTTCTTGGTGTTCCAAGAGTTTTACAAAGGATGAACACCTGGCACGGCATATTAGGACTCACACCAGGGAGAAGCCATTTGTCTGTGCAATCTGTAGGAAAGCATTCAGTCGTCAGTATGTTATCGTTGCAGATACCCATATGAGAAGTTTTGTTACTGATCAATTCTCCAGTGATTCTCTCCTGCGGCATTCAAGATGTCACCAGCCATCGGGTCTCCTTCACACTGGAACCATGTGTCAATCACTCAATGATAATGAGCGAGTCCATGTGTCTACTAACTCAAACGAAAACCATTCAATGGACGTGCATGAGCCCCCCACACCCCCACACCAACTACCTTCTATTGGGCCAAATTACCCCGGGGTTGTTTCTGATTCGCGATCGGCATCATATTCGTTCTCGACCTCAACACACAATCCACCTTCACTCAGTTTGAATGCCGAGGGTCTGGCTCAGACACATCCACAGGGAGGAATTGTTGGATTCCCAACACCGGGCTCCCAGTCTAATCAAACAGGGCCAGATCCATCATTGGACATTTCCAGCCGAGATGGATCGTGGGATTTTGGCAACTTGAATACCGAGATACCAGCATGGTTTGCAGATGATAATTTTGATCTCACTGCTCTCAATTCAGAGATACTGATGTCGACTGCTCAGTGGCTTCCTCCAGGAACCACTAGTCAGTGGAATCATGAGCCCCTACGCAGCGCTTCTCAACCCTTGGAAGAGATTCTCTCATGTAGTGAAGATCTAGTCCAAAAGAGTTGGTTCACCTTCATGGGCACATTGCGAACAGGACATGTCACACCAGAAACGGGTATAGAGCCGATCCAATTGGATGAAGCCTACCGTGAGAGCTTAGCCGTGAAGCTCCAACCCCATGTGCCATTTCTCCCGCTTCCATCGACAGACTTCTTGGTATGTGGAAGTTTACTCTTGATCAACTTTATTCACAGCTAAAAAAGATTTTAGAACCTTTGTGTTCAAATGTATTTCACCAAGTTCCACCGCGTTTTCCCTATTGTCCATGCTCCAACCTTCCGGCCCTCTTCTAAGAGCTCCCTTCTCTTGCTATCCATTTGCTCTATAGGAAGTCTGTTTGTGGGATCCTCACATGCCGCATCTCAAGGGCTCAAAATCTTTGAAACCCTCAACAAGGCAATATTATCATCAGTCGGTCACACTTGTCAATCTTTGTTGATTATTCAGAGGATTAACCTTTTGCAGTGGGAACGGCACTTCTCGAGGCAAGGGCCCGAGACCATTGCGATGATTCAGGCAGCCCTCATAGGACAGACATTTGGACTACTATCGGGGGTGAGAAATTTTGTGAAAAAGCATTCTTTTTATGAACAGAAAGCTGACAGGTGCAGAGACAGAAAGATCTGCTGATTGCAGAGACGTTTCATGGAACATTGGTTGTGGTAGGTTTTATAGATATTTCACCATTGAAACATACTAATTCAATCTATCCTATTCAGTGGGCTAGGAGAGCAACTGCATTGAAATTAAAAAAAGCATCAGACTGTATAAGCTTAAGTGAGTTATTCGACAGTCCAGAGAAAACCTGGAAGAAGTGGATTCAGGCAGAAGAAAAGAATCGGTAAGTAAAATAGCCAGTAGAATAACTAGTAGGGTCCAACTGCTGAAACCCAACTTCACGGTTACTAGACTACTTGCGGGAATTCAGGTTCATGATGTCGAGATCTCGGAATTGTTTCTCACAGATCCATACCTGCGACATTCGCCAGGAAAGCTACCACCGCTATCCGAGGACAACATTTGGGATGCAAAAACAGTGGAAGATTGGAGCCAACAAATCATGAGTGATTTCCCCGTCTCCAACACTCGTACCCATCAAAGTCTTCAGCAGCCCTTAGGAAGATCATCCGCACATGCCAATCTATCTGCTCCAATTCCAATGAAACATGGGTTTCATACATATCTAGAGCTCGAAGGCCTTGCCGCATCAGCCATCGAAACCAAAGATATGCATGATCAAATGCAACGGGCTTCCTTCGAGAATGTCCTAATAGATTTTCACAAATTGCATATCGGCCTTGACAGAGAACAAACGCCAGATTCGTACTGTCTCTCTGTGCTATGGCATTCAATCTTCTTCTCTTTATATGCCAACATAAATCGACTGGAACTTGTGATTGGCAAAGATGGCTTTGCCGAGGCGCAATGCCACGTGGAATACGTCCGTTCATGGGCCACATCCCCAGATGGACAGTGTTGCGCTCTTCACGCCGCGCTTATACTTCGTGAATTAGAGAAAGGGAATATCGGAACAGAGCCCCCAATGCACATCCCCCGAATCATATTCCGGGCAGCGTTAATCTGGTTTTGCTATACTCGTTTTGGAGAAGGAATTGAAGAGTCACGGCAAACCTTTCAATTTCCTGCATTTCAGAAGATAGGCATCAATTGTCAAAAACTTTTATTCGAGGCCAATGGCTTCAAAGTCCAGCGACCGTTAGCTTCCGAGTCAAGCACACTCTCTGGCTTAGTGGATATATTGTCCAGGGCTGGTCATTGGGGGATTTCGCAGTTGATGTCGTCGATTTTGAATTTTCTACTTCCCGATGTTAAAGATGACGAGAGATATGTACGATGATGATCGTGGGAAGCAATTTCCCGTTACTAGCATGGATGTCCTATGATCATGAATGACCTACCTTGGAACCCTGGAAAATTCCCGTGCAAGTTGAAAATAAGTTCACATGCATAAGTCTTGTTTGAAAGTCAAAGAAAATGGAGATGAATCAATATAATTTTGAAACCTTGGAACATTGAGGAGAGAAAAGACAAGGAGGCAAATAATCAATCAATATACATCAATACTACTAGTATGCTACATATCAAGAATTGGGCTTGCAAGGTTGTCAACCTTGCGCGTCCAGGCTTTGAGAAAAAAAGATCAATTTCAACAAACATTTCAACCCCTGGGTGACAGTTTATCCACGCATATATGCGACAGCTTGGTAAACAATTGTATCGAGCTGGGTAATTTCGTCACAGGCGGCGTAGATAAACCGATCAGGTCGAACCAGAACATATTTGTTCGCTTTGAGCGCCCGTCTCAGGCAGAGCGAATCGTAATACTCTGGCTCAGGTCTCCCCAAACACAATGAAGATTCGGCAAATTCTCTGGCAGTAGCCAGGCGATAAATTGAAGAAGCCCCATTGGCAGTTGTAGCCTTTGTGTCGATTCCAACAGTCTCAATGATATAAGTCACCTCAGAGGCATTGATTTCCTCCTTTGAGAACCCCTGGATGGAAGAAATCGCTTTGGAAGCCATGGCAAGTTCGTCTGTACTCTGCAAATAAACAAGTAATTGCAACATACCTTTCTTTCCTTTTCCAAAGATAATATCATCCGAAAAGAATACTTCACTCGATGCGCAAACCGGCGTTAGGTAGATCTGCGGGAGGCAAATACCCCCATTATGGTCAGGGTTGAAAGGTAACCCAGGTGAGTATTGATACTGAACCAGACCCTCTTTTCTGCGACCAAGTCTGAGGTCACGTCTCCAACTGGGAACAAAGTGCATGAAAAAGAGAGACCAATCGCGAATGAATATTTTGATAGGATTACTCTCCGTCACGAACTCGCCATTGCCGATCGTCGAGGCAAGAGAACGTTCGAGTTCTTGTTTCCTCTCAATGTACCACCCCGACAGGACATCCTCGTGATTGCTCGGCTTGTTCGTGTTTTTTTGTCGACAGAGAAGGACAAGACGCCAGGCTAAGGAGACGGCATCACGGAAACCTGATGCGATTCCCTGACCCCCAACTATAATATATTGTGAGTTTTTGTCTACTAAAAAAGACTTTGAGAATGGAGACAGAACATTGTGTGAAGAAACACTGGGAAAAGCAAAGAGAGAAACTGACACGGTGGAAAGACATGTGCTGCATCGCCACACAGAACAACACGACCGTGTGACCATTTATTGCAACTCCGTGCGGAAAAGCGGAAGGGTCTTGATCGAAGAACGTGGATACATTCTTCAGGGAACTGCACGTCCTGTGTTAATCTGTAAGCTGTTAGTATCTGTGCTCTCTGTCCTCTCCTCTTTCTGGTAATAGGGTTTGTAGCTTACCCATATCGACTGCCACTGTGAGTGATATATGGAAAAACGACTTTCTGGATGTTCTCTTTTTTGGACATTTGGTCTCCATCTTCTCCAGCACGAACCACAAACTCAAAGCGCCAAAGCCTGTCGGACGGCAATCCAAACCGACCACATACAGCCGGTCTGTCTGGATTGCAGATAAAACGGAAGTTTTCTGGGAAGAAGAGGTCGTAGACCTGTTGAGGGGTGTACCCCAGTTTCCATAGCGGGAACTCAGGGTGAGTTTTTTCTGTTGGTAGCGAAATTTCCCAATTTAATGCTACCCAAGTCTCATCATAAAAAGATCTTTGAATTGGTCAATATCCACACACTAGGGATCTTAAAATGTTGCATGACTTACTGATGTGCTTGTTCCATGTGAACACCCAAAGGTTCGAGGAAGTTCTTCCTGGTAAAGCCAGTCTTCCCATCGGCACCAACTAGGAAGCGAGACTTCAGATTGCGTGTGTTTCCTTCTGCATCGAGGTAGCGGGAATATACATATTCTCCTTCCTCGCGGATATCTACAATGGTGGAGCTAGTCTTGAGCTGACAGAAGCCTGATGAAGTCATTGCAAACCTAATATGTTTCTCAAGGATTGGTTGTTTGTGGCAGATGAACCCTATGTGGCCAGTGCCGCCTTCAGTCTGTATTAAAAGAAAAACATAAGAATGTGAGCAGTGAAAAGAAAAAAAATGAAAGAAGCTCAATGATATACGAACCGTTCCGTAATCCATCTCCAGAAAGGCTTTCTTGTCAAGGACTTTGTCCGTTCCCCCAAGAAACTTGAATTTACGCATGCCTGATATCTCATTTAGTAATAGGACACAGTACGCAATTCTTCATGGGCAAAATTCTCACATGTCCCAATTTCCGAATAAATCTTATCATATATGCCAATTCCCTGCAACATCCGAATCCCATCCTCATCTAACGCGATACCTCGAGGATCTGTGGTGATTTCAGGCTCTTTTTCAATCACCACGTGTGAGAGCGACATTTGGCCAAGATAGGCAGACAGCATGGCCCCAGTTGGGCCACAGCCAACAATAACGACATCGGTAGTCTCGTACTTGATGTCAGTCATGACACCGTTGGGGAGATTTGAATCTTATGATTGAACAAAGAGAGTTGAAAAATAGCACCAACATAAATTCTGACGGGTGGGTGTCGCATTAAAAGAGTTGATCTAGGGCACTTGGTCCCCCTGTATTAGTCATGGTTTCAGTTTCCTTATGTCGGTGGGAATTTCCGTCTGTCTCCTCATGCCGAATCATGCAACCTTTAATCCGTATCTCCGCATCATCCGCCTCTCCATGGTCTTCCGAAGACTGGGGTAGGTCCCGCTGTGGTGAAGTTGGGGGGGTTGTGGGGAAGAAATATGGGGCTGAGTGAGCGGGACCTTCAATTTTGGTGGGGACGAATGCTTAACACTGCTGCGGGCCTCAGAGTGTAACTCATATCGACGCGTAGGAAAATATAAGGGAATAACATAAATCAATCTGGATTTGACTCTTAACACTGGCTAAATCACAGCAGAACGAACCAACATGGTATGTTTAGCTATACTTGTTTTCTCTTTCTTTTCTTGTCAACTGCATCGTTGACTCTTTTGATTCAGACAATCCAAGCAAACCAAGGCGCCTCTATCGAGGATATCATCGCAATCGGACCCGAGTCGGAAAGTGTACAGAAATGGCGTCAGAGATGCGGCATAGAATCCAGTCTGCAGATTCGCCTAGTCAAATTGGCACACATGCGTTACCAGCACCCCGATCTGAACGAAATCACCATTTTCCTTGAAGGTAAAGCTATTTATGTTTTAGTTCTGCAAGCCAAGTTGATTCATTTCCACTTACATGCTCGATTTCTGTAGATTTTGGTATGACCATTGCAAAGAGAACCGATGATGAAATCTGGTACCGAGGATATGGAGTAGACCCTTACGTCTACTATGCGAAGAAGGGACCTAAGAAGTTCCTCGGTGGGGCCTTTCTGGTAGAATCATACCAGGATCTGGAGAAGTAGGTTACGTGATTAAGATAGTTGAGTGAGAAAAGTCCGCCGCTGATCATTCTCTCTAGGGCCACACAGCTACCAACGGCGGGCGAGATTGAAGAGTTGACGAATGCCCCTGGTGGAGGTCACATGGTGACCTTGACTGATCCTGAAGGATTTGCAATGAATCTGTTCTATGGACAAGCATCTGCCGTTCCCGGTATATATCCTGAAAAGCTCGAAATCAACTTTGAGACCGACAAACCAAGAGTCCGCAGATTTCAGCGATTCAAACCTGGTCCTGCAGCCGTTCATAAGGTGAGCTGATATTCCATCTCTGGATTTGAGAGTTGAAAATAACTGATTATTCCAGCTCGGTCACTACGGCGTCTGTACCACTCAATTTGAAGCCTTGGTTAAATTCTACACCAAAAACTTCAACATCGTTCCAACCGACTTCCTCTATATCGAGGTGGATGGGAAGAAAAAGAATGTCGCCCTATTTGCCCACATCGATCGAGGTAACGAGAATGTTGACCACCATTCATTCTTCATGAGTTCAAATCCTACAACCCATGTGCACCATTGTTCATTTGAGGTTCACGACTTTGACACCCAGAAGCTGGGCCATCAGTGGCTTGCAAAGAAAGATTATAAATCTGTTTGGGGCGTGGGTCGCCATATTCTGGGTAGCCAGATTTTTGACTATTGGTGGGACACTACAGGAAACATGATTGAGCATTACGCCGATGGAGACTTGGTGAATGATCAGACACCGATAGGCTATGGTCCTGCGGGTGATGAGTCTTTGGCTGTTTGGGGGCCCGAGGTGCCATCTTGGTTCTTGAAGTGATCAACTGTGTATTTAGAAGGCTTTTGTCGATACTCATCAGACCTAACAAGAGTTATTGATTCGAATCCGTGGATGTCACTTTCATATTCACACATTCATAAATTTGCATTTTCCTCTTTTATTTTCTGAATTTGAGATTTCGTTCCCAATATTTGCATCTTTTTTTGCTTGCCTAGGTGCTCCTAAAATTGTGGCTACAAACCATTAGACATCAAAGGCTCCTAGCCTACGCGATAGACCATTTGTACGTGACATCTGGAGGTATCAATTTAAATTTACTAATGTTCCACCATTTGAGGGTTCATCCATGTATTCGACCTGTGCACCTACTTAGTGACCCTTGGAAGGCTTTGAAGAAGGTTGGAAAGGGTTGAAGATTTCGTTCCAAGGTGTTATCACAAGTAAAGAATTCTCAACTCATCACGAGGTCCCGACATCGGAGATCAAGTCCAGAAAAGGCCCAGCGAGATCTACATGTATACATTGGGTATATTCCTATGAATGCCCTCGGGGCTCAATTTATGGAGCGATGGGTTTGAAAGTAGGAGGAACAGCCCCGGCGAGAGACCAACAAGTTTGATGAGAAGGTTTCTTTATTCATGTCAACCTGTATAAACTATGCAAAGACTCGAATAAAGAGTACTGTCTAAAGTCTAACAAGTATCATAGCGAACTTTGTTAATGAGAGTGCCAATCTGATCAATTTTCACGGAGATCTCATCGCCATCATTCAGGACCACTCTTGGCTCGCGGAAATATCCAATTCCAGCCGGAGTTCCGGTCAAGAACAGGGTGCCGGCTTCAAGTGTGGTTCCACTAGAGAGATATGAGATTTGCTTCTTGATGTTGAAGATCATGTCCTTGGTATGCCCGTCCTGGACAATGGTGCCATTGTGGATGGCCTGAATTGACAAGGCCTGAGGGTCTTTGATCGCTGATGGGGCTACGAGAACGGGTCCTGTTGATGCGATCCATGTCAGTAACTGGAACCATGAAAGGAGCCATGCAGTGCTTACCAATGGGACAGCTTCCATCCAGACCTTTGGAGAAAGACCATTGTGGAGTTGTCATCTGCAGAACGCGGGCGGACACATCATTGGATGCAGTATAGCCCAACACGTAATCCAAGGCTTCCTCTTCCGGAATGTCTCTGCCAGTCTTGCCAATGATCAAACACAGCTCGGCTTCGTAGTCACTGCTGCCATCCTGGGCACACTTTGGGATATTGATGGCGGCAGGGTAGGGGCCTGCGAGGGCAGTACGGGGTTTGGTGAAGAGAATCGGTGCTTTGGGGATGGGAAGATTGGCTTCTTGTGCGTGGTCCATGTAGTTAAGACCCAGGCACCGGATGTAGCTACATTGCTCAGCCGTCACGGGCGCAAGGAGCTGAAATTGTTCCGTTGTCAGCCAGAAGATCAATGGTTGGACTTCCATTCAACATAACATCAATGGATATCCAGCACATACTTGTTTCACATGCAAGATCTCCTCCGTAACCCGACCATCAAAGATAGTACCTTGGATGAGCTTAACGGCAATCTTCACGCCATCCACACTATCGCGTCCAACATCACGGGTCGTATTGACCAATTGGCCGAGATGAATCTGGTTGTCCTCGACAGCAACGAAACGAACGAGATGAGTCCAGGCAGGCATTTTGAATAATATGAAAGGCTGATTGAATAAGATCGTCAAGGAAGGGGAAAATCGAAGGGGATCGGAGCTTCAAATAGCCCCGATACTTGTGGACACCCGATTGCGGACATGAATCGGAACTCTTGGGGTATGGGAGGAGAGGGGCGTGGCATCGGGAGTCGGGAGTTGTGTGGGGCGTGGCCGCGTGGGGATTGCGGGATTGCGGGACTGTGACATGTTCAAATGTTAGTTTGGAGATGCGGGACGTTATTGGTATTCCTCAAGGCGGACCTCATGAATCAATACTGGGGAACCTTCAAGGAGGGTCAAAGAGAGAAGGGACAAGGAAAATTCAATGTTTCCAAACATCAAGGGTGAGGAAGAAGCAGGAGTCAATGAAAGGCACTGGCATTACTCCGCACGTGCGTACAGTAGATCTCACATGCATTATTACCATAAATCCGACATGCGAACCAGGCTTCCGTAGGTCCCACTTGTAAGTTGTAAACATCAATTTCTGATTCAGATATTTCTAGCGTTTTACTTCAAATTTTGTCTACTTGCATCCATGTATTTTTGATCCAGGTTTAAACACTTGTCTCTTTCTCGATCGGCGCCTGCGGTGGCTGAGCGGTTGGTGCAAACTTGGACTTCTTCCTCAAGGTTGGTCCAAACTTCATGAATGCCAAAGGTATAGGAACCATGATAAGTGCAAGACATCCAAGAAGCGTGCCAGCCCATTGTACACCCAGGTTCTTGAACATCTGCTTCGCAAACAGCGGGAATGTGGCTCCAACGGCGGATCGCATGATAGTGTTAGCAGCGAATACCGAGGCAGCACTGGTAAACACATTAGATCAAAACATGGAATGATAGCCAGGGGAACATACAAAGTGAGGTAAGAATCAATCAGATAGTTGAAGCACTGGAGGAAGATCACAAAGATACCAAACCCAGTAACGACTCCACTGGCCGTCGGGGCCATCCAATGAATGGATTTCGTCCACCCTGTCCAGCCAAACCAGAACAACCCGACGGTAAAGCAGATTCCGCCAAGAATAGAGGGGGGAAGTCTCCATTCAGGAATCGGAACGTCATTATTGTCTTCCAATTTCTTGGCGTACGCCCTCTGGTCATAAAGAATGTATGTGCCGGCCAGGAACTCGCCGATGATCAAGCCTATAAATGGAAGACTGCCAACTCCAAGGCTCATGCCATGGATCTCCTGGAAGACCACTGGGTATGCACCGAGTAGTGCATACATCAAACCGTATACAAAACTCATCCACAATGAGATCTGCAAAGAAAAAAAACGTCAGTCCAGTCGATTTGGAAGAAACAGACGAAGGGACTCTTACAAGAAACACGATTGGCTCAGTAAACAACATGCGGAACGGCCGACTGAAGTTATTCGTAATGAGCTCTCCCCAATCCAATTCAACCTGTTCCTGTCTAGCTCGAATGCCCCAGTTATGAGTCTGTCTGCGCAAAGTGATAGCCTTCTCCACAAGCACAGCAGGCGCATACGTCTCCTTCAAGAAAACGAGGCAAAGGCCCACTGCAAAGAATCCCATGAAACTCGAAATGTACATAGTCCATCTCCAACCAAGATAAGACGAAGTAATAAATCCTCCAACAAAGGGCGAAGCGAACGGACCCACAAACACAGCCATTGCAAATATAGCAATACCCACGCCACGAGTCTTGTTATTCCAAATGTCCGCGTAAACAGCAGGCACAATAGCAATGGGACTCGCAGAAAAAAACCCAGCAAAGAAACGCGTCAGCATAAGGGTCTGCACATCCTTACTTGTGGCCGTTGCTATTGTGAAAATCGAGTACCCAAACATTCCCACGATGATGGGCCATTTTCTTCCGATCAGCTCCGAGGCTGGAGCCCATACTGTTGGACCGCTGGCGAAGCCTAGGACGTAAAGGGTGACGCCTAGAATGGCGACTTCGGTACTGATGTGGAAGTTTTTGGAGACCGCGGTCGCAGCCGAGGAGTAAATAGCACTGGCAAACGATGAGGTAAAGGTTGTATAGGCCAAGATGACAGAGATGGTGATTTTCCTTCCAAGTGACCAGTTTTGCGGGTGCAATGAATCGTTTGAGTCGGTGAACTCAACGACGAATTGTTCTGGGTCGGGAAGCTTAGGTGGGTAGTCTTTTCCTGCACCCATTGGTATCCACTTCTCGCGTGGTGTGATGCCCACGCCGGAGCCTACCGTTGATCGGTGCTGAAGTCGGTACGTGTTAATTCGTTCGAGTTCGACATTGTTGAGATTGGTGGGTCGGCGACTAAGTGTGTCTGGAAGAATAGGCTGGAGCTGTGATGATCGGCGATCCGTACCCGTTGGAACTGTAGCCAAGTTATTGCTACCCTCAGAAGCAGAGCTGTCGAGGGGACTTGGGGAGGTTGAATGCTCCATAATGTTGAGTAATCTACCTGAGGCGTGATGGGAAGGTTATGTCCCATCAGGAAGACGTTTAGTTTTGTTTATAATGTTTTTGCTTGAATGCTTATGATTTTCCCTTTGGGTTTTTCCCTACAGCGTCATGAATCATTACTCACTTTATGTAGCCGCTTGTTCCGAGGAAGCGCGGAACCAAGGAGCGTGTTTCCTCTTAAGGGAACTTGACTTTAAATACTAACAAGTGGTATCGGAGAGTCTTTCTGTTTGAGGATAATTTGAGAATTTAATAGATTTAATATTAAGCGCTTTGATAAATACTACGAATGTTTCATCAGGCAAAGTGTTGCCTTTGTCACATTCAATGTTACTATTATGTACTAGTAGACTTTTATACAACTAGTAGATCCTATTAAGGGACTTTTGTCACTGGCACATGTTGCTGGAAATAAATCCGGGCTCTAGAAATTCACCAATAACAAATCATCAAATCATACTAGTAGGCTCTCTCCGCTATGACCTATTTCACCCCTCCATTTCACGACTTCGAGTTGATTTCTACTAGTATCCATTTTATCCCGGTATTGTGACTTATATCTATCACTATGCCGCCATTTTACAAGATTGCCGTTATACAACTCTATGTCAAAGTAAGATCATATCCTTGCTCTCAAAGATTCGAAACACACGAAACCGCCATATCATCATCGCATGGATCTCATCAACATGTTTTTAGCCCCTCAAGCCCGAGGACAACTTTGTCCGCGCCGTGAACTTCATTCGTGAGGCTGCGGCGCAAGGCTGTCAGTTGGCTGTCCTGCCTGAATTCCATTTGACAAATTGGATTCCGACCGACCCACGTTTTGCTTCCATATGTGAGGGCTGGGAGGTCTATCTGCATCGATATCAGACTGTTGCTAGAGAATGTAACATCTGCATCGTTCCTGGGTCTATCGTTCGACCTATTTCACCATCTTCAGCCGATACCACGGTGTTCAACAAGTTCGACCAGAAGCCCCCGACACCCGTGTTAGAAAACGCAACTTTTTTCATTTCCAACACGGGGGAGATCCTAGGTTCTTATGTAAAAAAGAATCTATGGGGTCCAACCGAACGAGCCTATCTTCGATCTTCTGGCAATAGCCCCCATTGTGTCATACAAACCCCCCTAGGTCCCGTAGGTCTGCTTGTCTGCTGGGACTTAGCTTTCCCTGAGGCATGGCGGGAGCTGACGTCTAACGGTGCCAAAATCATCATCATACCCACTATGTGGACACCAAATGGTGCTTCGGAGGCTGGCCGTCGTCAAAATCCTTCCGCCCCGTCCCTCTTCTTGGATAGTATTCTGACAGCACGCGCCTTCGAAAATACTTGTGCGGTGGTGTTTGCCAATGCTGGCGGACCGCCTGGAAGAAACTATTGCGGCCTATCCCAAATCACCATTCCGTATGCTGGTCCCCTGGTCCGTCTCGGGACTTCAACCGAAGGAATGGCAGTAGCCACCCTGGATATGGGAGTCCTGGAGGAGGCCGAAGAGAATTACGGAATCCGGGCAGATATGGCTGACACTGCTTGGTCGTATAAGCATACACAAAGGGCTGCAGCAAAATATCTTGTTGAAGGAAAGTTGTAGATAATGTGATTGTTGATTGTCCATATATGAATCATGATCAAATTATAGAACATGGCCATTCCTACACCCAGCCTCGAGCTGTGCTTCCAACCAATTTATGAAGAGTCATCTTCATCATAATAATTATGGTACATAAGTTTCGAGTTTAATTTCCAGTTGTCTACGGTAATCTTAACCGTATATAAGTTATTGATGGCTATGTTTCATTTCATTTGAATTAACCAACCACATGTGCAGGACTAGTACTATAGCTACATATCTCGTTATCTTGTCATAAATATTTTATGTACATTATTGACATCCAGAATTCAACCCAGAATTTTGCAAGGAAAAATACCTCACGATACTCCCGTCATAAAGTCGTCTGAAATAGTTTCATAACGTACTGCTCCTCCGTACATCATATCTTCGATCATACCTAAGATGGCCTTGTGTAAATAGCTTTCCTTTAAGCTCTCGAGATGAGCCTCAGTCTCCTCCAGAGTCAAGATTTCCACACGTGGGGCAACCGGGGCAACCGTATCAGAGCTCCATATTATCCTCTGCTGCAAGAATTCAAATACCTTTAAATATGGCAAAGCATCACTCCATTGATCGGTAAAGCAAGTTAAGCTTTTTGTGCAAGCCTCAATTGCCTCGGGGGAATTGTAAGTTCGGCTTTGTTGTAGGTACGAACTGTCCGCTATCGGTCTCGTCGCCCAAATCAGATATAGAAGCATGATACCAGCCCTAAATTGGTACACGAGCTACATATTTGAAGATTAGAAAGATTGAACCCGGCAACGGAAAACAAGAAAAGACATTTGGAAGAACTTGAGATACTCACAGCAGACCAGGTAAAGCACAACACGTGTCCTTCTTCCTGTAAATATCGGTACTTGATACACACTTCCACGACGGCGGCAAAGATCTCTTCTGTTCCTTCATGATCCAAGAAGTTATGCTTGTCCTCCAACAAAATTAAGATGCTGTAGTCATACAGCTTTGCCATCCAACTTGGATGATAGTAGCCACATGAAACATTTGCTGTTCCATATCGAGGAATATCTTGCCTCCATATATCAAGTGCAGACTTGAGGGAATGGCTGAGAGCATCTTTTTGGTCGGAGAATTGCCACCGGGATCTTTCAAGTGATCTTCTAATATTTGCTTGGATTTTTCGCAATCGGAACAGATGACTTAGTGCAGGGTTTGTATTGACAGGGGGTTGAATTATATCTCCCAGGGTACGCATCTAATAAGATCAAGTGTCAGTGGGTCGGTTTTTGGAAATCGATAAGGGAGGGGTGGGTGAAACATGTAAAAGAATTAGATACCAAAATGATTAGAGAAAACAAACACTCACATCATCTTCGACCGCCTTGTATGCATCAGATACTGGTCTATCCCATCCGGATGCAATTATCACATTTAACATGTAGCAAGCAATGAACATGTTCTCTGTCAAAACCTCCCCCGAAGTGGCAGTAACCTCTCCATCGGGACTGGCTCGTGCGTATTTACGAATCTCCGTCATTGCTGCCGTACAGAATGGTACAATTGAAGCCACACTGGTAGCAATCTCATTCGATGATGACGAATGCAACGCGTAAACGACCAGAAGGAGTGAGGCTTGGACTTGTAAGACCATTGATGGATGACCCACAACATGTGGATAATAATTCATCGCAGATGCGTAAAGTTCCTTGGATCGTACAGAATGTGCCGGGTCTCGACGCATGATGCTACACAGTGATGCACCAATAGCATAGACCATGCGCAGGAAAAAGGTCCGCCATTCTTCTCGCCCATCCGTATGATCATCCTTTTGCCATATCTTCCAGGTGTTCTCGTTGAGAAAGGGCCATTCACGGTGGGATATTGAAAAATAGATGTTCGTATAAAGCTCGGTTAGCCACGGAGAATCGTCACCGATCAGTGGGTACACAGGGCTATTATCGAGGCGTAGGAAATTCAGGGTTTCTTCATTCAAGGAGAATGTGTCTGTAAATGAAAGCTGTGAAATAGAAGGAGGCCTGGATATCCGGTCCTGATACTGTGTTGGAGCAAATAATACAAGCGTACTGTCATCCGACATCAAGTCCGGTTTCCAATCCAGTGATTTCTCTTGATCGTTCCATGGCGTGCATAGGTTGACAGGTATATCATCATCCACTGTAACCGAGTCTGTCTGGACACCTACGTCCCGCATTTCGACTTTTGTATCCTTTCCACGAGATCGACTCTCCAGTTCAGCCACTGTCCTCTCCAACTCTTTCAAGTAGGTTAGTGGGACTGTAATATTGTCCCCGGATCGACGAGATCGGGCCGGTAAACACTCTGCGCCTTTACGGCGACATTCGCCACAGGTAGGTTTTGCATGGTCGCATTTCCGTTTCAAACGAAAACAACGAGCGCAAGCGGTGTCTCTTTGTTTCAATGGACGCGACATGCGGGAGTTGGAGAAGGAGAGTGGGGGGGAAGAAGCGGAGAACATTAAAAAGGTCTGATATGTATTGATAAGAAGGTTTCCCGGCTCCACTTGGATTGCATCTCCAGTTACTTATGATAGGCTCGCATCAATAAATTGCAAATTTGGTTTATCTTTCTTTTTAGTCAGGGATGATAAGTTGATTGGAATAGTCTCGTATGAAATGTTGTTGATATCAATGGTGAAGATTCTAATCAAAATAAAAATAAAAGCTATATAATAATCGTAGAGGGGGTATCACAAGGAACTTTGGTGAGCACTCAGAAAGAGTACTAGTAGTTCGTAATTATGCAGAATTTTGGTGAAATGTCAGGCTGTTGTAGAGGGGGAATGGGAGGAAATAGAAATGGTTCTTGGTGTTCGGGTGTTTTCATGCCTATAAGTCCCGAGTCCATTTTCCCGTCATGCAATCATATCCGATCGTTTTGGGCTCGATGTGAAGTGTCTTGAGCATGAATCTCATTGTAAACTCCTGCTGGTGTCTAGTCAGCTCATGTCCATAGATCAACAGTGATTATTTCAACCAAAGCTAACCTCGTCGCGTGTCTCTTCATCTTCTGCACTCGGCTCACTCCTCTGGTCTGGCTCATGTTGAACCTGTGAATCATCCTCATCCCATCGAACGGCATCACGTTTGCTGCGCTCCATCCAAGCTGCCATTCCGCCCATTCGAACCACGCGTTCTTGAGAATTAGCAAATACTTCCTCCGCTGCGTCCTGACCGGCACGACGCCATTTGATTATCAATGCTTCCAGCTCGGTATCTTTATCAGAAGCTTCAATTCGAAGTGCTTGCCGTATCGTGTCGTGGTCAGCCTTGAGGGTGATAATCCGGGATTGAAGCGAGAGTTGCTGCCTTTGTAAGTCTAAAAGCGCTGGGTCGGCTGGAGATCGTATGGGTGTAGTCAGACCAGACCCCGGTATGTTTTTACGGCGAGCCACCGATGATAACCTCGGCGTAGGTGTAGCTTGGTCCAACAGTTGACTGGAGTTGTCTGGGGAGGCTGGTTGAGTTTCATGCTGAGTGGCTGGGTGTGACGTCAAAGGTGTCAAATTGGATGATTCCGTGGGAGGTCTGCGAAGTGGTGATTTGAATGGCTTTGAAAGTGTGGCAGTCGCGTCAAGGCGACGACGCTTACGGGGATTGTGATCATCTGTCATAGTTTGAAAGCTTGAAAAAGTTGTGGATAATTTACGAGAGCAAAAAAAAAATTAACGAAAGAGAAAGAAAAACAAAGAGAGATAAAGTTGCTTATCGATAAGAAGTTGAATTATCGCTAGTAAATGCGGAGTATACACAATCAATGGCCCACACCACCAACTACCCACTGCCTAAATTCAGGGTCTTCAGGCCGCGGGAATAGACCTCGGTCATTTCCTGCATTGCCATTGACATTTGCATTCACATTGCCATTGCCATTCGCTTGGTTCGCAGCATTCTGGTTCTGCCTATTCCGTTGTTGCTGCTGTCGAATATAAACTAGGACAAGCAAAGTTGCCGCTAACCCAACGATGAGGAGACCCTCAAGTATGCTTTCATCAATGTCAAACTCAAGGTCATCATAATAACCGTCATCATGGTCGGATTCTAAACCACGAGTTCCCATGAAGTCTTCATCTTCGGCGTGAGCCTCGTAGAGCTCTTGATAATAGGCAGCTTCATCGTTTTCAATGAACGCGGAGAGCCATTCTTTAAAGGTGCGACGGGGTTTGGCTTCTAATAATGAGGTTAGTGGAAATCACAAATAAAAAAGTAGGGAAAGGGGAAGGCTTGTGCTCTCTCTCTCTCACCTTCATCATCGCGAATGGGATTGATGTCTCCGTTGGTAATGCGGTTCCAATAACCGCGAGCTCGCAGCTTCAGCAGACTAAGTTTTACAGGCAGGTAGGCTTCCTTGTTGGTCTCCAAGGCCAGATCATAGTACCGCTTGGCCATGTGGAAATCTTGCGCCACGGCCACTCCGTTTTCATGCATCCATCCCAGATTCCAATACGCCTGTGCACTGTGGTGAGCATCTGCCGCATTGTGATAGCAAGTAGATGCTTTTTCGGCATCCGAGATAGCACCAGTGCCAGCAAGGTAGTAATCTCCCATTTTGATTAAAGAATCGATATTTGCTTGCTTGGCAGATCGGGTCCAGTAGATTAATGCGAGTGCAGTATTTCGTAGTAAAGAGGACGGAGTTTGGCGAATCCAAGGTAGGATGGTATCCAGAGGAAGCAAGGACCGATGTTCATCAAGGAGATAAGCCACATTAGCTTGAGCATTCTCATATCCCTGCTCGGCGGCCATCATTGTTGAAACCAAAGCAGTCTCCTTGTCACCAGACTCGTAGGCCGCGTTGGATTCTGCAATAGCAGAGTGCATGATTTCTGCCTTTTCAGCAACCATCTTGTAGTATGCAGAAGCCACGCCGCAGTGTCTCTGTCTTCCAATGCCAAAGTTGGCCATCTCGGCGAGGTAGTAATAGGCCTCCATCCAGCCATGTCGGGCTGCGATGTCAAAGTAGCGTGCCGCAGTATTCACGTCGCCTTGGTCTAGAAACAACGCACCCAGTTGCGTTTCGGCAGCCGGGTAGTCCTGCTCCGCTGCCGCTTTGAAGTATTCAGAAGCCTTCCAGGCATCTTGGGGGACACCATAACCGTGAAGATACATCAATCCCAGTTGATACTCGCAGAGATCATCGCCATTCACCAAGCCTCGTTTAAACCAGGCCAGTGCATGGGTAAAATCTTGCTTGACACCTTCTCCACGAAGGTACATCAGACCAATATGCCCTGCCGCTTTAGCGGCCACCTTGTCGAGTCCAGCCGGAGGGTTCTGCACAATAGACCAATCCTTTTTCCAGTATTTTGCGGTGATGACTCTGAAATATCTCATGGCTTTGGTGAAATTGCGAGGCAGGCCACGAGCACCCTCGTAATACATCTTTCCAAGGGAGAAGGTCGCCGACAGTTGGCCCTTACGGGACATGAGATCTAAGAACTCGATAACATCATCCACACTAGACTCTTGAGTGGCTTTGTTGTGGTCCTTGGCGTTGAGGCCGGAACTTGACACACTAGCTCCCTCTCCATATACGCCTCCCTCCTCATCTGCCCAACGATAAGACTCTCTGATCATGGCGTGGCCGCCCGGTGGACCGGACTTCTTGTAGGCCATCGCCTTATCAGCGACTCGCTTGTAATAAGCAACAGCGTGCTCGCAATCTTTGGGGGTTCCAATGCCGGTGTGGTATCGATACGCCAGCGTCATCTCCGACCGTGTATTTCCTCCCTCCGCGGCGAACTCATGGTACATCAACGCCTTTGCTTGATCGCGCTCAACGGCATTACCAATCCCTGTCGCATACATGAATCCAAGCATGGACTGGGCCGTGCTGTTGCCTTCGAGCCATGCCAAGTCACTGTACCACAGGAAAGCTTCGCTGAAGTTGCGCGGATGAGTGAAGTTGCCATAAAAATTCATCTCCGCAAGAAGAAAGATGGCATCTGGGTCCTCATCCTCATCGGCTGCTCCTTTCAGTTCCTCCACAGCTCGTGCAACGGTCGGGTTTATCTTCCGATCGGCCTTTCCAGTGACAGATGGACCATTCATAAACAGTATCCGAAAGGCTTCGCGGCCGTAGTGTAAGGTGTAGCCGAGTAAACCATTAGGCTTATCGGTCTGAGAAACAGCGGGTTCGATCTTTCGAAGAGTATCCCAGGCATCCTGAACTCTTGCTGTGAGAAGAAATGAGGTTTACATTAGCATATGGGGTGAGCTTCATCTACAACCACCTCACGCGACAATAATCCGGGGTGCTGCTCACGGCTGATGGCTCGAGGCTCTGTCTCTGCGGACGCAAATAGAAATTCCGGGTGTTCGGAATCACTGGTAATGGTGCTCGATGAAACATCCGCTAAAGGCGCTTGAGTTGACCCTGCTGCGCATGCGTGTAATAGCACTATTAGGCCGATAGAAAGAGAGAGGTCAGCAATGTAAAAAGGGAACCTTTTAGGAGGAGAAAAAAAAGAGAGGGAACTTACGCAGGGTCGGCAGTAAACCAGGAAAAGGCGACCTCATTATTGCAAGGAAATGTAGAATATGAAGAAGAGTCGCATTGCGACTCTTTAAATTGGGGGGAGGGGAGAGAGCGGTGATGTAGTTCCAACGGGCCACTTGGCTTTGACGGAGCTTGGTTTGACCGATTGCGAATCAGCGCTTATCTGCAACCAACTGTACAATTTAGTACCTTCAAGTTAGTAAAGTGCCATCTGCTACTAGTATGTGTATACCCTGCTAGATTCTACTACTCATCACATTATAACGAATTTAAATGAATTTGAAAAACAACCTTAGAACTCATTAAATTCTTTTTTTATTCAACTCCCCGGGGTCTGTGTACAGCAGGGGCAAGAAAAATTTCAAATCAGATACACAAGTCCGAGTGCGCTCTTCATGCAAGTAAGAGAAATAGAGAGAGAAAAAAGCATTCATCTGACCCTGAGCAAACCAGACGAAAGCCTTGAGAACCCAGCTAAGTAGAGTACCCTTGATAGGGATGCTCAAAGCAAGCAGTCTGAGCATTTCCTCCAGAAGCCATCCAGGGTCACTCCGTCAGAGAACTGAAGTGGAGCAGAAGTCATTCACAATTTCGACGAAAACGCACTGAAGCTTGGAACTAGATCATCTTGAGAAGGGGGTAAAAGGGGGAAGAGGGGGAAAAAATGTAAAAAATAAAATGATGTAAAAGCCAAACGGCTTCGAACGTTGCTAAGAAAACAGATACAGGTTAAAAGGGGGTAAAAAAAAGCCACTGAAGATCGTGAAAAATTGGAAAAACAAAATGACTATCTTTCCCCATGATGTCATATGCGAGATGTTTCTTTTTGTGATTTATTTGAATTGTTTGTTGATACAATGGCACACCACGAGGCCTGGTTGGGCGAACCGTGTCTGTCCAAACTTCACTGGCGCGGAGACCTGATGTTGTGACATGTTAGCCAAGAACAAGAAAATTTCCTTGAATTTGAGGGGAGGTGGGTGGGTAAGGGGGTTGAAATAACGTACGTAGGGCTGTAAGCTGGGGAAGTAGGGCTATAGCCGGGAGAAGTAGGCGACGTCGGCGATCCACCAAAGTTAGGAGACGTAGGTGAATATGACTGAGGACTCGTGGGAGACCAGCCAGGAGATGTGGGAGTGTACTTGGGAGATGTAGGAGATGTGGGTGATAGGTGCCGACCACCACCAAGCGCAGGGCTGGTAGGGCTGTAGCTAGGAGAGGTCGGGCTAAAGGCTGGCGAGGCCGGACTGAAACTCGGAGACGTAGGGCTATAATTTGGAGACGTGGGTGAAAATCCAGGCGAAGTTGGCGAGTATGAAGGCGACGTAGGAGAGGCCTGGCCATAAGCCGGTGACGTCGGAGAGTAAGCAGGAGAAGTCGGGGCGAAAGACGGACTCGTGGCGGGTGAGAATCCAGGAGAAGTCATCGACATACTCATGGCAGGCGACGTGGGAGAATAGCTCGATGTCGGGGAGTATCCGGGGGATGTGGGACTGGTATTGAAGGGACTAGTGGGAGAGTAGGCACCGGGGCTGCGTGCACCAGGGCTGAAACCACCAATTCCATAATCGTTGGGCTTGTATTGGCTGAAGCCACCGGGGGTCTCGGCACCAGGTTGACGAATAGGCGAGAAGCTCGCATCTGGATCGCCATCTGCTAAGTAAGGAGAGCTGGCCATGGGTGATCCAGTGTCGTACTGAGTGGCAGCTCCATCGGGGATGATGGCATCCTTGGCACCGACACCGCCCATAAGTCCAAAGCGAGCATTGTTGGATACAACCGTATTCAGAAGGTTCTGATCCAGGTAAACATCAAACTCACCCGTTCCAGCGGGAGCCATCTGTCCAAGAATCAGGTTCTCTGAAACACCGCGGCAGTCATCAAGCTCTCCGAAGGCAGCGGCCTCCAGAAGAATCTCGACAGTCTCTTCGAAGGAACAGCGCATCAGTGCACCGTTATCGGCACGGTTAATACCGTGACGAGTAACGGGGGTCAGATAACCACGGACAGTCATAACATCAACTAAGAGGGCCAAGTGACGATGATTGACATAGGAACCGTCAAAAGCCAACACCTGAGTCAATTCGCGAAGGAGAGCAGTACGAGCGGCCTCGATACCGAAGACTTCGAAAATCTCAATGAACTGGTTAGAGTAGGTACGCGTAGCATCAACACCGGGGATCGCAAGAACAGGTGCAAGAGCGGAGCCACTGGTCTCAAGAACCCACTCCTTGCAGAGGGGATCTGACTTGCTTGTGAACAAAGTACCATCCTCGAGGACTCGAACAATGGTCTTCTCATTGATGAACGCACGTTCTACGCCGGGAACACCACGCAAGGTCAAAGTATCGAGAAGGTGCTGCTCAAGCTTCTTCAAGGTCACATCGTACTCAACATCGTCATCTTCATCATCCTTGTGATCCTGGATTTGACGGATACGAATGACTTGCTCATCAGCGTTGTTATCACTGAAGATAACAGCAATATCCCGAGGGTACGCCTGCTTGATCTTGGAGGCAACTTCTTGCACAGTAAGACCTTTATCGAGAAGCTTAGGCCGACTGAGAATGATACGCAGAAGCCACTTGGACTGGTGAGCAGGATCCTCGCCGACATCCTCAGGGATGATGAAGTATGACTCGACCATGTCTCGATCGTTCTCAATGACAGTAGATTGGATTTCCGGATCATAGTAAATCTCGGTTGCCTCCGTGACAGATCGCAAGCTGGTGTGCTCGACAACGCTTCGCAGCTGCTTAGCTCCTTCCTTGTTCAAAGTCTGGTGAGATTCCTGGTACACCGTCATGGAAGGAGTCTTGATGTTGGTAGCCACGTTCAGAATTTCCTTGAGACGAGGCACACCGAGAGTGACGTTCTTGGATGAAACACCAGCAAAGTGGAAGGTGTTCAATGTCATCTGAGTGGCAGGCTCACCAATAGACTGAGCTGCAAGAACACCGACCATTTCACCAGGGTTAGCTCCGGCACGAGCGAAACGCATCTCAATGGCACCGATAACGTGCTGGAAGGCCAGCTTGTTGAGAGAGTAGTCGGTAACAAGTCGTCGGAAAGCCAGACGACTGCGCAACTGAGCCTTAAAGAGCAATGTCGCATTATCTTGAGCCTCGCGCGAGATGGGATCATCTCCACGGACAATCAACAGTCGATCCAAAAGGGCCTGGACTTGAGGAATAACCTCAGCAGGGTGCAGATCGCTGATAGTCCCCTCGCGGATGCGGAAGGTAGTTCTCGCCATTTCAAGAATTCTCTGGATGTTTATAGGAAGCTGCATCATTTCTTCGTCTTCCTTCGCAACGGTGCGAAGGAAAGCGCGATCCTTGAGGATTGCCTCCCATTCTTCATCAAAGTACTTCTGAACCTCCATATCACCCGCGATTTCGTTAGCTTGCTCCAAAACGTCAGGGCCAAGAGTACGCTCAGGGTCCATGACATCGACGCGGAAGCGATCACGAAGTTTTTCGTCTGAGCATCGGATGATGTCAACCCTTTGGTTTTCAATGTGCGCGCCATCGAGACCATCTTCTCCGTAGATAAATTGGATGATATCACCCAGGGAATTACGGACGGTGCCGTCATACTTGACCATAACCTCTTCCAAGGCCTTGACTAGCTTACGTTGAATGTAACCGGTCTCGGCAGTCTTGACTGCAGTATCAATCAAACCTTCACGACCAGCCATGGCGTGGAAGAAGAACTCAGTTGGTGTCAAACCACGCAGGTAAGAGTTCTCGACGAAACCACGGGATTCGGGAGAGTAATCATCCTTGGTAAAGTGAGGCAAGGTACGGTACTTGAAACCAAAGGGAATACGTTTGCCTTCCACAGATTGTTGTCCCACAACAGCAGTCATCTGGGAAATGTTGATGGTGGAACCCTTGGAACCTGAACGAGCCATCTGAACAGCATTGTTCAAGTCCTTCAAACTCTGCTCAGTAGCAGCACCAGCTTCATCACGGGCGTTGTTAAGAGCACGAGAAACCTTACTCTCGAACGTCTCACGAACGTTCATACCAGGCAAGGCCTCCAGAGTGTTCTCTGTGGCACTGGCAGTAATCTGCTCGACCTCATTCTTGCGCTCGCGGACAGCCTCCTCAATCTTGTCAATGGTACGGCGATCGGGGATCGTATCACCGATACCGATACTGAAACCGTGATGAAGGAGCCAGTAATTGACAATTCTCTGAGCACCGTTGAAGAAGTGCACGGCCTGGTCACATCCGTACTCATTGAAAATGGTATGGATGACACCACCACCACTGGCTCCAACAGTCTTCTTCGAAAGCATGCCGTACAGCAACTGTCCGCCATGGATCAGCAGACCACCATCATTAAGAGGACTAAATTTCTCGGAGAGTGGCGAGCTATCCTTGTCGATACGGAGAAGGTTGAGACCAGAAGGGAAAGCCATACTGATCATCTGCTTTCCGGTCCAGCGAGGACGAGGCTTGAGGATTGCAGGTGGAGGAATAACACCATCCCATTCAGGAACCCAGAGCATGACGTTCATAACTTGATCCTTGGAAAGGAAGATGTCACGACGACAAAGCTTGTAGATACCACAAAGACTGTCCTGGACAATACCCATAAGAGGTCCATTGCGCTGGGGGGACACAATGTTCTTTGGGACGAGGGCCAGCTCAGAAAGCTCAGCGCGTGCCTCCTCGCTTTGGGGAACGTGCAAGTTCATCTCGTCACCATCGAAATCGGCGTTGTAAGGAGATGTGACGGACAAATTCATTCGGAAAGTTGAGAAGGGCATGACACGAACACGGTGACCCATCATAGATTCCTTGTGAAGGGAGGGTTGACGGTTGAACAAGATAACATCACCGTTGTCCAAGTGGCGTTCGACCTTCCAGCCGTAAAGCAGTTGTTGGGCACCAGCACGCTTGGCATGGCGAAGATCGATACGCTCACCATTGTCTCGAACAATATAACGCGCACCGGGGTGAATATTAGGTCCATTGGAAACCAACGCCTGCAACTTCTCAATGTTGTAAGGAGTTACCACCTCCGGGTAGGTTAAAATCTTAGCTGTCGAAATTGGAACACCAACTTCTTCGAGGGACAAGTTCGGATCACCAGTAATGACGGTACGGGCCGAGAAGTCGACACGCTTTCCCATCAAATTCTGACGCAAACGACCTTCCTTACCCTTGAGACGACTGCGCAGGGCCTTGACAGGTCGGTTTCCTTTCTGCATGGCCTTGGGCTGACCAGCAATGTCGTTGTCCATATATGTAGCGATGTGGTATTGCAGTAGGGACTCGAATTCACGAATGACGTGTTCTGGCGCCCCTTCCTGTTCACAGCGCTGGACATTCTGGTTCGCACGTACGATTTCAGCCAGCTTATAAGTCAAATCGTCCTCGCCACGAGAGCCACTGGTAGCTCCCATCATAACACTGGGACGAACAGTGGGAGGTGGGACGGGAAGAACGGTAAGAATCATCCACTCTGGACGTGCGTAGTCATTACTGAGACCCATAATGCGCACCTCTTCGTGGGAGATGTTTCGGAAGATGTTCAAAGCCATGCCTGGAGTGATAACCTTCTTCTCCGGCTGTGCCATCTCGTCCTCCATCATACTCTTGCTAGGTTTCCATGTACCAACAAGGGTAATTCCTTCTTTCCGAACAGTAGGCTGGGCGTTACCGCATCCACCGTGGAGGCTTTTCTTCTGGCCCTCCTTTTGGTATTCTTCATCATCTGGTGATGGATCAGCCTCACAAATTAACACATCCTTTGAAAGGCGCCAGATGGTGTCGAAACGTCGTTTGGGGTCTCGCATGCGAAGAGCTTCTAAGAATTTGGAATCGGACTGGTCTCAGATGTCAGTAAAAACGATGGCCATATTAAGATTTGCCATCCCAAAAAAGGGATGACTAACCTGATTAGCTTTGATTTTTCCACAGTTGTGGCAGACTGTTTCCAAAAGCTTCTTAATTTTTGTCAAGAAACCTGCGAGGGAAAGAGAAAGAGAACTTGTCAGCAAAGAAAGAAAGAAGAGGAAGACGAAAAAACACGTGTTTTTTCGTTTGTAAAGACGAAAGAGTTGCATGACCTACCGATATGAAAGACAGGTGATGCGAGCTCGATGTGACCGAAATGTCCAGGACACTCTTTCGGGCCTTCCTCGCAAGTCTCGCAGTTGTACTGGCGATCAATCGTACCCAGGCGTGGGTCATTAACACCTTTAGTCCGAGGGCGCTGCCGTTGCTCATCCTATTGGGAAATTCAACAGTTAGAACCTTGGTTTTTTAAATCAAAATAAAACTTTTGTAGTCATGTTTTGATGAGAGATGTGGGCCCATTACCATTGTCTCTGGGTATTCGACGTGAACGACACTCATCCGCTTGATATCCTCAGGCGAAAAGAGACCAAACTGAATCTCCTTCACCGTGCGCAAAGGCGCCTTGGAGAATGGGAAAAAGACGTTAGACATGATGGCGATGGCGAAATGTGTTTTAATGAATAACGATTATCGGAATCGATGGAATCGAATGCGGAGGTGAAGGAAACGAGAGAGAGATCTGCGGGTCGTCAACGCGCAAGAAAAGGTTGAAGAGACCGACTGGACGGATGCTCGAACGTGAAATCCACAGTAAATGAGGATTAAATGAAGGTGGGAGATTGGGGGGGGGAAGGGAGTTTGCAGAGAGAAAAAAAAGCTGGCCGGCTGAGGCCTTTGGCAGCCCTTGCCACGAGGGCGCCGGCGACCTAGAGTCCCCGGAGTCACGAAGCCCGAGAAAGGAGGGAAAGGAGAGGGACGGCGCTGGTGGTCGCGTATCTAGAAGTCGCCTGAAGATATATCGCGATGGACAGCGCGATATTCTTGGATGGGGAGGTGATGACGGGCGTGTCGGGGGAGGTTGAAAGGGAGATGGGTGAAGGTTGCCTCACCCGCTGATGGGGCTCGAGTTTTCCCTGGACTCAACTAGCGCGACCGGTGCTTGGTCTTATGGAGAGTGAAAAGGGAAGGCGGTGGGGCAGAACGGAACGGGGCAGAATCATATGGAGGTTTCATGCTCAGGCAACTTCACTTTGTCGCATCCCTCAAGTCACTTTTAATTTTCCTGTACTTTACTTCAATCTTCTTGGATTGAATTCATAGTCCAGGCTTTTTCATTGAGTAAATATCTCTTGGAAATACTGTTGAGTATTACGTTAGATTTGCAATGTTCGTTGTTGAGCTTGTTTTAACCTTGTATTAAGCATTTGTACTATCTACTACATACTACAGTGGGCCCCATGGGTGAGCCTGGCCCTGTCCAGAGACTTCACATGCACTTTATATACTTGCAGTACATTCTAAAAATTCATTGTCACCAAGAACAAATTCTACTGTATACTAGTAGTAAAGATCGTATCTGGTATTCCATAGATACGAGAATTTGACCAAATTGAATACCCTGGCTTGTTTAGAGATACATACTACCTTTCAAACACAGAACTGTCATATATATGTTTAAATGTTCCAAGCCTGTTAGACATACATCAATCCATACATATGTGCATGTACTTAGATATGTACATCCACACTGCATACTGATCATTTTATAGTGGGGGAGACTAGCCTATGTCTTCCGAAAAGACCACATGCATTCCTACTTAGCCCCAGGCCTGGAATAACATTTTTAATGAATTTCCAAGGTCAACTTAAATTACGTTGTTGTACTTCCAGATGTCAAGATGCGCCCCTGACACCGCCCTTAAAAACTCGGCAGAATAAACATTTGAATATACCAATCGAGCTTATCGCATCCATGTACATATCGTTGTCATACCTCAGTGCTCAGTCTATGCTGAATGTTGAATGCTCGTTCAAAAAGTCTGTACGCTGTTTTCAGGGTTCCTAGGCTGGGAAATAACTCAGTGCTCTGAGAAAACAGCATCGCTGTTTCCGTCGCGATGAATCTTTCGCTCATTGATCCATTTGTCCTGGCCCAGGAATACCCAGATACCCTGACAGAGAAACTCAGTGCGCGATTGCCAGATTACCCCCTTATATACCTTGGTACTGACCTCAAACAGGCAGCGGTCATGCAACCTGTCTTCGTTTCAACCACACCGGCGACTACCTGGCATCAGGTCGAGTTCGTACACCTCACACCTTACACCTTACACCTCACACTTCACACCTCATACCTTACATGAAAATCGGCCTCAGTACTCGATTACTAATGGGAATACATCGAATAGGTGGATGGCTCTGTGGTGATCTTCGATATTGAAACAAACGGTGTTGCTCGCAAGCTCCAAGGCCACACCCGCCAGATCCAATCTCTCAGGTACTTTACCATACCCCGCAAACAATACCTATTCATGCGCAGCTTGCTAATAGTTTGTCTAGCTGGTCGCGATGTGGTCGCTACCTCCTCACCTCATCTCAGGACTGGAAGTGCATCTTGTGGGACTTGGAAGATGGTTCAAGAATAAGGACCGTGCGATTCGAGGCTCCAGTCTACATTGCCGAGCTACACCCGTTCAACCAGTACAAATTCCATCTTTCCATTTTGACTGTTTTCCATGTATTTGCAGATTGCTAACTTTTAATTCTCACCACCACACAGTCTTCTATTTGTGGCTTCGCTTTTTGAAGACCAACCCGTTCTTGTCGATATTTCCCAAAGGACCCCAATCAAGCGCATTCTCCCCTCCGCCCCTCTCCGTCCCAAACCCACTGATAGCGAAGATGTCGACTCGGCAGCGGCAGCAAAGCAAGCTGCGCAAGATTCGAAACACTCCACCTGCGTTACTATATTCTCGGCATTCGGAAACCACATCATATCCGGTACCTCGAAGGGATGGATCAACATCATCACAACCGAAACCTGCAGAACAATCCACTCCTCACGGCTTTGCAACGGAGTTGTGATCCTCCTCCGTCTTGCACGTAATGGACGAGACCTGCTAGTGAACAGCTCGGACCGCGTCATTCGCACCATCATAATGCCAGACCTTTCCCAACTCGGTATCGACCTCGAAGAATCCAACATCAAGCTGAACGTTGAACACAAATTCCAGGATGTGGTTAATCGCCTAAGCTGGAACCATGTGACCTTTTCATCGACAGGCGAATTCGTGACCGCGACAACCTACATGGGCGCAGATATATACGTTTGGGAACGCCGTTACGGATCCATCGTGAAGATTCTCGAGGGTCCCCGAGAGGAACTCGGCGTGGTAGAATGGCACCCCACACGGCCAATGGTGGTAGCCTGTGGTCTGGAGAGCGGGTGCATCTACACATGGTCGATCATCAGTCCTCAGAAATGGTCTGCTTTAGCGCCGGATTTCGGTGAAGTGGAAGAGAACGTGGAATACATGGAGCGTGAAGATGAATTCGACATCCACCCGGCTGAGCAGGTGCATCAGCGCCGACTGGATCTGGAAGATGAAGAGCCCGATGCCGTTACTGCTGACCCGACCAAGGCCATGACGGATGCAGATCATGCGGGAGCTTTCGGTGTCCCTGTTCTTCTGGACGTGTCGGACAGCGAAAGTGGAGAAGATATCGTCGCCGTCGGTCCTGGTATTTTACGCCGACGGACACCCGGTGCAAGCCGCGAAGCAACGGAGGCCGACGTGGAAAAAGAGCCTCGTGCTAATGGTACCTCCCGGAAGACAGGCCGAAACCGCCGGCGCTGATAGGGTATCTTATTATTAAAAATTCATCTGCATGGGAGACGGCGTTTTGAAACATTGAAGGTTAGGGCTGGCATGGCGCTCAGAGTTGAAATTTTCTATTAATACAATAAGTATCTCCAAGGACTAGGTAGCGGCATGGCAGATGTTCGTTGATATCTTGATAGCCATATAGTGTATTTTTTACATGAATTCTTATGATCACCAATACCCATTGAATAACAAAATCCACATCGTACATGGATGCCCAGATGTAGGAAAATTGATACCCAAGTGCCTAGATTACCACAACCCAGCGATTCGAAGCTGATACTAGAAGAAAGTCCATGGAGATTGAAATTCATAGGATTCATATGTCGTGCACTGGAAATAAGAGCTACACGAAGGTATCAAAACAAAGGCCCAAATAAAGGTTCCAAAGAAGATCATGGAGTCGTCTGGTGAGCAAAATCACACCCGGGTATATATTATCACAAGCCGAAGCAAAAGAAAATTCAGCCCCAAACGCCACGGAAGATGCTAAAGGCAGCGTAGAAAGCAAAGTCATCCGCGCCAAAACTCCCACTCCATCAAGGTAGGTGGATCGGGAGCAGGGATATGAAGTCTCTGGTCATAATCCCTCCCACTTGATGGCCAAAATTGTTGCTGATTTTGATTTGATTGGAAGATCTCATCAGGTCAAAAAAGAAGAAGAGAGAAAAAAGGAGTTGGTCATATTCGCCATCAGTCGGCCCTTGGGGGTTTGGGCATAGACAGACGAGGGCGTATCAAAAGGGGAAATTTAATCGTTAAAAAAAAAAAATTGAAGCGGAGGGTCGGGGCAGAGGTACATTGGTATCAGTAAGGCTTTTCTTTAGGCCTCAACAGACTGACCAATATTGCTTCCGTAAATGAGAGGATACTTGCTCCTGGACGATTTTAATCCCGAGATGAAAAAAAAAAAGTGTCCATCCGACCTCATTCAGCGATAAGGGGAAAAGAAGAAAGAAGAAACACGCGAGAACGCTTCAAGGTACCTCCTGGGTACCAGATCATAAAGCTAATTGGCAAGAGGTTTGCGCGCTTGATAAATATGCAAGATGTTGTAACAGTGGATATCCTTGTTGAACGCTTCTGATTTGACATCGGTGGCCATGCGTTTAATCTTCTCAACTGGCCAGCCGTATGCTCGGCTAAAGGTAGCCAAGCTGAGGGCCTCAATGCTCTCAGACATGGCAAGATTGTACCACCGAGCGACCTTGCGCTCATGTTCGTCATTGTGCCAGGGGTTCAGCGGTAGACCGACCATTTGGTGATCAATTTCTGTGAAGCCGGCTTCTTGCAAGTGACGAACGGCTTCGCGGGAGCTATGCGCGATCGGTCGATTCCGGGATTCGCTAGCATGTTTGAGGGCCGAGTACCAATGTCGCAAGGCCAATCCGTTCATTGATCGATCGTCACAGCGAGGCTCAAAGTCAATTTCTACTTGTTCAAACCAGGCACCTGGACGAAGGTGGGCAAAGATCCGCTGGTATAGGTTCGCCCAGCTTTGAACACTTCCGGATCCCATTTGCAGGTGGATCAGATCCCACGAATCCTCTCCCATTGCCCAGGGACCCTCAAAGTCGAATGGCGCGTGAAAATCGCAGTTTTTGGGCCGATTGGTAGGTTGAATAGGTGCTAAATCGGTTCCAACCACGAACGAATTTGGATATTTGTTGGCAACCTCAATACACCAGATACCCGTGCCGCAACCCAAATCCAAGATGCGCGAGTTCGCAGGATGAGGCGCATATATTAAACCATCCGATGCTCGAGCGACAGTCAGGACTTTGTGAAAGATATCAAGGCGATCTTGTTCTTCTTCGTCACAGGGGAGAAAGTACATCCCCTTGTGATAACCATGGTACATGCGGTCGTTCTCGGAGACTGGAGGGTATTTCTCAGGGATTCTGGATGCATGGTTAATGATTGGATTCAATTCTCCACTGCCCAACCTCCCCTCTTCCATGGAAACATACTTGCGATTGTTGATGATCACCGGCGGTGAGGGGCGCGAATCGTGTGATAAGAGCGAGGCATGGGATGCGACCGAGCCATTACTGGTGAAACGACCGACGCGACGGTCCTTGTCCCGATCCCGATTCCGGTCCCGGTCTCTCTCGGACGGATCTCGATCGGTAATAACGTAGATATCCATGGCGGTGGAGGTTTGTCGCGAGCTGGCCCGGTCGCTGGTGGAGACGGACTGAGAATGATAGTACCTGTGGCGACCGGCATCACTGGCCGGGGTGGATTCGGAAGACTTGTAGCGCTTGGCTGGGGGTGGTGAGGCAGCCATTGGAGGCAAATGGCGATACCGTTGTTCGTCTTCTTGAGGCATTTTGGGAGGGATGGTAGGATTTCCAGAGAAGCACGGTCGGGGAAATTAGGAGGGTCGCACAAGTGAACTTCTGTCGGGTAGAATGACGATTGAACAGCAATGAAGACAAGATGAGGATGGACCCAGCCACCAGAAGCATCCAAAGCACTAACTGGGGATTTGATGTGTGTGATGCAGAAGGTCTTGAATGGACTGCACACCAGTATAATCCACACCACAGACACAATCCACACAACACGCAATGAGCAAGGATGGGGATTGTTCCAACCTGAACTCGAAACGAAGGATTGAAAAAGGGAAGTCGACCCCTCTAACAGCTAATGACTAAATGTCATATCACAAGAGTTGAAAAAGGGAAAAAGGGAATCAAACCCAGAGTTGGCTAAGGTTTGGAAGCTCTTCCGTTTGGGTCCCACGGATCCCAAGGTGGGGAAAGAAGGTGATGCGGGATAAAGCACCCGAACCAGGGGATTTTGGGGGGGGGGGGGGTTTTTTAAAGAAAAGAAAAGAGAAAGAGGGTATAAGCCCAAGAAAACAGAAATATCCTCTAAGAATCTTTAATAAGATAAAAGTCCTCCAAAAGAAAGATCAGGGGGCAGAAAAGCAAAGTTTAACCAAAATGACCAAGTAGTAAAGAGTAACTGGTATGATACATAATCAAAATAACGAGAGTTTTACTAAAACGCGATCATTCGCAAATTGATCCTTGTTCATCCAGTTTGTCGGGTTTTTCTGCATTTCAGCTTAATCGGTACGGTAATTGGGATTTTCCATTTTCCATTTGCAATTTGCAATTTTTTTTTTTCAGGATAAATGATTGTCTCCAGTACATATCTCTCATTGTCCTGATTTTTTATTTTATTTTTGTCATTTTTGTTTTCTCTTCTGATTTTTTCCATTTCCCATGATCGACTGTGACTAAAGGAAAAAAGACCCACTGTTGGCGGGCGGGAACGCGGACCGTCTGGAGCCTAACAATCCCCCTTCTGGATCCTAGAGAAGAGGAGGTAAGAAAAAAAAAATGAAATGAGAAGGAAAAACAAGGGAAAAGAAGAGCCAAGTGACAGAGTACCAGAGTATGTATAGCGTCGTAGTAGGCTGTACGGTGTGTACGGTGTGTATGGGGTATGGAGTGTATAGGGAAAATCCCAAGGGAATGGATGAAGCTAAAATCACCATCACGCCTGGGCTCTTATTTGTAAAGCGAAGGCCCTAAGGGTATCTAAATTTCCCCTAAAATGTTCCCCAAAAATACCACCTTCAATTTCCATACTTAATAGTCCCGCGCAATGCCTGTAAATGCCTGTAAATGCCTGTAAATCCCTGCAATCCTACTTAGAACCCCTCACTCCACGTCCAAAGCACCGGGTCCGTGGTTGCCCTTTTTTTCCCATGAGAAAAAAAAGAGGCAAATAGCCTTGGCCTTTGTTCATTAGTGACAAATACTTCAAGGCCCACAGATCGCTAATCTGACTCGAGTTGGTCCCAGCGCAAGCCTCTTACCCCATCCTGAATGACTTCGCTCAACGCTAACCACATCCAACACTTTGCCCCATCCCGTCAACCTGGTTCCCAGATCATCCCCAAATAACCGGAAATGGGTTACGTACTTCTACACAAAGAGAAACATTCCACTGTGCTTTTTGAAAAATAAAAAATAAAATAAAAAAACATTAAAAAAAATTCCCCAATCCTTATAGTAGTAAGTATTTGAAATTGAATAATCCAGATGAAGAAAATGCTGTCCTAACCATGCCACCTCTCTACATATTCCAGGGTTTCCTTTACTCAAATGCGGTGTGTGTACTCCGTACAAAAATACGAGTAGTGGTTCCCCACTTTCCTTTGGGTTTTCGTGTCGATCGTTACCAATTGAAATCATCTCCACGCCCTCAAACACTGTTTTGCTCACTATTATGTAGCTTTGTACTCTGTAGCATCTTCCCTTTTTGGTACCACCCTCTCCTACCAAGTACAAATTCATCTTAATCTTTAAGCATAAAATTCGCAAACTCTAGCAGGAACCCCCCAGAGCTTCTCCATGTACGTCCTTCATGCATATAAAGAGACAGTGCAGAACTCCGGGACTATGGAGAATCATTCACAAGAACATTGAATACATACAAGGTCTGGTAACTAGGTGCTATTGCCCAGGTCAGAGCCCTTATATGTACAGACATGACGGTCGAGGGCCTTAATCAATACTAAAGCGCTCAAGCTTGTATGTACTGGTAGGTACTATTCACATACATACATTTCAATGTTAGATTACTTTGGGGTCAACTATAACTGAACAACTTTCAAATGTTGAAGCTGCCATCTAATTCCCGATATATATGCATCAGAATCAACCTTCAGAAACCTTGAAATGACTGAAGAATACCAGAATACTAGTTCTTTCCTCAAGTGCTCTGGAGTTAAGATCATTCATTTGAATTTCCAGGACGGCCTAGTCGCTCTGTGTTTCACCACCTGCACAGACTTTCACTTAGCCGCTCTTCCAAGATTCAATGTTGCTGATCTAAAGATCAACTTGGGGGCCAAAACAACCTTGGAAGGCACATCTGGGTCCACTCCCCCAATCAACAACCCTGAAAATGGCAGCACTTGTTCACGATTAGCTCTTGAGGCTACAGTATGTGTAGAGGACGGTGGATCGCGTTGCCAAGGTTCGGCAAACTCCTCCTGGACTTTTTCTGTTTCACATTGGACGCAATCCCTGGTCTTCAGCTCCCTTGCAGGGTTTACGGTCAAGCACGCGAACGCGAACGCGAATCACTCGGAATCACTCACCTCTCCACTTTTCGCTTCGCTGCACAAGGTTTGGTTGGATGACCCCGTCGGGATTTGCTCTGTCGATCGCGCTTTTTGCACCCAAGTGGCCAAGCCACTCGTCATTTAAGATCCCTTGAAGAAGGGTGCCAGGGATTGGTTAATCTACGTATCATAAATCTACACATACGGTATGCGGCGTATGCCTGACATTTCATTACTTCTCCCCCCCCCCCCCCCCCCCCAGTTTTAACTATTTATAGTTAGTTCATAATAGTCACCGCTTATGTCAGAATTGATCTATCCCAAAATTCTGCCTTGTCCTGTCCTTTCTTGTTCAAGATCAGCACTGCCATTGACGTATCAGCCTACTTGTCACTCAGCAGGAAATTGATCAACTTGTTCATCACATCTAGCAGGAAGATCTGTCACCTCTCTCTGGAATACTGCGCAGAGAGCTCAGGCCTAAAGTATTTAATATTCTGGTCTCACTTGAGCAAGGAGTTGTCTACAGGCCCTACATGCAAGATTCATTCATTGAACGAGAAAAATTGAACCTTGGAAGTTGCCTCGTCACTTTGAGCGGACAACATTCTATACCTGCTAATATGTACATAACTCCGAGGTTTCACGATGTCTGTATATATCCCAGGTGCCGGTATGGCCCGTCCAGATCATCCCTTTAAAAAAGTTATAAAATTGTAATCACACTACCATCTTCTCCACAAGCAAATTTCCCGACCGATCGACGAGATTGATGTCGCTGTATATGTTCAAAATTGCGATGCCATTGATGGGTACTCTGAGCCAGCGGGGATCTTCAGTGGTAATAAACCAGGAGAAATGCGTATGATAAACCCGTTCCTTCTCATGAATCCCTTGTCGTGAGTTCTGCAAATCCCCCCATTCGTGAGCTTTGTTCCAAGCCCCTGGAGATTTATGTGCACCCCAGGTTGTTGTCGGCTCCGGGGTTGACAACACCCCAGTACATAGACTATACAGGTATATATTCAGGGATCAGCTCGGCGGCCATCGGAGAATTTCTGCACGTTAATGCAAGGATACCAGTGGGTCGTACTTAGGATATAGACGTAGGTAAACACGGTCTGGCCTGGCGGTTGTTTGCTGGTTACTACCTGCTGTGTAGCATTGGGAGCTAGTTTCCTTCCGATGGTAGGTAAGCACGAGGCCATGCCAACAAGGATTTTTTTACTCTCACTTGGCGACGAACCGTCAGCTCTGCTCTTCTACATAGGTTTCAGTAGGCGTTGGTGCTATATTCCCTCTGGAGGTGGGCCCGATTGAGAAACCTCTTCCTAGTGTTTGTTGATGAGCGCTAACCGAAGCCAGCCTCGATCATCTCATGTGCAGACTGGTGATGAAGTCAAATTTCATTCTCACCTTTGAGACATGTGTGGCTTTCAATCACCCAAAATATTCAGTCCGGATGTCGCAACTACGGTTACATTCCCCAATCGACTTCTTCTCATGTTGTACAATGTCCACTCGAGAATGAGACTTTCCCGACTCTGAGTTATGCTATGGTTGCTAATACTTGCTATCGTAAGCATGTCATGTGACTCCTTATCTTCTGAGGCCTTATCGCCCAGGAACCAATTTTTTTATCGGTCTTATCCACCGACTTTTTCCTTCTTACCAAGGGATCCAAATACCCTCGAAGAATTTTTCCCTGACAGTCTATCACAAGGGAAGGAAAGCATCTACGTCTTCTGAATAGATCTGTCTCTATACTTTCGGCCTCTGAGACCGTCTTATCCCGAGCCCACCATATCCACCATATCCACCTCGAAAGAACTCCTCGCTTCATAATGGACGCTGAGGCCTACCTCAAGCGCCACGGCTGGTCCGGTCCCGGCAACCCACTGAACAAGAACGCTCGCCCAGGTCCACACGGTGGTCTGGGCCTTACACGCCCTATTCTCGTCGCGCGAAAGCAGAACAACCACGGTGTTGGAAAGAAAGTGACCAAGGACTCTGCGACGAACCAATGGTGGCTGCGTGGATTCGAAGATGCGCTGAAGAGCGTAGGCGAAGAGAAAACCGAGACATCTGCCTCAACTTCGAACGCGCTCACAAGTGAACTATACCGCTTTTTCGTTCGCGGAGAAGGTCTCGCTGGCACACTTCATGACGACAAATCCTCCAAGTCAAAGTCCTCCAAGTCCAAGCGCAAGCGCGATGACGAAGATGAGGGCGATCGCAAGGCAGCCAAGAAGCAGGAGAAGGCTGCCCGGAAAGAGGAGAAGCTCAAACGACGGAAATTGAAGGAGGAGTCTGAGACTGTCTCTGCCTCGAGTGATTCCGGGGAAGAGAAGCGCAAGGAGAAGGAGAGTAAGGAGGAGCGCCGGGCAAGACGGAAGGAAAAGAAAGAGAAGAAGTTGAAGAAGTCTGCCGAGGAAGACTATCCCACACCGGTGTCGATGGAAGAAGAATCGGATCTGAATGCCACTGAATCTTCAACCCGAACAAAGGATAAGAAGAACAAGGAGAAGAAGGAGCAGAAGAGCAAGACAAGCAAAAATACCAAGGAAAGCGATGAAGACACAGACTCAAAGAAGTCTAAAAAGGAAAAGAAGGAAAAAAAAAGGTCCAGAAGCACCTGATCTTAATACGCATTGGACATAGTATATAGCATAGACTTTACATACGCGTTCACTCGCGATCAAGATACCCATTTTATTTGGCGAAGATGACACAAAGAATAGAAGAAACCCAGATTCTTTCTCCCCCTGCGTCTTCACGATTGACTTTCCATCAATATCAGTTCTGTGGCAACTTGCCTGGTGTCCCGGACAAAATCCACGGCCTTCTCGCCCAGAAATCGTCCTTAATGATGTCAACATGATCGACTACCACCTGTGCCTTGCGACGCAGTTTCTTCAATTTATCCTGCTGTGACCTTGACTGAGTAGCCTCTGGAACTGAAGCCTCATTGTCCGTCGAGGGAGTAGCCTTGGGCTCCACAAGCTCATACTGAATGAAATCTGTTAGAGATTGAACCTTCCATTGGAGCAAACATGATCTTGATCTTACCTGACGGTAGAGCACACTGCCTTTCTTGTACATCTCCCCTTCATTATTGTAGTTGATCCCAAACCGCTTGAAAAGGATCTCGTTTTTGTCCCCAGATACAGTGCCCTGGTATCAAGTCAACAAAAGAATATCTCGCAATGGTGTCAATTCATCGACAAGAACAAAATCGTACCTTGAGCTCTTGTTCCGCATCGGTGTTGCTCATACCACCTTGCAGAACCATAGTCCAGAATGTAGTATTGTAGAGGTTGTTGATATGACCTAAACGTTATATATCAGCAACCTTAATTCACAAAGCTGAACAGAAAGAAACTTACAATCAACCTGCCTCCAACTCATGTAATCCCGTAGAATACGTGAGTTTGGGTAAACGACCGCTCGTCCATCAAAGGATGGGAGGTATGGCGGCGCTAGTGGGGTAGAAGGGAAATATGTGGGCCACAGATAGATATAGTATGCTGTGAAGGTCGAGACGATGGTTGTAACCAATTTCCTGGAACAACGAAATCGATTTATCTATAGTCAACGCAGTGTTCTTAAAGATTAGAAGAGAGGGCATAAATGGCCATTACTTACGCGTTTCGTCGCTCAAAGAGCTGACAACTTGGAGAGAAGACAAAACTGGGATCGTATCGGTCAGAATCGAACATGAACATGAGCAAGAATGGTGGAAAATACCTAAACTCGTCACTGACGCCATAGGCAATACATAGATCGGGAAGATCTTTCATGACCTCGACAGCGGCGGCATTCATGAGATCAAGCGCACGCCGATCATTAGGTTTTTGGAAAGCATAGTGATCCGAGAGCCTACAACGGTTAGATCAAAAGAAAGAATGAGCCATCAGGCAGAGGCCAACTTTAGAAAATTTACAGCTCTCGAGGAACTTTGGGGGAACCTACTTGTGAAAGCCTCTTCCGTCAATGCGAACCACAATCCACGTGCTGGGCAGCAATGGATCGGACTGCTCAAAGTCCTTGACGTACTCGAATCTGTGTTGATTAGCGCAAATAAGGAAGAAAAATACTTTAAAATGATTGGATCTTATACTTGGAGTTTGCCATATCTGGGGGTGAAATATGCAGTGGTGTCGGGGGAGTAGATTTCTCATCGTCATTTTGTGCGCACGATAAGAGCCACCAGTTGACGGGGGGCCGCTTACCCCACCAAACCAAGTTCACATATTGGGTTGCCCTTGCCAACATTGTGGCATCCTCTCGAAGTGTTATCAGTGGTCCCAAGGGGTTTAAGTTACAATAAGAACATCTGGAGGGAAAATTTCGAGAAGAATATTGACTAATAGATTGTGTAAGAAGCGGTCGCTATTGACATGTGTCTCGGTTCAACCGATGCCCGTTGAGGTGTATGTAAAAATGCAGTATCTAAGAAAAAACTAAAACAACAGTGAAGAGACGAAGACTAACCAAGAGATCAGGATGAAGGAATCTCTGGGATTTCTGGGATTTCTTCATCACCGGCCTCACTAGCTAGCTCGCTTGTCTCACTCGCCTTGTCGGATTTTCGCGACTTGCGAGAGAAAAACCCAAGACTACTGCGAGTAGATCGGTCCGCAGATGGCGCGCTAGAGATTGTGCTATCAATACTCTTCGCTAGCTGAGCCTCACTGGCTGCATCTTCATCGATATCTGTTTGTGAAGACTCCCCCTTCTTCGAAAATAATCCAGACCGGTCTTTCCAAGAGCTAAACTTGCTCGAACTACCCTTCCGGGTGATCTTGCGAATAAATGACTCCTTGGATGCGTTGTCCGCGGATGTACCAGATGGCATTCGTTCCAAGGACTCGTATGATTCGCCCGTGAAATGAGAGAATGATCGAGAGGTACGAGGCTCAGAAGGAGACCCGTCGTCGACATGAAGGTCAAAGGGTACATCAGATTCATCTTTATCCTTCTCTCTCTCCCTATCAGATCTTCTGCTTGCAAACATCCCTCTGAATGATGGTGCAGCTGGATTGAGCTTCGGTGTGATAGGTCGATGGGAAGAGGATGGGCGGGTACCAATTGGCGCTTGCAATGGCCGATGATGTCGATCATACGTATCCTCGACAAAATCAGGCTCACCAGTCAATCCCAAAGGAAGATGACCAGAGGACCCATATTGGAATGAGGGTCGGCGAGAAGGTGCCCGTGACCATGTTGAGGGCGACGTCCAATCCAGCCCAAGAGGACTGTTGCGATGGCCCATTTGATCCGTAGACGGCCACCCAAAATGACGGTTATCAGTAGATGGGTGGGGAAGCTGATTCGGATTGTCGAAGGAAAACGTGGATGACGGCCGCGGGGATAGAGAGCCGCGTCGAACGCCACCACCACCACCACCGCTACCACCACCACCACCACTGCCACTGCCACCACCGAGAAGAGAGGACGGGTCAATGGGGTCATGACGTGGGCTGAATTGGTTATATCCAGTGCTCAAGTCGGAATTTCCTCCACGACTGCCAGCACCACCAAACCCAAACTTGCTAGAGGAGAAGATATTTGAAAAGGCAGCTCTCCGCGAAGGCGCATGATCAGACGAGCTGTCCGTAGTGACGCCAGTGGTGTTGCTTCGAGGGAAAAGTGACATTGCATTTGCCCAGTTACCAGTATAGCTCAGTCTTCGACGTCGGGATCCGATTGGATCTAGTTCATCAACATTCCGTGGGAAAGATTGACTTTGTCCAGGTTTCAAAGTACCCAACATAGGTGGTCCATCGGCCAGCGTCTTTCCACGTGGTCGGTGGAATCCAAAGATCCCAGAAAGTCGTCGAGAAGCGCTTTTCGGCGCCTCTTCGGCAGCAGCAGATGACTGTCCTGGTTGGGAACCAGAGTCCTGTCGATGACGGGTCTCCAATGGGCTTGCAAATAAACTGCCAGGCCTACTCCCAGAAGAAACAGGAGAGACAGGACCATGCCCAAACCCATCCAAAGGCATCATGTTAGACAAATCCATATTGGAAAATCGCGTGTGGTGAGAAGGGCGTGGGTATTCGGGTGATGATTCCTCGTCTCCAAGCAGGTCTGATGGCAGCAAGGCATCGGCTCGGGGGCTCATCTGCGGATTACTGAACGTGGCTTCTGCATCAGAGCGCATGATCTCCGGTGGATCAGAGAGACTCGGAAGAGTCATACCATTGTTAATGTTGAAGAAGGTAGATGTTGGAGGGAATGTGGGAGAGTTGGAAGAAGGTGGGAGGGAGTTGTTATTGTTGTTGTTGATCCCGGGGAACGTCGAGTCGATACCTGGGTAATTCAAAGAGGAGGAGAAATTGCTCACTAAAGAGCTGCGATGACGACGGGGCCGAATTGTCGCTGAATTGGACATGTCCAGGTCCAAAGGCGGCAAAGAAAATGGACCAGAGCTGCCAGGACGTTGCGTAGTAAGCCATTTCAACCGCTCCTGGGCTTCTTGATATTGCTGTTGGGCCTGTGCATGGAGATTGACGAGCGTAGCGTATCGAGCGTGGAGCTCGCCTAGCTTCATTTCCCATTGTCGAGCCCGCTCATTATCAATTCGGTCCAGTTCCTTCCCATCCTCGTTATCACCACCCTGAAGACCTTGTCGTTCATCCTCTAATTTCTTGATCCGGCCTCCCTTATCTTGAATTTCTTCATCGATCAATTTCATCTCCGCCTGCTCCTTCGCAATCTTCTTGCGAACTTCTTCGCCTCGAGTCTCACCATCTTCCTCTAATCGGGTCTTGTCTTCTTTGGCCTGTGCAGCATCCGAAGCCATCCGGGCAATCCGTTCTTGCCATCGGACGATATCGTTCTTGCGTTTCTTGCGCTCGGCTTCTTTCTGCTGAAGAAGTCTCATGCGTTTGGATTTCTCGCCCTGCACAGAGCGATTGACACTCTCTAGTTTCGAGACGTGCTTTTTGAGATCTCCACTGACTTCATCCTTCTCCTTGACCCGTTTCTTCAACTCGTCACGATGCTTTTCTAGCTCTCTAAGCATGACAATATGCTCGTCTTCCTCCTCAGTCACTTGTTTTTCCGTGTTTTCATTTTCTTGTTGTAACGCTTTTAATCGATCGGCGAGTTGTTCCAGACTTCCATCGCGATCATTCTTAAACACGCCTTTATGCAATTCATCGTGCCCGTGTGCAAAATCTGCCGATCCAGTGGTTGCGGGGGAAAGTTTGCGCCCGGCGGATGGTCGCTTCCCTGGTAATTGTCCGGCGCTATGTTCGCGGGCCATCACCGGGGCAGATGGAGTTGGTAGGCCGGCCGTGGATCGTGGAATTGATGCTCGAATCGTTGGACCGCCGGTGGGAGCATCTTGTTGGGATCGGGACAAGGGAAGAGATTTCGTTCGGACGTGGAGGATCGCACTTGGGGTCTGAAAATTTGCTGCGCTGACGGATAGAACACAAATGTGATAAATGCTCCCAGGAATGAGATTTAATATTTCCACCGCGGTCTCTGCGCGTTTCGACTCGCCCACTTTGAGTTACATTAGTTTTTGTCTTGTTTCCGCGGAGGCGGGGGGTTTGAGAGTGGAAAATCAAATATTCACCTTTGACATTATTCACTTGAATGATATGTTTATGTATGGAATTGTGAAAATCGGGTTGTTTCCAGGCTAGGCGGATCTCACGAGCTGTGATCTCTTCGAGGGTGACTTCTGGCGGCGGCGGAATATCGAGACCCAATTTCTCCACGAGAAGCTCATTGGGCGTTTGGCATACTTGCCATGCACGATATAAAAGCCTGTATATGTATCAGCAAAACTGTGGCTTGCCAGGGAGAAAAAAAAATCCACCCAAAAAGGACGGAATTGACTTTCTAACTCACCAAATCAGGGCCCATAAAATGGAGACCGCTAGGAAGAGAGCCATCACGCCTCGCACCCTAACTCGGGGAATGACGGTCGGGTAGGCGTCAAAGGCGTTGTACAGTGGCTCATACATCCCAGCGTCAACTACCCATGGACGCGGGGTGAGCCGGAGGAGGAGGGGGGGAGAAGAAGGAGGAGGAAGAGGAATAGAGAAGTTGGAGAATCAGAGGAGGCCTTGATTCTTGATCGACCTTCCCTCCAAAGAGGGAGTGGGACAAGGATTGCACGTGACATGGAGTGTTTAGTCAGGGTCTGCCTAATTAGGGCTAGCGGGATCAGAAGTAGAACGATCGGCCACTAGTCCGGATGAGGATTAGCGTAGATACCTGTGAAAAATGACCAGATTCCATTCGCGCGGTTTGCAGCCTCGGCAACTTTTCCTTTGCCTTGTTGGCCGCTTACTTAAGAATCGGTTGGGCGTTGAATGTTGATGAGCCAACAGGTCTCCGGGGATGACCGGTTAAATCGATTTATTGGGGGAACCTAATAATATCGACTTGGCTTTGATTTCCTTTTTCCTTTCAATACTATTTCTGTTCTGATCTATCATTTTTTGGGGAAAGACGTTGTTGATTTCCCACTCATCAGTGGCGGCGGGTTTCAGATATTCCTTGCATTGTCAGCTGAGTGTCACATGGATGAGCGGGATTCCTCCAATTTCTTGATTCTTACTACTCCTCATCATCCTCCCCTCCGACTGATCTGAAAACCCTCCTCCTCCACTTTAGTTCAGCCATTTCCTTTCATTTTTCACAAAATCATTAGAAAACCTGCTCCTCACTTGTTCATAATAAGGTGTTGGCCGAGGGTGCTTGACCCAACTCGGCAAGATGCAGTACGTCAGAAGCCTTAGCGGTTCGGTGTCGAAGACATGGAATTCGATCAACCCCGCCACCTTGAGCGGAGCTATTGATGTGATTGTCATAGAGCAAGAAGATGGTGAGTTCTTCAAAAAGAAGTCTTGTTGGAAATTGTGTCTTGTCCATGCGGAAGATCTAATGTTGTCTTCTTCTGTTACAAAAAGGAACCCTTGCCTGCTCGCCCTTTCATGTTCGTTTTGGAAAATTCTCGCTTTTGCGCCCATTTGAGAAGAAAGTGGAATTCAAGGTCAATGGAATCAAACAACAATATGCAATGAAGTTAGGAGAAGCAGGTGAAGCTTTTTTTGTATTCGAAACCACCGACGAGATCCCCGCATCACTGCAAACTTCCCCGCTGGTATCACCCGCTACCAGTCCAAAAGTTCCCACCGAAGAGGGCTTTGGGTCATCGCTTCAGGAACCAGAATTTTTGGACCTGGAAAAAAATGATGACGTGGTGTCCGAGGGGGCGAAAACCCCACCCAGCATTCCCATATCACGACAGTCGCGAGCTGCAACCGATCTAGGCACAATGACACCATTGTCGCGGTCTCCAGACGACTCAGATCTAAGCCATGATCCATTCAATACCCATCACCGAAACAAACCTTCTCTCGACCATTCGGTATCCGAGGGTTTATTGTCGACTAGCCTCCCCCGGGCTACAACCGAACAGTTATCTTCTTCTCCAACAGGCTCTTCCGTCGTGCCCCTGGATGAAGATGCCGAACGAGCTCGTTCTCGTAGTCCACCTCCGCTATCTGTAGAAGAAGCGATGTCTCGCGCCATTTCATTGTCGAAGAAACTGACTGGATCTAACATCCAATCGCATGTCACGGAAACAGGCGACCTTATGTTGGATATGACCGGCTACAAAAGCAACGAAGAAGATGCTCTTCGAGCAGAGGTTCTCGCCCGCAAGATTCTTGCAGAGGAATTGGAAGGGAGCTATGATATTGGTGCACTTATTGGAGCCGACGAACATGGAAACCTCTGGATCTATAGTAGTGAAGAGGCAAAAGGAGCCGCCGATCGGAGGGCTGCCATCAATTCCATGCGACCCAACACAGTCCTGAATGATGATGCAATTTCGGACCCAGGATACCACAGTGAGGGTGAGCATCATGTTACATCGGAGCTACCTATTGGCGTTCGCCATCATCGAACCAAGTCAGATGTCCAGCCTGGCTTCCCAACACCCCCTCAAACACCAATGCATGATTCGTTTGCTATTGAAACTACTCGCAACTACGCCAAGACATTGCGGTTGACTAGTGATCAACTTAAGGCCCTTCAATTGAAGCCAGGCGCCAATATCATGTCTTTCAGTGTGAACAAGGCGACATGTACTGCATCAATGTATCTGTGGAACGGAAACACCCCACTTGTGATTTCCGATATCGATGGAACAATTACAAAGTAAGTCACTATGAAAAGAAAACTTGCTGAGAGTCGAGAAACAAAAAAGCTGACCCAAAAACCCTTTCAGGTCCGATGCATTGGGTCATGTTTTGAATATGATTGGACGTGACTGGACTCATACTGGAGTCGCCAAATTGTACACTGAAATCGTGAATAATGGCTATAATATAATGTACCTGACCAGTCGATCCGTTGGTCAGGCTGATAACACACGAGCATACCTTTATGGTGTCAACCAGGACGGATATCGACTTCCCCGAGGCCCTGTTATCTGCAGCCCAGATCGGACAATGGCAGCATTGAGGCGAGAAATTTATCTCCGAAAGCCAGAAGTGTTCAAAATGGCATGCCTTCGAGATATTCTCAATCTATTTTCTGGGAAGGAAAATCCATTCTACGCTGGGTTTGGCAATCGATTGACCGATGCCTTGAGTTATCGAACCGTCAATATTCCGTCCACGCGAATCTTCACCATCAACTCTAATGCCGAGGTTTCCCTGGATCTGCTCAGTCTCAACAAGTACAAGAGCAGCTATGTCACCATGCAAGAGTTGCTTGATCATTTCTTTCCTGCCACTAGCCTTCTCGTTCATTCGGGTGGTGAAGAATACACAGATTTCACCTACTGGCGAGATACACCCCAGAATCTGGATGATTTCTCAACCACTGATAGTGAGGATGAAGATGAGGATGAGGATGAGGAAGCAGGCGATGATGATGATGATGATGAAGATGCAGATGAGGCAGATTATGAGGACGACGAAAGCGATGGCGAGGAATATGAGGAAGGCACTGATCTTGGTGCTAGCTACCTCTCTCAAGGCTCTGTCTTGTCTAACCCCGCCGGATCAATCTTGGAATCCGTGGAAGGGGATCCAAACCCTCTGGACCTTGAAACTGATGCCGAGGAAGATGAGGGTCTGCCTGAAATGATCAAACCTACGGATATCAAAACTCTACCAATTCGTCCCAAGTCTTCATTCTAACAAAAGAGATGACTGTGGATCCATTCATAACCATGACGTTCAACATGTCTCGACACACCCCGACTTACATTTTTTGCGAGTTCTTAATTCAACTAGAACGTGGTGAGAGGATTTTTTTTTCTTAACTTCTTTCTTTCTTTTTTGTTTTGACAAAGAGATACCCTGTTCAACCTTTTTGTTTTGCATGCAGATACTCGGTGTTAGACCTTACATTATCATATACAACTTGTCGCCCGCATTTGCGTTCATGGCGTTTTTGAAACATCTGTTTATAATAACCATGTATAGCACCATAGTTTTCGCATGGGAAAATTGATCTAGCTGAACAGTATTCAATACACATGATCCTATAGAACAGAAAACACAAAGCATTAGATAGATGAAGTAGTAAAAAAAAAAAAAAAGAACAAGAAATGTATCGATGAAGATGAAGTTCGAAGTTTCCTAAACCGGTTAGCGTTCTATCGGAGCTCCAGCGCTCTTTTCGACTTCACCAAGTTCCGACCCGTCACGTCTCTTTTCACTTTCACCTTAAGCCTCCACTTCGTTTAAACCCCCTTCGCGTCTATCTGAACAAAATTACTTTTACTAGTGATGTTATAGATTGTTCATAGGTCATTTACCTAGCCGGCCGCCTGAACCTGTCCTTACTTCAGCTTTGCGACTGGGCTATCTCTTCTTAATCTTCACCCGCGCACGACTCCTCCCCTCTGACCTCATTTGAAACTACAATCTTCACCAATATGGCTTCTCCCAGTCAGGCCCAGGGCTCTGGGCTGACGACTCAGCCTCCTACACCACCTCCCGAATCAGGAGTCAACGGCGCCTCTGCTCCAGCTGCCCCAGCACCCACTTCGCAACCATCCACTGTCCCCGCGACAGCACCGAGCACATCAACAGGAAACCCACCACAAATCCCCGGAACCTCCTTACAAGACAGCGGTAAAACGCGCCGTCCACGTGATGTGCGCTTGGTCCACATGCTTCTCGCATCACTTGGCGTAACAGCATACCAAGATCGCGTACCCCTCCAACTCCTGGACTTTGCCTACCGCTACACTTCAAACGTACTCCAAGATGCTGTGCATCTCGCTACGGAAGGATATGCAGGTGCAGTGGGTGATGCTGCTGGGAACACGGGCAAGAACGCTACCTCCGCGGAGGTAAACGGTGTTTCGCTCCCAGCACTGCGACTGAGCATTGCATCGCGACTACACTACCAATTCCAGACTGGGTTACCGAAGGAATTCCTGATGGATGTTGCGTCGGAAAGGAATCGTATTGCGCTCCCTGGTGTTTCGAGAGGATTTGATGCTGCCACGCCCGGTGGGCCTAATGGAGCACCGGCAGCTGCGGCGAACCAAAGCGTCATGATGGCTGGTATGCGATTGCCACCTGAGCGATTCTGTCTTACAGGAATGGGCTGGAATATGAAAGACGAGTGGGATAGTGAGGGTGAAGAAGAGGAAGAGGAAGAAATTCCAGATGCCCCACCGCAAGGTGCTGGCGAGGAAGGGGAGGACGGAGAGGATGAGGATGAAAATGATGGCAAGATGGAAGATATTTTCGGTGAAGACACTACCATGGGCGAAGCGGGTGATGACGAGGACCAGAAGATGAATGATGTTTAGGTCTCGTTTTACAATTTTTTGTTTTTCTTCTTCTTCTCGTCTGCTTTAGCTATGGTTGGATGGCGTTTCCTGGTGTCTGGAGTCCGTACCATAATTATTTGTGAAACCATTTAGACTAGGAAAATGTCCGGTGGTTTTAAATCAAAAAATATTCTTAAGTAAACACATCACTTTTCTACACCGGCGGTCATAAGATGGAAGGAAAGTAAAGAAGAGATGGATTTCCGGTTAATGAAGACCGCCAAATGCATGTGTATACTGTACATGAAATCAAATGCCATCCAGGTCACCCCATATTCGGGATGACCATGCAAAAAAAAAAAAAAAACGAAGAAGAACAGATGCCCAGCAAAAGTTTTAACGCCTAATTAGAATCCCATTGCGCCACAAGGAGGAGAGAAGACATACAAACTCCACCATCCTAGGTCGGATGTTTTCGGTATTCGGCATCAGGGAGGAAAAAAGTAATCGACAGGATGAAACCTATCGACCCATGGCCAAAGGAAAATCTTCAATCGAACCTTGGAATGATGCATTCGAACCATCAAATCAAGATGATGGGGAAGATCAACGATTCGTTCGCAAAACCTGCTCAAAAGAACGCGCTCATCCAGGACAAGCTTGGTAGATCAATCCAATGCCCCCCAAACGCCAAAACCAATGTACAAACAATATACAACTCACCACGAAAATGTGGTGGTGATGGAAAGAAGAAGAAATGAAACGAGCCCGAGAGAATCTCAAAGGATATAACATACGCTTGTTCGTGTCAGTAAATGATGAAATGGCAATCCAGCCAATCACCTTCCTTGAGCTTTCTCTCGGTTTCGAGCCTCATCTTCACGCATCATGCGAATTACCTCTGCACGTCGTTTCTCCACACGCACAAGTTCTTCTTCCTTTTGACGACGTCGCTCTTCATGTGTTGCGAACCAATCCTCACGTGCGCGATCTTCTTCTTCTGGATTCGCATGAGCAACCATACACGAATTCATAGCCAGGCGCTGTGTGCGGCAAACCCATGTTGCAGTGACAGTTCGGTTGACTGCGCATTCAGCGAAGGCTATTGGTTGATGTTAGTTCTGTCTTGAGTTGAATTATATGCGGTTCTCTCGGAGACGAGCTTGGTGATATATGATCAAACTTTCGCAGAGGACCCAGGAAATATGTTTGATCATAAAGTCGAGGGGGCGGAGGGGAAGGTTACATACCCTTAATCTCGGGGGCACAGTGGCTACGCACGCGCTTGTAGTAGAATGACTTGACTTCTTGTTCTTGAGAGGCAGAGAGGGGAAGAGGGTTGCGGAGGTTATATTTGCGGGGTGCGGTAGCTGCCGCTGGTGTGTCGGAAGTGGATGGTGTAGCCATTGGGATGGAGTAGCTCAATCACGGAGATTGAGGATAATTGGATGTCGATCAGCGTAGAGATGTTGCGTGGTCGGAGTGGATGGAAATATTGAGTAACGGACTCAATGGGTTGATAATTAGCTGCTGGGCAACTAGATTATGATTCCCAAAAGTAATAGAATGGACCGTGTCAAAGGAGACAATAGAGAATTCAAGAGAGGCAAAGATATCTGATCAAGATGAGGTGCAGGGTGTGTTGATGCGGAGCGTGAGAAGCCGAGTCGGGCGGAGAGGGCAGAAAAAAAAAACTTCCGTACAACTTTGAATCCGCATCTTTGCGACCATTACTAGCTTGACTTGTCAGCTATTTGGTTTTTTGACTTTTTGCTTGGACTTTCCAACTTTACATTTTACTCCCCTTTTCAACGCGAACTTGTTTGAGGTTGACTCTATCTCATCCACCCCTCACATCCGCCCAGCATGTCCTCCATGCGCAATGCCGTTCAGCGGCGAAACCACAAGGAGCGTGCCCAGCTTCAGGGCCGCGAGAAGTGGGGTATTCTTGAAAAGCACAAGGCTGGTTATTACTGGAATTAATTCTTATGATTTAATGCTAACTAGGCGGAACAGGATTACTCGCTCCGTGCCAAAGACTACAATGCCAAGCAGGCAAAGCTCAAGCGTCTCGAAGAGAAGGCGCGCGACCGCAACCCCGATGAATTCCACTTTGGTATGATGGGTGATAAAAACCAGACACAAGGCAAACACGGCAGAGGTGGCGTGGGGCGAGCCTCCGCTGCAGGAATGAGCCACGAGGCAATCAAGTTGCTCAAGACTCAGGATCAGGGATATCTCCGAACCGCTGGAGAACGGTTACGTCGACAGATCGAGACTTTGCAGTGTGAAATGCAGCTACAGAAGGGCATGAACGAGGCTTTGGGCATCAAGACCAGAGAGAAGAAAAGGAAAGAGTCAGAGGATGAAGACGACGATGATGATGAATTTGACGGATTTGATGACATGGATGACCTCGTTCTTGATGAACCCGTCAAGCAAAAGTCACGCAAGGTTGTCTTCGCTGATGATCGGGATCAACAAAGAATTCTGAAGGAGGGAAATGAAAAGGTCGAGACTCCGGAGGAAAGCGACGACGAAACGCCTGGCCAGACCAAACTTAACCCCAAGGAGATTGCTGCGAAGCGAAAAGCACTCCTTGAGACTCGCCGGGCCCGCAAACTTCGCAAGCGTGCCGTCGAGGGTCGAGAGACCAGAATCCTAGCGCTGCAGAAGCAGTACCAAGGAATCCAAGAAGCTGAGCGGGAGGTTGAATGGCAGCGGGGCAAGATGAGCAACTCCGTCGGTGGAACCAACAAGAACGGAATCAAGTGGAAGATCCGAGAGCGCAAGCGCTAGTTGACTTTTTTTCCCTGTCAATTTGGCATTTTCATTTATGAGTTGATGACCCGCGGCCACTGTCCTCAAAATTTGGGTTGTTGTTTCATGGGTTTACTATTTTTGCTCTATCTGTATCGATACCAGCATAGAAGGGGAGTTTCAGGCGTATGTATCTATTTTCATGTATAAAGAGATTAAACAGCCAAGCTGGGTCATTCTTCCAATCATTTGCAGTCCATATATGCTCTGCTGGGGTTTATTTTTTCTGTGGCAGTACGTTCTATGAACCATTCATGATCGCAGAATTGATAATCGCTGTTCAAGTGTTGCTTTCTATTTCGCATTTGTCATACAGTGGCTTCTCATAAGTTTCCATCTCTCGGTTTCCACCACCATTTTATCACCGCCTACTAGTAGTATGTACTCTAGTAGCTACTGTACACGAGTAGCTACCGCCTGCTCGCTATGATAGGTAGAATGGAACAATTGGATTTTGCAACGGCAGGCCGCAGAATACTAGGTCTTGGTGCGGCAGAAATAAAGACGTGGAAAATGGAGGGATAGAAACTTATGAGAAGCCACTGTATCCTGCGTGCTTGCTTACCCATTTTGGGCAGCATATCCCTCGATTCGTTCTAATTTTTAGTCTAATTTGATCCACATTCAAGTAATCCTCAATCGCTGATTGGATAACAAGAGAAGTCCCTCGGGAGATATGAAAGGCTGACTAATCGTTATCGCCACCCCTCACTCAGATGGGTTGTACTTTTTCTTCATATAATTTCCCTTCTCCTTCACTACGATTCCCCCCTCCCCCGCCACTCCCCACAACGCTGAAATATCTCACAATGGCTCCTTCATTCGTATCCATTGATACGAACGACTCAGATGTCTTTATGACTCCTGCATCATCGTCAAAGTCGGTCGACGCACCTCGAACCCTCCTCCTTGCTCCCCCCTCCATCGCCACTCAAGAGGATAAATTACGAGCCGTTTTCTCCTCCCACCCCCGCACAACCACAGATCTACAAATGCTCGATCGCCTTTCCGCTGGTGTCGTCACACTACCATCAAACACATACGATCTCGTCCTTATTCTTACCGATTCCGATGGCTCACGCCGCGCCGAGTCTCTCCAGCTACTTACCCGTGATGTATACACCGCACTTGTGCCGTCTATGAAGTCTGGCGGAAAGCTCCAGACAGAAGATAAAGCTCTTGATGCCTCCGAGGCAATGGAGGCGGTTCTGGCCGGTCTCGTGCAGAATGCGACTGGCTTCGAGAAGCCTAATTATGAACAAGCATCCGCTGTGCCATTGAAATTTGGTCTCAGAAAGAAGAAGGCTACACCTGCAGCTGCAGCTCCCGTTCAAGCTCCACCTATTGGATTACAGTTTGGAAATGGATTTGGATTCGATGGCATGGATGGAACCAATAATGACGGGAACGATAATGATGAGTTGATTAATGAGGACTCTCTTCTCAATGAAGAGGATTTAACGAGACCCATTATGCCGCGTATGTTCAGCGCTTCTCTCCATATCTCATCCAATTTCTCTCTCCCAACTATATACTAACATCTTATCTTCTTCAGCCCCAGAGTGCCAGCCTAAGACCGGTCGGAGGAGGAAGGCCTGCAAGGATTGTACTTGCGGTTTGGCCGACCGACTCGAGGCCGAGGATAAGGAGCGTCGCGAGAATGCCGATAAGAGTTTGAATGTCATGAAGTTGAATACAGATGATCTGGCTGAGCTCGACTTTACTGTGGAGGGCAAGCAGACTGGATCCTGCGGAAGCTGTGCTCTTGGTGATGCATTCCGTTGCGCAGGTTGCCCATACTTGGGTCTACCCGCATTCAAGCCCGGACAGGAAGTGCAGATCCTGAATGACGTCGCTCAACTGTGAAATTAACTTATGTTTTTCTTTTTTTGTTCTCATGTGGGCGTGTGGGTTCATGGCCTCCGATGTCGGGGCTCTCTCTTTTTTTTCCTTCCCCTTTTGCGCTTGGTGCCCAAACATAGGCACAATTGATTTTTGCATTGGGTTTATGCCCTACATATGATACCGTGCTAGTTTTTGCTAGCAATAATCAATATAAAAGGTGTTATGATGGTTTCTACAATCTTTACGGAGTACATTCTCATAATTGCCCCTCTTCATCAATGAACTAATGTGGATCCTGACATCATTGCTCGTCCCGCCGCTAGTCTCTACTAGTCTCGCTGAATCGTCCTCTCACCGTCTCTACAATATGAATGACAATGTGAATGGTGAGGTTTGAAATTTGCGAATTAGAGTATGGGAGAGGACTCATAAAATTTGAAAGGCTTTCATAATCATTAATTTGGAAAAAAAAATCCCTCCACAACTAACAGGGGCCTTTTTGGGTTTCGCTATTTTGAAATCATCGCGCATTCCTCATGAAACTGGTAAAAAAGTGAACTATCTTTTGGTAGGCAAAGGAAAATTACAACTGAACCACTATGAGCTCTTCTTCTTCATCATCTGCGCAACGCGAATGCTGACAGCACGCTTGTGGGCATCTAATCCCTCAACAGCCGCGAGAGTTTCGACAGTCTTGGCCAGCGATAGAAGACCCTCAGCAGTCAGGTTGGAGCTGGTGATGTGCTTAAGGAAGGATCCGAGGTTGACACCGGAGTATTGCTTGGCATAGCCGTAGGTAGCTATAGATCGATAGTGTTAGTATTAACTGGGGGTCTTGCAACAGGGAGAAACATTAAACTTACGAAGAGAGTGGTTGACACCGGCGGAGTAGTCACCGACACTTTCGGGAGTCCAAGGCCCAATGAAGACACTACCGGCATTTGAGACCTGCTCAACAAGTTCCTCGGCACCATCAACCTGCAGGATCAAGTGCTCAGGGGCGTAATCGTTGCTCAAGGCCATGGCCTCGTCGATATCCTTGACCACGAAGGTAACGGAGTGCTCCAAGGAGCCACGGACAATGTCCATACGGGGAAGAGCACGAGCCTGGGCATCGACTTCGTTCTCAATAGCAAGCAACTCCTTCTCGTTCAAGTCAACCGCAATGAGAATGACCTGGGAGTCGACACCATGCTCAGCCTGGCTAAGCAAGTCAGATGCCACAAAGGCTGGGTTGGCAGTCTTGTCAGCAATGACAAGGACCTCACTGGGACCAGCGGGCATATCAATGCTGACACCGGCAGAAGTATCATTGGACACAAGCATCTTAGCAGCGGTCACGAATTGGTTACCGGGGCCCAGAATCTTGTCAACCTTGGTGATGCTCTCAGTGCCGTAGGCCATGGCGGCCACAGCCTGAGCACCACCAGCCAAGACAATGCTCTCAGCACCAACCTTGTGAGCAACGTAGACAATCTCCGGGGAGATGCTACCATCGGCACGGGGAGGTGAGGCCAAGACGATTTTTTGGCAACCAGCAACCATAGCGGGAACACCCAGCATCATAGCGGTCGAGGGAAGAACAGCGGTACCACCGGGAATGTAAAGACCAACGCGCTCAATAGGGCGAGAGAAACGAGAGCAGACAACACCGGGCATGGTCTCCATGGTGAGGGCATCATTGCTGCCCTTTTGTGCAGAGTGGAAACGTTCAATGTTGCCAATGGAAATGTCAAGGGCCTCTTGGACATCGGGAGTGAGCTTCATCAGCTCAGGTGCGAATGGGGCGCGAATGACAGGAGATGTCAAAGAGGTGGCCTTCTCGAACTTGTGAGTGTACTTGAGCACACCAGCGTCACCGTTCTCACGAACATCCTGCACGATGGGCTTTACTAGGCCAACAATGGCGTCATTGGACTTCTGGGAAGGACGGTTGAGGAACTCCTTTACCTCGGCAGCGGAGACCTCGGCAGTGATGACACGCTTCATTTCGATGCGAGAGCGGTCCTCAGCGGGGGGAGCTGCAGCAACAGGAGCAGGGGCAGGAGCAGGAGCAGCCTTGGCCTGGGGAGCAACCAAACCAGCCTTCTCAGCCCAAGGTCCCTTGGCATCACCTTTTCTCCGCTTGACCTTTAAGCTCTTGAGATCCAAGTTGCGCTCAATATCTTCAAGGGTCACACCGGCGGCAGTACACTTGGTCAAGGCAAAGTACAGCAGATCGGCAGCCTCAAAGGCAATCTCCTCCTTGGTTTCAGCGCGGCACAATTCCTCCGCTTCCTCCATGATCTTAGCTTCGGCGAGCTTGGGCTCATTGAACAGACGAGCGGTGTAGGAGCCAACAGGGGCATCGGCCTTGCGCTCCAAAAGGGTCTTCTGAAGGCGAGACAGACCAGTGGAAGCGCCAAAGCAAGTCTCAGTACCGAGGTGGCAGAAGCCTGGGAAAAAATGAGTCACCATAAATTTAGCAATCGATATCTTTTTTTTGGCACACCAAGGCGCTGGGTTCTTACCTCGTCCAATCTGCTTCACAACAAAGACTAAGCAGTCAGCATCGCAGTCGTAGCCCATGCGAATCAATTCTTGCACGTCGCCACTCGATTGGCCCTTGTACCACAACCCACGCTTGCGACTCTGGTAGACACCGGTACCGGTGCGCAGAGCCTCCGCGATACTCTCATCACTACTCCAGACAAATCCAAGGCAAGCACCTCTCTCATCAGTAACGGATGTAGCATACAAACCATTTGACTGGTCTGTGACTGCGCGCGAAGCCAGAAGCTTAGCGGCAGAAAGCTGACCCGCCGCATCCCGCTCGACGGTCAACGCCTGGGAGGGAATAATGGCAATGGCACCCTGCTGAGTGACCTGTGTAACCGACTCCTCAGTGAACTTCTCTTGATCCTTGTAAGAAATGTAAAGACGGGGGGAATCGGAGCTGATGTTCAATTTGGTGGCGGCGGTGGTGGCGGCGGCAGACTCGGTACAGACGCTGGCATCGTTACGCTCGGAGGCATTGGCAGAGATCCACTGTTGGAAAGTGTCTAACTGATCGTTGGAGAGGGCATAGACCACCAGTCGTGATGATGGAACAGATTGTTCCTGGGAGAGTGCGGTCAATTGGTCGAGGGTGATGAAGATCTTGGCGGCACCGGCGTTAAGAATATCGACAAGATCACCGGCGGAGGAGATGGCAGTGGCGTCCACGTAGATGTCGAGGTGACGGAAGTTTTCACGCAAGAACTTCTCTGCTTCGGCCAGACCTGAGACCTTCACCAGCACCCGCCCGAAGTAGGCGATCTGCTTGAGTGAAAGTCCCGAGGTGGGGGTAGAGGGGTAGGAGATAAGGAATGGCGTAGCCATTATGGAGGATGTGTGAGATGTAAGAGAGAGAGAGAGAGAGATCAAGGGGGAGAAAAGGAGAAAAAAAGGGAATTTCCAAAGTGAAATCCCCTATGGAGAAGTTGGGAACTTGAAGGTATGACTCTTTTCGTGTGACTCTCTCTGTACTAGTTTTGACTGGTTAAAACAAATTTCCCTCCCCCGCGGGCATCCACCGCCTCCGCTGCCCGCACTCCGATAATTGGCAATTGCAGTATGTAATTGTCAGATATTAGTTTTTTTTTCTCTCTTCTTTTTTTTTTTTCCTTTTCTTCCTCTCAACGAAGTCGATTGATCTAATTTACTTTTCCTTGTTTGTTGGAATTATGCATCCTCCCGAGTCTGAAAGCAATCAACCATGCCTGCAGCCTACAGGGGTGATTCGTGGCTTTCCCATTGGTCCTTGTGACTGCTTATATTTCATAGACAATCTTATAGGCGGAGATAATACCATCACGATACTCTTGGAAACCTTGAGAAACAGATTCCAAGCCATTAAGCACCTTTGTTTGATTGGGCTTGACTGCGCCTTGCTCCAGCCATAAAGGCAATTTGTCAAATAGTTCACTGGCAAGAGTATGGTCTTCTTTTGACGCCTAGAAACGTTTAGCCGGCCCCGTCCAAGAATCGAATCTGCAACGAATAGGTAAAAATCCAACTAACCGGCCAATGGAAATGAGCATAACGGTGATCTTTCAGAAATGCCGTCCACACTAGAACATCCGTGACATGAGTATTCGGGGTGACCTTTTCAGTATTTGCTTTGCCGGGGCGAACAGTGCATAGATTGCCATTACGCTGACCAAATACTTGGGAGGCAAGAGCTGAGGATGTCTCATCTCCGATAGTATCAAAGATATACTGCAGATCTGGAGCGACACTGATAATCTTTTTGATAACCTCGGAGTCACGATAGTCAAAGACATGTTTGGCTCCGCATGACCGGACGAGATCGGCGTTTCGAGGGCTGCAGGTTGTAATAACGTCGAGGCCACAGATAGATGCCAACTGAATGGTATATAGACCCACGCTTGCTGTGGATGGTCAGTAGTCAGATAATGCGAAGGGAGATAGAAACCTACAGCTACCACCCCACACTAGCACACTGGTCTGTTCAGAGCGATCGATGTTTAGGCAACCCTTGGAAAATAATGCCAACCATGCAGTTGTAGCAGCTAGTGGAACAGTGCTAGCTTGATCACTTGGGGTATTGGAGGGCACGCGAAAGCTGATATTCTGGTCGGCGACGGTATATTCACTGTAGCCACCCAATCCAGAAATTTCGCCTGCAATTAATTCTATGTGAGCTGCGTCACTCAACCTGCGTTATTGGAAGGACTCACCTCCCCAGATTAGACCGGCAATCCTATCACCTTTGGCGAGTCGAGTCACTCCGCTACCTAACTCTGTGACTTTTCCAACAAAATCACACCCCAGAACAGCCTCATCTCCAAAGGCATTCCGATCGAAGCTTTGAACTGAAGGTTTATAATTTATAAGGAAAGTCTCAACTAATTTGGGCAGAAGGAAATATACCATCAGTAGGATTCTGAGCCACGTGCGATACCTTGATTTGGACTTGGCCAGGCTGAGGCGTAGGACGGGGAATCTGTTCCAAGGAGTGGTTTCCACCACGAACAAACAGAGTGTTTGATTTGGACTCCATGATCTTTGGATTCAGACTGGGAAATTATAACATAATCCTACTTGAAGCTAGGAAATCCGAGCCTTTTCAAGTTGACCTCCATGGACGAAGCTGACAAATGCATATGTGCCAATGCATATCTTTCCTGATGTAGCCATGCAGCGGGGTTAACGATCGGAAACCCGCCTAAGGACGAGAATTCGTATGTGAATTAGGGAAATCTTGAGCAAATGTGAATTTTAAAGGACATATTGTTCCGTCCTAGAGGTTTCCAGTCTACATTAGACCGAATACTGTAAGCTAAATGCGCCGAGTAGAATGTCATGTTGCACTCGGGTCTTGCCATATGCCAAGAATCAGATATGCAAAGATGCGGGGACTTTTGGATCATTTTGCCAGGTTTCTTTGGTTTGCGAGATCTCCCCGCGCTGTGAAAAACATGGAAATGGGCAAAGGCAAAGTTTACAAGTTCCACCATGGCAAAATAGACGAGGATTGGAATTTGTAAATGCATCGGAATTGTGATCGTGATCGTCCTAGTCTCGGATGCACAGCATTCCTCCGAGACCACAAAGGGGCACAGATTGGAGCCCTTGCTGAAATCCCATCACAAGTGGAACCTTTCCAAAGATCCAGGAATCCAGGAACGGTATAAGTATGATATCAGGGGATTTTGTTAAGGAACCAAAGTCAAATAAAATAATCGAAAAGGAAAAGGGGAAAAGGGGAAAAAGAGTACTAGTAGGCGTGTGACTTCCCCGAAAATCAATTATCACACTTTCCCCACTCCTCATACCTCAACGAATCCACATTACTTTAACTCGCCTTTATCCCATCGCTGGAGGTCCCTCGTTGGCGAAACTTGCACTTGTCTTTTATTCTTAAACCGAAAAAACCCCCCTTTCACTCACCATATATAACCTACTATACACTCTCTTTTGGGTAAACAAACGGGCGTCAACAACCATGCGCCCCATATCGTCATTATCTTTAGTGGCTCTAGGCTTAGTGGGGTCCACCACTGCTTATCCACAGCCATATCAAGATGCCGAGGCTGTCTTGGGCGTTTCCTCTGCCTCCTCAAACCAGGACAAGGCCGATGCTGTCAAGGAGGCCTTTCAACATGCATGGGACGGATACAAAAAATATGCCTTCCCACACGATGAGTTGCATCCGGTGAGTAATGGGTACGGGGACTCCAGGTAAGCATTATGCCATCAGGGGTTTTGTTCAAATTAGAAATCACCGAAAATGAACCGTAATTTTCTTGTTTAGGAACGGATGGGGTGCCTCCGCAGTCGATGCCCTTTCAACTGCCATTGTCATGGGTAACCAGGATGCAGTCACCACGATCTTGGAACATATCGCCGGAATTGATTACAGCAAGACCTCGGACCAGGTCAGCTTATTTGAAACAACCATTCGATACCTAGCTGGCATGCTATCCGGTTATGATTTGTTGACCGGTCCAGCTGCAAATATGGCCACCGATCCAAGTCACGTTGATGCTTTACTCACACAGTCGAAGAATCTGGCCGATATTCTTAAATTCGCTTTTGATACCCCCTCCGGTGTCCCCTACAACGGTATCAACATCACTTCTCAGGGGAATGACGGAGCCACGACCAATGGCCTTGCGGTGACCGGTACCCTTGTGCTGGAATGGACTCGTCTGTCCGACCTGACAGGTGACGACGAATATGCCAAACTCAGCCAGAAGGCCGAGTCCTACCTGTTGAACCCTCAGCCAGCCAGCACAGAACCATTCCCCGGCCTTGTGGGCAGTCACATCAGCATCGCCAATGGTCAATTCACCGATGGCTCAGTTACCTGGAATGGAGGTGACGATTCGTTCTACGAGTACCTGATTAAAATGTACGTGTACGACCCTAAGCGGTTCGAGACGTACAAGGACCGCTGGGTCCTGGCCGCCGAGTCGACCATTAAGCACTTGGCGTCACACCCGGAAGCCCGCCCGGAATTGACGTTCCTGTCTTCGTACAACAACGGCAACTATGATCTCAACTCACAACATTTGAGTTGTTTCGACGGCGGAAGCTTCCTTTTGGGTGGAAGCGTACTGGGCCGTCAGGACTTTATTGACTTTGGTCTTGAGCTGGTTCATGGATGCGAGGCTACTTACAATTCTACTTTAACCCACATTGGTCCGGATTCATGGGGCTGGGACCCTAAACGGGTACCAAGTGACCAGAAGGCATTTTACGAAAAGGCGGGTTTCTACATCAACAGTGGTTACTACGTCCTGCGACCGGAGGTGATTGAAAGTTTCTACTATGCGTACCGTGTGACTGGGAACAGTATAGTAAGTATTTTTTCTGCCCAATCGACACCTGACCACCATTCTGACCTGAATTTAGTATCGCGATTGGGTGTGGAATGCATTTGTGGGAATCAATGCTACTTGCCGCACTGACTCGGGTTTTGCGGCCGTCACCAATGTGAACGCTCCGAATGGTGGTTCCAAGGACAACAACCAGGAAAGCTTCCTGTTTGCCGAAGTCCTGAAGTACTCGTACCTGACTCACGCAGAGGGTAAGTTTACTCGTTTTCCAAGGGGGAAAAGGGCTTTTATGCTGACTTTCAATTAGATGCCGAGTGGCAGACTAAGAAGGGTGATAACAATGCTTTCGTGTTTAACACCGAGGCCCACCCCATGCGTGTGAACCGTACCTAATTCCTGTTATTGTTCCTAGTAAATAGGCATTAAGTATGAGTCTCAATTAGTATATCCACTATGTTGTCTCACTTCTTACACAAGAGAAAATATTCAACTATTTGGTTGTTATAACAGATTGCCGTAATGATAGATCAACCTTGGTCGCGAAAATTAATACAGCCGACAACGAAGTAAAGGGCTTGCAAGGTAAGTGGTGGCAACATGAGTTTACCGAAGAAACCTTCGAACGACCTATTCACTTGGGAATATGTGGAACATGAAAAATGAGAGTGCTCGCGTCAAGACGGCGTCGGATCGGTCGCGAAAACCCCCAGTATGACTCTATGTTATTCTTTCAATGTTTCTAATGCGGCGACTATTGCTACTCACATGCAATCGACAAAAGCATGAAGCTCGAATAGGCACATCAGCCATTGCCAAAGCAAGCCGTAGCTGTGGCTCCAAAATGCGTGCCTCTGCCAATCTATCCAGCTTATTCAAACACTCGTGATACCCGTGAAGAGCCCAGACATTATTCGGATGTCTCAATGCACGAGGCAGCGACTGATCAATTCCAAGATCGGCGGCATAAATATTAGCCGCTTCTTCGACTCGACCTTGTTCGAGAAGTAAAGCTCCCAGAGCATGTCTAGTTGGCTGCATCCAGCCCCAGGGCTCGTCATAAGGAAGATTGTCATCCCTTTCAATAGCAGTCCGGAGACTAGCAAATGCAGCATCGTATTCCCCACAGCGATATAAAATCTCTCCCTCCAGCATGGGAGCAGCAACACCAAGAATATCCACACCGGTATTGTTAAATATAGTCCGAGAAGCAGGGACCAGCTTGACGGCAGATAGAAAGCGCTCCTGCTCCTTTCTCGCCTCGTCAATCCGGTTCGTAGCTGCAAGAGCTACTCCTTTTGCGTAGTGTGTCATGGCGGTGGTCACGCAGTAAAGTGCTTGATTCACGGGAAGCGCCAAGGCAATGATATCATCCCAACGACCGAATCGAACCAGAGGATGTACTCGCATGGCCACGAATCCTTCAAGCCAATCAGCAAGAGGGGGTGATCGTACCTGCAGGAGATCCTCAGTCAGAGAATCGGCTAATTCAGTGGCAGTGGTTAGAGCGATCTTAGACTGGCCGCCCAGCATGGCCGCATACATGCGAAAATGGTAGTCATGCGCACGATAAAGATGGTAAAAATGACCCAGACTCTGGTTAGCCAAGAACTTCTCATCCGCCCGAATCGCAGATGTATTTGATGCGATCGCTCGTCGATAGTCACCGCAGAGAATGTCCAAGTGAGTCGGCATATGTTCCAAGTGACCAGCATCGGGAACGAGGCCTCGCAGGTTATCTGCTACCGGGAGCGCACACTCTGGTGTTGAGGACATCTCCATCAGGTGAATATATAAATGCAAGAGACCAGGATGTTGCAGAGCATCCTCGCGTGCCAATGCACAATCTAGAGCTTGCTTCACTTCAAGTGTCCGGGCACCAGGTGTAGGCTCGCCAGTTTTCAAATCCCATAAGCCCCATGGGGTTAGATTCATTAATGCATCGCAATATAGGGCAATGACATCCAAGTCGTCCGGAAAAATCTGGTAAACAGCTGCCATGGCCTTGGCATATTGGCTGTTCCATTCTGTAAAGTCTTCAACGGGTTCTGTTTGAGGGTATCGCTGCTGTAAAGCCTTGATCAGCGCTTTCTCCACAGGAGATACGGCGTGCTTTGCCGCCTCAATAACCGCGGAATGCGCCCGTGTTGTGGTGGTTGAAAGATCCTCTCCATCAAAGAGCTGCCATGGTTTATTGTAATTTGGACCTAGCGAGAACGCCAAGCCCCAGTATCCCATCGCACAAGTCGGATCTGCTAATATGGATTGTTCAAAACAATGAGCTGACTCCTGGTGGTTGAAGGCAAAGGCCCAGATGAAGCCACGGTTGAACCACGCCTGGGCATCTTGGCTGGTGGTTGTAATGGGCCGGTGGAAGGCACCCAGATCGTAGTATTTTGTAGCAGATGATTTCTTGGTCGGTATTTTTGTTTGATGCCAGACCGTGGCAGCAGAAGCAGATTCGGTCATTGTGGTCGAAGTTGTCAAAAAGATCGTGATGGATGTGCTGCTGCATTGTGGCCCGGCTCCTAGCGGGGCCCCGTAGGTGTGGGGTGAGAACCAATCAGAATGGACACTAGAAGTATACAAGCGTACAGGTTGAACAGAACTCACAGAAGTAGAGAGATCCAAATGAACATTTGGTTTATTAAGGGCTCAGTGTGTAATGGTATACATACTACTAGTACTAGTATGTATATTTTGACAATCGCTCCTTCCTCATGTTCGCTGTTTCTGTTACTGGCTTCAAAACACCCCAAACAGAACAACTTCGAAACACCCAACGTTTTCTTCCATCTACAACTCCTCACCTGAACTTCCACCTATCCTTACCGTGAAACCTACGAACTCATCATTTCCTCCATTCTGTACAACATCCAAAGAACATCACATTATCAAGTTCTATTCTTCGCTCACCGCCGTTTCAACATGTCGTCGAGTCCCCCAATCAACCTTCCCGCCTGGCAAGTGACCATCGGCATCTTTTTGTCGGTCACATTCCTCATTCTGATTGAAAAACTGTTTGGCATTCATGTCAACATCCGATTCAAGTAAGTTCCACTGAATCATCTTTCTTCTTTTCATCGACTGACATTCTATTTTAGTAAAGGCACTGCGATGGCCACCTTCCCTGGCTGGGCGCAAATCCTTGGACCGGGTGAAACCCAAGTCGCTCTCCTTCATCGTTGGATCGACGCACACCGAAACCCAGCTGCCATTCAACAAACTCCATCAGCTCCGACATGCCAGTCCACCCTGACACCCCACACAACTCAGACTGCAGCTCAAAACTCGACGCAAAACACCGCCCAGCACATCGGGTACACCGGTACTTTCAAGTCGAAGCAGCTGATGGTGGATGCATGATTGTTGCGGATTGGTTTTTTTTTTTCTTCCTTCATTTTGTGGTTTGTCTGATTTTCATTTGACGGAAAACGGATGGTACAAGCGAACCAAATTTGCGGAGCAGCGGACGTTGATCCTTGGGCCTCGATCCACTTGACCCACAGCTCAAATGCGCTCATTCCCTCTCATGGAACCTTGTGGGTGTGTTGGTTATAAAAGTACTGCTTTCTCTCGTTAAACTGTTACTCAAAGAATTGAACTTTTTTTTCCCTTGCGCAACTTGCTTCCATATATCTTGTACAGAACTCTTCGGTTTTTCTTTTTTAATCCATCATCCATACAACTGCTACCATGTGCAACGGCGAAAGCAACCGACCTACCTTTGGCGGAACCATTGCGGTCATGTCCTCAGATCGCCTGGAATCCTCACGATCGTCTTCACCAGATTCCATTGCCTCATCCTCTTCCTCCACGCTTTCCATGTCCTCATATTCGCTTTTCTTCCGCAACTCCGATGAACACAACCGCCATACCAAGGCAATCTTTCAAATTGACGATGCACAAACATATCATGCCTTGCGGAGCAGCCGTGAAGTCTACATGCGAGTGGAAAAATACGGGGACCTCTCCAACCGTGAAGCCGTCCCTCTGCATCGGTTTGCCATGGACTTTTCAAAACTTCCACATCGGTTTCAGCCAAATTTCGAGTTCGAGCTGCCCGAGACCCTGGAGCTGGGTGTGTCAGAGAAAGGAGTGATAGGACGACAGCTTTCGATGATGGATGAATGTGGCTGTCTAGCCCTTGGGATTATTGGGTACAATTAAATTGTCGCGGATCAATGTATATGTATGGCGTATGGAGTTTACAAATATTCATAGCGTTGAATTTCCAATAATATTTTCAATTGCATTCATGGCTGGCCTTGACTAAAGATCTCATTTGAGAAACAATCAAAAAATCATCATCCCCGAACTCCGCCTATTCACAGCTTGGTCCGAGCAGTGTAACGGTTCTCCGCCTCCTGCCAGTTAATGATCTCCCAAATAGCCTTCAAGTAGCCTGCCTTGTTATTCAAATATTGAAGGTAAAAAGCGTGCTCCCACATGTCAACTCCGACCAGAGGAACATCACCACCAGCCACCGGGTCCTGATCCTTGGTCGTGACAATCTCCAAAAGCTGACCCCTCGCAATCAGCCAACCCCACCCACTTCCCTGGATTCCGAGCAAGGCAGCCTCAAAGGCATCGGTGAAGGCCTTCTCCGAGCCCCAGCGGGAAAGAATAGCCTCTCGCAGAACGGGTGCCGCGGTCACAATATTGTTAGCCGGAGTGCCGGGGGGAGTGAGGTTTTTCCAAAAGAGAGAGTGGTTGATGTGACCGCCACCGTTGAAGCGGATCTTCTGCTGAAGAGAGATCAAGGCCGAGACATCGTTTGTCTGAGTTGCAGCTGCATGATCCTTCAAAGCGGCGTTGAGGTTTGTGACGTAGGTTGCATGATGTTTATCATGGTGTAAAGTCATGATTTGCTTTGAACTCACAGGCTCCAGAGCCTATGGAGGTTTGTATTAGCTCTGCTTAATAGGTCGGGATTCGGAAGTACTTACATCGTAGTCGTAAGGAAGTGGAGGAAGGACGTGCATCGTGAGAGAACTGCAATGAGACGAAGTATGGATGGAAGATGTAGAGCAAAGGAATATGAGTTGGATTCCAAAGGTCGTGAGAAAGAGAAAGAGAAAGAGCCTGGAGAGGAAGGTGGTTTGTGCTAGTGGCAGACTACCAAGGTAGGTCACGGTGGATTGAGCATATTATTAGCTCCACCTGAACTCGCGTCATTTATCCAAGGTAATATGCACTGTCTTTTTATTTTTCACGAAAGTGCTTACAATCATCATTTCAAGAGTACAGATAGTATTGGATAAGACGCACAAATATATTGAATTCAACCCAGTCTTTATTCAAGAGTGTTGGAAGTAAAGCCCTGGCACGATAAAAAACTATTTGGCAGGAAAAGGTATTTGGAAGCATTTTCTTTTTCATTTAAAGCACGACGGTCTCCGCAACGGTCTTTCATTATTCTCAGTATTTGAACAGTATATAGCACGTTACAGCATTTAAATATGACTGTATATTCTGTAGCTTATGTAGGTTGCAGTGAAATGCTTATTAATCAATTGTTTGCGGGGTCTCCCGAGGCCCTCGGTCAGGGTCCAAGCATTATTACATATAAAACCAGAAACCTCTCCAAAGTTGAACATTCGATCCCTTCGCATATCTCATCTCTTTAAGCTTGTTCTATCCACATCTCAATCATGTCAGCCACCGACCAGGTCCAGTTGGCCGATTTTGGTAACATTTTCTCTCTTCACGGCAAAGTGGCTGTGGTAACGGGAGGATCAAGGGGCCTTGGACTGCACGCCGCCTCTGGGTGAGACCCCCCTTTCCATTCCAGCCTTCAGTTCAATGTTGACTAAACTATTTACAGCCTTTTGCAAGCTGGGTGTTCAAAAGTGTACATCACCAGCAGGAAGAAGCAGGCCTGTGAGGAAGCCGTTGCAGCCCTAAATGCCCTCCCCAATAAGCGTCCCGGCGCCCAGGCAATCAGTATACCTGCCGATAGCGCCTCAATGGCAGAGCTCGACAGATTGGTCACTGAGATCAAGAAGACAACAGACCATGTTGATATCCTGTTCGCAAACGCCGGGGCCACATGGGGAGAGGCCTTTGATACACACAATGAAAAGTCCTTCGAAAAGGTCATGAACTTGAACGTCAAATCTGTGTTCTATACAATTCAAAAGCTCACGCCACTCCTTACGGCAAAGGCAACCATTCAGGATCCATCCAGAGTTGTCGTAACGGCCTCGGTGGCCGGTATCGGTATTGGATCTGTCGGAGGACCAAACGCAACACCCTCATATTCAATCAGTAAAGCAGCGGCAATCCATTTGGCTAAGAACCTAGCAGTTGAGCTTGGCCCCCGGCATATCCTTACCAATGCTATTGCGCCTGGCTTTTATCCAACAAAAATGGCAAATGGGCTTATCGAGTTGAAGGGTGGCACCGAGGAGCTGGAAGCGTATTCACCGAATGGCCGACTTGGAAAGCCTGAGGATATCGCAGGATTGGTCGTCTTTCTGTCATCTCCGGCAGCCAGCCATATAAATGGCGCTGTTATAACAACTGATGGAGGAAGTGTGCTGAAGGGACGGTTGTAACTTGGTAGAGCTATGGTTTGCGCGAGGGCAACGAGGGCATCATTATTACCACTATGTCAAGTAAGAAATTTTATTCATGTACTATTTGCGCCACTGGAGAAAGCAAAAAATGAGACATACTACTATATCCGAATAGATGCGTGTCATTCCAATCTAGATGCTCTAAGTTACTTCATTATCCCTGTGCAGGGACACGTAGCGATTTTGAACCGTCATAAAATCTGCCAGAAGACACAATTGTCCAGTCCTGGCTTGTGCCAATCTGATTGTATTAACAGAAAAAAAGGGTGCTCCTTTTTTTATATAGAACTAGGTACCATGCATGTGATCCACCCTTGTAACCTTTCAAACACTGGCTACAGCCTGGAGTTGACAGTAGTAGGTCGCTTCTGCACTGCATCGTCGACAAGCTCCATCGCCTGGAATAGATCATAGTCTCTCTGCTTCGGGGTAAACACCTGGACACTGAGCGGCGAATCCAAATACACTCGGCGATCAGTCTCATTCCATAATTTGCGATTCGCCTTGTCCCAGCTGCCCAGCTCTGGTGAAGAGAGCTCCACCTCCAAATCTTCCTCAACAAGCTTTCGCGCTGGAATTGTTCCAGCCGGATAATCCAACAACACCATCATTGAGGTGTATCCTACTGCATTATATCGATCTATCTCAGGGACCGGGTGCGGTGCCACTGGACAAATTATTGCATCCACACGTCTTTCGCGGGATGAACTTCCACCTTGAAGCGTCCACATCTCCATCATCTCTTTCTCCAACTGAGAGCGTTGCGCGTGTAGGTCTGCTAGCTGGTTGATAGTCAATGCCTTGCCACGTCCATACCGACCCTGCAACCAGGGGATAAGTGGTTCCCCAGTACTTTCAATGAGATCCATCATTGTTGAATTATCGTCGACACCCATGAGTCTACCAGCTACTGCTTGGCACTTTCTCATCGTAGGAGGTGTCGGTATATCAACAACCTCGACACCAGGCGTCTGACGTAAGACCTGGGCGACTTCATCGATGACACGAGCCACAGGTGGCAAGGGAGTTACCAGTCCGTCCGATTTGAGGATACCAATCGTAAATTTTCGCCGAGTAGTAGGTGCGACCGGTGATAGAGCTTGCTTGTTCCATTGACCTGGAATACAGTCTTCGTCGAAAAGTTCGGCACGAGGCACGATCTCAGCCATGACAGCCCCCAAATCAGCAACTGTTCTGGCAATCGGACCAGCAACTGGCTGAATACTCATCCTCCCCTTACCAGGGATTTGCCCACTTTCCATGCCACCGTATGGAACCCGCCCCTCACTCGGTTTGAATCCAAAAATTCCATTACTCATTGCTGGCACTCGAATACTTCCTCCGATATCGGTCCCGAATCCCACCATGGAACCTCTCATGGCAACGAGTACACCCTCGCCGCCAGAGCTTCCACCTGCAGTCCATTGATAGTTTAGAGGGTTAAGAGTCCGCCCAAATAGGTGGTTACAACTGTCCAGAGTGGCGAGTGTCTGAGGGACGTTTGTCTTGGCCACCACAATTGCACCAAGACTCTCGAGGAGATCGACGAGCGAAGCGTTTGCCGAAGCGGGCTTGAACGCCAATGCAGAGAGACCGATGCTCGAATCTACGCCCTTGATGTTGAATGTATCCTTGACCGAGACCGGAAGGCCATGCAATGGGCCAACGGGGTGACCGGTGCGATCGAGGTAGTCATCGAGATCACGCGCCCGCTTTAATGCAGCATCAAAGAGGGGCTGAGTAAGACATCGTGTAACTTGATGGGCAATTGCAGCTCTCTGAGATATTCTAGTTTAGCGTATTTGATATAAAAAAAAAGATGAGAGAGATCAAATTGACCTTGCAGAATGCCTGAATGACCGCCTCAGTTTTGAATTTGCCTTCTTTCATCGCCAGTACAAGTCCTCGTATATCATAGTTTTCGGTGATATCCAGCTCCTTGGTTGTGAGAAGTCCACAAGTACGAGGAATATCCATTACATTGGTTTTTTCGTAACGTTTCGGTTCAGCGATGGATTCCGCAGGCGTAAGCAGTGGGATTGTAGCTGGGAGCTTCCATGCTGTTGGTATCGCAGCATTCAATTCAGCTTGTTTTTGCTTGGCGATTGCCAGGTAGCTCATGATGATAGTCGAGACAGGTCAGTAGAACCTTAGAAGCTGAAGGAAAGTGTTGTCAATGGAGGAGATGGTGGAAAAGGCGGGGAAGTTGGAACATTCCTAAGGTTTAAACCTCGGTACAATGTACATACTCGATTTGGTCGGTAATCAACAAAAAATCAAAATCAAAAAGATGCCGATGCTTCTTTGAATTACATCACAGGCATCAAGAACATTAGTTGCTTCTTGGTAGGATCGGTGATGCGAGGTTCCCCTCCTTGGGGGTTGGAGCCGACGAGATCCGCCTGAAGCTGGGTTTTGAGGTCAACCCTTTTCACAGGGGCGGGAGTGCGGCGGCCGATAGAGGCCACCCAAGGGTACTTTCCGACCAGCAGAAAGTAAATTACGAGTAGTTCCAAATTCATATTAGTTTTTGAACTCCATTATGTTCAGGCAGGTCAACGCTGCATTATTGTACATTAAATCCTTGAACTCTATGTATCATATATTAGTATTGCTATATTATATTCAATGTTAACTACTTCTCGTTCTGTAGGTAAATTATCACAAGAACTGGCAAGAAAGAGAGGCTGAGATCCTACATAAGTCATATAACATTTGAATCCACTCTCAAGTCTATTCTCAAGTCTATTCTCAAGCCTATTCTCAAGTCTATTCTAAAAGTGACCCGTATTTAGATCAAATCCCTTAAGATATTCCTATATATGATAAATACAATACGGGAAACAGGGCGGTGAAGTTAGAAACTGAAATTGGGATATGACCTAGGGGTGGCCTCTATCGGCCGCCGCAATCGAATCAGGCGAAGCTCTCAGTGTCGATGTTGACCGATCGGTACACCATGGACGCCAGGAGCGCCGTTGAAACAACCATGATCGCCGCGCCAATAGCCGCAAGAGGCTTGCTGTAACATATAAGCCATTCAGAACGTGAAAGACAATCTCATCAAAACCAAACTTTGGTGGGGTCAGGGACTCAGGAGCCGCTCTCAGGGACCAGGGTCCAGACTCCAGGGGAACATGAGCGAGCTCGGCTTCTCAGCCGAATCATAGAAAAAATAAAGCCCGACACCGATGCGCTTTAGCGTAATTGAACTTAATATTCTGACCTATACATAGTAGCTAAATTATGAATCCATGATTCATAAATACTTTAAATTGATCGCAGACTCGACTGGCGCCTAGCAGTTACAATTTTAGCGCGTTGTTGCCTGATTCAATTTGGCTGCTTTATGCCTCAGGCCAACATTACGTGTTACCTTTAAAGAGCTGCTTTGATTCCTTCCGAGGTTTTGAACCTTGTCCATTTTCTCTAATTCATTTGCTCCTATTCATTTTCTTTTCTGCTCGCACTACACACATTACAGATGGCGCCTCGGTCATTCACAACGCTTGTGATCGCCGTCAGTGGAACAATTCCAGGCTTTAAGCAAGGTAAATACTAGCGGCCCCGGCCCCATGGCTGAAATGGATTCTGACACTCAATCTTAGCCGAAATCAAAACACTGGTCGAAGGAAATAGTGCAACATTCGCTAACTCCGTGGACAATACGTGCACTCACTTGATTGCAACTGAGAAAGAGGTCGCGAAAAAGAGTGCCAAATGTGAGTCTCGTAGTACCTTGATCATTCAATTCTCATTGCTGTGTCCTGACACGCCAGCACAGACCAAGCAGCATGCAAGGTAGAAGGATGTCAGGTAGTGTCCGTGGACTGGTTGGTTGAATCTAGCGAAAGAGGAAAAGTTCTCCCTGAGCTGGTTTATCTCCTCGACCAAGAGGAGAAAATACCACCGACCGAAAATGCTGGGGACAAAGGAAAGAAGCGTGCCATGAAGCAAGAAGATGATGCCGAGGCACCAGAATCGAATAAAAAGCAAAAGGAATCTCAGTGTACCAGCTCCAGGACCTTGAACGTTCCTATCGATTATGCTTTTCTTCCCAGTTGTCCTTTCTTGAGGAACCGGCAAGGTAATTCTTAGTCTTGCAAACCCCCCTACTCCAAAATTATTGCTAGACTCACCATACTCCTCCCCCAGGTTCCAAGGTCCACATTGAAGACTCTCTCATATGGGACGCCACACTCAACCAGGCCCACGCAGGCAACAATAATAACAAGTTTTACCGCATCCAGCTGATAGCATCCGAAGACTCGAAAGAGTTCGTTACGTGGTGCAGATGGGGGCGTATTGGGGAGCAAGGCCAGTTTGCTACCCTGGGACACGGGGGTCTGCAGGGGGCCAAGGCCTGCTTCGAGAAGAAATTCAAAGACAAGTCGGGATTAAAATGGGAGAATCGTTTTGATGATCCGAAGAAAGGAAAATATACTTTCATCGAAAGGAGCTATGAAGATGACGAGGAACCCAACAAAACGGTGGACAAAACCGACGCCGATATAAAGGTCAAGGTTGAAAGCACTCTAACCAAGCCGGTACAAAACCTCATGTCATTCATATTCAATCAACAGCACTTTGACTCTGCGATGGCCTCGATGTCTTATGATGCCGCCAAGCTACCACTCGGAAAATTGAGTGACAGAACTCTACGGACGGGCTTTACGACATTGAAGCAACTGGCGAGACTGGCAACCAATCCTGTGCATGATACGGCCTGGCAGACAAGTGTGGATGACTTGAGCAATGTCTACTTCACCACAATACCCCACGTCTTTGGTCGCAATCGCCCGCCCATCCTGAACTCTATCGCACTCATTAAGCGAGAAGTTGAGCTTTTAGACGCGTTAAGCGAGATGGATGTGGGCAATGAGATCATGAAGGATGCTAAGAAGCTTTCGGACATGAATGAATTGGATAGTCAGTTCAGTTCATTAGGGCTCAAAGAAATGACGCCATTGGAACCTGGCCAAGAGTTCACCGAACTTGCTGCATATTTGAACAACTCTCGTGGGCAGACTCATAATTTGAAATACGAAGTGAGTCTCGTCCCTAAGAAAAAAAAGTCTTTCTTTCCATCCAATACTAATCCATTTCAGGTGATCGATATCTTCCGAGTTGAAAGGGATGGTGAAAATGATCGCTTTACGAGCTCCGAGTTCTCAAAGCTGCAAAACAGCGATCGTCGTCTCCTTTGGCATGGAAGTCGTTCCACAAATTTCGGAGGCATTTTATCCCAAGGACTTCGAATCGCCCCGCCAGAAGCCCCCGTGAGCGGCTATATGTTTGGAAAGGGAATATACCTGGCAGACATCAGCAGCAAGTCGGCCAACTACTGCTGTCATCATAGCAGTGGGAATATGGCACTACTTTTGTTGTGCGATGCAGAGTTGGGATCCCCGATGTTGGAGCTGTATCAAAGCGACTATATGGCTGGCGAGATTGCCAAAAAGGAAGGCAAGATCGCCACACTAGGCCAAGGGCGGGCAAAGCCTGGTGGCTGGAAGAAAGCTTCTTGCCTTAATGAGAATTTGGCCAATGTTCTCATGCCCGATACTGTGGCGCCTCAGATTCAAGATCAAACGGCTGGGCTCCAATACAACGAATACATTTGTTATGACGTGGCACAGATCCGGCTGAGATATCTTTTCTACGTCAAGATGGGATAAGCTGGTTTACATTATTATATCCTTGCTTTGGGAGGATAACATTCATGTGTGGATGAATCTTTTAAAAGGGGAAAGTGGCTTTGATTGAAGATATATGTATTTTATAGCTGAATAGCACCCATTAAGACAATATGAGAGGAAATGGAAAGGATTATAATGTTCCAAGTTCCAACTTTGAAGTTCGCCCTCGACGGGAAATTAAGCGCGCTTTTAGGAAAGTGGAGGTTGGCTTCCGTTTGAGGTTAGTGCAATGCGTAGACTATCCCTTTTCAGAAGGATCCGATTCGATCTAACCTATTCGGTCCGCGCATAGGCTATTCATTACAATCTAGTACAATCTACTCTGTACAGATATAAGAAATAGCAACCATTTATATGAACCACAGGGCTCTCATCTGAAATTTATTATTCGTCTTCAATTCATTCTTCTCCTCAAATCAAACCACAAAAATGACCATCAAAACCCCACACATCGCCATCATCGGCTCGCTAAACATCGACTTCGCTACAACAACCACTCAATTCCCCAGCCCCGGAGAAACAGTCACCGCAACATCCTTGACAATAAATGCCGGAGGCAAGGGTGGAAATCAAGCTCTGGCAGCAGGGCGCTCATCCTTCACCACAAAGCAAACCCAAAATGGCCTTGTTCGCCTCATTGGCGCTGTGGGAGCCTCGTGTATGTACTGGCCAGAACTAATGGAGCCAGTCTTCCAAAGTTCCGCCGTAGTGACAAAAGACGTCACTCTGTGCCCCGGGGTCCAGACCGGTGCGGCAAACATCATTGTGGAGGAAAGCGGGGAGAATCGCATTCTCGTTGTTCCGGGCGCAAATCATGCGGATGTGATGAACGTGGAGTGGATTTTGTCGCGTGTGATGCAGACGGAGGTCCCGCAGGTTGTTGTATTGCAGGGAGAGATTCCACGGTCGACTACGTTGGGCCTTTTGGAATATTTCAATGAGCGCGCACAATCCCCGCGGCCGTTTGTGGTTTTCAATCCTGCACCGGTCTTTCCTGACGGCATTCCGCTGGAATTTCTTATGGGGACTGCTGTGCTTATTATGAATGAGACGGAGGCCGTGCAGATGGCTAGTTGTATCGGTAAACAGCCTGTTTCTTCCTTGCACCCGGAGCAGTTTGCGCAGATGTTCCATGAGCTTGCGCGTGTTCAGATCGTTGTTATTACGCTTGGAGCAAAGGGCGTCTATTTCTCTACAAAGAGCGGGAGGGTTGGATTTGTCGACGGGGTGAAAGTTGATGCAGTTAGAGACACTACCGCCGCAGGAGACACCTTCGTTGGCTTCTTTGGCATGTCATTCACGCGATTTGTTGCTAGTCAAGAAGGAGCAGCTTTGGAGGCATTCGATGACAAGATTGAAGAGGTCGTAAAGGTCTGTAATGCCGCAGCAGCAACGTGTGTGCAACGTGAAGGTGCTATGAAAAGCATACCCTTTGCATATGAGCTGGATTAAAAGGGTTGATGTTTGGTATATACTTGAAATGTATCTTTAGAATCAATAAGCATGATTTATCAGTCTTCCACTTCATCATATCTTGCGGTTCTCCATGATGCTTGTAGCGAGTCTATCTCACGCTCCAGATTCATGCCCGTCCTAGCGGTTATTATTCTTAATCGTTCCTGCAATACAGCTTGTTGAGTCTCGTGGGACATATTTTTTCCAATTAATAATAAACTCGCGACAAATACCGGATCCCACTGCTCCGGTGAGTCATTGCAAGCAGCTATCCCTGCAATCGCTTGTGCATGCCAAATATGGGATGTTAAGTTGCGAGGGCCGGGGAGCGATTTTAAAAGCCGTGGTTTATGCGTGAGGAGCAGGAAAGAGATGGTATGGTAAACAACATTGGCGACCAGCGCCATTGGTGTCGTAAAGATCAAGATGATTGGGAAAGCTGAGTTGTGATCCATATCGGCTTCGTCGCCGCGAATATCCACGATTTGTTGCGCCTCAACTGGGCGCTCGTTGTAAAACTTTTGACAATCTGTCCAAAGTGAACTCCACTGCGAGAGGAAGTGAGATTGCCGTAGAGATGGAAAAGCCCGTAATCCTGGAGAGCTTGCTTGCAGGGAGACGGGTTCTTCGTAGATCAGAGCGAGGCAGTGCCCTAAAAGACATAAAGCTTGTTGATAAACTCTGGTGATATTGGACTGGATGATATGTTGGGATGCATGGATCGAAAATCCGTCTTGCACGAATGTCTGGAATGGAATAATGGGAGCTTTATACGAAGCGATTGAAGCTGCTAGATCTAAGACATTGTTAAAAAATGGATTCGTGATATCTGAGTGCATGTGACATACCTAGTTTAAAATAGACCCAGAACAGTGAGTTTCCTAGCTCCTGAACCAAATCCAGTGGCGAGATGAATCCATGTGGATGGTTGGTATGTGGTAAAATTATGTCTCTCCATTGCTGAAGTCCAGATGGAAGGATTTCTTGCAGAAGGAGCAGTGCTGAAGCTGTATGTCTCTCCAATTCCAAGTTATAGTTCAAAGCTTGCTCCTCCCTTCGGAATCGCAGCATATTCACAATATCGTCGCTGTGGGCCGAAGAAAGAAGAGATCTGTGGCCCGCCGATAATGCAAGAATGGCGCACTGCAGGGGTCTGCTTGACCGGGAAAGAAGAAGAACTTGGACTCCAAGGGCACAGTTCGAATCACCAGTGTCCATCCATGGACCGACATGATAACGAAAATGTCGTAACAAATCTGTCTCGTAGCTTGTATTTTCTTTCGTGGGACATTGCACTAGTCGTTGATAACGCAGAGCAAAACCCGAGTGTCCCTCAAAGGTCGGTTCTGTATGGTGGATTGGGCCATGAGGACTAAGGATACCACGTAGTTCAAGGTTTGGCATATCCTGATCTTGGCTCTGGATGTCATCTCCACTGGCATGGTCCAGACTCTCTTGTGGGTTGCTCTGACTTGGCGTAGATTGCTGTATTGGTATTCCTTTGTCGATCGGAGCAGGCGATTCATCGACAAACGTGATCGATGTGTAGCCTGCCCCTGTTTCACTAGCCACCTGCCCAGACCGCGGCGTCATGAAGGCCAAGTCAGATCCATATTTGCAAGTGAATCCTTTGACCTCACAGTTGGCACATCTTGGATTCTGTTCGTCACCTTACAATTGACAATATCAGTAGCAGCTTACATGCAGTCCCAGGGGCCAGTTGATGGTCACTTACATTTTCTACGCCTCTTTCGGCAAGTGAGACAGCCCGTCCTGACTCTCTGTTTATCGGAGGGTGTTGGCTTCCGAGCCATGATTCCCTAATTCACGTATAATCTCATTCTATACTACTAGTAGTCTGTAGGCTACTTCGACTGAAGAAGGGGAAGGGACTCAGTGGCGCTAGTCCCGATGGGGTATATGCCCTCGCTTAAGCTCCGTCCCCCGTGACCCAAACAATCGGCATCTTTACTAAGACTTTACGTTATGCGGGGGAGGAGAGTTTTTCGGACGCCACCCGAACCTACGGAGACATCGGGTTCCAACGAAATCTTCAAGTATTTTTAATCTCAGAATACGTAAAAGAAATAATTAAAAACATAATCAAAAACCATTCAAACTATCATACGTTGCGCTAACATTGAAGGTCGTGACAATCTCTTGTCCGAACATTTGAATAGGAAAATCAACCCGATAGCCAGCAGTTTACAGGCTCTCAATATATTGAGAATCACTCTTTTCCAGGTCGCGTCCAGTGGCACCGCCCATCCGTTCGAGGAAATCAGTCAAACCAACATCCCGGCGTGCCTCACGCATTAGCTCGGCGTCCTGTTCACCCGCGTTACTCCCGAAAACACGATCCATCTCTTCCAGGGAAGTTCCCTTGGTCTCGGGCAAGTAAAACCAAACCCATACGATACCAATTCCCAAAAAGACCGCGAAGAAAATATAAGTGCCCCACTCCCAGCTCGCAAGCATAGGAGGCACGAAGAATGCGATGGCAAAGTTGTTGATCCAGTTACTTGAGGCACCGATAGAGGCTCCTTTGGCGCGGATGGAGAGCGGGAAGATCTCTGACACAAGGGTCCAAGAAACAGGTCCCCAGGTCGCACCAAAGCCTGCGATATAGAGCCAGATAAGAGCCACGGCTGTCCAGCCGGCTGCCTTATGTGCGGGCCAGTCATGCTGGTATTGGGACACGATCACACCGACAATGATCATGCTGCAGAACATCACGATAGAACCACCGAGAAGCATGGGCTTGCGACCGATTTTATCAATGACGAGCATACCAGGGACGGTACTGATGATGAAAACAACACCAGTCACACCAGTTGCTAGAAGAGCAATCGTGCCTCCAGTCAAGCCGAGGCTCTTGAAGATATTGGATGCGTAATAGATGACTGAGGCGATTGGTTAGACTCCGAAAAAAAAAACAGACGGTACACATTAAATGTAAAAAGAAGAAGAGGACTCACTTGCGTCGATACCCGACCACTGCTGGAAGAACATAATAGCCCATCCAAAACCGACACGTTTAACATTGTCCATGCTCCGGAAACAATTGGCATACTGGGCAAGTTCATTCAAGAAGACACTTTTGGTTTCTCGCTCTGCCAGCTTAGGAAAAGCCAATGCGAAGGCACGCTCTTCGAAGCATGCCTCCGACTTGATCTCGAGGTATTCGACTTGGACAAGCTCATGCTCAACCGGCAATTTCCTCATCCAAGCCAGTGTACGCTGGGCTTCCTCGTCTCGACCTTTTTTCACGAGCCATCTAGGCGAAAATGGCATAAACCAGATTCCGCATGCGAGACATACGGCTGGGATTCCCTGAATAATCGATGGCAGTCTCCAGGCGAGGTCGGATTGCGTTGCGCCAGTGCCTCCGATGTTGTTGCTTCCGTATCCAACCCAGAAAGAAATCATGATGCCCAAGATGGTGGCAAATTGATAGAAAGACACGAGCAGGCCACGCATCTCTGGAGCCGCAAGTTCAGCATTATACAGTGGTCCAACTCCACTAAACAGGCCGACTCCTAAACCAGTGAAGAATCGACCAGCGTATAGCAAGGATGGTTTTCCAGCCGTAGCGCCGACGTACAAAAAGGATCCAAAAACAACCCAGAAGCAGGCCAAGAACATGGTATACTTCCTGGAGAAGACCTCACCCAGAATACCGGCTGAGAGTGATCCAAGAATGCCTCCAAGCTGAAGGATCGAGGTGAGCCAGCCGGTAGCTGTAGAAGACTGAACAACGCTTGGGAAATTCTCCACGAATTTCGACATGACTAGGCTTTGACCAAGGACACCTTGTTGATAGCCATATTCAAATCCACCGAGTGATGCGAAGAATGCGATGAAGAGAACTTTAGGATTGGCGGCGATGCTTTGCCACATTGATTTTTTGACGATCTGGACTTGTGGCGTAGTGTCCACATCTTTCATTTGATTTCCCGTCATGTTGGAATTTGAGAACTTGGGTAGAAAAAACAAAAGAAGTCTGGGGAAAAGATGACTTCAAGCCGGGACGACAGCCCTCATATATACAAATTTCTATCAAATCGCGCACCCGAAAAAAGAAAAAGCTAAAATAGTTTTCCCCAGTTTCCAAAAAAAAAAAAAAAAAAAAACATGGAGAACATGGCCGTGGAGTGCTTGGACTGTGGAATGCGGAGAGGCGCTAAGTCTTTTCAAGCAGAATTATAGGCTATGTGCTCCGTTTCGGGAAAGGTGGATCCTTACAGTCAAGTGGCACTTTGGGGTTTTCGGGCCACAGATACCTCTTTGGGATGAAGAGCCTACTATCTCTTTTGCGGTAGATTATCAATCGATCGAAATCCTGGGGCTATGGGGTTGCATATGGGGTTTTAATTATGATCGTCAATTGTGTAGTTCAAGCTCGGAGGATAATCGGTGGCCGTTTGGACCTTGGAAGCTTGTTTTTAAACTTGATATAAATGTTTTTTTGTCAGAACGCAACAGACTGACATCTCCCAGTTATTCCTTCGGTTTTTTTTTTTTTTTTTTTCATCTTGAAAGGCATCCAGTGAGCTATTCAATAAATTAGCTGAACATACTATATTGATCATCATGCATCATCTATCGTTGCCATTGCTCTCCACCTTGCTATTGCTACCTTTTTTGACGAAATCCTCGCGAGCGGAAACAAATAAGCACTATGCAATCATGGATAACGATTGGTCAACAACTGGCTTCGTGCCGTATCTCATCGCCCTAGATGGAGATATTGAGATTCTTGCCCTGGCCTCAGGTAAGTTCCAGCTTCCCAGTATGAGGATAGAAATCCTCTTTTAATTTAGTTTACGCTAACCTTGGAACAAACTTGGGTCAGATACTGCAAACAACTGGCAACCTCAAGGTGCCCTCCATGCTGTCGCAACTCTAGAAGCTGGAAATCTATCTTGCATCCCGGTCTATCCTGGCGCGACGTTCCCGCTTATAAACAACCCACAGCGCTTGAATGCCTGGCAAGAAATCCATGGCAAGCTGCCCTGGCAGGGTGCTTTCGCTCCGGAGAACACAACTGCCGAAGCAGAGGGGAATGATCCTACATCTGGGAACCCGAACCGCATCGTCAAAGCTGCCTTCAAGGAAGGATTTCCAAAGGGAACACCTCAAAACACTACCTCTGCTGCAAACTTCATGGTAGAGATGGTGCATAAGTATCCTGGTCAAGTTAGTATCTATTCGGCTGGAGCCCTGACGAACGTTGCGCTCGCGGTTCGTATGGATGAACGATTTGCAGAACTGGCAAAGGAGTTGGTGATCATGGGTGGATATGTCGACTTGAATCTTTTGATGGCGACAGGCAGTATACTACTAGCTGATCTTCAGTCCGATGTAAGTGCTCAGTCTTCTCAAGATCAAAGTTCTTTTTTGACTTTTTTCACAGATCAATCTCATGATCGACCCTGAAGCGGCAAAGATTGCGTTAACTGCGAATTTTCCAAATATCACTATTGCTGGCAATGTCGCCAATCAGGTCTTCCCTAGCCAAGAGTTTGCGGATGAAGTCTACTCGGTTCCCAACCCTTACAGCAAGCTTTTCTATGATTATTATGATCTTTCTTTCCCGTTTTGGGATGAGACTGCTGCCGCCCTGATGGTAGATCCTGGCATTGCTATTAACAGGACCGAAGGTTAGTGATATTCATTCTATAATGACATTGTGGTGAAGGATAGCGACTGACAAGGATTTTTCTTTTTAGTTTATCTGGATGTTGATATCTCTTACGGAAGTCCGAATTATGGAAACATACACGTCTACCAGAAGGATTTAGCGCCAAGTGGGATTAGGGCCGTGAATTATGTCTTCCAGGTCGATGCAACGAGATTGAAGCAGCGCATCAAGCATGCGCTTCAATATCCGAAGTCTTGTGCCGATCTTGGATAAACGGTGTTCAAGCAACGTGTCAATATGTGTGTTTCAAACGTTGTGAACTTTGAGTCAAGAAATATTTTGGAGAATTGCTTGTTATAGATACAGGTAATGGTGCTTATAAGTGTGAAGTTGTAACATGTCCAGGGAACCCGAGGACCTGCATGTGACTGGAGGATGGGATTCAAATTGCGCAAGTACCTAAGTAGTACAGGCGAGAGAATTAGACATTTGAATCTCAGTTCCATTTTAATAGCTCCGGTCGATCAATATCAGATCGCTGATAATAGCTCGCCGGCTTCATAACCCCAAGCGCGTTCCAAATCCTTTAATCTCCAAAGTGCCCCCCAGCCTGTAGTCTCCTCGACGGTCTTGAACAGCCTTGCCACCTCAACATGCTCACTGTGGTGACTGAGCAGCTTGCCTGCAATATATAACGGCTGAATAGCGTTGATCAAGCTGCCACTGTGAGGATTCGTAAGAGAGATTCCACAAACTCTCCGCGAATGGTAAATAGAAGAGTAAATCGGACTTGACGGTGGAACGACATGCTGCACTGGCCTCATATCGAGCATAATTATACAAGCAGTATGGTACAGCTGGTTAGCTGAGATAGCTGCCCAGTGTGGGAAGAGGATTTCGGGGAAAGTGGAATGATTTTGGCCTATCGTCTTAAGAGGTAACATAGATCGCGGTCTTTTTTCGCGCCAATATTGCAATTCATTCCACAGAGAGGTCCATCGATCTAGGAAAGAACGAGGATCATCGACCACTTCACCCAGCTCAACGTATCGTGTATTTCGACAAGAAAGGTGACATGTTTTGGCACAGAGATAAACTGACCAATTTGCGTGCATATCTGGAGAGACAATGCCTTTCTCACAGAACAGATCCCGAATTATAATATCGCATTCCATGGGGGTAGCTGCTTCAGGCACGGCTGGTACCCATTTCTCCAAGGGTAGGACTGTACTTTCTGTGCCGTTGGAAATCATAGCTCCACATAGCTCCATGCGTGCATAGCACCAGAATACGGCTTGGAGGTGACCACCTGATAGTCCGTTCACATTGAAAGAGTCAAAAAGCGCAGCGCAGCCTTCGACGTGACGCCTCCAATCTCTCGGGGAGACCGACATCAGCTCCATAACGGCCAAAACGACCCCGGTAGCCAAAGCATTTGGGTCTTTGGCCTGGAGAGATGGGCCAAGGAGGCGGATAGACACTTGATAGAGCTCTAGACTCTCATATGCCTTTTCGAGGGAAGCTTTGCGTTCCATTTGACGAGCAGAGAAAGCAAGAATAGCGTATAAGAGGGCAGGGTGTTTATTCGCCAAAACTGGAAGATACACACCAAAAGTTCTTGTCTCATCAAATTTATCGAGGTAAGGCGCGCATTCTGTAATCCAATTTTCAAGATATTGAACAAGATGGATTTTGGGGATGGAGACACGGGTAAAATCTAGGTGAATTGTTCTCGCTGTTTCTGTCGCCCCCAGTGGCTCTGATGGGGGGGATGTGTAGCTGCTTGGGTCGAGACTGTTGAAAAGAACGCTTCTGAGTTCTTCTTGCAGTTCAAGAAACCGCGGATTAACAGCATATTCATCAGCACTAGAGAATGTTCCGGGCGAAAGAAATTCCTCCATGGCAAGATTGGAAAGTTACAACCGAAGTGAGTCGTGACAACTTTGTGTTAACTGGGGGCCTGAGGCAAAACTTCATTAGTCAGTCCGACTCGGGCCTGACGCCGCCTGAGGCGGCTAACGTCCCAAAGAAGTAGGTCCAAGAATCCAAAAGTTTGAAATCTCCCATGGATTGTTAGCACACATATTTGACATAAAAAAAGTGTCAAATCATCAATTTGACACTTGGTTAACGACCCAGACTTTTTTTCGATGTGAGTTATGTACTAGTAGTCATCAATTTTTCTCAATTTTGTTAGTTAACTAACATCTGGGCTTGAGCTTACTAATCAAATGGGGCAAAGGCCTGCGGCCTGCCATCTCTAGCCTCTACTAGTAAGCTTTAGATACTCAACAAATCACAATCAACTTAAACACTTACTAGATCAGCAGCTAGGCTTCATGCACTAGTGCCTTATTCGGACTTGCTATTTTTGATGCTGAAGATGTTGACAAAACCTGCTGCCTAATCTCAGCTAGGATCTTGCTGACTCTTACATCGTACAGCTTCTTTCATTCGTTCTTCTCCCATTCTTTGCTTAAAACACCTTGTCGTCGAGTACCTGATCAGCTCTTTGAGTCTTGAACGACACGCTTGCCTTTTTATGTATCATTCATCATGACCACTGGGCTGGATCTTACGCCGAGGAGATCCCGAGAAAGCACTTCAAAGGTTCGAACTGGATGCAGCACTTGCAAAGCTCGTCGAGTGAAATGCGATGAATTCAAACCTACATGTCGACGCTGCGCTATTGGAGATCGAAAATGCGTGTATAACACCGCACGTCCAGCAGCGCCTCGAATGGTCTTCACGCTATATGTACCTTCTACTCAAATCCAACCGCTCTTCTTCGTAAATGATCGTGGCCTTGACTTCTTCCATCGAAGTCTTGCTCCAAAGTTGGACGGACAATTTGATTCGCAGTTCTGGAGCAAGCTGGTATTGCAAATATCACACTCCGAACCATCAATTCGGCATGCCGTATCAGCCATCAGCATCATTTATCGAGACGTTGAATCGTCTCATCCGGCAAGCTATGTCGCTGCCAATCCGGAAGCTCAAAAAGAATGGAGGACAGCCTTGAGAAGCTTATCAGCTCGAATACAAGCGCACCCCAACTCGACCTTGGTACCTCTTGTCTGCTGCCTTCTGTTCACGTGTATCGAGTTTCTCCGGGGCGCTGATGAATCTTATTTGATTCACGTTCAGAGTGGATTGAACATTCTAGCAGCTATGCGCTATGGCAGCGACGCAGCTCCCGGTCCAAGGGGGTCTAATGTCTCGTCCGATCTTAATATTATCGAAGATCACATTGTTCCGATGTTCTCGCGTCTGAATGTACTCTGTTCTCTCGCTGGCAGACTGAATCCGCCAGTATACACTCCTACAGCTAAAGCAGACTCTCCCCACAAGGACTTTAGTGATTCTCGACAACGGCTCTTTGAAGTCTCGGATAAATGCATCCGATTCATACACGACGCAGTCCCCAAAGCAGCTTTGTTCCAAATCGACGTCCAGGATCTCGTTAAACAGGTCAAACTTCAAACAAGGCTAGACGCATGGCGTGGCCAGTTAGACGAACTATTTGAACGAATGCAGGCTGCCGGTAACCCCGCGAAAGAGGACGCCCTCAACATACTCATGGTACATTATAAAGTCGTATACATATGGCTGCGGGTCTGCATTACAGCCGGGGAATTGGCCACAGATTCTTACCATGCCGACTTCGAAGATCTTGTGCATTACGCGGAACAAATCGCCAAGCCAAGCGTCGGAATGACAACGCCGCAACCGCTTTCTTTTGACATGCAAACCCTGGGGCCTTTGTACTTCACTGCGCTAAAATGTCGCGATCCTATAATACGAAGACGCGCGTTAGAAATGCTGCAATTGGCGCCTCGGCGAGAAGGACTTTGGAATGCACATTACGCATACGTAACTGCGAAACGTGTTATTGAACTGGAAGAAAGGGACCTCAACGGACAAGAATTGCCACATGAGACTTTGAGAGTACATGGTCTTCCCTTGCCTGATGATGATTCTCGGGTCTCTGCCTTGGGGGATATGCCTTTTGACTTTGGGAAGTTTGACCACAGTGTCGTATCTGGCGCAGCTTGTCCTGGCATCCTTAAAGCTGTGTTTCAGACAAAGCCTTGGGGGCTATGGGGAGAGTGGCAGACGATTACGGAGTATATCGAACTATGATTAGACAGCTCTAATTATAGCCAGCGTGTCCATCTTCAATCTCGAAAGGCATGATTTGCCAACTCAGAGACTCAAAGCGCTATAACCTACTATTTCCTGTTCAGCGTTGTGGGAAAATCGACGACAATGGGGTATTCTGATTGGTGAGTTGAACGAGCTCGTATCGGACTAACCAAAAGAGGAAACACTACTAGAGCCACTACAAGAACCAGGTAAGAAACAACTTTATAAAGAACTACCTGGGCCAGATCCTAGATCTTTACAAATTTTCTTCTTCATTCTTCCAGACTTCGTCGTGTGCCTCGATTCTTCCCTTTTTTCTTCATTTTTACTAAACAACATTGGTCAAGAGACCGCTGCACGCCATGGCCATGAATATTGCGACGAATAGAATGTTTCATTTTGCCCTACGAGCGCTACAGCTCACCTTTGCCATCATCATCATGGGAGCAGACGGCTACGGTACGAAGAACTATTATGTCCCCATCCGTCGACCTGTTGAGTCTGACTTTAGTACTAGCCATTCATATATTCAAGGGCCACACTGTCTACGAACACTTTGAGTTTGGCAACTTCTACGATTATATGGGCGTCCCAGATGCGTGGGGCTTCCTAATGTTCTGTGCTGGGTGGACAATTCTGGACGTCATCTTTGTGTGTATTGCTGGAATCGGTCATACATTGATTGGCTACATTAGCATTGCTGCTGAAGTGGTGTCGGTCCTCTCGTGGCTCGCTGGATGGATAGCTATGGCTGTCAACATAGGCAGCAATCAATGTCCAGAGGAAGAGCACGGCTGTGGAGCGCTCGAGGTGGCTACGACCTTTGGAGCTTTGGAATTCTTATTATTCGTGATTACCACGGCCCTTACTGTTCAGCTCATCTTCAAGAACACTCGTCGGCAAGAGTCTTCTACGATCAGCTCCACTCTGTCTAAATAATCAGCGTCTTAGTGCTCTAGTTGGAACCAAAACTTACTATGTGGCGCGTCGTTTGGTGCACATGTGTGGATTTAGGCTCTTGGCATCATTCTTCCCTCGATGGGTTTGCCTGTTTTATTAGAGAATTGATGACTACACTTTACAAAGCGATAAGTCGGATTGGATTCGAACCTTGAAACACCTCGAGAGACTCTTAGATCTTTGCAATGGTTCAACTCTGATGCAGATGAGATTATTCGCCATGTTACTGGTCAATGTATCCCAGATTCCCAGAAGTTAAGTACCTATAGAAATCAAACCAACCCAAGTTCGAATCCGACTTCCAGCAAACGAATTGAAAAAGAATAAGCCATCACCTCATTTACATCGTTCTGAAGGATGCTGCTAGCTAGTCTTGCGCTAGTCACTCGGCTAAATCAGATGCTCCATAATTCGACTCCGCAATGTGAAATAATCAGAATATCGACATACACCAGCCGCTGTCTTATTGGCCGAACCACTCGTAGTATCAGCACCAGCATTGCTCAGTTCCGACCATGATAAAAGTCAACTAATAAATGATCACGATAACCATAAACATGAACCATGAATTCATTCCCGTGTCACGGAGATCAAAAGCATGATATCATCCAGCCCAGAACTGCCCAGCCTCTAATCAAAAACCAACCCACTGATCGACAATACCCCTGTTGATCCTGTCTCACCAACCATGACAGCCACATAAGGATTTTGAAGAATGCGATCATATAAGACTTCGTAGTCCCGGCATTCTTTACTCTGCGCAACTCGAATCAACCAATTTTTCCAAGGTAAGTTCGTATTTAGTAACTTGTGCCTTTCATGTGCGCGTGATAAATCTTGATTCTCTCAACAAACACAATCCGAAATATCAAACCCGCCTATCCCTTGCTCTACTAGTATCCTATTTCACTCGCCACCTCCCTTTTGATAAACCCCTACAATTACAACTGCGCACCGATATCGATAGAGCTATACTAATACCCTCACCTAGAACCACTCCAAATAGAATAAATCCACACATCATGCAACTCTCCCTCTTTATCTTCGGCCTTCTCGCCAACGTCATCTCAGCGGTTCCCACCCCCGAAACACAATCGACATGCTTGAACGTACGAAAAATGCAACCCCAACCCCAAATCTACCACACCCGCAACTAACATCGAATCCTCGATAGGAATTCCAAACCTGCAAAGTTAGCGCACCAATCGGTGACCCCCAAGCCTGCTGCATTTCCAACATGATTTGCCAGGGCAAGCAGCAGAACAGTACCATGGGTGTAAGTGCAAGCCATTCTGCCTCGGCTAGGGATTGACTCCACTGTGGATTAAATCGAGTTAGTTGGACTGTTGTACTGATGAAATGCTCTTAGGTCTGTGTGAAGGAGGACGACACGGCTAAGCTGCTACAGCTGTAGATTATGCATCTGCTCGCGGGTTCAGGAGATGTCTCGGCAAAACATAGACAGGGATGGATGATTCATTCCCTGATTCGAATTCGATCAACGGATTCGAAATGTAATTAGGTTTGATGGGATTTACAACATTTGTGACACATGCTATCCTCATTGTGTCAATATTCAAGTACATTCAAAAAGAATCAATTTAAATCAATTTAGATTGGGGTGAAGACTTGGAAATAGTATAGAATTAAAGGGCCAGGCACATATTACCAATGCATGCATACGTCTACTATTATCTGATCGATTAACACTAAGCACAGATGCCCATCTGGGCACATGGGTAATGAACACTTTGGCACAGCGAAAAAGACCGTGCGATGTGGATCAATGATACACCGCCAGAACATCTTGCATATACCCCTCGCTTCTAGATGCAGGTACTAGGCGCATGGGAGTTTATGCGGTAGGTAGCTCTTATCTGCGTACGTAGCATTCTGCTGGGTGTTTCTGATTGTTTGGCTTCGGAGGAAGAAGAAAAGCTACCTTCGATTCCCACTATTCTATGCCATACAAGAGCCCCCCCCCCCCCCCCCCCCCCCCCCCCCCCCCTTCTTCCACCGGAGAGCCTCGAGTGGAGAGAATCCACCACGATGAGTCTCTGTAAGAGTTCGCTTGCCGGCTCTGCTGAAGCAGTATGGTTGCGCCTAAGTTGGGCCTGTTTCAATTCGGATCAATTGATTGTGGTTTCCTGGATAATTTGTTCGATTTTTAGAGGAATTGGCAGTAGATGGAGCTCTACATTCAATGCCGTTACGGACATCCTCTTGAATGCGCCGGCGATCGTGATGAATATGCTAGCGATTCGGTTGTGTTTGACAGCAGAGTCAGTGGGGAACCAAGCCGTCACACTGTAGAGCATCTGGGGAATGATTAAGGGTGAGTAAAATTTGAAATGTGAATTGAAATTTGAAATTCTTTTGTGATGTCTATTTATTCAAAGTTCAATGGAACTATATACATGATTGTACAAAGCAAAAACACAACAAGTATGAACACCAGATCGCTTTATTCCTATGCTTCATGGGGTTTCCCAGAGTGGTAGATGCGAATGCTGGTTGATGTTGTCTGGGCTGAGCTCGGAGTTGTATGCCAGCGAGGCTAGGCTTGGAGGTGGCCAGCACCGGGCTGGGCTTGCAGGTGGCTAGCGAGGCTGGGCTTGGAGGTGGCCAGCACTGGGCTGGGCTTGATCGAGGCTGGGCTTGGAGGTGGCTAGCACCGGGCTGAAGTCGACTGGTGATGGTCTGTGGAAGACCTCGGAGTTGTATGCCAGCAAGGCTGGGCTTGGATGAAACAGCATGCCCGCGGACAACTGGCTGGCATTGTCGGTCCGGGGGACCTTGAGGCTGCATGCCGACAGGCAAGGTCGGCCTTGGATGAAACAGCATGCCCGCGGAGAACTGGCTGGCATTGTCGGTCCAGGGGACCTTGAGGCTGCATGCCGACAGGCAAGGTCGGCCTTGGATGAAACAGCATGCCCGCGGAGAACTGGCTGGCATTGTCGGTCCAGGGGACCTTGAGGCTGCATGCCGACAGGCGAGGTCGGCCTTAAGAATGATGAAATAATAGAATAATACATACTAATACCATATTATATTTTGATAATAATATAATATGATATCAATATCATTTATTCAATAATCTCATCATCGCCCTCCGGGAGCGGCAAAAGCGGCGGAAAAGAAAAGACGGCGGGAACAGGGCCATCAAGAAGGCCAGGAGCAGCCGGGTAGGCAGCGGTGGGGGGGGCAGGCGCAACAGGGGCAGCGGCGGGAGCGGCAGGCCCAGCGGGGGCGGCAGCAGGGGCGGCAGCAGCGGGAGGAGCGGGAGGGGGAGCGAGGGGGGCAGCGGGAGCAGCAGCAGCGGCAGGGGCAGCGGGGGCGGAGGCGGAGGCGGGGGGAGCAAGGGCAGCGGCACGGGCAGCACGGGCAGCCCGTCGTTCTCTCTGGCCGGGTCGCGGGCGACCACGGCCACGGCCACGAGACGCACCAACACCAACACCACGGGGACCCGAGGGGACGGGCAGCGCAGGGGGACGGGGACCACCACGACCACCACCACGACCACGCACACCACGACCACGCACACCACGACCACGCACACCACGACCACGCACACCACGACCACGCACACCACGACCACGCACACCACGACCACGCACACCACGCAGGCCTCCGCGCCATTGGCTGCGGGAGGCCTGCTATAAGATATATTAGCCTTCATATTCATCAAAATAGGGATAAAGGAATCAGTAGATCTTACCACGTGCGCGTCAAGCACACTACACAAAGTGTTGAGCGCTTGATTGGCCGGGCAGCGTTCAACGGTGTGGCCTCCACCGGGGTGGAGAGGACACTGCATAGAGAGAATTGTTAGTACATATTTTCAATCGAAACGTGGCTTTCATCTGATTTTCATCTGAACTCATCTGATTTCATCTGATTTTCATTAGATTTCATCAAATTTCATCAATTCTACTTACTTCAACGAAGTGGGGAGCGCGAGGCATCTTGACGATGAGCATGGGGAGAAAGAGAAAGGGAAAAAAAAAAAGTGGAAAAGTTTATACATATATGAAAAGTTTGTGGGAAATCCATCAACCTGAGGCTACAAGATCTTTAATAGGAATGATACCCAAAGGGGAAAGAGCACATTTATATACAAAGTAATAGATACTAGGGTTTGTAATATTATAGTGATACCCAAAGGGGAAAGAGCGTTAATATTTCTTAGGGCTACAGAATGTAGGGCAACCTTGGAAGTCTACCAAACCTCATCCAGAGGCATGATTGATAGAATCTATATATGTTACGATCGAAGGCTAAGAACCGATGATATTTCAACTGATATTTTTCTTACTGACTGTAATGACTGAAAGTGGCTGATATAGAGCGGCATATCCATAGGTCAAATTGAGCTTGGCTCCTATAAGGCTTCTCCCTTACTTTTTCTTTCCCTCTTCCCTCTTCCTTCTTTTAAATGTTCTTCCTATTTAATATACTACCCTTTCTTTCGGAATAATTTTTGATATTAACTGCCGTGTCGGGTTTTGAGCCCCCCTTTGTCTTCATCAGAGTCAGACTGACTTTTGCTTATAGCTTTTACTTCCAGGGATTAAGTATACCCTTACCTTATAGGGGAAGACGACAATAGGCCGCAAACACGATCAGTCTACGATTTGGAGAACCCATACGCAGATACGCGTACACAATGAACCTAGGGCGCCCTCTCTGTCTCTCCACACACACAACGGGATGCAACTTACGTGTTGACGCGATTGAGAGAGGCTCTGCTTGGACCACCCAACTTTCCAAATGGTGGGGGACAACGGTGACACTCTTGATGATTCTCTTCCTCTTCTCCTCTCCTTGCAGCACCCCAAAATATCATACTACATATCCTATTGACTGGTTTCCTGTGCTTCCGTCTATTTCTTCGGATTCAAGGCTTTCTTTGGTGGAAAATGATCTCAAGAAGCTCCGCGAGTTTGGAATTACAGGGAATCGACGAATGATCGTCGCATTCTCTCCGGAACTGCCTGTGCTTGGTTCAGAATGTTCCACAAAGAACTCAATTAACTTGACCCTTTCTGAATCCAAGTTCACTTGGAATTCGAAGGTTGGCATCTCTCACTTCGAGCTCTCAGTTCGAGATCACTTTGAGCTTTCAGTTCAAGATCACTTTCAACCCTTTTTCTAATCACAAGTTTTAGACTTGGAACACTTCTCTCACTGAACTCTCACTTTTGATCAAGTTGAGACTTCTCTTACTTCAACGCTCACTTCACTTGCTCAATTTACTTGAGCCTTCTTCAATCGAATCCAAGTTCACTTGAAATTCGAAGGTTGACTTCTCTCACTTCAAGCTCTTAGTTCGTGATCACTCTGAGTTTTCAATTTTAAATCACACTCAACCCCCTTTTCAATCACAAGTTTTAGACTTGTAACACTTTTATATATTATATAAAAATAATAACCACTTCCCCCCTCCCTCCTCTCATGCCTCCTCCCCCATCCCCTCCCCTCTCCCCTGGTGCCTGCAAAGGCACCTTATTCATCCACCAAGCCCCGGCGTCGAGATAAGAAGCAGAGTTCCCATTTAATCTCTTCTTACTTTAATCCGGAATTTGACATTAATAGGACCACTTCCGATGATAGACCTCAACTCAAGAGGGCTCGCCTTAATAAGGCTCATCGTCAAGACCAAAACGACGCCATTGACAGCGCAGTCGAAGGTCAAGAGAAGATGGAACGAGTCAGACAGCCCCTGGGAGTTATTGATGGAAACATCTTTAACCCAGCTGGAAGCAACAACAAGGGCTATGGTGGTATCATACCTGCATCTGAGTCAAAATCATATGATGATGAGGAGAATGAAGGATCTCTTCGTGCCCGACCCTCTAATGATAACGGGATGAACTCAGACGATGATCGACATCAATCCAAGAGGGTTCGCCTTAACAAGGCTCGTCATCGGGACAGGAATGATAAATCATCTGGTGATGTGGAGGACGAAGGATCTCTTCGTGCCGGACCTGATGATAAGGAGGACGAAGGATCTCTTCGTGCCGGACCCTCTGGTGATAACGGGATGAGCTCAGACGATGATATGTCTGAAGTGGAATATTCAGAGGCTGAAGACTCGGAGGATCTCCAGTCTGAAGCCGACGATATCGCCCATCTCCCCGCTGTCAATGATGATCCAAAACAAGAGGATATCAGGGTTTTGGACGAGCGTCGGAGATTGGCCGATATTGCGGAAGCCCACAGGGCTAAGCCTTCACTTGCCGAAACATAAGTAGGCAAGGCCCTCCGAGTTTCAATCAGAATCCTGAAGCAAGCCGCACAGGAGTTTGGCCCCGATCAACATCAAGTCATGACGGGAGCTTTTCGCAGGCATTTGAACCGATATCATGAAGATGAGTTCTATGATGCATTAATCACAGGCTTCACAAAGAATGAAGTGGACTTCTTTGAGTTACCAAATTGGACTCCGGAAGACTTCAATCAACTCCGTCGGGCCGGCAATGTCTCGCAGCAAGGGATTTATGTCGACGCTCAAGCTGATGGAGAGAACAATTGGCAGGGAGGATACTGCGGCTCCTCCAAGAATATACGGAATCGAGACAAAGCACATAGAAATCTGGCGCGGAAAGAAGACTCCAAAGGGTTTTATTACAAAAACCTCCGCAAGTTTGGAACCACAGGGAATCGACGAATGATCGCCGCATTCTCTCCGGAATTGCCAACCCGCTTCAATTATGTTTTGGAAGGCATTATCAGTGCTTGGTTCGGAATGTTCCAGGAGCCATCATCTGGCGACCAATATCACTCACCATCTGCCATGGAATTGATCAAGAGAATCCGCGCGAGTGTGGATCTTGCTCCTGCACCCAAGTGGGTAGGACTGAACAAAGCATGGCAGTTACTCCAAGGCTCGGTTTTCAACCCTCCTTTTACAGGTGCTGTCCCTTGTTCCATGTGTACAAGATTAGCCGAGCCTGGTGAAAGAATTCGCTGGAAGCTGGAGTGGGGTGAGCAGTTCACAAAGAAGAACTGGTTATGCAGGACTTGCTACAGGCGGGAAAAGCTCAAGTTCGAAAAGAACAATACCAGTCATGAGCCAGTTGTTGAGGCTCCTCCTAATTGTTCTTGCTGCAAAATTTTGATAAATACTGGGAACCACCGATGTCGCTGGAACATAAAATGGGGTGACCAGTTTACCAAAGATGACTGGTTATGCAAGCCTTGCTACAGGCGGGAAAAGCGCAAGTTCGAAAAGAGCAAAACCAGTCCTAAGCCAGTCCAGGATACTTATTGTGTTTTCTGCTCAATTTTGGCGAAGCCTGGGGATCGATGTCGCTGGAAGGCAGAATGGGGCAATAAGTTTACCAAAGATGACTGGTTATGTATCAAATGCTGGCAACGAGAACTCATTAAGTTCAAAAAGAGCAAAACCAGTCATAAGCCAGTCCAGGAAGTCCAGGAAGTCCAGGAAGTCCAGGAAGTCCAGGAAGTCCAGGAAGTCCAGGAAGGCCAGGAAGTCCAGGATACTTATGGTGTATGCTGCAAAAATTTGGCGAAGTCTGGAAACCGAGGTCTCTGGAAGGCCGACTGGGGTGACCAGTTCACAGAGGATGACTGGTTATGCAAAGGTTGCTGGCATCGGGAATGGCGCAAGTTCCAAAAGAACAATACCAGTCATGAGATCCAGGATACTTATTGTGTATGCTGCAAAAATTTGGCGAAGTCTGGGAACCGAGGTCTCTGGAAGGCCGACTGGGGTGACCAGTTCACAGAGGATGACTGGTTATGCAACAAATGCTGGCAAAAGGAAAAGCGCAAGTTCGAAAAGAGCAAAACCAGTCATAATCCAGTCCAGGATATTAATTGTGTTTGCTGCAAAAAACTGATAAATACTGGGAACCACCGAGGTCTCTGGAAGGCAAAGTGGGGCAATCAGTATACAGAGGATGACTGGTTATGCCATAGCTGCTGGCAACGGGAACAGCGCAAGTTCCAAAGGAACAATACCAGCTAGAAGAGAGAAGAGAGTGCTCAGGATTGCGACATACAGAGCCTGTTGGTCATTACGCGAAGGTCATAAGCCGAGGTGGTGGGTGGGAAGACTTTCAGCCACGGTCTGGTTGGAGTTGGTCCAGTGGAGTCCAATACACAGAGCCTGTTGGTCATTGCCGAAGGTTATAGCCGAGGTGGTGGGTGGGAAGGCTTTCAGCCACGGTCTGGTCGGAGTTCAGTCCATCAGGCCCGTTGGTCATTACGCGAAGGTTATAGCCGAGGTGGTAGGTGGGAAGACTTTCAGCCACGGTCTGGTTGGAGTTGGTCCAGTGGAGTCCAATACACAGAGCCTGTTGGTCATTGCGCGAAGGTTATAGCCGAGGTGGTGGGTGGGAAGGCTTTCAGCCACGGTCTGGTCGGAGTTCAGTCCATCAGGCCTGTTGGTCATTGCGCGAAGGTTATAGCTGAGGTGGTGGGTGGGAAGGCTTTTAGCCACAGTCTGGTTGGAATTCAGTCCATCAGGATTACGACACAGAGCATATTAGTGATCGCCTGGAGATTTCAGGCTAGGGGAGAGGGGGGAAAGGGGGGCGGTAGCAGTTAGGAGGGAGGGATTTGAAGGTAACCCTACCGTTTTGATTCGATCTGCTTTTTCTATACTAACTCTTTTTATACAGAAAAGACGGTAGAGACAGGAGTTGGAAATGTGTTAGAGAGATTAGGAGGTGTTGGGGTCGCGGAGAATAAACGATGCTGTGTTCAACTTCAGGTAAATGTGAACGTGTTTGAAAGAACTTGGAATATCCAATATTGACCGTGGAAATTCCAAGAGATCTTTGGCAAGTCATCCAGCCCAGATCAGAGGCCACATCTCCGAATCTCTGTCTGCATATAAGAGACAGCGTCGAGTTGTTCCAATCGTGAACCCTGAGCGACCGGATAGGCCAAAAGAAAGAAAGAAAGAAAAAGAAAAAGAAAAAAGAAAAAAAAAAAAAAAAAAAAAAAAAAAAAAAAAAAAAAAAAAAGAAAAAAAGGAAGGAGAAAGGAGAGGGGAGAGGGGAGAAGGAGATGGAGATGGAGGGAACAGCAATTTCCGAGTGACTTTTCAACACACAGGCCACAAACTGGCAAATGGTCATCGACAAATCCTAGAGCCCGGATCAGAGGCCAAATCTCCAGGTCTCTGTCTACAAATAGCAGACATCATCGTGTTGTTCCAATCGTGAACCCCGAGTGACCGGATAGGCCAAAAGAAAGAAAGAAAGAAAAAGAAAAAAAAAAAAAGAAAAAAAAAGCAAAGAAAGAAAGAAAGATGGAGATGAGAGGCAGGAGGCAGGAGGCAGGAGACAGAGACAGAAGATAGGGAGACAAAAGAGAGACAAAAGGACAACTAGGGAGCAGGGATGACGAGCAGGAAATGCTAGAGATGTGGAAGGATGGGAGTGTTGGAGGGCAGGGGAGAGGGAGAAAAAAAAAGAGAGAGTGAGAAGAACAGCCAGGGAGCAGGGAGGACAGGCAGGAGGTGCTGGAGACGTGGGATGAGTTTTTGTGAGATGTGCAGGACAGAGGCGATATCCTCAACTTCATTGAAGGTCAGCCAGGCTTGGCCGCTTGATATCCACAAAGTGAAGTTGGATTGACTAACATATCACAGGGATTCAGAATCAACCATTGAGGTACTAGAAGCCATTTTCCGAGTCAGGTTCCCCGCCAAAAGCAAAGTTTGCACTCGCTTTGCGACCGAGTTCGTTCTTCGCCGAAGTCCACAGAACGTTCTTTGCCGAAGTCCACAGAATGTTCTTCGCCGAAGTCCACAGAATGTTCTTCGCCGAAGTCCACAGAAGAGAATCAGGGTATTCATTGATCCCGGTATCTCTAGTACAGACAAGCTGGAGCACTCTCTTTGTCGAGCTGTTGATATCAATCCACTGCCTAAGGATTGCAAAGCTGCTAAAAAGGTATGTGCATGCATGGTGCTAAGTAATTTTACTGTCGATTGATCAATTACTTGCTCCTTCAATACACAGGCGAGAAATGGAACCTGGCTAACATGGATGTCTCTAGGTTGTCCAAGGAGTGTATGTCAACATCTTTGATTTGATTGACTGGGCTCGGGAGGGACAGGGCGATAGGCCGGTTCGCCGGTTCAAGAATCTTGGGGAGCTGATTGCCTATTCTAGGCGTACGGATAAGATCTATCCCAATCCCAGAAAAGAAGAGAGAAGGGGGCAGCAGAAGCTCCGGGACTTTAAATCTGAGCATTTTTCCTCTAGCAGGGACTTCCCCACGCTGATCGACTAGGCCTCTCCAATGCCAGTTAAGCCACCTCCGACTTCAGCGATGATGTGCTGAAAGTCGAGATTTCAGGTCCGGATCAGGCCCCAGAAGAAGTCAGACCGGATACAACTCAAACCAGTTCCACTTCAGAATATATATTCAGGCGGGCAGTTTCCTCTAGCAGGGATCTTCCCACGCTGATCGACCTCGCGAAGGAAGATATAGGCCTCTCTGATGCCAGTTCAGCTACCACCGACTTGAGTGATGATGTGCTGAAAGTCGAGATTTCAGGTCCGGATTAGGCCCCAGAAGAAGTCAGACCGGATACCACTTGACCCAGTTCCACTTCGGAATAAACTATCAGGGTGGTAAAAACTCTTCTACCTCAAACAAAGATTCGCTACAACGGCAGCATCGCTCATGCCTCCTTCGAACGAAGAAACACTGCTGTTTAAACAGTCTTAGTTCGGTTTGAGGGGAAGTGCACACGATCCTTCAGCTCGGTAGTACTCGTGGAATCAGCAGAGAAAGCCCAAGGGAGTGGACTGGAACTCATGCTCACTAGTTGTGGGATGCATATACAAGAAATCAAGAGTCAGCTGAGTAGATATGGGGTGGGGGCGGGGGCGGCAGCTGCGGCAGGAGCGGCAAGGGCAAGGGCAAGGGCGGCAGCAGCTCGGGCTTCACAGGCAGAAATACCACCACGAGAACCACAGGGACCGGAGGGGAAAGGAGGCAGCGCAGGTTGTCCTCCATGGGGGGGGACCGCCACGGCTACGACCACGGCCACGACCAGGCAAACCACGTACCCCCCCCGCGCTATTGGCTGCGGGAGGCTTGCTATAAGATATTAGCCTTTCATATTCATCGAAATAGGGATAAAGGAATTAGTAGATCTTACCATGTTTGTGTGAAGTACAATACTTAAAGTATTGTATAGGTTGCCTAACAAAGAGTAGCCAGCACCAGGGTATATAGGGCACTAAGAGAGAATTGTTAGTATTTTCATCTGATTTTCATCTGATTTCATCAAATTTCATCAATTCTACTTACTTCAGCGAAGTTGGGAGTGCGAGACATCTTGACTGATGGGTAGCTTCCCTTGTGGAACACGAGATACTCTGATGCGGATTCCCATCCGTAGATTTGGGGTTGGGGTTGCATTTTTCGTACGTTCAAGCATATCGATTGTGTTTCGGGGGTGGGAACCGCTGAGATGACGTTGGCGAGAAGGCCGAAGACAAAGAGGGAGAGTTGCATGATGTGTGGATTTGTTCTGTTCGGGGTGGTTCTAGGTGAGGGTATTAGTATAGCTCTATCGATATCGGTGCCCAGTTGTAATTGTAGGGGTTTATCAAAAGGGAGGTGGCGAGTGAAATAGGATACTAGTAGAGCAAGGGATAGGCGGGTTTGATATTTCGGATTGTGTTTGTTGAGCGAATCAAGATTTATCACGCGCACATGAAAGGCACAAGTTAATATGAACTTACCTTGGAAAAATTGGTTGATTCGAGTTGCGCAGATTAAAGAATGCAGGGACTACGAAGTCTTAGTATATGATCGCATTCTTCTACGGAGGCCGATAACCGCCACTCTACTGCCATAACCCAATTTCAATTTCTAACTTCACCGCCCTGTTTCCCGCCTGTCTTGTATTTATCATTTATAGGAATATCTTAAGGGATTTGATCTAAATACAGGTCACTTTTAGGATAGACTTGGGAATAGATTTGAGAATGGATTGATTATAGAGTTTAAGGATTTAATTTATAATGGAGTTCAAATACAAATATGAATTTGGAATTACTGGTAATTTACTTTCTGCCGGTCGGAAAGTTGAGATTGAGTTATGGCACAGGGGTGGCCTCTATCGGCCGCCGCACCTGGTTCTTGTAGCCAGTGGCTCTAAAAAAAACAGGACCTCACTACAATTCTAAAATAAATCCAACTGAAGGAATCAAAATAATACAATTACGATAGACAGTTCGTAAAGGCATGGAATAAATGACATATACACAACGCAAAAAAGCATCGAAGATGAAAGCAAAAGAGATCAAGGTGGATCGACCAGGGTCAGTAGTAGAGGACATCGAATAAAAAAAGAATTCTACCACGAAACACGTCCAGGATAATAGACACAAATAGAAGTAGAAGAAAAGAAAAAGATCAAATCAGATTTTGCCATATGCAGAATCTAACAGAATCAAGAATGTAAAAAAGGATAAACCTCTCCTGTACAAAACGTTTTGACATCACGGATGATGAACCGTCCGAAAAAAAGGTCTCAGGCATCACGATCAGAGATTATTCGAAGACACTAGCGCAACCCCAGTGATTCTCCACATCAAATTCACCAGGCGCCTTCCAGGCGTCGTCAGCGTAAGAGAAGAAGATGGACTTGGAGCCAATGGCGCTGGCAATTCCCTTGACGGCAGTCTCCTGCTCAGAGACACCGGGAACGGCGGCACCGTTGGCGTCACCAGCGTTGGGCCAGCCAGTCTCGAGGTTGACAACATCCTTACCACAGATGCCCTCAAGGATCTTGTACTCGCTCAGAGCGAAAGCACCGGCCTGGGCGGCAGTGGTCTGGGCGTTGAAGAAGGGGTGGATGTTGGCACCGACAATGTCAACGGGGGAGCAGAGGGTGGAAGAACCATACTCTTGCCAGATGTCAATGGGTTCGGTGGTGGTGACCTGGCCAGTGTAACCGGCAGACTCGAAGCTAGACTTGGAGGAAGTAATGAAGCTGGCAAGCTGAGCGGCAGTGACGTATCCATCGGAGACAGCCTCGTTACCAACAACAATCAACTCAACCATGCTCCACTGAGCCCACTTGGCAATGGCCTCAACCTGCTCCTGGGCACCGGAGGTACCAGTGCTTTCAATGTAGACACCGAGGATGAGGTTCATGCCGAACTCCTTGGCGGCGTTACCGATGAACTCAAGACCGCTGCAGTCAGTAGAGTAGATACGGATGAGATCAAAGCCCTTCTCGGAGATGACCTTGACGTTCTTGGTGACCTCCTCCTGGGTCATGCAGTCACCGCTGTCGGTGTAAGGAGAGAAAGTCATACCGTACTTGCCGGCACCGGTGAGAGTAGAGGTGCTGCTGGCAGTGGCGGCGGCGGTAGTGCTAGAGGTGGCAGCGGCAGCGACGGTGGTGGTAGCGGCGACAGCGGGGGCAGCAGTGGTGGTGGGGACGGCGGCGGCGGTAGCAGAAGCAAGGCCAGTGCTAGTAGCGAAGGGGCAGTAGTAGGTGGTATCGGTCTCAGTGACAGTGATGGTGGTCTCGGGCTGAGTGTAGGTACCGGGGGTGATGGTAGAGGCAGTGGGGTAGACAACGGTGGTGTCGGTGGGAACCACGGTGGTGGTACCGGGGACAACGGTGTAGGTACCAGCAACGGGGCAAGTGTAGGTGGTGTACTCAATGACGCTGGTCACGGTGGTACCGGTGGTCTTGACAGTGGCGTAGGGGCAAGTCACGGTGGTGCCAGTGGAGACAACAGTGGTGACAGCTCCAACGGTGTTGGTACCGCTGGTAAGGGCGGTAGTGGTAGCACCACAGACAGTGGTAGTGTCGGTGACAACAATGGTGGTGGCGGGGATGGTGTAAGTACCAGTGGAGGAGTAGCTGGTGACACCATTGGTGGGCAAGCTCACGTAGACGGTGGAAGTGGCCGGGGTAGGAGTGGCGGAGGTAGTCGGGGCCACAGAGGTGGTAGGAGCCACGGAAGTAGTAGCAGCCACGGAGGGAGTCACGGTCACGGTGCTGGTGAGGGTGCTGGTGGAGTGAATAGTGCTGGTGAGAGTGCTGGTGGATTCCTCAATGGTGGAGGAAGAAGTCTGGGGAATGGGCACCAAGGTGGGCGAGCCGTAGTAAGTGATGACCTTGGTCACGCAGCCACAAGTCTCCTCGGCGGGGTTCAGGGGAGCAACGGTCGAGGCCGAGGGGGAAGCGGAGGCAGGGCCAGGAACGGCGACAGCACGCTTCTGGTGGAGAGCGTCATGACGACGGTGGAGGTTACCGTCAGCCAGGGCAGAGCCCACGATGGCAGCGGCGGCGAAAATAGAGCTCTTCATTTTTTACTGAAAAGAAAAAATGAACGGAGTCTGGCGTGCCAAAGAATGAATGCCCGCTGAACGAGTGAAGCGGTGGTCAGTGATTGATCAAGGAACGTGGAGAGGAAGGAGAAAAAGAGTGGGAAGGCAAGGCCTTTTCTTTTGTTCGGGCTTGTGTGGATGTTAGGGGGGGGGCGAGAGAATAGGGGTTCGTTGGTACGGGGGGTATAGTAAAGTGGGGGATTCAGGCACACTTTGCTGGTGATTGGCCAGGATTTCCACATGAACCCGCAGGGGAAATCAGTTTACAACTTACGGAGTAATGATTGATTTTAAATATTACAGTAGGTATTGTCTCATCTATTTTTTTATTTTTCAATAATACATATTCAGAGCACAAGCCGTTGTCTACAAATAGCTGGAGTTTCTTTCCAATTTTTTTTATGTCTCACTTTGGGGGCCGAGCTTCGATGTCTTAGCGTTTTCCTTATGCCCCGCAGTAAGGGGTCGTAGGGGACCCTGTTTGAGAGCTATTTATTCATGGAGAGATGTGATTCCGAGTAAAGATCTGTAGTCTCATGGAAAAGAAGACTCCCAATTGTTCACAAAGTAGCTCCCATCCATGGATTCCCTCACAAGTTTACAATTGAAAACCGACTGATTAAAAACAGGAAATTCTCTGGGGCCATAATGCATTTTTTCGATCTAATCTTAATCTGGTCAAGTGAAATCAGAGTGGAGTTTCTTATATTGGACCCTGAGCTCTGATTGGCTGATTCCCACTATCTCATTTCCCGCCCTGTCGATCTGCTCGTATTTGGGTTCTCGTATTCCTTGGTACGCTGTACCATGTACCGAGTCTTGTTTTTGTTTACTCCATGCGAAATAATGCAAACAGGAGTCCATGACTCTTGATATACTCCAGACTCCATACTCCAGGAATCAACGCCCAACTGGATCTTTATTTTATCCTTTCAAAGATGCTCCCCAAAGATGCTCCCTCGTACTCGGCATAGATTAGATTTTCGCTTAAAATGGGGGTCCTCTTTCCCTTTCCGCGAACTTCCTAGCTCCATTTCGGCTCCAACTGGATTCTTCTCCATGAACTCGTCAGCTCTTGTGATTGCCGATCATCCGAGGTGCACACAAGCCTGATATTCCAAAATCTCATCCCTCTTTACGGAGAAATCTACACTGGTTACTCTGGTCAGCGTACGCAATGCACGGTCCCGTATCGATGATCATGGCGGGAAGACATGTTGATCCCAATGCTTCGCAAAGGTCTAGATTATAGGTTGTAGTACAACTTATTTAAACAGGGAGAGATTCGGATTAGAATTCAAATTTCCACCCAAAAGTCTGTCTCCTCTCTGCCATCGGCAAATTCGAATCCGGAGGCTGCAAGATTTCGTTATTTTTTCGGGAGGAATCTTTTTCCCTTTTTCAAATGTTCCCCATAATTGTCTCTTCGACTATGGAGTAGGTAGCCGTATATGAGGTAAATTATTTAAACCTTGAAATGAAATTAAATACCAACGAACATTGAAAAAAAAAAAAACACCAATCTCCCGATCGGTGTGTATTTAATTCTCGTTTCTCCACGCTTCGGTCTAGAGTCTCGACCGCTACATCTCCATCGGGCACGCTATACAACGCCAAGCAGTATAGTCGATCTGGGCAACCGGCTGTCGTACGCACAAAATAATGGAGTCGGGCTTTACTAGTCTGGAGGCTTGGCAAGACCCTGTTCTGAGGTTATTCAGGAGATTGCCAAGCTTGGTTTAGTCCAGGGGCTGATAGGTTCAGGGGGGGATTTGGATCTTTCAAATGTTTTGTTTTCTAATTTCATGTGCCGTGAAGCCCTTGCTCAACATGTGGGGAAGATGGACGCGCTTGTCTCGGTGGCATTTCCTTTGTCAGTGTAGGCAGATCCATGTCTTGGCTATTCTAAGATTGCAAAATTAGAATTCTTCTCAAATTTCCCATTCTCAAACCCGCCAAGATGGGAATCTCCTTGGTATTCGTTTTCTACGGGGGCTGAGTTCCATCGATGCTGACTAACATTGAATCGGGTTTACCCGAGGTTATTCTGGATTTGAGGCCTCGAATCTCAGGCTTTCAATTATTGGTTAATCAATAATATGTACTAGAAAACATTGCAATAAATACACTCGTCAAATCAATCATGCACAGCCCTGGTCTACATGTATTGGAATCAATCAGTTGGCGCATGATATGATCCACCAAGAAACCTGTAGTCACATGTGCAAGTCAGCCAAGTCCACTTGTAACCCAAATATATGTATATAAATGCCCCTCCAACATTTGAACGAACACCAAACGAGAACTTGGGAATCTCACCGGCTTAAGAATGATCCAAAGAATCCAGTTTGTTGTGAATTCCCAGACTTTCGTGCAGCCCACCCACTGTCGACATTATATTGCTTAACGTCTTGCAAGCCAGCGAAGAGGCCGCGTCCAGCAGTAGAATGCTATACGGAGAAAGAATTCACGTTAGTCTCATCCAAAACATGCCGTTTGCCAAGACAAAAGAAACACGGCAGTTTAGAACCTACACGATGTTCCTGCTTATTGCGAACCCAGTAATCCGCTCCAAAATCGTTCTGTAAGCGAGCGTGCTCGGAGTCGGTTTTTTGAGGTGAATTGGCCATTCTGTTATTGACCAGAATACCCGGAGTTGAGTTATCAAAGTAGAGTAGAGAGTATTTGGATAGAGTAGAGTAGTGGACTCAGATAGTAGAGAGGAGATGATGTCTGGTAAACAAGAAGTATTACTCGAGGCATCACCAACCACATTATATACCTCCTCCAGCACTCTGGCACCATCATAGTAGCAACTTGTGCATAAGTCCGAAAGAGCCGCACCATCATCAATGGCCTGACACAACGGCCGAACCCGAACCAAAAATTCCAACCCAGTACCAAACTACACAGTTCAACCAGAGCCGTATCAACTGGTCCCTGCAACCACTCACAACTCAGCGATTTGAATTCTCCCGCATGGTTAAAATATCAACCCATTGCACGCGACTATGTGGTGTGATGTGGCGGAAGGAACCGTTCGGAAGCGAAATTCCCGCGATTGGGCTGATACATGATGCGCTTTTTTATCTTTGGTTGGTCAAGTGATTTCGGGTTTGTCAAATGGAATCGTTGGAATAATATGGGATGGTGTTTTGTGGCTGAAGGATTTTTCGTGGCCTGGTGGGCGTTTTGTGTGGCATGATCGGTACTTTCAATAGCTGGGCACAATTTGAACGTCAAGCATTATCCGCGTAAGAAACAACAGTCAAATCAATTAACACCAGTTGACTTCAATATTGATTAACACAATATTTATTGCACAAGCTTGAGTATATTGAATAAAGATTTTTTCAAGTCAAATAATATTTATATTGATATGGTTCAAAACAAAACGCTAATAGGTAAAATTCAAACCCGTCCTAGTCCCAAGCCCAGGTGCCTCGAGAAAAATCTACTCCCAAGAGTCAATCTTCATAGTACCGTTCTCCTGGAGGTTCTGATGCATCTTAAAGGCCTTGAAAAGCATGTGCGGCTCATGACCCATACCCTTGCGCAAGCACTCAAACTCCGCCCGATCCAGATAATCAGTAAGGATGGGGTAGTAATCCGGGTGCGAGCACTTCTTAATAATAACACGAGCACGCTCACGCGGCGAAAGACCACGGACATCAGCAAGACCCTGCTCCGTGACAATGACATCAAGATCATGCTCAGTCTGATCGATATGTGTGGCGAATGGCACGATACAGCTCACACCGGTCGGATCAGTCTTGCTGGGCCGGGTAGACGGGGTATGCATAATGGAGTACTTGGAATTACGCAAGAAATCAGCCGAACCACCGAGTCCGTTCAGCATGCGCGAGCCCATGACACAGGTGGAGTTTGCGTGGGCGTAGATGTCCACTTCGACGGGGGTGTTCATGCCGATACAGCCCAGTCGACGAATGATTTCGGGATTGTTGGAGACTTGCTGCGAGCGGAGGAGGAGCTTGCCAGCGTAGCGATCCCAGTTATCATAGAAACGCTTGAATCCGTCAGGTGAGAAACGGATGGAAGTAGCAGTGGCAAAGTCGAGGTTACCGCTGTCGAAGAGGTCAAGGAAGGAATCTTGCAGGACTTCTGTCCAAACTTTGAGGTTCTTAAAGTCTGCGCCACCCTTTGACAAACCACCAACTACCGCATTGGCAATGTTTCCAATGCCTGATTGAATTGGAAGAAGATTGGGAGGCAAGCGGCCTTTGGAAACTTCATACTTCAAAAACTCAATGAGGTTGGTTGCGATCGCCTGAGAATCCGCATCTTCGGGGGCATTCGGCTGAGTTTGATCAGGATAGTTACTTTCCACAACCGCAACGACCTTCTCAGGGTCAATGGGGATGAATGGAGTTCCAATGCGGTCCTCGGGGGCCATGATCAGATATGGCTTACGGCCAGGAGGCAGATCAGATCCGACGATATCATGCAAACCCTCGAATGAAGGCATGGCGGTGTTAACCTCGATGATGACTTTATCAGCCATCTGAATCAACTCAGGCGAAGCACCAACAGAGGCACCAGGAATAATACCACCACATTCTGTGATGGCTGAGGCTTCAATGACTGCTACATCGATTGAGTTTCTCGGTCTATCTTTTGTATAGAAGCCCTAAAAGAAATTATTAGTAATCGGGAAGCTTATCTCATCCGCGGCGGGATCTCCCTATCCGCGGGATTCGGGAAATCCAAAACAAACGTACATATACCAAGTCACTCGGAAAGCTGGATAAGTGCTTGTCAAAGAATTGGATCTCGCCAGCATTGATACGCTTAGCAATCGGCTTGCCAACTTGATGAGGAGCTCGCCTTGAAACCATATTCAATTCTGCCCAACGATTCTCTGTCTCTGCTCCAGAGGATGCTCCAACAAATAGGCTGTACTTCGTTTGGCCTTGGAGCTTATTCTTCTCGACGTGATCGGCAAGTGCAGTGGGGACCATCCTGTCTTTGGTTAGAGTCAATTCAATCAATTTGGTTGGCTGCATAACTAGTAGTATAGTACGTACTTGGGATACCCAACACCTGTAAAGCCCGACCATCCGATATACGATTCATTGGGGAAGTGATGGATCAAGTCCTCTGCCTTAGCAAGCTTCTTCAGGTAGGACGGCCGCCGAATACGGCTCTTCAAAAGTGCTGAAGCTGACATTATGACGATTGTCAATTGGGAGAGGAGAGTAGCACAACTTTGGAGAAAAGATGGAGGGAGAAAAAAGAAGGAGAAAAGAATGGAAACGAAAAAGGGATCTTAGGACTATTTGAATCCCCACCTGTACGCGGGCAAATGGTTGGAACCAGCGGAGACAAAAGGTCTAGAGTACGTAGGAAGTATATTCACCCGGGATGGATGCTCTCCCCCATATTTCCACCTGGGCATCCCCCGCAGTGCATTGTGGATATCAGCACATTTACCGTAGGATCTAATGAAGGCAAAGCTCCTAGAAAGCTCTACGTTAATTCTATCTGCATGTAGAATCCAATCAAATGCCTCTTTTCCATCTTGATCTTTTCACTTTTTCTCTTCGAAATTCCCCGAATCCGGCTAGAGTCAGTCAGAATGACATCATTAGCCTCCCGGTCAAGATTCGGGAATTATTCGGTGATCTCGGCCCGAAAACTCGCACCTGATGCGTTTGGCCACCCCTGGGCATCCGCTTGACCGAGTAGATCAGTCACCGGTGGATCTTGTTGACTAGTGGGTAAACCGTAGGTCACATGCTCTATATACCAAGGCGTTGAGGCGTCTCTACGAAAAAAAAAAAAAAAAATTCTGACGCTACGCCTGGTCTGCCAATGATTTCTTTCTTCCAATGCCTCATGTCTGATGAAGTCCCGACTCCCACCACTATTTCGTGCCGTGACAACCCCTAAGATTGGAAATTGCAACACTATTCATCTGAAAATACCGCGTAAATATAGATTTTTCACTACGCTGGCAAGAATGCGCTCCTTCTAGCTAACATTCAATTATTTGTGCGATATCTTCCGAAGTTTATTCATATACAATGTTCTCACCCTGGGACGAGGTCCACAGATACTAGGTACATACTGAAGTACATACACTGCTAGTTTAAGGACCAGCTGACCAAGACATCCGTCGTACAAATCCATAAATCCCAGCGCGTACTTCTAGCCATGGAGCTAGATGTAGTCCGTGGTTTAGGTTCCTGGCAGACAGCTAGCTGTATTATGAAGAATTTTGTACGTCGTCACTATTTCGGCCTCTCCAGGCACGTCTATTTCTTTCTCATCCTTGTTCCACTCAAGTTCTATTAAAGCCCAACAAATTTGGCATCACCACAACCAGAACCGTAGTTTTGTCCACACTGCTACTACCGTGTCTTACTCTCCTCAATGTGGCAACTATAGTCTATTTGTGTTACCTTTATGAGTGCATTGCAGATTCTCGGATCTGAATGGATGATCTAATGGGCTTTCTCTGAATACGAGAAGATTCGAAATGATATATGACATTATTCAAATAACATTTCCAAGCTAGAGATCATATCATCGGCGATTCTACTTATTTTTGGAGACTATCTCAGCTGAAACCGAGTCGGAATATCTGCTTCAATTGAACATTGAAAGATTTGATGTCCTGGAACAATTTTTTGGAAACATGAAAGTACGTACTCCATGTCCTTTCGGCTACAAGTAAGAAAAAAGAGAAATCTTGGTGGGAAAACACCACTGTCGTTTTGGTCATTGGGGAAACGATAAAAACAGACCGGTAGAGTAGAAAAGTAGAAAAAGTAGGGTAAAAAGTAAATTTCCTCGTGCGCCGTTTCCTTCTCGCAAGCAGCAAATGCAGCATTACATCTTCCTCCCCATCCACTTCCAAGTCAGCTAATAAAAAAATAAAAACAAATAAACCGATTAACAATTACACCACAGGTTCAGCATCGGCCATCTCAACATCTGCGTTTTCGGTCTTTTCGGCGTTGCTAGGTTCGTCGGCCTCGGTCTTTTCCGTCGGAATTTCGGCCTCGGTGTGCTCCTTCTCCGAGGGAGCCGCAGCACTGGCCTCCTCGGCGGGAGCCGGCGAAACCTTGGCAGTAGGTTCTCCGTCTTCCAGTGTCCCGTTAATCCAGGAGCGGAAGCGCTGATTCGACTCATCGACCTTGTCCTTGCTCAGACCACGTGCCCAGTTGGGGTTGTTGACGAACTTCTCGACGAAGCGATCATGGCGTTTCTCTTTGAGAGTACTCTTCTCCCTGGCCTGGTCTTCTTCGAAGGCCTTTGCGGCCTCGAGATCCTTCATTGATGGTGCGGTAGGGCGCCAGAACCAGTCATGGCTAGGGGGTTGATAAAGAATGGTATAATTGTTGGCGCAGATGCGGATGATCAGGCCGTCATGGTGCTGAAGGCGGCGGTAGAAACGTTCATATTCTTCGTCATCGTCTAGTTTGCCGCGTAGGTTACGCTTCATGAATGGAATACGCATCTCCGAGAAGTGAACGCCTTCGGTTGGGTCACGCATCGAGTAGGCTGTCACATAGTAGGACCAGCGGGCTTCAGAGGACAAGTCGTCATGTTCGAAAGTGGCATCTTCTGTGGTCATCACTTGCACGGTAATGCGGCGATTGGAGGGGAACTGAAACAAAATCATTAGAAGTGTCCTTTGGAAATGCTTACTGGACTGATTTGTGGGGGGGGGGGAGGTAACTCACGTAAGTGACACGGTAGATATCGCCTTCCTTCACCAGCCTCTCAACCTGCTTACGATATTGAATCTCCTGGTGATGGGTAGTCTCCTCCTTTTCGCGCTCCTTGAAGAACAGGTTCGCAATATCCGAGCTGCGGTCGCGGGAATCACCAGTAAAGATGGACGCAACAAACTTGGTAATGGAAGAGAAGATTCTCTCCAGATTGTACAAAAGGTATCCACCTTGCATGTAGAAGCGACGGAGAGTCTCTTCGAGGTGAATCTGATCAATATCACCCCGAATCACCTCTTCGCACATGCGGACAATTTGCTTGTAAAGGTTGGCCTTTGGCTCAACATCGTAGAAGAAATCACTGGGGAATCGATCAATGAGACAAAGCTCATGAGCAGGCTTGGGCAAAAGACCTCGGCGAACTTGTTCGTGGGCACTCTCTTCTTGTTGCTTGATGCGCAACAGACGCGCATAAAGGATCTCATATGTGCGCAAGAAGCAAAGAATGTTCAAGTTGCAGTACATGTGATGCTCGGTCTTCTTGTACTTATCATTTAGAGTGTACTCATGCTCGACATTGAAGTTTCCGTGACCAGGATGCTCCATCCACCTCAGCTCGGCCACGTCAAAGGTATCCTCGGCCTCGGACACAGCTGCAGAAAGAGCGCGTCCAATTTCGGGAGTCGGCTGCTGCTGTTGCTGCTGTTCAGTGCCGGCAACTCCATTCGATTTCTCCTGATTGCTCTTCTCCACACGACGCTCCAAAACCTCACGCAGGAGATCCAGCTTCTGCGTGTTGGGTGCCTTGTGGCTTGCAGCCGACTCCTCTTCTGCGGCAAAATTGTCTTCCAACTCCTCAGGGGGGGTAGCGGCGGTCATGAGTTCATCCATGTAATCATGGAAAGTTTCACGGTCCAGTCCAAAGAAGATGGGAATGAAGTCTTTGACGAAATTGATCAAACGCTGGGGTTCAGCGCCAAAGCCAGAGGTGCTTCGATCAATGTACATGCAGAGCAAGTGTGTGGTGTCTAAGAGGACATCCATATCATCCATCTTCATCTCAGCTTGATAGTTGAGGACCTTGAAGCCAGCCTTACGGCGGTTTTGAGCGTCTTCAAATTTGCCTTGGAGGTCTTGCTGGATGTTCTTCGCAATGAAGAGCTTCTTATCGGTCTGCCGAGTGGCAATGGCCTGGTGGTCAAGACTGCGCCAGTATGCTCGCTGCATCTGCTCACGCCAGACTTTGTCCCACTCACGCTGGCAGGCCTTCCACTCCTCGAGCTTTTGCTTCAAGCGATATAGAACAATAGGAAGTACTTGGCAAGGTCGCTCAAACATGTCATTGATGATCTTCTCACCACGTTGACGGTCGTACACCTTCTTAATGACACGCTGGTAGATAGCCTCACTTTGACCACCAAGACCAGGTGGCAACTTGAAGTTGGCACGTTCACTTTCAGACATGTGCAAGAACTGTTGGCAGATGGGCTCAATGAGTTGAATAGTGCGGGTACAAGCCTCGATGTGGTGATCATAATCGTGACGATCTTCCTCGATGCGGTGAAGAGCATCTTCATAGGTGTTCTTTCGGTGTGCAACAAACCCAGAATCTTCGGACGCCCATGTTGGGTGTGAGGCCCACTCATCGTTCAACACTTCGAAGCAAAGCTGATCACGACCACTGCATGCCTTCTGGCGCTCTCGCTTGGGCAATAGACGGTAGCTGGGACCCAAGGATCGACAGTGAGCAAGATTCACGGTACCAGGCTCTGCCTGTGGCTTGGGGTCGATTGTCTTATCTTCAGGTTCTTCGACATTCATGAAGCGTTTGAACCAACTCATCAGCTCTGCGTTGGAGCCAATGAAGCCTTCCGCACGCTTGACGAGAACGAAACGATCAATGAGATCGTTTGTGTAAAGATTACACAGCTTCAAGAAATCACTGAAGATTTGCTTGTTCGCAATGAACTTCTTGACCCGATCGAAGAAAGCAATCTCTTCTTGACTCGGTGTTGTCAACACAGACGGCGGGAGGGGTTCTGGCAATGCGGGGATCAGGGTGGGAGAAACGTTAGGCATGTCAGCGCCAGAAGGTTTTCCGTGGATGTACTTGGGTCTCTGTAGGATTGTTAATAGGTGAAGCAAACAAAAAAAAGCGCTGAAAAAATATAGGTAAAAAGTAACCAAGATTTAAAAAAAGGGCTAAAACGAACCTTGCTTGCATTGCCAAACTGTGCAGGCTGGCCACGCATCTGAGATTCAGGCAATCTGGCATCAATACCAGAAGGCCCTGATACAGAAGACCCAGCAACACCTGGACCTGCCCCTCTGCGCTTCTTGTTCTCCTTGCCAGAATCCTTGACATTAAAGTTGCCCAGTGGTGGCATATTCTTCATATCACGGTTCGAGGACTGAGAAGGAATGCCCATAGATTCACCGCCACGCATGTTACTGATAGGAATGGACTCCTCGGCAAGACGAGCTGCGGCCTGTTGCTTGGCATGGGCTGCAGACTCTGGCAAAAATTGCTTAAAGTCCTCCAGCAGATCTGGAGCAGTATTGAACAACTGAGTAACCTGTGCGTACACATCTTGAATGGGTTTTGACTCCCGCTGATATGTCTGCAGTATTTCCAAGAACTGTTTATAAATCTCTGGCGCTTGTGAAAAGCGGTTCTTGATCTTGTTCACATAGCTTATGGCATGATTGAATTCCACGGGTCCACGCTTGTTCAAATCAGCATGGCCGCCTTGAAGCATACCGCCAACCCCAGCCAAGTTGCTCATTGGCTGAGTAAGGCTGGCATTTGGACCAGCGCCTGAAACTTGCATCAAACCAGGTCTACCCATACCTGAAGCAGCTGAGGCAGCACCTTGAAGCTGTGCAACTCCACGGTGATCTTGTTGATGCGATAGAGCCGCGGCGGCACCTTGAGCCTCTTGGCTTTGGTAACCATAGTGATGATCGTGGGGAGGACCTTGGCCATCTGGGTACATACTTGGACCACCCAGCATTCGGGATCCGGGAGAGTAAGATCCAGGGACGCCTTGCTGCTGAGCCTGCTGTTGAGTCTGCTGTTGCTGCTGCTGTTGAGCCTGCTGCTGTTGTTGTTGATGCTGCTGGGCCTGCTGCTGCTGCTGCTGCTGTTGAGTTTGTTGCCAACCTGGACGGGACTGATCGTAGTAATCAGGCCGACCGGGCGGGCCAAGGCTACTTGAAGAGACCTGATCATTGATATTCTCCAAAGGACGTCCTGCACGGGGCATACTCAAAGTGTTGGTTCCCGATGGAGTTGTCACTCGAATCGCATCAGGGTTGTCTTCAGTACCACATTCAATACGATATCCGGGAGGGAGGAAGGTATTGAAACCCTGGATCAGTGCAGGATGACCATTGAAAAGGGTGGAGACCCGTTGGATAACTCCGGGAGTGTCAATTCTAAATCAAAACACAAACAATAAGTCAGGCAAAGAACAATCAGACCAAAAAAAAAAGTTATGACGACGGGGAACTCACGCTTGACTCTTGAAGTCTTTCATTATATCCAGAAATCGGTTGTAGACATCGGGCTGGTCCACAAATCGAACTTTGACTTGATCCAGGTAGCTAAGGGCATCCTGCGCGGCGGTAATGGATGTTAGGATCATGTAATTGAGGGGAGGGTTTGTTCCTAGATGTTCCAGTGGAAGACTTGCATTCAAAATAGGTTGCTGGCCTTGTGCGAGAGCAGCAACATTTCCGGGGATCTGTTGAGCTGCTCCATTGTATCCTCCCATCATCGGGGGTCCACCGGGGTGCTGCATGTATGAACGAGGAGTACCTTCGTGCGGCATTTGCGGACCGAAGAGACTGGCGGGACCACCGGAAGCTTGTACACTACCTTGAGGGCCATTGTTCGGGTTTGCGCCTAGATTTGAGAGGAGACCATTGGGACCGTGAATGGAATTCTGGACCTTCGAAGCCACGGGTTGGTGAAGGGGGATGGAACCTGGGTGGCTTTGGACGGGATGATGTTCGCGTTGACGTTCCATCTGCTGACGTTCCATTTGTTCGCGTTCGCGCTGCTCGCGCTCTCGGTGGACCATCTCTTCCTGACGCTGGCGCTCAATGAGATCCCTCTCTCTGGAGTCCCGCTCGCGTTCGCGGTTCAGAGATTGTGGGGACGCATGCTGCATCGCTTGCCCAATTCCAGGCAAAGAGTGACCAGATCCATGGGAAGGACCAGGGCCATGTTGTCCATATGCGGAAGATTGGTGTGGAGCGCCATGGGTTTGGCTTAATTCTGCTAGGCCTGGGAGAGAATGACCGCCAGATTGACCAGCGGGGTGATAAGGTCCTGTATTATGGCGGCGCACAATGGTCAGTCTTATAAGGCTCGCAGCAGGACTCTTTTGAGGGTACGGGGTTTGTTGTCAGGTCTGTAGGGGGGAAGGCGTGTATGAGTGAGCGACGGGGGAGAAGAGAGAAAAAAAAGCTAACCGGCAGGAGGAGGGAGGACAGGTCCGGAGGACTGCGAAGCTGGGCCTTGTTGGGGAGGATTTTGGCTACCAGGTGATAACAAGATATTAGCTTTGTACAATGTTCAACATGCGCCGATTTATACGTACCCAAAAGACCCCAAGGGTCGAGGCTGTTGATTCATCTGATCCATGCCAGGGTGCGACGGAGGCCCACCACCAGAGGAGTGCCAGCTATCGTTCCCAGAGTTCATGATCAGACCATGAACTCCAACACAATAAGTTGAAAAGGTGTCTTGAAAGACTAAACAAAGAATGAGGTTGCGAAGAGGGTAAGGACTTTGGGGGGTGGGTGGAGAGGGCGGTCCCGAGGTGAGCTCCAACTCTGAGAGAGATTGCGTTTCTCCGGTTGTGATTTCGGTAGGGAGAAGAAATCCACGACACTCAGATCGTGGGCATGTCAAAGCATGACCGGCCTGAGAAAGTAAAGCAGTTGAAGATATGAAAGACTTTGTAACAGATGACGAGGTGCCAGGTGGATAAGGGACAGGATTGTGATTGCGCGCGACCGATCGCGGGCTCTCTCCAGTGGAGGGTTTCCTGACCGACTCCCGCTAACCCAATTGCAGTTTAGCTGATGCTGTCACGGGCCGTAGTTCTTCCGGGTAGTCAAAACAGTATTTTATGGGTTATCTGGGGCAATCACCGCTATTGACCGACCTAAATTTATTTCTTTACAGTAATAATACCGTAACTTTCCTCGGAATCTTTCAGGCCGCCTTCGTCATCGCCTGCAATGACCGGCAGAAAAATCCGGAGCAAAACTGTAGCATAAATTGCGTATGCAATGTGTGTGCAGTCATAAAAGGGGTAGGGTGAAACAGGAGCAAAGTCGAACAAGAGTAAACATGGGTTGCATCGAGGATAGATATTTAATAGAGGGTTAAGAATTCGCAAATAATAGAAGCTTCTGGGCTCAGCATACAGCAGGAAACTTCCAGCACTTGAGGGCTCTTATCCTACGGCAACGTTGTGATGTAGGGCATTATTCAAAACTCATCCCGAACATTTGAAATCTTCATCTTGTCCGCTGTAGGCTTGCCTGTACAGTTGATATATTGCAAGACTCGGAACTAAGGCTTACCTATTTACACTCCTACATCATGGATTTATTGATTGCCCTAAAAAGGCTTAACATTCTCTATCTTGAAGCTCCTCCAAACAACACCTCAAGGTACCTAATAAGAAACTGCATACAACCCAGATGAGGGCGAAAAAAAAGGCTCGACGGAAACAGAAAACAGAGAACCAAGGGCGTTGTAGAGTCGGGTATGTTGATTCCAGTAAAAGGTGTGAACGGATTCGAGATTATGGAACCTGTGGCTTGCTGCTATGGGCCATGATTTTGTTCATTTTGTTGTGTCCTCCCTTTTTTTTTCTTTCTTTCGTCCCCCTTCCCTTTGTCAGTTCATCAAGATTTCTACCCCAGCTAACCCAACCCCTTTCCTCAAGATGCGCTCCTGTTCTGCGGAAGAGAAATGTTTATGATCCTGGTGCTGAAAGCAGTTACAGTGCGGAAAAGACGAAAAGCTAGAGGAAGTTAACAAAAAAAATTCTCCGAAACTGCCATAGGTGGAAGTGTGTGAACTCACATTGTTTGTGGCGGCAATCGCAATACTATCCTCGAAGGGGTGCCAGCTCATGTGCAGGATCTTCTTGTTAAAGTCGATCTGGTCGGCATCGGTTTCCTTCTTCATACGGCTACCAGGACCAGCAGGGCTTCCTGATCGCGATCCAGCCTTCTTTCCACCCTTGTTCATTGGTGTGGGGACGCCAACCTTCTTCGCCTTGAAGGCTGACTTGTCTGCCTGGAGGACAATCTCCGTATCCTTCTGCTCCTCTGTAGGATATATCATGAAGTTATTGTTATAACTGCCGGTCATCACATTCTCTGCGTCGCCCGAAAATACCACCTCGAACTTGTCGAAGATGCTATCGTTTTCGTAGGTATCGCAGAGACGTGGTCGCAGGTGCTCGTGAATAGGGATGGTCTTGACAGGTTGACGTTCCATGTTGACATCCCAAATCTTCACAGTCAAGTAGTCCCTCGACACGATGTACCGGCCGTCATGTGAAAAGCGAACGTCGGAAATAGAAGATATGATCTCGGAGAAGAAAGAACGCGAAGAAGCATCCTCTTCTTGTTCGAACACTATCAAGAAAAAAAGATAAGCCGAGTCAGTAAAATCCGAACAAAAAAAGCCTTTTCTCTAGAAAAAGACAGGAGTATAGGGTAAAACAACATACGCTTAGAATGTTCATCACAAAGGGCCCGCTGCCGCATATCGGCAAGCTTAATGGTACCCTTCGAACTAGCATACATGAACCAGTTACAGCTCACAGGGTGGAATTCGGCCGCTGTAATGACTTCGGTCAATTCTTCCATGTTTGCTGGTTTGATATCAACAATGTTGAAGCTTTGATCCTGGATGTTCAAGTTCCACAAATTAACCCGAAGGTCGTCACTGCTGATAAAAGTTTCGCCATCACTGTTCACGGAGATGCTATTAATATGGTATGCATGAGCATTAGCATATGTTCTCCGAGGAACCGCTGCCACAACGGTATCATGGTGTGTCAAGCGGGGTAGCTTCAATGCAGAGGCATGCTTGAAAGTACCCCGGGGAGCTCGAGGCAAACCACCCGTTGGGGCAGGGGGAGTCATCTCATTGGATAGATTGTTCTCAGCGACCACTTTCAACGACTTGTCAAACACCTTCCATAGCTTTATGGTCTTGTCGTTGGTCGAAAGAAGGAAGTGTGAAGCATTCTGACGCCGACACCATTTAATCTTGTTGATTTTCTCTTCAATCTCTAACGATTTGAGGTAATCAAATTCTGGCTCGTGCGATTGGAACTCGGTGTGGAACTTATACTCGCAGGTTTTTTTCTGTTCAGAAAGGAATTTTTTTTTAGCATGAGAAATAGGCCCGCCCGAGGGGGTGGAAAACAGGGATTCGCGCGCAAAGCCGGAACTCACCGTTTCGTTTCGTTCGAACAGAACTACTCGTCCTCCCTTGTCTCCTGTAGCCAAATAGTTTCCAGTATGATCAAATTCGACGGTCGAGATAATGTCGGCTGTTTGAGGGGGAAATGGAAGATATCAGTCAGCCAATGAGCTCCGGTGACTCAACGCAGGCGCAACGGTACCTTCTGTGATATCCTCTACATCACCTTTATCACCAAAGCATCTATTAACGATATGTCAGCCATTGTACCCGAGTCCTGAAGGGGGAAGAGTGATGAGATAAAGTCTCCGCCGGGTGACAGGCCCGGTGAATATATTTCTCTTCATTGGAGAAAGCGGGGAGGGGAGGAGACTCACTGTGTGAACTTCCAGGTTGGTGTTCCTGGATCTCTGTCTACCATCTTTTCGTTCTAGGATGTCCCTTGATGGTTGATCTGGACAAGGGTTCGGGATGCAGGCACGGGTTGGGCGAAGAGAAAAAGCAAGCCAAACGGTTAGGCTTCCGATAGCTTCTATTGTGAATGCAAATGGATCGGTGGATTCGGAATGATCTCGCCGACAAGGCGGAACCGGTCGGACAAATTAGTATCGCAAGTATCGAGGGACAGCGAGCGAAGAGAGTGGCGAAGCTCCACGCTTAACGTGCGGGCGAGGGGCCGATGACGAAGTGTGCGGAAAGAGGGGGAATGTGAATCTGATCGGGAATACGGTCAAAGGCGGGAAAGACCGTGTATCACCTCGCCAAGTTTTTGGGGGGGGATTAAGACAGGCGTGGAGGTTGCGGGATGTGTAGGAGGAAGAGAGTTGAATGGTTTTGGAGGGGGAACGATCCGCTTGTGTTATGGACCCGCAGAGCTTGAGAGGGGATCATTGAAGATCTGAACAAGCCTTAATGTTCGAGAATTGGGGATAAAAATCCAGTATATCATAGAATAAAGTGGTCCATTCAAAACCTTTTGCTTCCTTCTTTCCTTCTTTCCTTTGATTATTTTTTATTATTTTTCTAGATTAAATGAAAGGAGAATAAAACACGGAGGAGAGAGAAGAAAAAAAAGAGGGGAGCGGTGGTGGCAGCTCTTCTCCCACCGCTACAACCGGATTTTGTCTGGGGAATTTTATATGGCTTAAAAGATTGGCTCTACGTCTAACGCGCATTTCAATTTTGTCTCAATATCTGCAAGAATCGACCAGTTCACTCGAAACTGAAGGAGAGAGAGAAAAAAGAGAGAGAAGTGCTCATTTTCTCTCTTGCTTGAGTATCCGATACCAAATGCTGACATCAACACTATTCAGTGACTGTAACATTGCCCGAAGCAGGCACGGATCACTGGGCAAAGAAATCGGGCGCAAATTTTGACAATACCAATCAATTGCTCCGGTGGTCAGATCTGGCTGCAAATCTATAGGGCTTACATTTGAAAATGCTTTCCTGGAAGCTGCAGAGTGTCCCTGTCCCGCCTCTGTCGTCATTCTCAAGTGCTGTCGGGCCAGAGTATGGAAAGCTCGTATATAATACGCCTACAATCTGGGTACTGCCTAGAAACGTAGTTCTGTATTTAAGTATTACTAGTATATAGTAGCTATCTATCCCAAGAAGCAAGACCACGGGTACATTGTTTGATATATCATTACATATCCGGATCAACTGGAGACTTCCAACGGACCAGTTGACATCTGGAGCCTGATATATATAACCGTGCATCGACATACATACACAAACATCAAATACCAACATTGAGCACCAGAAACATCAACATTGAACATTTGAATGATTTTCAGCCAGACATCTTGTCTGCTTACACATAATTGAAAATACGTAGGTAGCAGGAATAAAAAATTGGCATCTTGAAATATTTGAAATCCATCTACCCAAACCACCGGGCAGGTGGGCATCAAAAGCCGCTATTTCACATGCCCAGGTGCTTCCCTTCCTACTTTGTCCGCCCGAGGGCTGCGATTCCCCGAGTTGGAACCTGGCAATTCCGTTCATCCACATCCAGTAATTCACCTTAAAATGTCCCAAACCCCATTGAATTTGAATACACTCTTTTGGAATATTGAACATACCTACTACCTACTACATGGTAACTAATCTGGCAAAACCCACCATTCCCCCCGATTGACCTGACCCCTCCTCCTCAAACACCCCCTCAGCCACCATGTCCGACGCGGGCGTACCCCGCATGTTCTCCGAAACGACTAACAACACCAACACAAATACCACACAACCAAACACAGGCACAGACCCAAATTCCACAGCCAAACCCCCACAAACAAATACCCAGCCCTCCCTAGCGCGCCGTATCCAAACCTCCGCCAAAGACGCCGCTCGCACCTTCGTCCCCCAAGGCCCATCCAGCAACGCCGCCCAAACCCTCTCCAACGCAACAAATGCAAAAACCGGTCCATCCTCATCCCACGCAAGCGCAGGGTCCTCAGCGCAGGAAATACTGGGATCTACAAGTAGACCGGGGCCCAGCGAACGCGCTCGCGGCGAAGCATTTCGCGCAAGCGGAGTCGGACCAGATACAAATACCAGCTTACGGGCACAGGGCGGCTTCGAGCTTCCCGCCCTAAGCGCAGAGGAGTTCGAACGCGGAGCTGGCTCTGAACACGAACACGAACACGGATATGGACACGGACAAGAGCCCGGGATCGAGAACTCGTTCTCCTCAGCTGGACCCGGTTCTCGCGATAGTCGCGAGGATCTGCAGTCCTCGACGGGCAACTGGAAGGGCAAGCGGCGGGCTTGGGATCCGGTGCAGGTGGAGTATACGAGCGCGTGGGAGCGCGCTCAAGCGGATACAAACGCACATTCGACCACGCATGCAAATATGAATATGAATGCAGCGGACGGCGCAGCGGTGGTATCGCTTCTATCCGACACGTCCTTTGACGCGAACTTCGGGGGTGCATATGGAGACGAGGACGCGTATGGCGCGGGTGTAGATCTAGATCCGCATGCCGCGCCTCCGCCTCTAACGGCTGGTGAGATCCAGATGCTGGAATCTTTTCGACGGGAGATCGCGCGGGAAGAGGGGGGCGTCGAGGGTGTAGCGAAATCGGCACAGCTTTCGTCTTTCAGTCTGGTGCCTGATATCGATGCATTTCTTCAGGAGAATGATCCGGCGGCGTATGCACGGACAGCTGCTGTACCGAGCACCGAGCATACAAGGTCGAAGGGATACGCGTCGACGCCTTTGCGGGACGCTGTGCTCTCGAAGCTTCCGGGTGCGGAAGACTGGGTTGGTGTGCATGAGCGGTATCATGATGAGGTTTGGGGGTATCTGAGGCCTGCGTTGGAGGCTGCTAAAGTGGAGATTGAGGAGAAGGAGACGGCGGGGGATAATGGTGATCGGGATGGACCTGCTGTTCAGCGACTTAAGATGATTTTGAGGCATATGAAGGCTTGAGAATTATGGTAGATTTGTCATAGTAAGAGAGTGTTTATGTAGATTATCTAGAGCTCACTGCGCAGGGCTAAAGTTTGTATCTTGAATATATAGACGTACGAGTCAAATACAACCAGTTGACTTGAAGAACAATTCAATTGTAGTCGTGTAGCGCGCGTTGGTCTAGGCCATTTGACGGGTCCTGTTAATTTTCCGGTAGGTATCGAAATGAGTGGGTGAGGTGTTAGGTATACTACTGGTAGATTCAAATAATACAAGTAATGCATTACTTACCTTCTCCAGGGCTTTTTATGCATATTACTCATACTCTTCTACAAACAAAACAGAACCAAACTGATATAAACCAATCTAATAAGTAGATTCCAATATAAAATGGTATGTTACACGAAGACCATTGAAGACTCAGCAACATCAGAGTCCAGACCTAGTAAAGTGGACCAGATGGACCGATCATGAAGGCATGACATGGAATAAAAAGCAAGGACGCAAGCAAAAAGAACCAACAAGATAAAGAACAAGGGTATGTGAGTCGTGGCAGTCGGAAAAGGAAGAGGGTAGTAAGTTTTCCATCAAGGCAAAAAAAATCTACAGCTCCAGGCTAGGCTTTTGGCCCTTGATACGACCGATAACAGTCTGGGCGGCGTACTTGGGGATGACCTCATCGTCGTGAAGCATAGCAAACTCCTCAGTAGCGTCACGACCCATGAAGTTGTACAAAGCATTGGCACCACCGGGGTGCTCATCAAGCCAGTTAGTCACATCAAGGACGATGCCCTTGACAGCGATCCACAGATCGTCTTTCTTGTTGTGCTTTGCGACTTCCTCCATGGTGTACTCCTTCTCTGGGATCTGGAAGTTGGCAGGGTCGGGCTTGGCGGCCTTGGCTTCCTCGGCGGGAGCAGCAGCGGTGGAAGCAGCAGCAGCAGCAGGGGCAGCAGCCAGGGTGGGAAGGTTGCCACCGGCGGCGGCAGCGCCCCACTCGACGGAGATCTTGCCGGGAGTGGAGGGATCGATGTGAAGGGAGATCTGGCCAAGACGCTGGCTGGCAGAGGAAGAGCCACCGTTGCTGATGAGCTGCTTGAAGAGGTGCTGGCTGGCAGAGTCACCGGCAACACGACCGTAGACGACACAGCCCAGCAGGGAGGAACCACCGAGACGGTTGGCACCGTGGACACCACCGGCCAACTCACCACAAGCGTAGAGACCCTCGAAAGGCTTCTGCTCGGAGTTGAGGACCTGGGCGTGTTCGTTGATCTCGATACCACCCATGGTGAAGTGGAGAACGGGCTCCATCAAAGCGACGTGGAATTCGTCGTCGACGTTGAAGGGCATGTTGTGGAAGAACTTCTTGTTCCAGGGGTCCTTCTTCTTGCCATCGGCGATGAGGTTGTACTCGTCAAAAGTCTTTTGGAGGCCAGCCTCACCACAGCCAATCTCCTTGGCCAACTCCTTGCCGGTCATCTTCTTCATCAAGCCACGGCCAGAGTAGTGACGAGTGTGGAAGTCAAGGACCTTGGAAGCCTTACTGTTGAGCACCAGACGAATGGGCCACTTGCCCTTCTCCTTCTCGATCCACATTTGACCGGAGACGTAATCACGGTGACCCAACTCGTCAGAGAAGCGTTGACCATCGGAGTTGAGCAAAAGACCACCCTCACCACGGAGGGCCTCGGCGGCCAAGAACTTGAACTTGGCACCGGGATCCTTGGGATCCACGAGACCAGTGGGGTGGACCTGGACCTTGTCCATATCAATACCGTTGGCACCAATGGCCATCAACATCTTCTGACCATCACCAGTAGCGTGAGTGCCGTTGGTAGAGGAGAGACCATAAGTATCGGGACGGTGCTTCTGGAGCAGGGAAGTCTCGCTGAAATCAGCAGCGTAACCACCGGTGGCCAAGATGACGATACCATCGACGGATTTTTCCTCACCACCGGTAGTGTAGGTGACACCGGTAACGTGGTTACCAGACTTGTTAACCTTGGTGACGTGGGCCTTCTTCACGATCTGAACACGACCGGGCTCGGCCTCGGCAAGCTCCTCAAGACGCTGCATGAGGGCGTATGTGATGGCCATACCGGGGAACTTGGCATCGTGACCACGGTGAGTACGGGGGTGTGTGTGACCGCCCAATCGAGAAACAAGAGTGAGGTCAAGGTTGAAGACATCCTGCAACCACTCGACGGCAGCGGCGGACTTGTAGGTAAGGACCTTGATGAGGTCGGGGCGGGCCTTGTCACGGGCGGACTTGAGGGTGTCTTCGTAGAATTGCTTGACACTGTCTTGAATACCGAGGTCGGTCTGGGTGCGGGTAAGCGCACCGTTAATGCCGGAAGTAGCCTTGGTAGAGTTGCCACCGAAGAAGGCTGGAAAACGTGGCAATGGTCAGCGTGAGATCGCTTTCAACTCGGAAAAGGACTAATCGATCGTACCTTGCTTATCCAAAACGAGGACGTTGCCACCGTTTAAGTAGACTGTGTGAGCAGCACTGAGGCCAGACACTGGAATGAGGTCAGCGAAAAAGGGATCTCCGCGAAAAGTGTGGGGAAGGGACCAACTTACGACCACCGCCGACCACAATGACTGAAGGGGCTGCCATGTTGGAAGTGATGTGTGGAGAAAGGGGGAGAGGAAAATAAAAAAAAGCGAAGATGAGGGGAAAGAAAAAAGAGAGCGAAAGAGGAATGATAAAATGGTTTTAAAGGGAGCAGAGGGAGCAAATGCCGACAAGAGAGCTATTCCTATCGGCCGAGGTAAAAGCGTGGGGAAAAAGAATGGGGACTTTTTGGATGGGGTCGTGTGGATACCGGGCACTGAGTAATTCAAGTACGCTGAGTTGTTAATATTTCTCTGGGGAACCCGTAGAAAAGTTATGTCTACGACAGTAAAATCCGGGGGAAAGCTGGAAAGAAAATATTTGTCACATGCATATGATTGTCATTCTTGTTTCTAGAGTTGTAGCTTGGGCATTTTCACATGTTCGTGTTCGTCATTGGTTTCGCATGTCTTATGATCAAAGATCAAGAGGGAACATCTAGACTAAACTTCTCTACGGAACACGGTGGATACTGATCTAATTCATGGAGATAGGAGAATAGCTTCATACTCTTTTCCCTATAGTTTCCTCATTCGCTCCATCGCATCGGAAATCTTGAAAGCTCTCATTGTTCCGAGGCTGAGCCTCGGAACAAAGGGACGTGAGCAAAGAGGCCGAGTATGTGGTCCGAGGAGATCGCATGACGATCAGACCATCCGACGCAGCTTAGTGCTTAGATCAAACCATATAAATCAAAAACAAAGGAAGAAAATACAGTAAAGAACGTTGAAATGTAGAATATAAAAAAATACATCTACAGATTGTTCTAAATTTGATACCATAACTCTTACCCCGAACCCAAGAACAGGATAGCGGAATGCGGTAATAGCAATCGCCGCTGAAGTATGACCCGACGGTGATTGGTGGAAGTTCCGCTAAATCCGGGGTTGAAATCACCTGAGAATTACTATTTGTGGGTCGCCATGACATCACCTCTTGATCGGGACTGAAAGTTCAATTGCCGACGGAATTCAATTGTCGACGCTAAACCGGCCCTGAAGTATCTAAAAAAAATGCATAAATGGAGCCCATCGCCAGTCCTTGCGCGTCTAGATGGCAAAATTTTACGAGCGATCCATACGGTGTACCGCTCGGGGGCTGTTGGACCGAGTCTTCTCGGGCTAATGCTCGCCCGAGAACGACCCGATCATTAAGCAGTCGTGTAAATCGGCGAGAGTCCCGAGATCGGGATATTGATGCGCGAATACAGGGTGGACACTAGATCTGAAGAAATTGAATAGGGCAAGGCTTGGTTCCTGGAATTAAAATAGATCCATATGTTTTTAGTCCATCCAAGTGACGCTCTTCGTCACCAAAAACTCATTCAACCCTTCCTCAGCGTTGAATCGACCCCATCCGCTATTCTTAACTCCACCATGCGGTAAAACAGGCTCATCGTGAATCGTCATGCTGTTAATATGCACAGCTCTGGAGAGTGGAAACCAAAATCAGTCAAATCCGCAACATGCAAGGCACATTGGGGTAGTCAAAATAAGAAATCCAAACTTACCCGGATTGGATCCGCTTAGCCATCGCCAATCCCTTGCGTAGATCCTCTGTAAACACCGATGCCGACAGTCCGTACCCGCTCCCATTAGCCAGTCGGATGGCCTCGTTCTCATCTTCAAAAACCATGCACGCTGCCACCGACGCAAACGACTCTTCTTGCCACAGCGACATATCTTCTTTCACTCCACCCAGGATTGAGGGGGCCATGCGAACACCAGAGTCCGAGGGAATATGTGTCTCAGCAGATCCAGAAATAAAGTGCGCACCAGCTGTTACTGCACTGGAAATCAAAGCCTCGACGCGAGCCTTGGATGCCGTATTCACAAGCGTCGGCGGAAGAGAGTCCGCATCTGCGCCCGCACCAGTAGCCAAAGCCGTTTTTAACGCGTCGATAAAAGCAGCTGCAATCGAGGCGTGAATCAATATCCGATCAGTGGCCATACAAATCTGACCCGACTACACCAGAAAAAGAGAGAAGACCAGTTAGATTCCAAAGCCGCAAACTTCCCAGCAAACACCCAAAGGGGAGGGAAAGGGGAGGAACAAAGAACAAGAAAACTCACATTGAGAAAAGCGCCAGCAAGCACACCACCCACAGCAATGCTGATATCAGCATCAGCACAGACAATTGAGCTATTCTTTCCACCCAGCTCCATTAAGCAAGGCTTCAGATTCTGCCCACAGGCGCGTGCAATCCTCCTCCCCACAGCCGTACTCCCAGTGAAATTGACCTTGCGCACAGCCGGATGCTCAATCATGGTGTTGACCACCTCAGCCGCATCCTGCGGGGGACAAGAGATTATATTCAAACATCCAGCGGGGAGACCTGCATCCTCAAAGGCGCGGCCAATGGCCCAGTAACAGCGCGGTGTGAGTTCGGAGGACTTGAGGACCGTGGTATTTCCAGCTGCTAGCGCGCATGCAGCGGAGCGAATACCGAAGACGTAAGGGGCGTTCCTGATGAATCTTAGCATTGTCTCTTGACCCGCATATAGCTCGCAGCAAGTTGTTCAGCCCGACTAGAAAGTAGGGCTGCACCCGTGTATACTCACCACGGCACAATCCCCAGAATAACACCCATTGCTTCCTTGAACACGATCGCACTTTGTCCCTCCGTCTCCACCACAGGCACACTCCCACAGATGGAGGTGATGCGACCGGCCACCTCGCGTAGCATCCGAATGGCGAGTGGGATCACGAACCCCTCTGAAGTGCCAACGTCGGCTCCCATTTCCGTGCGCATGTATTCGGCATTGATTTTGATGCGCTGCTCTAGCAGATCGGCCGTCTTGAGTAGGATATCACGTCTTGCGGTGGGTTTTGTTGTTGACCATTTTGGGAAGGCGGCGTCTGCAGCTTCGACGGCGCGGGTGGCATCTTGCGGGGTAGCAGCTGCGGCGGTCCAGCAGGGTTTGTTGGTGTAGGGGCTGATTACTTCGAAGGTTGTTGGAGAGAATGAAGCTTTGCCGTTTATTAGGAGGGGGACTGAGAATTCGTTCATTTTGTGTTGTGTTTGGGTTGTTTTTTTTTGTTCTGGGGAAGGAGTTGTTGGTGGAAGAGGGATCCAAGCTTAGCTACGGAGTACGATTTACTGATTATTCTGGTCAAGACTGAGACTTGGCCCCACTCTTACATGTGAACTGTAATGGGAGGTTGTGTTGGAGATGGAATTGGAATTGGAGTAGTTGATCGTTTCCTGGAATTGCAAAAGAGAAATCCTGATTGTCCGATTCCACTAACTAGTCGCTACTTAACCGAAAATGGACTGGACCGGACCCATACGAAGCTTTATTGTACGACATTCCAACTGCGATGAGCCCCCTTCTCCTACTAGTACTATAGAGAGGCTGTGATATCTTCAAGGGAATGTCAAAGCCGACATGACATACTACGCAATCCAGTCAATTGACTCTGGTGGCGTTTTAATAATAGATTCAACCAGGGATCGATTCGGGTGAAGAGTTTTTGACAAGCCCCACTATCGGGATCCATACTCACTGCACCTCATTTATTCGAAGCAGACTCCACTAGAATTCTGTACGAGTCACAAAAATTAGATTGTTGGAATCAGTCATCTATTGCTTATATACGGAGCACATTGGCTGTTATGGAGAAAAAGGCAACTGAAATGTAGGTGACGTGCATGGTTTGGTATTCCAACAAGCTTCCATGCATTGGATCGTGCATATTGTGCATATCGCGCCAAGCTCGATAGTTTTGACTTGAACACGGGTTGAGATGGACTATTGATGATCTGCGTGGCAGATCAGTTCAACCGATGCGAAGGAGCTGGAGATGTATAGTGACCAATGCCACTTACATAGACTGAGAACATACAGTAACGCAAGATTTCGGCACCTTATCCACATGGCAACAACCACATATCAATCGGAAAATATCAAAATCTGACTTTGCTTTTCACCCGTTTTATCCCTTTGACAAACATCCGTACCTCCCGAGGTTCTCTTCGCAAATCCATTGGAATTATCATGATTATATCAGATGGCGATCGTAGCGCATTCCTTCCCGATCTGAAGGACCCACACGCCACATTATGGATCCCCTGAACGGGGTCTACACAAGATTCAAGAAAACAGAAGAAAACATGTGTCACTCCAACTCCAGACCGCTGCAGCCTTCCCTTTGTGGTTATGATAGACAGCGCTAACTCGGCGAACCAGAGAATCTTTCTCGCATACACACGCCAGAGCTTAATCATTTTACAATGGAATTCGCGCACTGCTTTTTGCGTCTATTTGTACTGTACGCACAATCTGCCTATGATCGCCCAGGGGCCATGGGGTCAATCTAATTCGCCCGTTTTCCAGGGTTTCTCAATTGGCTTGATCTTGTGTGACCTTATATTTGTGGAGGGGTGTCAGACGTTGTTTTCTTCCCCAGGAGACAGACATTCTTTTTTTTTTTTTTCGATCTCCCCTCCACCCAGCTCTTTCTTTCAATCTTTGGTGTTTTTTGTTGTTTTTTTCTTATTTTTCCTCTATATTTTGAGAGTTAGCTCTTCTTCATCATGGGTGCTAGTGCGAGAGGTCTACAGATGATCGAGATCGTTTCGGTCTTGGTAGCTCTATGTTTTGTTTGTGTGGTATTGCGCGTGGTGGCGCGGTTACGTCGCAGAGTTGGCTTCGGTGTCGATGATTATCTTAGCATCGTGTCCATGGTGCTGATGCTGGCCATGCTAGTGGAGTTGATTTTATGGTGTACAATAGGTGGGAACGGTGCACATGTCAAAACACTAGACGAGGAGACAATCGAAAACTACTACAAGGTATGCTTTTTCTATACATTAGTATCCATATCCCTCAACATTGGAATATTGGAACCTTGGAAAAGGCCTGAATAAAGTGTCTAACATAACCTGCACAGATCTTCCTCGCCAACCAATTCACATACTTCGTCCTCTGCCCCTCAATCAAAATCTCCATCATCTGCTTCTATCGCCGCGTCTTCACAACACCCAGATTCCAACAATATACCTTTGCCCTCAACTGCCTCATCGCCGCCTGGGGCACCGGAATCTTCCTCGCCTGTGCCGGCCAATGCCAACCCTTGAACGCGTATTGGAACAAATCCATAGCCGGCCACTGCTTCAACGCCAACCTCTTCTTCATCGTCAACCAAGCCTTCAACGTCCTAATGGACTTTGTCATCCTCGTCCTCCCCGTGCCAATGATCTGGAACCTCCACCGGGCATGGCAAGATAAGCTCGCCTTGAACGGTGTCTTTGCCATCGGCGCATTCGTCTGCTTCGCAAGCATATACCGGATTGTCGTCCTATTCTGGATCAGCCCCGTGGACCCGACTTACACGGTCTACCAGGCTACCCTGTGGACACACATTGAGCCCTCTGTCGGGTTGATCTGCTCCTGTCTCCCCATCGTGCGAGGACTGTTCCCTGCATTCAAGTTGAAGAACCGATCCAATCGCAGCACAGCGCCTTACTATATTAATACGGATATTACCAATTCGCATGCTTTGTCCAAGGCCAGTCCTCTCTCTCCTGACCCGGAGTACTTGAAGATGCAGTCGGCTATTTATGCTGGGGGCCAGGAAACGAATATGAAGAGAAATTGGCTAGGGGATGAACTTGGGATCCAAGTCCAGACCGATATTGCTATTACCCCTGATAATGATTCGACTACTGCTTTGAACTTGCCATCGCATAGCTGATCTGAGCTGCTTTTGTTATGCTGATATGACTTGATGACCTTTCAATCCTTTCTATGATAGTGGTTATGAAAGCCTGGTTGGCTTTGACCGTTTCCATGGCATTTGGTGCCTGTGTACTGGTGTTCTCTTGGAAATCCTGCTCGCAGTCCAAGCAATGGAAGGATTCAAACGTTTCCTCCCATTAACCATATCATGCTGTCATTCCAAAATTTCTTTATGTTTCTGTGGCTTTGCCGCTGATTCCACCATTCTTGTATACTGGCACAACCTATACTTCCTTTTCTTATATATCGAGCTTGCAACACAAAGATTGATGATACCCTGCCGTTTGCATGATATTTTCCATGGAGGCCGTGACTCCTCAATTCCATGTGCACTTGTATTGAAGCTCAAACCGGTCCTCGCAACGCCCTCTCTTTTAAATAGCAACTTGAATTGATTTATACGCCTTTAGATGGAAGAATTATGAGCATCGAAACAAACCGTATATCTTTTCTGCTCCGGGCCTCCTGATCATCACAGAGAACATCTGGCTTCCCACTCCACCAAGTTCTGTGTAATTCAGTTCCACTTCTTCAACCATCACCCACCCCCTGAGTTCGAGACAGACCTTGGAGGAGTGAAAGTATTTGTGCAAGCCGAATAGGACGTGCCGGACAAGGGAGAGACCTAGAAGAGAAAAAAACGAGTACCTCCGTCAGCAAATTGCTGGTGAGTTCTTCCACTCATCATGACGATATAAAGGGGGCAAGTGAGTAAGGGGACGTTGACCCTAACTAAAAATATAAAAAAAAAACGCGTGCGGGTCAAGAGGTCCCGAACCTGAAGGGCAAGCAGCCTGGACTTTACCGTCCAGCTGAAGCGGCAACACCAACGATCCAGTGGAGGGTTTTGGGCAATCGCTAGAGTTCTCACCTGAAGATTGTGAAGAGAAGAACAAAAGTCGTAAAAGTAGGCAGATCACCTAGGATCCAACCTGGTTAAGCAGCATTGGGGCCTTGTTCCATTGTCAGATATGCCTGGAAAACAATTCGTGTATCTTGATTCTAAGAGAGATCAGGTAAATTACCCTGGCCCTGTGATTCTGGGATCGTTGTGCAACCATAAAGTTAGTTAGCCCTTGTTGTTTTCTGATGTTGATAAGTTCCAGACTTACCAATGTGTTCCTACATAGGAAGGCAGCTGTCCATCTCCCACTTCGGATCCATCTAGCCCCGCAAGTAACATAAGGTAAAAAGGACATGCCTTATAAGAGAGACCTAGAAAGAAAAAAAACGAGTACCTCCGTCAGCAAATTGCTGCTGAGTTCTTCCACTCATCCTGACGATATAAAGGGGGTAGATGAGTATGGGAGCGTTGACCCTAACTAAAAAATATAAAAAGGAAGCGCGTGCGGGTCAAGAGGCCCCGGATCGAAGGGCAAGCAACCTGGACTTTACCGTCCAGCTGAAGCGGCAACACCAACGATCCAGTGGAGGGTTTTGGGGAAATCGCTAGAGTTCTCACCTGAAGAAGAGACAAGCATAATCAGAGATACCATAGGAGTAGGAGATGTCGAATAAGAGAGACCTATAAAGAAACATGTACCTCCGTCAGCAAATTGCTGGTGAGTTCTTCCACTCATCCTGACGATGTAAAGGGGGGAGGTGAGTACGGAGGCGTTGACCCTAACTAAGAATAAGGACGAACGCGTGCGGGTCAAGATGCCTCGGACCTGAAGGGCAAGCAGCCTGGACTTTACCGTCCAGCTGAAGCGGCAACACCAACGATCCTGTGGAGGATTTTGGGGAAATCGCTAGAGTTCTCACCTTAAGATTTTCAAAGAGATAGACAAAAGTCGCGTGGCATGAGAGGCAGAGGCATCCTGGAATCAATAGGATGGAAGGAGGAAAATAAAAAAAGAAGAAAGAAGGAAGGGGGACGAAGGGAAGGAAGGATGGAGGAGGATGGAAGAGAAGAAGAAGAAGAAAAAATAATGATAAGAAGTTGAAGTTGAAGTTGAAGAGTAAGACTGAATTGTGGGGAAGAGGAGAAAAAAGAAGAGGAAGATTGGGAAGGGAAGAGCAAAGTATTTATACCAAAAATCTGGGAGAGCGCGAGGTACTACTTTCCCTAATTGGGAAAAGGGAGACATGTCAATCGACGAAGTCATTGTTTCCATTGACGGAGGTAACTTTCTCCTGTTTCATACTGGCACCCCTCTCCTCCGACACCCAAACCGAATACAAAGGCAAACACTCTTGATTCCCAATCTATACTAGTAGCATTAAATCCAAAAACAGGAAAAATCCCCAAAGTTACTAGTACGAGCTTAGACAAAGGAGTCCTCCGGATGAAACATGGGAGGAACCAGCGCCTTTGGCGGCCATCCAACTCGGGTATCAAACGGCGTCGAAAAGGAGTATTGTCCAGATCCAACCGAAATCTCCTCTTTCGGCTCACCAGGGAGCACGATTCTCGCTTTCGAATTCGGCGGCACGATAACCTCCAACTTAAAACACTGATCCACAATCACCCACCTGCACTCCAACCGGCCATAAGCAGTTTCATAAGCAGCTTCGGCAGAGGCGACTGTACCCCCCGGAATAGGCTTAACAAGGACCTCTTTCCAACCGGGCTCCAGTGGACTAATACCTGCCAAAGTGCTATGTAACCAATTAACAATAGACCCAAGTGCATAGTGATTGAAGCTCGTCATTTCTCCAGGATTGATACTCCCATCAGCACGCATACTATCCCAACGCTCCCAGATTGTTGTGGCACCCATCGTAATAGGATACATCCAAGATGGGCAAGACTTTTCTTGGAGCATCCTATACGCCAGCTGCGGATATCCGGCCTTCGTGAGCGCATGAGTGATGATAGGAGTACCAGCAAAACCAGTCGAGACTTGGAAGCTGGATTTCCGCACTGATCGGGCGAGACGGGATCCTGCAGTAGTGATCTGAGTAGGATCATCAAGAAGGTCGAATACAATAACGAGTGCGAGGGCTGTCTGGGTATCACCGACTAGTAGACCATTGGGAGAGACGTATTTATCCTGGAAACGGGATTTAAGTGTATGGTAGTCTGCCTCGTAGCGTGCTGCGTCGGACTTTTCATCGATGGTCTCACTAATATATGCAAGAGTGCGTGTCACATGAACAAGATATGCGTCTGCGACGAGCGTCCCGTCTGTGCGTGAGTTACCTGGGTTTTCGGGCGGTGCGGTGGGATCGAGCCAATCTCCGAGCTGGAACAGGGTTTCTTCCCACAGACTATCCGGGCCGCGAAGGACACCTTTGTCGAGCCATGCCTTCATGCTAGGGTATTGACGGCGGAGAATTTCGGTATCTCCATAGCTTTTGTAGAGAGTCCATGGAAGGAGGACAGTGACGTCGTCCCAGATGGCTTGTGGGAATGTCGGCCACAAGGCTTCGGGGATGACATTCGGGATGACGAAAGGCGGAATGCCGTGGTCGTGAGCCAATTGTTCTGCTGAAAGATCTTTGAGCCAGTCGCCGAGCATACCGCCCGTGTTATATAGGAAGCTGGCAGAAGGTGCAAAGACTTGAATGTCACCTGTCCAGCCAAGGCGCTCATCTCGTTGCGGGCAGTCAGTGGGGAGGCTCAGAAAATTTCCGCGCATCGACCAGGTGGCGTTTTCATGAAGTTTATTGATCATATCATGTGAGCAATTAAACCATCCAGTCCGGTGAAGATCGGTGTGCATGACCTCGGCAACGAGGTTGTCAAGAGTAGGGGTCCAGCCATCGATTTGGACGTATCGAAAACCGTGGAAGGTGAATCGGGGTGCCCAGTCGTGGATTTCGCGACCAGCAGAGATGATGGTATCCTTACACTTGGCAATGCGAAGCGGACGTATACCCAGTTCTTGGTTCTCAAGAACCTCGGCGTGGACAAGTGTTACGGCTTGGTCAGTTGGAACGAGAGAAGGAATTCGTACTCGACCAACAAGGTTCTGACCGAAATCGACGATTGTCTTTCCAGATGGTGTTTTGATAATCTCTACGGGCTTCAGAGTTTCTGTAACCCTTACCGGGGGCGCATTGGGCGCGACAAGTTCTGTCTTTGGGAAGTCGGTCTCGCGCACATGATCCCAGGAAGTCTCGTGGTTGAACGGCAAGTCATTCCATCCTTCTTGTTCTTCACGAGCATCATACATTTCTCCATCGTAAATCTCGCTGGTGATGAGGGCCGATGCGTGACATTTCCACGACGCATCGGAGATGATGGACATCTTTTCCTGTTCATAATTGATCTCCAGTTGGGCAATTAAAGCCATTTCGTCGCCGTAGATAAAGCGTTGGCCACCAAGAAATCCCAAGCGAGTGGCATACCATCCTTCGGCAAGTTCGACTGCAATGACATTCTCTTCATTGACTTGCAGCAATGGTGCTACGTCGAAACACTCGTAGTTAAGCCGATGATGGTAACTAGTCCATCCCGGTGCCATGAAATGATCCCCAACTGAGACACCGTTTATATAAGCCTGAAACACACCCAGAACGGTTATATAAAGACGGGCGTCTTGCAACACGGATGACGAGAGCTTAAATGTCTTCCGGAATCGGAGTGGCCTTAAAGGCCCCTCGGGCTGCTTAGTAGGACTGGTAATTGCGTGTGCAATCCAATCTTGAGGCGCTAGCAGACCACACTCAACCGTTGTCCAGTTCGACCATTCTGTTGGCTCGTTGCTAGGACCACCATGCGATCGTACCCGAACCTGGACTGATTCGCGAGACAGGAGAGGTTGGCTGGGCCAGGGCACGAGTACAGAGTGTGATGCTTCGACGCGATAAGACTCGGGACTTGAATTGTGGCGCTTGATGTCGATTTCGTATGCTTTCTGTTCCCAGTTAGGAATTGTAGTTTTGGAGGCTCCAAACTTCCACGAGATGCGGGGGCTGGGGATCCCGATGCCTAGTCCTGTGGCATGTTGTTCAAAGGACACTGATGTGATTGTTGGATGCGTGGACATATTGACGACGATATGAATGAGCAACCTTGGGAGGAAGTAAGTTTCAGTTCTTTCATGGTCATTGTTCAGGTATAATGTTCGGGATAAAAGATGCCGAAGCACTTGCCCCGCATCCGAAATGCGAAGTTTACCCGAATCAGACACAGAAAATAATCAAGGGGTTTCAAGTCACTCTGTTTGAATACGGGCGACTCTGACTGAGATTCTTATTATGGAAAATAAGGTCTCAAAATCAGCCACAGTAGCCGACAGGCTATAAAGAGAGTATAGAGTCTACTAGTAGACAGTGGATGTTTGCGTAATAATAGGCGAATAGCAAATACAGCAATCCCAGACACTGTAGACTCCAGTATTGATACTGTATCTTCTTTCGAAGTATTCATGTATGCGACAGTCTAGCACAAATAGTTATCAGATCCTATACTATCTGAAATCTACTACTCCGTACAATTGTGCTTGAAGTCTAGAATTATTTCTTTTTCGGTGACATCACTGCATTTGATAGATGCCACCAGAAGATGAACGGTGGTTAAAATTTCCTTGACTACGGGAGAACTTCGGATAATAATCAAGGCAATAACCCTTGACCATCCGCTTTACCGGATTAACCCCCATCTACCCCCATCCCCGGATTACCCCAGATTTGGCTGTGCAGCACTTGTGGGGATGATTGTCGCAATGGAGGTGTTGATCTATATCATCTTTGTAAGTAGACATCCATGAATGGAGTACTTGATTTTCGAATACTTGTTTTCATAACGGAAATCCTCGGGATGTTTCTAACAGGGGGTATACGTAGTCAGGGGGAAGGTTTTCAGCTTAAAAAAAACTTTTTTTTGCTTTGTATCTTCCTTCCCCTCAAATCTTCAAATCCCGATCCTGTTTGCCCACCTCCGCATTTTTCGGGTTCTTCTAGCCGCTGGACTAGCCTCTTGCAAGAATGCACACATGGTGCCACGCAAATCTCTTGGTTCATCTGTTTATGCCGATGGCGAACCCTGAAAATCAAAGATAAATAAACGCCTCCATACCCCTCGAGGAATTGAACATCCCTGCAGTTAGCGAGCCCAGCTTATCCCATCCCATTTTATCTCAGCAGGGTCATTCTTTCTATACAGACCCACAAGATCGTCCACGATGGAGAAACCTACTACCGAATTCATCGAGCATACGGATACCCAGCAACTCAGTCACATAGCCAACCAGGAGGAGCACGAACTGAGCAAATGGCAAAGCGTCAAGAAATACCCATGGCCTTTTCTATGGTGTATATATGCGGTCTGGTGTATTTTACTCGTCTCGTTCGAGAACCAGGCCTCTTCCAACGTTACCAGCATCCCGGCGTTTCGCAAGGATTTTGGCACCTACTATGAAGGAAGTTATGTGCTAGAAGCAAAATGGCAATCGGCCTTTAGTGGTGCCCCCGTTGCATCTGCTGTCATTGGAGCCCTTTGCTCGGGCCAGATTGCTGATACTATCGGCCGAAGAATCACAATCGGAATTGCGCTTTTGATCTCTGTTGCGGGTATCACGATGGAGTTTGTCGCAACCACCAACGAGATGTTCTTTGGTGGCAAGTTTTTGAACGGATTTGCACTAGGCGCATTGGCGTCTGTTCCAGTAACTTATGTTGGCGAAGTGAGTTTACCTTTCAGGCTCACATGCTCACATCCCCCCCCCCTCTCTCTTCTATTCTCGTTTTGGTCCTAAACACCGCCTTATTTAGATCGCCCCTCTCGCTCTCCGTGGTACGCTCACCTGTCTCACGGCCCTAGCATACGTTATTGGCCCCCTCGTCGTAGCCCTGATTACCAACACAACGGGCAACTACAGCAGCCGCTGGGCCTACCGTGCAGTCTTTGCAGCCCAATATGGCTTCGCGGCAATCGCCATCGCCTTGATTGCCTTCATGCCCGAGTCCCCCTGGTGGCTTGTTTCACAAAACCACGAAGAAAAGGCAGAACACTCGCTCCGTAGACTGGGCTTCAGCGAATCGGAGCGCCGAAAGAGAATCGCAACGATTAAAACGACACTGGAAGAAGTCCGCGCCGAAACAGAGGGCGCTACATACCTCGAATGCTTCCGACGCTCGAATCTTCGTCGAACAATCATCTCCATCGCGCCGCTGAGTATCCAGGCTTTCTCGGGCGTCGTGTTTGCTGCTGGATACTCAACATATTATATGGAGTTGGCTGGCTACAGTACTCAGATGAGCTTCAGACTTCAGATCGCGCAGCAGATACTCTCTCTTACCGGCAATATAATGTCGTACTTTGTTATTGATCGGCTCGGGCGTCGGAACCTCATGTTCTACGGCCTTGCCGTGTTGACTGTCATCCTCATGTTGACTGGCGGTCTTGCGGTCGTCGCGTCACAGACCGACAACCCTAATGCCCCGGGTGCGGTGAAAGGGACAGTCGCAATGATTCTCATTTATTGCTGGTGGTATAACATGACCATCGGAGCGGCAGGATATACGATCCTGACAGAAGTTTCGACGTCACGCCTGCGGATTAAGACGATTGCTATTGGTCTTGCATTGCAGAATGCGCTGTACACCATGTGGTCGTTTGTGCTGCCGTACCTTTTCAATCCCAATGAGGCCAACCTGGGTGCAAAGGTGACCTTTATTTTTGGTGGCTTGAGTGTGATTTGCTTGGTCTATCTGTGGGTTTTCCAACCTGAGACTGCTGGTCGGACTTACGGGGAGTTGGATGAGATGTTCACGAAGAAGGTGCCTACTAGGGCATTCAAAAATTATAAGACTGATGCTGAGATTACTGCTCACAATGATACCAAGAGTGATGTTTAATGGACCCTGGATAAGCGGTATTTTCGAAGGACTGTATAGCAGATATATCATATAGCATTGCAATGTTTAAATCTACTGAACTTAAAGGATTTTGAAGGAAGCTATCGCGGGGTATTCTAAGCCCGGCTAGAATAAAATAAAGCAAAGACATGTAGTAGACATCAATTCGTAGAAAAATTCATCAGATAGCCAGAGAACTATCAGTGTGCCATTTGACCGGCAGCAAACTCCTAGTACATGGTTAGCAAAAGGAACACGAGACAAGTTTCAATGCAAAATTAACAACATACCGGGAATTGTTCAGAAATACGACTTGCAACCTTTTCCACATCTGCGGCAAGCTTTTCCACCCCGGCATCCCATTGGCGAATACTCTTGCGAAAAGCAGGATCATGACTGTCCCCCGTTTCAAACGAAATAATACCATCTATCTGATCAATGCGACCACGTAGACGCCCTTGCTCAACCATGCGGGCAGCATACATCTCTGCCTTCTCACCGGCCGAGAATTCACCAGAGCCTTGAAGCCCCAAGATAGACGCCAGAGCATCAGCCGTGATATTTTCATAGAGCTTACTTGCCGCAACAAGATTATGTTCGATAACCGCCTTATCAAGAACGGTGGTCCCATCCGCAGTGACAGCAAGTTGATGAGGCGCCAGTTTTTTCGCAAAAGCAACAACCTCCTCCGGGGTGAGGAGACGATCGAGGAACATTTTCTCCAAAATCGAAAACTCCTCCACGGAAGAAGCTCGATCATCCTTGTACAGCCGAGAAAGCGTAGTCCAGCGTTGTGGACCCGCTGGTGCTAAAACTGCACACCGGATAGCAGCCGATAGCGCTGTGAGTCGGTCTTCCTCATCCACACCCTCAACTAAGCTGACATTAAAGTATTCCTGCGAGGCATCCAAAAAGCGACGACGCGCATCAAGAATACGGGCCTGTGAAAGTTGGAAATACAGCTTGGCATCATGGTCCTGGATCTTGCTGGGCAAATTCTTGATACGGTTCAAGAATGTTTCTGCACTGGTTGTATCTTCATCTTCGAGGTAGTAGCGCACGATCCTGATCCAGAGCTTTGCCTTGTCTTCATCGGAGACCAAACGCTGCGAGCTATCGATAGTGATTCCTTGCAGTGCTCGTGCTGCGGATGTGTATTCCTCTTGCGACTCATAAGCTTTGGCTAAAATTTCGCGAATTTGTGAGTCCTGCTCTTCAACGGATGTGGCGCGGGATTGGAGGAGCGTGACAGCGTGCTGCCCGACTTTGATTTTGATTTCGGGATCGAACTTGTGGAGGACAGTAATAAAGGAATCGAGGAGGGGGCGGGCAGCAACTATGCTTATGGCTTCGCTGAGAATTGAATCGAGGTAGTAGACCAAGTCTTGCGCGAGCTCGTCACCAGATGAGCTGGTTACGATATCATCGAGTAGGGTGTTGTATTCTTGGAGCTTTGTGGATTGGTGGGGTGTTGATTCGATCGCGGCCAGCGCGGTTGTGACCCTTTGCGATGCCATTTCGACAGAAAAGAAGTCAATCAGGGGAAGCTGAAATAAAGGATTTCTCAGTGACTTCCAAGTACAAGCGTGATGTTGTAGAAGTTGTGGACATGAAGGTTGGGGATCGAGACGCAAGCAAGCTTATCGATAACAAAGGCGGAGAAGGTAGAAGTTTAGACCGAAGATCCGCAGCTTAGACGTTTCCATGGAGAGGTGGTCCAGTGGATAAATCAAACAATGAAGTCACTTTTCCACTGTCATTAATCTAAACGAAATCGTACCAGAACCCTTGATGTGTCTTCCCTTAATCATAGTAGTGTATACTATCCGACAGCTAAATTTGGCACGGCAGGGTTGAAAGCTCTACGTTAAGAGTTGAGACCTTTTGTGACTCGTGAGTCATGACTAGTATGGAATGACTAAATTAAAGTTGACAAGAAACAATTCAAAATATTCTGTTGCCTGCGATCTATTCAATAAAAGAAAACACCAGCTTCTTGGACGCATGCCTATTGTGAGGGTTTAGTTTTGCTTACATGCTGGTAGGTTCTCGAGTCTCGGAGCTACTCCATAGGCCGCGGTGAAGTCATCCACTGCTTTCACCGCCTTGGCCAGTTGGTCTTAGCAGCTACGCTGAGTGGCGCCTCACTCGATCTTTGCTCTCCAAATTTCATCAAGACAGTATCACGACCACCCCCTCCTGTTCTTCCCTCCCTTGAGCAAAGTCGCGTACTCTTAGTCTACACCCATCCTCGATTTCGATCTCTCCTCTTCCAAACCCCGCACTTCATCATGGCGCAGGTCAAACAAGACCCGGATGCCATGTACATCAAACCTGACCCCGATAACAAGGATCTGGTCCTCGGCGATATTGACGATGAAGACCTCTACGAAGATGCAGGTGATCTGGACTTTGTAGCAGCTAACCAGCATGTGTGGTTATCCCGACTTCCTCGGCAGCTTTGGGAAAACTGGGCGCAAATCGATGATGACGAAGAAATTGAGATTGGCACAATGAGGATAGAGGGGGACCCATCAGACCTGAAGCGGGTATGTGCGACAAATCAGTGGTTTTCATGTGTCTGTTTGCTAACAATGTTTTCGTTGCAGGTCAGCTTGCGACTCCATGAACGACCAGATAATAAACACATCCCCAAAGACTACACCCTCCAACGCCAAACCGTCACAACCACAAACGCCTCGCACATGACACAAAATACCTACGTCTTTACAGAGAAGGATGTACCCGGTGCTGAAAATCGCATGGCTTCGTTCGGAGAGACCCGATCTGCCTTGTACGAGGCGATGAAGCGCGAAGCTAAGAGGAGGGAGGCAGGCAAGAAATGGGAGCCTTATGTGCGGAAGACAATCCCAAGTATGCATTGCATTGAAACTGTTGGAGGTATCCCTACTTACAATTTGGGGGTTTCCCCCCTTTAGAACAAACTGCGCTTATCGGACGAGTCAGTGAGGAATTTAACTGTCTACCCGTGGAAAACGAAGAATTCCGCAAGATTTCAGAGACCCGGGCTCTGGAGGCTTTGAAGCCAAAGACGGGAGTAAAGTTTGTGGAGAAGATTCCGGCACATCTCCTCCAGGCGCGCCATGCTCTGCCTGTGGACAAAGGCACTTTTGTGGTATGTACTCATCCGCTCCCGCTACCTTATCACAACATACTTACACCATTGCAGCAAGCCACGAAGCCTATCAAGTCCAAGTCACAGGAGAACAAGACTACGCGTATCGCACAAAACGAGCTGTTGGACAAGATCTTCCAATGCTTCCGCCAATACCAATACTGGCCGTTTAGATCTCTCAAGCATCAGCTGCAACAGCCTGAAGCTTATCTCAAGCAAACTTTGGAACTGGTGGCACATCTGATCAAGTCCGGAGATCATTCTATGACATGGCAATTGAAACCGGAGGCACAAGAAGCCAACTACGCTCAACAAGCATTGTCATTCGACGACGCCAAGGCTGAATTGGCTCCCGAGCCTGAAAATTATGATGATGGCTCGGAAGAAGACCAAACTGCTTCTGGCGTTGATGAAATGCAATTCTAACACATTGAACTAACTTAGAGATGTCCACCTCCACAACATTTCATTTTGCATATATTGCAACCTTGACTTTGGGAGTGAACTAGCAATAATACACATCCATGGATGATCATTCCAACTTCCAAGGTTCCAATTTTTTAAATTTTGATTTTGCCTAAGCACCATATACTTTTTTCAGTCCATGGCTCTTCTCCTTTCCAGTGTTAATTTAACTTCAGACTTTTAAAGACGTGGATAGGATAGGCCTCCTCCTGTGGAGTACATGCCTGTCCAGTATGAGTAGATAGTATACCTACTGAGGGTCAAGTTCAATCGATAAGATGGTTCAAGTTTGTCAACATGATCGGTGAAGGAGAACATGTCCTCAAGGCTCGAGGGATACGAATGAGGTGATTATGCTTCGCCGAGCGGATTTGCTCAGTTTCCAAGCCTCCAAGCCGTCTGGGTTCTTCATACTGTGATTACATCAATAGAGCAAGCCACCTTAAGCAGTCGCCAGCTGACAGCCGAGGGGCGAGATACATTCTACTGTGGAGACATGACACGTGCATTGAGTTAGAACTTAGCAGCTTCGCTTCACAGCCATTTTAACCTCGCTAATTATTTCCAATGCATACAAACTGGTAGGTCTTATAACTACAATTCAATGTTCATACGCGTACTCCGTGCGGATTTTACACTATCTACTATATATAGGTATTGCCTAGTGGGTTCTAGCAGAGAAAAATGAAATAAATTAGTATCCCCCACGCATCATTTCTTCTTCTATCCTTCCCCCCACATCAAAACCTACTTTTTCTTATCTAGATGTCAGCTGGCATCATGTATGACGATGAAATCTCTACTTACGAGGCTGACATGCAGAGCGTGACGAGCTATACCTCTGAGTTTGGGCAAACCGCACAAGTTGAGAAACTCCATCAATTTCACGTTCAGAGTACCCCAGACGTCAGCTCTAACCTTAGAAGAAGACTCAGAAACCGCTCAACTTCCCATTCCTTTCAAAAGAGGAGAATGAGAAACTTACGCTCGAAATTGCCAAGCTTCTGTCCTCCGATCACGGTAAACCCATCATGCGGGCCGTGGCTCAAAGGATTAACAAGGATATCAAGACTATCAGCCAGATGTTCCTCACGATGTTGAGGCGCCTGAAGAATTTGGACGATAAACGCTACAGCAGCGTAAGGTTTCACGAAAGATTTGAGGGTGTACACAAGGTAAGAATGCTTTGAATGTCGAAACGCATGAATAAAACCAACCATTTCGAGCAGGACTTCAACACCACAATTGACAATAGTCGAATAATTGCCCAGAATATTGGTACCTATGCAGAGGGTAAATCTAACAGCTGACTACTCTTACACCAAGACCTATGCTAATCCGACTACCTTGCCGTGCAGACTTTGAGGACCTGATTCGGCCACTTTATGAAGATACCAGCATTTCTGTAGACCAGAAGAAAGAGCTGATCCAGGCCTATATTAATGTAAGAACAAACTTGACGCGACGGTCAACCCTGAGTACTAACTTTCGACTGTGCAGCGAGCAGAGCAACAAGCGGAGAAATCTAAGAAGGAGAAAGATGAGTTTGAGAAGCTTCTGGCCAGGTTCAACATTCTGGTTGACGACTTCAACAACTTTACTAAAGATGACCAGATCATCCTCGAGGTCGAGATAGCTCACCGAAAGGACATGGGAGCAAAGAAGGCAGAGATCAACGGCTATAACGACAGGCTAGCCGATATGAAAAAAGCTCGAGAGGAATTGATCAAGATGGGCGAAGACAACTTCTTGCTGATGCAAAAGAGCCTCTACTCCATAATCATGATCTGGGATTCTGCGAAGAGTGACGCCACCGAGATTGTGGATATGCTCAGTAAGGCAATAAAAATAGCCGTAAGTTGACATAGCTTCCCTGGAATTCTCTTATGTGACACATGGCTTACCCATAACCCGTTGATAGAATGTCCCATTGGGATTGAGAATTTTGCTCAAAAACCCCGTCAGTACTTGTAGGTTTCCACCTCTGCCCCTTTATCAACAACCCGGACTCTACTAGTATCTAACGGACTTAGTCAAATTGGTTGCACTCTACTTTCGCGGATACGCCACTGGCAGCACCAGGGAGTAAGAAGACATGTAATCATTGCTAGGTTGTAGAATAACATCGGCTTGGTTCCAACTTGAATTTTTTTTATTTCATCCGTTGGGTACTCTAATAAAGTGAGCTGTTGTAAAGATATGGAAGGTACGAGTAGGTTGCCATCGCTAAGTTACCTTGAACCAGTTACCTTGAACCCTCCGGAGCGAGTAGGTGTAACAAAAAAACAAAAAAAGGGGGTAGGGACGAGGCGGGATCGAACCACCGACTTCTTGATTTGCAATCAAACAATCTACCGCTGATTTATCGCCCCTGTATTGGAAATGTTGAACAAATAGATAACATGATAAATCAAGTGTTGAAGCATTGACCAAGGCGATTTCTATTGTGGTTCAAGTTGTTGGTACGTGCCGCCAAGGAGTCACATGACCCCACCGCGCCACCGGCGTTAAGGTTTGGATCGCGACTCGTCATTCGCATCTCCCCAAGAGCTAACTTCTCTCACTTGCAAATTAGTCTCAGGCTATCTTCTGTAACCCGGAGAAACCTGATTTCTCTTTCTTCCAACTAACCACTCTCACATAACATATCACAGCTTTTTAACCAGCCTATCATGACAGAAAATGAGGATCTGTTGAATAAGATTGGTCGGCTTGCAGGTAAGGAAAGCGCTCAAGATACTACCAGAGAAGCAGTCATCTCATATGTTTTAGGTCAAATCAATCGACACAAAAACCAAGCGACCCAGCCCCAGTCCGCTCATCAGTCACAACATGTCAGTCGCCACGTGCCTTCTCATCAAGGATGGGCGCCGTATTCTCGAGGAAGAGGCCGACCTGCAGCTCCGCACCGACACCGCACACTGGTTTTGAATAATGGAGGGGCTGGATCAACCGCCAGTTCCAACTCTTCTCCTGGCCCCTCAAGCGATCACGATGGCGAGACGCGCGCTTCGACCACCTCGAATGGATGGGTTTCCAAGAATGACCGTCATATGCAGCTTATCAACTCCGCCGTCTACGACAAGGAGAAACAGGCCAGAGCCAAGGCTATGGAGGAAACCCGGAAATTCAAAGAACAGCGACGCGCCGACCGTGAACAATCCAAGGTTTTGCGGTATGCTCAAGGTCCTGCAGGTGCATCTGTCTCCACTGCTTCGCAGCAGATTCTTGTCAACGATGTTCCTTTCAAGGTTGTGCGCGGAGGTAGCAAGTTGATTCGTGTTTCGAGTATGTACTCTTTTTTCCGGCCCTTTTGTTGCTGTCAGGAACTGGCTCACCTTTTTTAGACGATCCGAATACCGCCAATACCACACCGAAGCGTGTCACCGTCGCTGGTGTGACTTTTGTCCGAAGCAAGAACGGCAACCTGCACCGCCTTGGTGCTGTTGCCTCGAAGAAGTCTGTCTAATCTCTAGTATCTGTTAATCCCTTTCCATGCTGACATACCATCTACAGACAACCAGGCGCCGCTAAAAAGCGGGACGAACTCTGCAAAAGATTCACAACGACCGGTATTTTGTTTTCCGGCGGATCACTTAGCCACCGCTACTTCGTCTTATTATCTGATTTTTAGGAAACTAACACACTCACTTTTCAAACCCTAGGCACATGCTATAAAGGCCCCGCTTGTCTTTTCACCCACGATCCAAGCAAAGTTGCCATCTGCAAAGACTTCCTCCAGACAGGCAAGTGTAGTGCAGGTACTAGTTGTGATCTTTCTCATGAGCCTTCACCCCATCGCTCCCCTACATGTGTTCACTTTATGAAGGGACGATGCTCCAATGATGAGTGTCGCTATACTCACGTCCGCACAACACCCGGTGCTCCCGTCTGTCGCGAATTTGCGACTCTAGGTTACTGCGAGAAAGGTGCCCAATGCGAAGAACGTCATGTGCACGAGTGCCCTGACTACGCAAACTCTGGCGTCTGCCACAAGAAGCGGTGCCAGTTGCCACATGTTGACCGTGCTGGTCAAATCCGGAAGGCTGCCGCCGCTGCAGCTAGTAAAGCCGAGGCTGGAGAAGATGAGTCTGATCAGTCTAGTGAAGAGGAGGATTACGATGCGATTGATTCGGATGACGTGGACTCGGATGAGTTTGACGACACGTCTGAACAATTGATCGCAGGTGAGGACACTGGTGAGATAATCCAGCAGCAAGATTATGTTCGCTTCTGAAAGCAGACTTGAACATTGTTCATAGGAGATAGCTATTTTCGGCGGAAACCCGTAACAATTGAGCGTATTTGACTTGGTTGTTTCTTGTTTCTTGTTTGTTTATATTCATGTGGTTCTGTCTACATCAGATTGATACCCTTGAATAGGTTGAGAGTTACAGCATTGCTGAGAAAGAATTGAGTACTATGATGCACATGTGAAATCTTTTTGGATACTACTTGAGTAATATAGACTGAATATCCATCCCTACTGCATCTTTCTATTGATCCGGTCCAGGAGAACTTAGCGGGGGCAATTGGACGGTCGTGCGTCTTTCCTGGTACTCCGGGGAGGCCGCTACGGCTGGGGGCGTAAAACACCCCTCAACTTGTTAAACACTCTTCGCCACTCCGGGGGGGTTGGGCCGGCCGGGTGGTCATGCTTGCATGGTCGCTTGGACGTCCCAGTAAGCTTATTATCTGGTTGATTCTGCCAGTAGTCATATGCTTGTCTCAAAGATTAAGCCATGCATGTCTAAGTATAAGCAACTTGTACTGTGAAACTGCGAATGGCTCATTGAATCAGTTATCGTTTATTTGATAGTCAAGCCCTTATGAACCCTCTTTCGGTCCCGGAGCATCTTATACTATTCTACCTGTACTTGGTCACGGTTGAATCACGCTTGGATCGCGGTAGAGCCAGATTAGAGCCACGGTAAGATCATAGTGGTCACTTTAAACCTTCTATAGTTTGGCTCCTTGTACTTTAAATTCTTACCCCTTTCCCCTCCGCTATCATAAACTTCCTTCTCTCTACTTCCCTCCATCCCTCAAGCATTCTCTTCCACTGTCCATAGGAATCACTACCTTTATTTACGTTGACAATCAAAATGTTTCCCTCAACCCCAGATCTCTCGTCCCAAGCTTCCTCACAGCTGCTCAGTCCTCCTCCGTCTCCAAGAACACGCCGCCGCATCCTTAAAAACTCCGGAGATGTAGACGGCAAAATCAGTCTGGAACGTTACAACCTTGCAAGCGATCCGTATCGCAGCACCAGTCTGCGGGACCCTCCTCCATACCCACTCTGCATCACTCCTTCTGATGAGTTAGCCGATACCATACGGCCATTCGCCCCCGAGATCTACCAGATACTTCGGGACCATAACTTCCCATCCTCAACATCTGTTGAGTATTCCACCTTCTCAAAGCCTGGTCATCCAGGATGGGAGCTGGAAAAATTCATCCTCCGAGTGGTGGTGGAAGAAAATCACCACAGTCAAGTTCAATTTGGGCCTACGAAAGATGAGGTCATGAAACTGCTGGAAGACAAGGGACTAACGGAGATTCAAGTCGAAATCATCAATCCGGACCTCCACTATACTCCCTCCTGGTTTTACGTGGGCAAGGATGCCCCTCTTGTGCGCGCATTTGAGCGTGCAAGAGGTGATATCATCATACTGTTACAACATGAAATCCCACAACGATGGCGGGTAGTCTCCCCTTTTAACGTCGGTAACGTTCAAAGCAAATCAGAGTCTGCTATTGTCGTGCTGGTCGACCCACTTACTGAGGCAAACTGGTCTCGTATTCGCAAGGGCATCAAGTCCCTGGTTGATGGTGTGGACACCGATTTTGATGTTGAATTTCTACCCGGGGAGCTCCGCTTTCTCTAACCAGTCTTTACGTCCGGTGAAGAATCCTTTCGCCATTAGCATGGATGATGTGGCTGAGTCTATGAAGCTGTAGCTCGGATCCTCGGTCTCTTTGTCCCTCCCGCAGTAGTTTCGTGGCTTTGACATGATGGTTATTTTGCTTTTAGTATTTAGTGTTAGCTCTACATCCTTGACTCGGAACCCGAATGATACTTAATATGTCAATTGCTCATACATGTACCCGTCCCTTTCCTTTATTTAGCAATTTCCTTTGAAAGATGGTATATAAATTTCTTGATCATATGTCTGGATGGTTATAGTACCCGGACTGGCACTTTTTAGCAGTTCGAAGTGGGTCTTTTGGCAGATCTAAACTCCTGCTCACTTAAAATGACGGATGTTACAAATTTATATCTCGATGGTCATTTTGCCCTCCGTATATGGCGGCCGACATCTGGATAGAGCACCAGTGCGGCGGCCGATAGAGGCCACCCAAGGGTCACATTCCAATTTCAACTTTCCGACCAGCAGAAAGTAAATTACGAGTACTAATTCCAACATGAGCGCTATAACCAAAGCGACTTAAGTGACGGAGGTTCTTCCCATTACTCGAGGCACAGTGGGCATTCCCGGTCACGGGGACATTCACACCGAACCCGGTCGAAGGATCGCTTCAGGGATAGGGATATCGGTTACTTCGATTCGAACGACGACAAACCCTTCATGGAGATCCAGGACAAGGCACGTGTCTATCGCAATGTCGACTCGTTTATCAATTCTGTCAATCTAATCCCAAGAGGGCCCTTGGATATATCGAAAAACCTCTACCTAGAGATGTATAATTTACAGACCTCTGACAAATGTTTTCCTGGCTGTTTCAAATGAGTTACTTGAGACATCAGTTACTACTAGTAGTTAGCCTCTAACATTGAAGGCTGGCGCTCCTAGTATATAGTGAAGTTAGCAATAATGCGTATCAAACAGATAATGGCTGTAAGCTTTATCTTGAGAAAATGATAGGCCAGCCTGTATCAAATCTTAGCACCCCGGTCCCCCGGACCCCGGGCGTCGAGCGCTTCCAAGATCCTTATTGGCCAAAAGTCCGAAATGCTCTTTGGTCTAAACTTGTCTTAGGAGATAACGTCAAGATTGTAGTGACATTTTCAGAGGTCGTATTAAAAAGATTGTAGATGAGAGCGAACTTTGTGAATGAGCATCTATGACTACTGACAAATTTCTCCATCCTTTCCAGCAAGTTTATTCAATGTTCCCTAAACTTCTGTCTTGCGCCTTCGAAACTCCATCTGAGTATGTAGGAACTTGGACCATGACCCTTCATTCGTTGAAATTGGCCCTGACAGACAAATTTCCAAACCAGAACTCAAGCAGTAAGCATTTGTATTCCCGCCGGGCACAAGGCTTCGCCAACAAGAATTCCACGTTTGGGAAGTAGGATGCTCTGTCGTCACTCAGACAACGCTTGCCCTGAAGGAGTTGGCGTGGAAGTGCAATATCTCCAGTTCCGCCGCCCCAGATTGATCTCTCATCATCTTGGTTATTCGATATGTTTTCTCGTGGGCAAGGTGAGGGTCTCGACGACGATTTAGCGTCCAGTAGATGGACCTTGGCACTTCCGATACTAGATAGAGGAGTGGGCTTTCTTCCTTTTGTTAGTTCCCCATTGAATAGTGCATCATTCATCGGGTCAGCTCGACGGTCCGTCGGAGGGGGTTGCTATTTGTTGGGGCAAACCATCGTGATGTCCTTAACGGGGCCAGCCATGCGCACTGACCAGAGAATACTGGCCATCCTCGTAATTGTGTTGGATGTTGGTGTTGTGGGCGCGAGTGATTCGATCTGCGGCAACGCCAACGGTTGTTTGTTGAATGGAATCATCAAGGAGAAGGAGAGAGGACAACGTAGTCTCAAAAAATTCTGTGAGAATTGAATGAAATCAAATAGCGCTTTGTGTCAAGAAAAAACTACACATCGCCGCTTTTGGCTTCACGGTAGATTTTTGATTCGTCTAGATGTCTATGGCCATTGCGGTTTCTTCGAGAAGAGGGCTCCCTGGTGTTAGTAGAAGAAAGAATGGAATGATAAAAGGTACGAATTCAGAGGTAAAAGAGATAGAGAGCAGGAGAAACCACCATTGAAGAAAGACGGTGTGTCTCTATGCGTTGGCACCAGTAGGCAGTGCTAGTAGTTGGTACTACCAGGCACCACTTCCCCTCCAGGAAGTAACGATAATGCACTTGCCTGAGATTACTCTACCGTGATATAATTAGTAATGTCTCTTTAGGGGACTCTCGCAATAGAGTTACAGTTTCTAACGCCAAAAGCTCAGCTTTCGTGACCCAAGACCTGCCCATCCTATACGAAAATCACGAGCTACGGATGCAGATGTGTCTGTTTTGCCGGTTTATACTGGGAAACCTTGAGCTTCGGCCTTCTTGTTACTTGCTCGGCTCCAATAGGCCTTCCTCCCTGAATCTCCTCTTCTCATCTCTTCTCCTCGCAAGTGAGGCTGGCTTTGGAGTACACCGCTTGAAGAAGTTGAAGCACATGATACATGCGATTGGCGATTGGTGTAAGCGAACGCAAGGCTGAATAATAGGGGAAATCGATGTGATTTCCGGGGAGGTTCTCGGGGATATTTCATTTACATGGCCAGGGTTACCCAAGTAGAAATGACGAATAGACTGTTAGGTAGAAATCTAAGGATGCAATCTAGGCAGAGATGGTATAGTGAGGATGATTATACCCACAGCGAGCTCGGGTCCGCTTCCAAGGTTTATCGTGCACATGTGAGGCTTAGAGCCCAGACCGATTTTGAAGTTTCTCGTGGGGTTGCATGACTTAGTCTCGAGTAGCATATGACCATTTGAAATAATTCATAAAATTTTCATAGGAAGAAGGGCATTCCCATGTGGACAAATCAAAGCAGAAAGATAGAGGAAAGCCCGAGTGTGATAATGCGTATAGACCTAAGGCTTTGGGTATACTACACGGTGGAAACAGGTGTATTTGGCTCAAATATTGGCAGATGTTTTATAGTCATCGTATTGATAAAAGCACTGCTCAATGAGGCTGTGTATGGACTTTGACTTATTCCCTTATGTGGATTTATGCTCTGAACAGATAAACGTTTTAACTTTGAAGAAAGAACATTAGACTCGAATGATAGAGACAGTAAAAGGCCATCTTGGAATATCCGGTCAGATCCTACATGGCAAAGCACTATGTCTATCTGAATCGATCAACATCTCTGACCGTATACATGGATGGCCTCAGGAAACAAGCCTCTTGACCTGAAATCTTCAAGAAATGACTCATTCACCTAGAACTCGGAGATTATCAATCCTTACTAGTAGTATCAAGTAATCGATCAACTAGACAAAGAATGAACGGTGTAGCACATATCGCTACATCATCTCTCATGCAAACATGATATTCTACGATTACTTGATCATAACTTCAAGACCGTGACTAGTGGTCGAAGTGGAAACATTCCCTCGAATAGGAACACACCCGTCAGCTCCTACCAATCCAACTACCAATCCTCCGCCCCCAGGCTCTAGGCTCCATCTCATGTGCCCAATGCTCAGAATGCAGAACGAAGATCAGGCAGGGAGAGCACACCGACCAAAGTGAGGCTACTGTCAAACCGGGCTTGGCTGGATAGCGTTTCAGGGATGTTGGGCAACGACGATACTCACCGCGTGGCTGGCTCCACGGTTTCTCCTCTTAATAGTGGGCTGGCTATTTGACGGGTTTTTGTGGATCTATGGAACCTATCGATCTACCAAGCGTGCAGGCATTTCCTGGTAGATCATGATATGAGTCATTCCAGGCGGATTCTCGAATTCAAGGTGTACTACTAGTAGATTGTTAGTAGTTAAGCAGATACAGTACGTCCTATAGTAACTCTACTGTGCAAAACACCATGAACTACATTATGAACAAGGACATTGATAGAAAGAATCAAAATCTCACTTACAGTCTCCTCATCATGAACCAAAACCACTCAGAAGGCGCTGAAATGTCCAAGCACCATCACGAGAAATCGAGGTCATGACTTTTGTGTCCAGGCTCCATTTTCATTTCTCTTATTTCTCTTATTTCCCTTATTTCCCCCACTCTCTGATAATTTAGGTGTCATACCCTTACTAAGGCGGGAACCAAGTGGTCATCTCGATCTACGATTGGATAGACATGACTTTCACACCGCCAGATTCAAATCGACCGGGTCCCTCTTCGCACGGGGTCGCCGTTTCCGAGGACCTATCACGGAACCCTGGTCTGATGCCGCGTCCTATAGCCAGACAGGCTCAGGGGTTCCCGATGCAGCCCAGTGGGCTCGACCTTCCAGTAGGATACTATCAGAAGACAGGCACCGGGGGAATTCTGCGCTCGGGGCGGGTAGAGTTAACGTATTCCGTACGCCGCATAAAACATCAACACCGGGGAGATGGGGGGCCATTGTTCCACATCGAGAAGATCAAAGAGTAATGGGGGGAAAAAATCAAGCGGGCAAAAGACGGCAAAAAAAACAAAAAAAGTTACCATAAAAGAAGAAAAAAACGAGGAAAATCCAAACGATCACTGGTTCGCATTAATTGCCATGCTGAAACGGAAAGAATTTAGCCATGGCAGCCATGAGCAAATAGTAAAACGAGTTGCTTGTTTTGAAGACCATTTTTGGGTTGTCTTGAGTCCATCACGATGGCATCATCGTGTGGTTATCTCTTGTTTTCTTCTTCTTTCTGTTCTTGTACACTTTCTCCCCTCCTTCCTCAGGCAAGTGTGGATGGTGACCCCGAACACCAAAAGGGTTACAGGGATTTTGGTTTGGGCGTTATGGCCAGAAGGTGCCGTCAGATTGGCCTGGGGAGCTGAAGGGCGTCATCTGGAGGGGACGAGTGATCAGTGCAGAACATCCGTGCATCGTGCATCCGCCCTGCTTTCCCGAGGTGTGCACGGGATAAAATGAACCATGGAACATGGAACATGGGAATGGAGTTGGTGGATCCTTTTTTTTCTACGGGCCGGACCCGTTGAACCAGTGATTCAGTGAAATGTATACCCACCAGAGATTTTTCTATCAACTGTGTACTACACAGTACATCTTTTGGAACGAGATCACAGTCACACTAAGAAAGAAATGATTGGAGAGGAGAGAATGTTGAATCTCGGGCAGCACAGACTTGTCTCAGCGGGCCGACAAGGGTGATCGATAGGCTATCGTCTATCGATAAGCAACGTTCCCCGCTAAAACGTGACAGTGACTCTAGAGTCTACAATGTAAAGGACTAAAGGTTCAACATTTACTTGACTTGAACTTGACAAAATCTTAATGCCCGATCAGGTCGAAGAATCTAAAAAGGGAAAAAATACAATAAACAGAATGGGTTGGAAAAAAAAAAAGTAAAGGGGAAAAATAAATAAATATGTAAATAGTATATGCGCTGCACGTCTGCCCAAGATGATGCGAAGCAGCCAATGACGGAAGAAGAGGCACGATTCTTAGTCTCCGCGCAGACCGCTCATCGTACTGTCTACTTTGACTCATTATCGTTCTTCTATACAGAACTTAAGTATCAGTGACTCGTGAAGGCCATTCGAGGTCAACCGCCCATATACTTTGCTCCGTCTTTCCCAATTCTCCATTTGCATATACTTCAAGATCATCTCGACCTTATTCTGCATTTTCCCGATTCCCACGAGTTTTATCTGTTCCCATTTTTCATCCCTCTATAACCTCCTTTTATTCGTGGTTTCTTTTTTTTCCTCCTTGAGAAATCATTTTTTTAAAAACCAGAACAGAAAAAAACACTCTTATTGCCCCGCCCCGCCCCTCTTTTTCCTTCCCTTATCGCTCACAACCACTCACACACACTATATCCACACCCTTACACACCGCCTCTTCCGCGATGGCACGGTATTCTCAGTTCGACTTCTACCAACAAAATCCATCACCATTAGATGTCACTCAGTCAGAAGAGGAGGAGATGAACGTGTTAGACGACAAGATTCTCGACTCAACCTCACCCGGTCTCTCTGATCCCCGGCGTGCCTCATACGACACCGAGGCCGCCTACTCACATCGGAATTCCGTCTGGTCCAACTACTCAGCTGGCTCCGATCAGTCTCGTCCAAACTCGCATCTGGCTCAGGCCGTTTTGGATTCGGGCGTTCCCTTTATCTCCGTCGAAGGGGCCCACTATGCGCAACCATGGTCTCTCTCCAGGAACGCTTCCGGTTCATGTACGCCAACCGCCTACGACCAGTATCCTTCAGAGGCCGAGAGCACTTCTGCGCCCTTCCAGGGAGGCGCGGTAGGTCCGGTCGGATCCATCCCCATGGGTGCGGTTTCATATCGTGGTGCCATGGGTTTCCAGCCGACGGGTGGGGTCGCCATGTCCCCGCAGTCTAGCCAAGGTTGGATGCCGGCGCCTATGGATTTGTCCGATGCTCTTCCATCCAAAAGCTTATATCGCAACGGATCACCGTTGACTATCAGACGAGATGGAATCCGCAAGAAGAACGCTCGCTTTGAGATCCCTGCCGAACGGACTTTGAGTAATATCGACCATCTGATCAATCAGTCAACAAATGACGATGAGATCAAAGAGCTCAAGCAGCAGAAGCGGTTACTCCGGAATCGTCAAGCAGCGTAAGTTGGGTTCGAAATATGGAGAACACTGGTTTGTTCTGTCGTTGCTGACTTTACTTTTCTTTGCCAAATAGATTGGACTCACGCCAACGCAAGAAACTCCATACTGAGAAGTTGGAGGAAGAAAAGAAGCAATATTCTCATGCGATGACCCAAATGGAGGAGGCTGTCGCCAGGCTTCAAAAGCGAGAGGCGGAACTGATGCGCGAACAGGCCGACTGGATGGCCCAACAGCAACAGATCACCCAATACCTCGAAAGCTTGCACATTGAGAAGGATGAGATGATCCGTGTCCACACTTTGGAGACTGCCGAGCTTCGAAAGAAGAACAACATTTTGATGGAGACGGTTGAGAAGTTTGAGCGTGGCGTCAAACCCGGCATGGAACCCCATGCTGGCGAGTTCGGATTTGAGACCATGTCGATGGATGATCATCCATGGGACGAATTCTCAATGGCAAACGGACTCTCTATGCAAGACCAAATGCCTGCTTCTGCTCCACCCCCATCGCATGCCCTCACCCAGGTCAACGAGAGAGCAGAGAAGCCCTCGAACACGGATCATCCATTCAGCTGGAATGCATTCTACATGTGTCTGCTCTTCGGTGCATACATCGCTTCAAACAACACCGTGCTACCCGGCCGGAGCCTTCCGCAGCTGTCGGAGGAGTACCGCGCCGAGTCGGCCAATGTACTTAAAGCAGTGCTAGCCTCCTCCCCGTCGGATGTTGCCCACCCCACCAACGCAGTAGCTGCAGCTGCTAGCGCATTGCCCAGCGCAGCCACCATGACCGACATTGACATGACCCAAATGGGACCTGCCATGGGTGGGCCTTCTGCTTTAGACGAACTGCACGATACGCTGGTCATCCCAACTGAGGATCAAGAGCGCGCACAGGTCTTCGCTATGAATGTTGATCAGTATAATTCACTGACAACCTTTGACGAGAACAATGGCTTCAAACCTCAGCCACCGTCGAACCTTCAACAAGCACTGGCGGCGATGCGCCACAACGCGGCTCAGCATTCTCGGATGCATGATGCCACTTCCAATGTATACACTAGGTCACTGATGTGGGAGCAAGTTCCACAGAAGGTGATTCACGATTTCCGTCGTATGGTTCAGGAGTTTGGGGCCGCCCCGGTCAAGCAGGAGATGGGCTTCCAGTCCGTTTGACTAGGGGGTTCCACTCTGACCAAGACCTCTAGCTGAAGCTAGGTCATTACGACGGAAATCACAATGCCGGCAACGGTTTCTCCACTGCGCGCCTTGATAGACCACGCAATTTCCCTGTAATGATTCCTTGTTTCTATTCTTTCCTTTCTTCCACCACCATTTTTACCTTTCTACCTTCCTTCTTCTTTCTGTCATATTTTTGGTTCTATTTGTTTATTGCCGTGATGATCTGTTAGCGAATTTTTTTCTGGAGCGAATTTTGTGTTCTTTTTATGGGAGGAGGGAGGATTCTATTATTATCAAATCATACGGGGAATGATGTACATGGGATGTGGGATTTTGATTACTGGATGCGACACGAGCTATGAAGATCCACTGAAGGTTGTTTGCTTTGATTTTTTTTTCCAGCGTTGGTATAAGCGGAGACAGCATTCGGGATGGGTTGTTTCCTTTTTTTTATGTTTGAATTACGGATTATGGATTATCTTCTTTGTCAATGTTTCCCTCTACGGAGTATCTCCGGGAGGTTTGATGCCTTTTGTTTTCTCCCAAGGTTGACTTGGCTTTTTTTTCCCCTGTTCGAGCGTTTAACTAAACCCTGGATTGGCGGCGACGCCCTGGATGACTTGTTACGACTGATACGATGCAATCGGAAACGATTTCCGACCTTTATGATGACATGGATTTTTAATTGGGTCGCATGGCGCGGTTATGCCCGATCTCTTTACGGCTGGGGCTTCTGATCTGGTTTCCACCACTGAACTACTGCCTATTGTTTCTATATCAAATGCCATTCTTTCAGTGATTATTACTTACCATTTTCTCTTCTGCCATTTTTTTATTTTTAAGGAAAACTTAATTGCTATACTTACTATACTCTCTAGGCTTTTTCTTTCGGTCATGATCACGAAAAAGAATCGTCATCCTGTTGTTCTGTCCACTTTATCGTTAGCCGAAGGACCTTGGGAGCAAGTCACCTCGTGGCAACGCCCAATCACTCCCCCTGGAATTTTCCGATTTCTGGTCCACTGCGAGGCACTGGAGTCACACTCGGACCTGATTCCATGGGCTTTCCAAGATTCCAAGACGTTTGGTGGGTTCGATATCTCTTTATTCTGGGTCTAGGTCGTGTTGCGGGTGCATGGTTATACTGCGTCACAACGGAACACCCCCCATATTGTCCACCACAACCCTTTCAGGATCAATTTTTAACACATATCAGATAATTTATTACACTTTTCAAATCTTACTAGATCCATAGTGCCGACCTAACTCAACCAACCCATCTTGGTGGAGGGGGCCAAAACTCGCGGCCAGGGTTCTCGCAACTCCCAAGGTACTCAAGAACAGCGGAGACGCCGATTTTGAGAGATTTTCACATTTTTCGCATTTATAAAATGGCAGGGAAGATCCTACCTTTTCTAGACCAGCACAAATCTCCCTTCATTCTTTTCATCTCTTTTTGAGTTCTTCTCAGCCCTTCCAGATTGATTCGACATCAATTGTCGAATTCATATCAATCGCACTGGAAGTAGTAGCCGGTTTCTATAGCCCGCAACGCCAAAATGGTCTTCGACCCTCACAATGTCGACCTCACAACCGCCGACCCAACAGAAGTAGTCTGCTACCTCGATCTCACAACAAATGATTACAACGGCCAGCTCGGCGCGCGTATCTCCGCCATCTTCGTCATCGGCATCGTCTCCTCAATCGCAACATTCTTCCCCGTCGTTGCTCAACGGGCTCCCCGCCTCCGCATTCCGCTCTATGTCTACCTCTTCGCCAAGTACTTCGGTGCAGGCGTCATCATCGCAACAGCTTTCATCCATCTTCTCGATCCCGCATACTCGGAGATCGGCTCCGACAGCTGCGTGGGCATGACAGGCCACTGGGCAGACTACTCCTGGTGCCCGGCAATTGTCCTAACCAGTCTCATGCTCATTTTCCTGATGGACTTCGGCGCAGAGCGCTACGTCGAGAAGAAATACGGGCTCTGCCGCGATGACCCGGAACCTATCATGACCTCTGGCGTGCAGATTCAAAATGAAACAGAGCTTTCGCACTCGCACTCGCACCCACATCGCCACTCTATCGAGCGTCCAGGTTCGCAGGATAAGCAGATGAAAGAGCTCGAGTCGCAATCCACTGATTCAGAGACCGGTGCCATCGAGCGCTCCTTCAGACAGCAGATCGCCGCCTTCCTGATCCTGGAATTCGGTGTCATCTTCCACTCCGTTATCATTGGCTTGAACCTTGGCGTCACAGGCTCGGAGTTCGCAACCCTATACCCCGTCCTCGTCTTCCACCAGTCCTTTGAAGGTCTAGGTATTGGTGCCAGAATGTCTTCCATTCCCTTCAAAAAGGGTAGTTGGTTGCCCTGGGCCCTGTGCTCAGCTTACGGTCTCACAACGCCCATCTCCATCGCGATTGGTCTGGGCGTACGGACAACCTACAACTCTGGCTCGTTCACTGCGAACGTCGTCTCTGGTGTTCTCGATTCTGTCTCGGCCGGTATTCTCATCTACACTGGTCTTGTTGAGTTGCTTGCTCGGGACTTTTTGTTTGATCCTCACCGTACCCAGGATGATAAGCGCCTTGCTTTCATGGTTTGCTCTTTGTTCCTTGGTGCAGGTATTATGGCTTTGCTCGGAAAGTGGGCATAAGTCAGCTGCTTTTCCTAGTTTTGATTTGTTTGTCTTTGCTTGTTCGGAGAGTGACAGAGGTGATATACCCCGGTGTGTTCGATGTCATACCATTTCTTGTTGGATAGATGGATAGATTGGTAGATCTGATTGGATCTTGATGGATTTGAATATGGTGAAAATAATCAGAGAATGATATTGAGTTTGAGTTTTATTCTTGTGCAACGGTTGTAATTAGGGCTCGAGATAACATACGTATTATCCGAAATTAAGCTAGGGCCATTATTCTTACCCTGATGGCCTTGGCTTTATAATTGGCCCATATAATAACACTATAAAATAAGATCGTCGCCTAAAAATTGCTGCCTATGTATAATAACCAGATATTTACTCTTTATCAAGGTGTTACATACGCTGTGGGAAACAGTGGCTGCATGGTCTACTAAGAATCCTACATACTAGTTTGCAGTCGCCCCCCCCCCCCCCGCCTGCATCACAGGTGGCCTATGCACCTTTCTGATCATTACACCCCCAATAATCTTTTTTTTCGTTGACATGATAGATTTGAGCTCCAAATACCTTGAAGGTAGATTCATGCAAATTTCAGGAGTTTAAAATTATTTTTGGTATGGTGGTCAAGCAATTTCTTCAAAATGGTGCAAAAGGGATGAACAAAAACGATTATCGCTTTTTTTTTGCGCCTTGCTCAATATAACAGTTGATAGGCAAAATCTTCATACTTCAATAACACCAGCACCTTTGACTATTTTTGATTTACAAAATTAACACATGGTAGAAATACTCTAATCTTGAATTCCTGGAAGTTTCAGTTAATTTAAATCAATATTGGTGGTGGAAACAGGAGTTGAAAATACAGTTCATTTTTTACTAGCAAAACATTTCCCCCTACAAATGCTGTTGAAAACCTTCATCATGAGTTTACTCCACCAATACTTGATATTTTTCTTTAAAATCAAGTATCTTATTTTCTAATAACCTAGGGAGTATACTGTATGAATTTGAGCTATTCAGATATCTTTATGAAGTTGTGGTGAAGTAATTCATGAAAAATGGTAAAAAATGGGGTGACCAAAAAGATTATCGCTTTTTTTCGCGCCTTACTCTATATAACAGTTGATAGGTAAAATCTCTATACTTTGATCACACTACCACCTTTGGTTATTTTTGATTAATAAAATTAATATGTGGTAGGAATTCTCTAATCTTGAGTTCCTGAAAGTTTCAGTCAATTGAAGTTAGTATTGGTGGTGGGAAAAGGGATTGAAAAGATAGTTCATTTTTAACTAGTAAAACATTACCCCCTACAAATGCTGCTGAAAACCTTTATCATGACTTTACTCCACCAATACTTGATATTTCTTTTCAAAATCATGTATGCTATTTTCTAATAGGCTAGAGAGTATGCTGTGTAAATTTGAGCTATTTAGATATCTTTGTGAAGTTGTTGTGAAGAAATTAATGAAAAATGGTGTAAAATGGTATGACCAAAAAGAATTATCGCTTTTTGCTGCGCCTTGCTCTATATAACACTTGGTAGTCAAAATCCCTATACTTCGATAAAGCCACCAACTTTGACTATTCTCATCTTATATAATTAATATGTGGTAGAAATCATCTACTCTTGACTCCCCGAAAGTATCAGTTCATTTGAATCAGGAATGGTGGAGGATAAATGAATTTAAAAAGACTGTCTAGTTATAGCTGGCAAAACATTCTCTACTAATACATACCATCCAGCACAAGAACACCCTTCAGTAATACCACTATTATAGAGTATTTCTATCATCCAGGCCTAAAAGCTTTATATCCTTCACAGTCTTATTACATATCTGTGAGAGCAGTAGCTAGCTAAAATCGTAAATGGTGATGTATATGAATACATACTATACATTTCCCCTACATACTTCACAGCGAGCCACTCTTTCAAGTTTACCTAAGGATCATCTTTTCTGAATGGCTTGAATCTTGGTATATTGTCTATATAGTAGAGTAGTTGATTCAAAATTTAACGTTTATACTTCACTAAAGTCTATATTTACCTAGTGAGTAGTAAAATTGGTGTTACCCCCGGCAACTCACCGCTTGATTATTTACCTGCTAAAAATAACGCATGCTCCCTTATATCTAATCCCAAACCCTGATTTTGGTCGTCGTTCGAGAGACTAATACTGTAATACCTATGATAATATAGAAAGTAGATAAACTTGCTATTGCCTTACTAACTGATTGCTTTATTGTTTACCTGCCTGAAATAATATGTGCTCCCTTACTACTAGTAAGTAGTAAAACTTATTGTTGCCGCGGCAACCGATGACCGCTTGACTGTTTACCTATATAAAATAACGCGCGCTCCCTTATATCCAATATCAAACCTGTGTTTTGGTCGTCGTTCAAGAGACCCACGATATCCACAATACTATGCGTAAGAAGCCTAATTGCACTTGAGGCATTAAAAACATGAACACGCACCCGGGCATGAACTTGGCAATGTATATGCTTGGAAGGAGACTGATAAGAAAAAGTAATATTTATTTATTAAATCCTAGTAAAAGGCTATTTAGTTGTCGTACCAAAGACAAAGAATTACCCAGTCACCCGAGGTCTATCCCATCAATCTTGGAATCTCATCTAGTAGACAGGCAGCTTGTACGCATTGAGATCGTATGTGAAAGCATTCACCGAGTCCTGATCATAGACACACTGGAAAGTCTTAGCATTGTTAGTCCACAAAGGACGCAATGGCCAGCGGCACATAGTAGCCTCAATCTCAGCGGAACCAGCCAAGGTAGCCGGAGGGGTTCCCTTCTCAACCCACTCGATAACCGTCTGGAGAGTGGTCTGGGGCCAAGGAGCGTTGGGCTCGTATTCATTAGTGGAGCAGTGTCCGACACCGGGGATGAGGAAGAGACGGTAGAAGTCATCGACGGCGGCAGCACCCTCGCGGTATCCCTTCTCGGGGAACATGATCGAGCGCACAGAGTCCCAGTAGCGGACCGATGAGGCGGTGGGGATGGAGTAATCCTGTTCACCGTGGACGTGGAGGACCTTGCCGCCGGCGGCTTGGAAATCGGTGAGATCGGGGTACGTGGTTTGGAGGATATCGCCGTATTTGGCCTGCGACAGGATCATCCACTCCTTCAATGTGTCGTAGGTAACGCCCTCCAGGCTATCGATGTTCTCGGCATCCTTGATGAAATCGATGAACTGCGCGATCCAGATACCGCCCAGACCGCTGATATCGAGCTCGTAGCTATCAGTCTCGGAGTTGTACTCGGTCTGCAAATCGGTGAAGGTAGAACCGGGCTGGTAGCTGAAGTAGACGCGCTTGCCGTCAGAGTCATACAGGCCCTTCCAGTAGGTCTTGACAAGTTCGATGGCCTTGGCAGAGACGGTGCCCGATGAAGCGGGGGTGCTAGAGCCGTAGCCGGAGGAAGCGGCGCAGGTGTAGGATGCTCCCTCGATCTTGTCCCAGTTCAGGTGAGCAAGGCAAAGATCGGACCGAGCGACGACTCCGTCGGTCTTGCCGTCGAGGGGATCACAGCTTTCAATGGTCATGTTCATGATCTTCTCGAGCTCGCAGTTGGAGGGGAAGTAGTTCAGGTTCTTCTGCATGACGTTGCCGCTCAGGTGGTTGGTTTGCTGCTGGGCCCAGCGGAAAGCAGGAGCACCGGCGACGACACCGTCGAACTGGTCTGGGAATCGCTGAACCTGACTCCATCCTTCACGACCTCCCTCAGAGCATCCCTGGTAGTAGGAGTAGATCTTGTCTTTAGAAGCCACGTCGTAGATGTTGCGGGTCAGCTCCTTGCCGAAGGTGGCGAGTTCGTTGTGTGCTTGGTAGCCTATCGCAAATCCAATTGTTAGCCTGGTTCAGAAGAGAGAGATGTGTATGTGAAGCATTTGCCGATCTTACCCCACATGTAAGTCGCCTGCCAGTTGATAGTTCCATTAGCCAGCAGAGCAGCCGAGCTGAATTGAGTATCAAAGCTTCCAAATCCTCCATCAGTCAGGCCACCGACACTGTTAATCCTATTAGCAAGAGCTCGAGAACACATAGCAAATCATGTAGACGACGTACCCTCCAGCAATCAAAGCGGTAGGAATGGAAGAGCTTCCAGAGTTGATAGCCCAACCACCACCACCAGTGGAGACATAACGGTTCTCGAACTTGGCCGGCTCAGGCAGCCAGTACTGCACATGAACTACATCTCCATCAATGCCATCGTGAGAGTAGGCAAAAGTCAAATTGCAGTAGTTGAAGGTATCAGTAGGGTAGAAAATAGAGGTGGCGGTGAAATTGGTCACAACGCTGGTCGAAACGGAAGACGAGTCAATTGTGATTCCATCAATGGCACCGATGGGCAATGCTGCCTTCGCATAGGCATCAGTACAGATTGAGTCCAGAGTCTTCGCAGAAACTGCAGTTGCCAGGGCAATGGCCGAATAACGCATATTGGATTGTTAGTGTAGTTTGCTGCTGAGGAATTGAGGCAAGAGACCTGCCTTTCATAGTATTTATACTAAACATTTTTTTTTTCATTCTTATCTAAATCATCTGTAGCTAACCCCTGGGATGAATCCGGGGTAAACCCCGGAGTTTGCGTTGAGGGTTAAATATTGTACCGGTCCCCACACTAAACTGGTCTGGAGTGTGGGGAGAACCGGGTCAAGGGGACTTTGATCCTCTGTTTTGAACAACTTTGACTGGATTTCCTCCTATTTTGGTTACCCTAAGCTTCTTTGCTAGGTTTAGCGTCGAATATAGTGTAAAATGGAAGGCTTGTTGCTTTGATTCTGCTGTGCTGCTGCGTCATCTTTCCCCCGCAAATGTCCACGGATGTCCACTTTGTCCACTTTGCCCTCTCCCATTTCCCTTGGATATAGACTCCGTACCAACTCGCAGTACCAAAAAGACCTACTAAAGGTCTGGTGTAGCGAGATGACCCCCGCAGACTTGGGATCGTTGAGTGGATCTTCCGAATGTCCCGGCGTCGCTATGTATGCTCTCCATTGAATTGTTGGGATTATCACGGGAGGTCACTAGCCCCAATGTAGGACGAAGATCTTCATTTTATCATGCATATTGCATTTGTTACACACATCGAATAAAAAACCCACTGCAAGTCCAGTTGCCCCGTGTTTTTCCCTTCCAGCTTTTTAGTGTTTGAATATCGCATATGCCAAAATTGTGTGGGATTCGGCATTCTGGGGTACCCCAGATTACATGGTGTGGACTGTGGAGGGTATAGAAACCCCCACAACATTCCAACGGGGGGAAATTACGAATACGAATGCTAAATCTCCATTTCCCCAGCTCAACGTCTGAAATTGCCACAAAATAAATAAGCCGAAGTTCATCTTACATGGATAATTCCCCGAACAAGGTTTTCCCCCGGTCTTCCTGCAGAGCTTGTCTCCACAGCATAATATCCCGCCCTGATCATCGGGCCCGATTACTCCATTCAGACGTGATATGACCGCTCAGACGTGCGGGGATCACCAACCCCGTTTTCTCATGAGCTCGCTAGGTTGAGCATATACCCGCAAGCTTTACACCAGCTTCGGTTTTCTCGAGCTACAGCAAGTAGTTTTTCGTGAATCCATTTGTGATGCTTACATGGGATTAGATTGGTCACAAGAAGTAACTCATTCCAAGGTTCGCGAATATATTATGTACTTAGGTCAATGCAAGGTCAAGAATAGCCGTGGGTGGCTTCTCGCGCTTCAGATTTGGAGGCATGAAGTCAATTCGAGTCCCCAATGACAAAATCTGGAAGCTTTTGAGCTTTCTCTGGGGCTGGTATACTGGTGTTCTCCTTTGCGACTTAAGAGACGGCATTTGACGCAACTTTAAAGTGACATATTTGTCTACCACTTCGCCGGGTTACGCCTCTGCAAGGCTATATGAAATGAGTTACATCTCAGACATCAGTATCAGCTGGACAAGCACTTATTTATACCTGGTCCGCTTGTTTCAATGTTGTCTTGGGTTCCTGCATCATGTGGTGAAAGCCAAACTACTGCTTATGCAGCTAAGAATAATCAAGATGAATACACCTTCTCTTCAATGCTTTTCAAGTATCACCAATGATTAAGTGCTTGCACAAGCGTTCAAATAGAAGTTGACAGCTATGTCGATCAGAGATCAACATTCAATGATCCACTGGGTGTCCGGCTGTTAGATCGTCTATCCCCTTCCAAAGCCTATTTCAACCTGTGGCTGTTTTGGAGCCTTCCAAGTCCTCCGTAGTCACGCCCTCTGGCAGAAACTCGTAATGATAGCTGAGCAATGGCATTGAGCAGTTGTTTAACGGAAGAAAGGGACATCAAGAATGGAAGAGGACAATCCTTTGAAGCACTGCTGACATGCACGGTGGGCAAGAATGTGTACCCCAGGGAATGACGACATCAATTGCAGTGCTGAAGCAAGGGTCAATGCTAACCCTCCTCCCTGCCAAACAAGCCAGCTCTCACTAGCCTATTGATCCTTTGCACTCGAACCTTTGAATCTTGATCGTCTTGGACACCTCACATGTGCAGCATACTTGCTTTATTTCAACTGTTCGGTATACTGTAGTTCTCTTAGTCGGGCCTTAGAGCTGGCTGGTCTTTAGTTGTTCTGTTGGGTTTGAGTTTGACCCCTGTCTCGTCAGCTCCTTAATCAAGCATAGCGCACCTGTCATACATTCCCTACGGAGATTCGGGCCGAATCGAGGTTTTGCCTCGGTATGCTTACTCTCCCCTAATCGACTGCATAGAGTAATGCCCGTGTTTGCCGCGAGAGATACACAGCATCTTGTCACCTTCCCAGGTTCACGCGAGTAGAATCATTTTCGAATTCTTGTATTGACAGATATGTACATGCCACGTTAATATCATCCATAGAATCGTTATACATAAGATAAATGCGATAGATCAAGAAACTCATCAGTCATGCAGGTAGTAAGTGGTAGCACATGGCGAAATTAAGATCAAAATCGCAGTAATCCCTTTATTTCGGGTTGTATTTCTCTTTCCAGATCCTGTCAAGTACGTTAGCACATCCATATGTAGATAGTCCACGTTTATCAATCTCATCGCATACCATGAGTTACCCACAGTGGGACAACCACTCTCCTCGGCCAGTCGGTAATACTTGGCCGCCTTGAACTGTAATCACACATTAGTATGAAGCCAACAAATCAAAAGACAGATGACATACCTTCTCCTTCTTCCCACCAAATCCCTCAAGATAACACCAAGCAACCTCATTCATAGCATCGGTATCACCAAGGTTCGCTGCAGTTTCATAGTATTGCCTTGCAGCAGCGGGATCTTTCGCTACACCCCAGCCGTTGCGGAAGCAGTTTGCCAGCTCAAAAATAGCAAGCACGAGCTCTCCTTTGGCGGCTCCACCTTTTTTAATACCGGCACGTAGAGCCTCGGCTTCGATGGCTGCTGAGTTTGATGCTGCGGCGGAGAGGTAGGTTACGGCTTGCGCTTCGTCTTTGGTGCAACCCCAGCCGTGTCTAGAATGTAATATATATAGATGAGCGAGGGTCGTGTAAGGGGTTTATCGGGATGGCGAGTATACGTACCGAAGCGCAAGTCCGTATAGAACTTGACTGAGAGGATTATTTGCACCATTGGGATTCGCAAGTTGACCAAACATCTGGGTGGATCGTTCTAGGTCTATGGTGAATGTTCGTTAGCTAACATCCATAAAAGAGACGTGGAATAGCCATAAACTCACCACCTGATTCATGTAGTCGGATCGCTTCCTGGATATTGGTCTAAAGAAACACAGAACAGGTTAGCAGCACATTCCAAACTCCCAGCCAAAAGAAATATATACATACATCATCCTGCAACTCTCCAGCCCGACTCCGGCTGGAACTCCTAGATCGCCCACCCCACTGCCCCGAGAGATCCATTTCAGACTGCAACGGCGACCCAAGTCCCCCAAATTGCGGATGATGCTGCGCAAGCACAGTAGCCCTCTTCTCCCACGCCGCCTCCCGCTCCTGCTTATCCCCGCCCACATCATCTGCAATCTGCGGCAAATCTTGTGGAATATTCACCGACGAGTCGCGCGAATCGCTGCGACTGCGCCGGGAATCGCGGTGCAGCAGATTTGATAGTCGGCGCTCAGGGTGGGGTGGAGAGGGACTCGAGAGCGACTCTGAGCGGGAGGCCCGGTTGCGGGTGAAGAGTTGGAAACTGCGGCGGGATGTGCTGGTAGAGGCGCGGGGGGAGTCGAGGGAGTCTGTGTGGGATCTGATGCTGGTTGGCGAGAATGGAGGGTCGTCTGCGTGGGTCGGCGGCGATATGACTTCTTCGCCAAAAGTGTCTGAGCGGAGGAAGGTGAATTCGGGAGGTGACGGGGAAGCGGGGATGGTTCTTATGGGTGGTGGCGGAGGTGCTCGAGGGGAGGATGTGTTAGTTGTGAGGTCCTCGCGTTTGTGGAGGATATTGCGGATGGAAGGCATGGTGGTTGTATGCTGGAAGCTCTATGGTGTGTTGATCTGCGATATGCGATGCAATGCGGAGTTTGCGGGGAGGAGGGGCTGGGGGAGAGTCTCAAGTAGTAGAATGGAACTTGAAGACAGAGGCAAATAGTGTTGAGATACGGAAAATAATCTTCAATTTTCAACATTTGAAGTCTGCTTCAAAAGACAGAACAACTCCAGCGCGTAAGAATAGAAATAGAAACATAGTGGCTGTGTCCCTGCAAACGGCCCAGGGCGTTCCTTGGGTCTGGTCGGCGGCTAACCCACACAAAGGACAATATATACGAGACGCTCGCGAGTTGCCCGAATGTCCACATGTATTTGAATCTTGAGATTTTTTTAAAGAGAGCTTAGTATGATTTATGCAGAAGTTAGAAATAAGACTACTAGTAGATTTATCTGATAGAGATCAGTTCCACATGTGGCTGTCGTCCCTGCATTTTAGCGGGTCTGATGTCAACCCGCGTTAGGAGCCAAGTACATGAACAATGCCACATCACGGTTCTGGTTATGACGTGGTCAACATCAGTTGATGCATGAAAGACGAGAGAAAAATTCAAAGGGATATTTTCCACCATAAAGACAGGAATATAAGCCCATTCGACCTTGACTATTCCCGTGGTCATCGGACTTTGATTCCGAGCTGCAACATACAACATTCAAATACGAGATATACGAGGGAGACTCAACTAAATGAATCGTAAATACAAGGAGCAGAATTTAGCCCCCGTTCATAAACTCCAGATTGAGTGACAGAAAAAATGGTATTGCAATTCTAACTCAGCAGATGCAAATAGCCGCTATAGTTTTGTACACATGGCAACTGCAGGCGGACCTATCGTTGTCCAATTTAAGCCTTGGTAGTCATGATGCCTGGATGAATATTAGTAACTTTTGGGGGTAAACAATTGAAGAGAAAAGGGCAAAGAAAACTCACGCTCAACATCAGCAACGCTCTGCTGAAGGATCTGCTGCAGAACCTTGGGGTTCTCAAGCTCCTTCTGGATCTTGCCGATGATAGAGTCGGCAAGCTCACGCTGCTGGCGCTGCTTAACCTGGTTCTCGTAGCGAACCCAAGAGTCCAAGACCTGCTTGGCCTCAGCGGCCAGAGCAGTGCGCTGCTCGAGCTCGTAAGCCTGGGCCTCAAGCTGAGCGGTCTCCTACACAAAAAAGTCAATATCCAATCCCATATTTTGTTTTTATAATAACATCGCCCTTGAAGTAGGGAAACACCCACCTTGGAAACAGCGAACAGAGCCTTGGTGACATCAACAACACCGGACATCTCCTGGACGTTGTCAATGCGGGTCTGGACAGCGCTGGTGTGGTCGGCACGGGCAGCGTTGAGGATGTCCTTGTGCTTCTGGACCTGACCCTCAGCCCACTCGCGGTAAGCGGGACCACCGTACTTGGCAACGGCAGTGAAGACGGAAAGCAGACAGAAGGCGGCAACGGTCTCCTCGTTCATCACGTAAAGCTCGTTGCTAATGGCGGCAATGGACAGACCGGCGGCGGCGGACAGAACGGCAGTCTTGGAGACGAGAGAGTTTCCGGGAACAGCGTTCAGGATCGACTGAGCCTTCTTGGAGGGGTCCTCAACGGGGACGTTGGAGGCCGCGCGGATCGCAGTGATGACAGGGACGACAGGAGCGCGGATGGAAACGGTCGGCCGCAGCCGGGCGGCGCCTGGTGAACGGTGCGAGTCAGTACCTAAAAGAATCGAATTGGACGAGGAAGAGTCAGTTGACACGTACCAATGGCGCTCTTAGCGAGACGGGCAGCCATTGTTGCAGATGATTTAAAGATCCTTAACAGGGTGGGTGAACGGAGAGGAGGTTTGAGGTCGGGACGGGTAGGACGGGCTTGCAAACGCTAATCCCTTTTCGGAGTTAGACGGTGCGCGCGGAAAAACCCGCTTCCGAGATCCCAAAATTCCATACATTTTTTTGCTCCGCGATCACGCCAGTGATAAAATAGAAAGAGAAGACGTCAAGTGGATCTTTCGACTACGGCCGAATTAAAACATAACACCATGCCCGCCGCAGTCGACGCTTCCAAGAAGCGCAAAAGCAGCAAAAATGCTGGCGCCCCCTCCAAGCGCCGTGCTGTCGCAGAGGACGACTTCGCCGAGACCCTGTCTACAATCGAGAAGCTCGAAAACGAGATTGCGGAATCACGAAAGCACTACAACAACATTGCCACTTTGATTTCTATGCTCAATGTTGAAAAATCAGCCAAGAACCCTGACCTTGCCGTCGCCGTGTCTCTATGCCGAGTATTCAGTCGATTGATGGCAGCTGGAACTTTTGCCGAGTCGAGCCATGCGGCCGAGAACGAGAAGATCGTTGCGGCCTGGTTGAAGGAGAGATCCCTGGAATACCAGCGAGCGCTAGTGGCAATCATGCGCGAAGCTGATTCCACATCCCAAATCACAGCTCTGACACTGAGCATGCGCCTCATTAAAGAGCGCATTACACACATCCCCGGAGCCGAGAATATCGTCTGGTCTACAAATTTCAGAGATATCTTGGAGGCTGTGGTTGGAGGCCGGGACAACCAAGATTTGCAGACAGAGTTGATCACCAAGTTCCTGAAGGAATTTGAAGACGTGAGATATTACGCCTTCTGGCAAATTTCGTATGTACCTGTCATTTCCCTCTCACATCGAGTGGTCTTGCTAATCGTGAGTGTTATATAGTGAATACGCCGCTACCCGACGAAGCTCCGAAGTCCTCGATTCCCTTGTTACCATGCTTGTTGCCTGTGACGACGTGCCCAACCAAGATCACAAATTCAAGAAGTTCTTCACACCCCCCGGGAAGAACAAGAAGCTCATCTCGGCGACCTCCCACAAAAAGCGCGCACAGGAGGCATGGTTGGCTATTCTTCGTAACAACCTGTCAGAAGCGCAGCGAAAGAATCTCCTCCGCAATATGGTGCACCACATCGAGCCCTGGTTCAACCGACCTGAGCTGCTCATGGACTTCCTGACAGACTCCTACAATGCCGGTGGTGCAACCTCGCTCCTCGCCCTCTCTGGTCTTTTCTACCTCATCCAAGAGAAGAATCTGGACTACCCACAATTCTACACCAAACTCTATTCCCTCCTCGATGCGGATCTGCTGCACTCCAAGCATCGATCACGATTCTTCCGACTCCTAAACACTTTCCTCGCCTCGACCCATCTTCCCGCTGCCTTGATGGCTAGTTTCATCAAGAAGCTGGCTCGCCTGGCCCTTAATGCCCCTCCTTCGGCCATTGTGGTCATCGTTCCTTTCATGTACAATATTTTCAAGAGCCACCCCACATGTAGCTACATGATGCACCGCGTGGTGAACGACCAGAATATTGCAGCCGAAATTGAGGCAAAGGGCCTGGACGATCCATTTGATCCCACTGAGAGTGATCCGATTCGCACTGGTGCCATCGACAGCAGTCTTTGGGAGATTGAGACCCTCCAGTCTCACTACCACCCCAACGTTGCGTCCATCGCGAACATCATCTCCGAGCAGTTCACCAAGCAGCACTATAACCTGGAGGATTTCCTGGACCACACCTACCAAGGTATGGTGACACAAGAGTTGGGAACCGGAGAGAGACCATTGAAGAAGACCCCCGTGGTGGAATACCAAATTCCCAAGCGTATCTTTACCGATCGTCTTCTCGAGGAGGATGGTGGTGTCGACTCTGGCGCTGGAGCCTTCATGCGTGGCCTGTGGGAGTTTTCCTGAATGTAACCTTTTTAGCATATAACCATTGGCCGGCGTTGGGAGGGACAAAATTTGCGGGTTCCCATGCAAGATTTCAGTCTTGCTAAAAAAAAAGATAAATGTTTTATATCTCAATGTTCATAGAGTCACGCGACCAATATACAAACCGAGTTTAATATGAAAAAAAAAAAAAAAAAAAAAAGGAAACCCCGCCAGCTCTTTCTTAGGAATTCTATGTGTTGGAGACAATTAACGCATTTGTATACTCTGCACCCTCAGGTTTGACGGCTGCCCTTGCAGATTAAAAGATCGACGGGGCTGCCATCTCCAGATTTGGACACTAACCTTGGAAGATCAACCGTCTATACGAGAAGCTTATTCGCCCCCTTGGTATGGGATTGAAGCTTGAGGTTTCAAAGAGAAATGTTTCCAAAGCCTTGGAATACTTTGCTCGACGCTATGAATTACGGCAACGGGTGATCGGAAGCCCTACGCCTTGGTTGTCAACAAATAATTCTTCGGGAAGGGATAACATTCTTGAATCGTCCGGACACCAACCATGGTCTGTGCATTGTTTATTCTGGATCTAAACAGTCAAGGATCGCTTGAGAGGTATGGCCAAAACAGTTCAACTCATGGTGTGTTGTAGCAGGTAGTTCATTCGTATCTGGTACCTATCACTGATCTTTTGGACAGGACGGTTGTAGTAAAGCTTCATCATCCGTGGATCCAACAAGCACTGATGGGAAGTTAGACTGACGATCACTTCTTTCCATCACGTTAAAACTACTTGTGGGGAATTCCATGCGTCTACTGGAGGAATACTCCAGCCAACCAGATCGACATGCTTGTCTAACAAGATCATGATGGTCTTTAAACCACCCCAGGAATGCGACATTCTCCTAGGGCGCGGGTATCAACAATCGAATACCAGCACACTGGACTCAAGCCTGCTTCGTGAGGGCTGGGACTTTCTCCAGTAGAATAAGAACCTTTGAGCGCCACCGGCGTTCAGGCTTTTCATTCGAATATTCAACCTTCTTCGTCGACAATCATTATACGACATTAATTCGTCAACACTTTCCTTAAAATATATTTATTTTTCTAATCGACCTTCGCTATAATCGCTGTAATGCATTTCACCACTATCCTGGCTGTGTCAGCTTCAATCTTTACCCTTGGTCTTGCCGTCGATCCCCTTTCCTTCACCAGCTGGCCAGCAGACATCGCAGCAGGCAAGCCCGTCACTCTGACATGGACCGGTGCCGCTACTAACGAGGTAGGATGATCATTGTTTCTCTGTCTTTGTGAAGCTCCCTTGTGCTCAGTATCTGACTTATTGTTTCAGCCTGTTGTTCTCACCCTCCGAAAGGGTACCTCCGGAAACCTGCAGGACGTGGAGGTTATTACCGACCAGGGCAAGGATGGCACTTTCACCTGGACCCCTGGTGCCAACATCAAGGAGGGCGAGACCTATGCTTTCCAGGTTACCCAAGATGATCAGAGAAACTACTCTGCTTTGTTGACGGCCGCCGCCCCTGCCAACCCAATGCCCGCCGATGCGGCTCAGACCGGTCCTACCTCGGGAATCACTGCCGCCCCTACCACTGGAGCCACAAGCCAGGCTACCGATGCCTCGGGGACCAGCAGCAAGGCCTTGATCAGCTCATCCTTCTCCGGCACTCCTTCTAGCACCCCCTCCGCCAAGCCTTCTACTTCCATCTCCGCTGAGGCCCCCTTCGCCACTGATGATAATGTTTTGAATGGAAAGGATGCATCCGAGACCGGTAGTGTTCAAAGCTCTGCATCTGTCTCCCGATACTCTGTCGGGGTAGCAGCCAGTGCTTTGGCTATGTTCTTCTATATGTTCTAAATTGATACTCTTTTCTTTTTTTGATTTTGGGTTATGATCCTGTCTGGGTTTGTCGATGCAATGTCACTCGTTTCATATCTCCAAGTTTGGACTGGGGCTACCTTCCTGTATATACATCCCAATACCCCCCTTGGTATCAACTCAAAATGTTGATAGGCGGCTTGTTTGGTCATTGTGGAGGTAATTGAATTCATTTAGTTTCTGGTCTCCCTACTATTTCTTCTTTTTATGCAACATATCAATGTAACATGCTCTATGATCTCATTGTGTTGACATGTACCTTCCGGCGGTCAGAGCTTGACAGGTGATTCGCTCCGGGTTCAGCACTCACTTTCTCTTCTATTTCCCCATTGTCTGATTGGAGTATTGACTTTGTCTTGTTTCCTCTTTTTTTTGCTTTATTTTCTTTGTTTCTCCCCTGTCCTGATCCTTTGGCACTATTGATTTCGGAATCTCCACTTCGCGCGCGAACGACCCACTTTAGAATGTGCCGTTCCAGACTCGATGATCAGACGACATAAAAACACCACCCATCTCGCAAATCTCACATCTAATAATACTGGTATGTCTGACACCCTATACACCATATTTTTAACATTTCAATTGCAATTGCCATTTCTGTTTTTGGAGGGGAAGAGCGGCCCCCCCCCTCGCATTGTGCATGAAATCGGATCTGTAATGCAGACACGCACATTTCACGTCTCCCGATCCTCCGCGCCCCCAAACGTCATCCAGTATGGCTCACCTGGGGCGCGTTTTGCGACGGCTTGAGTCCTTTCGAAAGCTCGATAACATCCATACTGACGACTCCTCCACCACGACAGAAGCGCCACAGGTCAATCTCCCACATGTGGACACACAGCTAAACATGCACCAATGCAACGGCTTTTTTGAAGACGAGTCTGGCGATGGGCTGATGGGGGGTGACAATGCTATTGACAATGGTCTAACAGGTTTGTTTTGGTCCCGTACAACCAACCGAGCACGAGCCGGAAGCTTCACATTCTGACGTTCCTCGGCCTTCGAACAGCAGACTTGAACAATTTCTCATCGCAGACCTCCAACGCCCCCGAAAGCCCAAATCTCAACCTCGCCGAAGCCCCCACAGAATGGTCCGCCGTCGGCCATGCCGCAACCGGCAAATCCGGACGCGTTATCCACAACCTCCAAGAAGAGATCGCGCGCCTCACCCGCGAATGCAGCTTATACCGCTCTCGCTCGGAGGAAACACAACGCTCCAACGAAGCGCTCAAAATCCAAGCCCAGAACATGAACGAGAGGTTACGAAACTTAGAACAAGTCAACGAGACAAACTTAAATTCCATTGCCCGGAAGGATCGGAAAATCGAAGAACTTCGCGCCGAGCATGCTGGCGAAAGGAGTAAGCGCCAGGACGCCGAAGAAGACGCCAGCAGAACAAATGATACCATGCGCGAAGAGCGGGAAAATCATCATCGAGAGCAGGCGCGTATGCAGGAGATAGCCAAGTACCATGAGACACAGTATGATGTTTTATCCAGCATGACAAAGCGCGAGAAAATCGAGCTCAACCGTCGGGTAAAGGCGCTATGGGGTGAGTTGCAGTTGATGGCAGAGGCTCAGAAATCACAAGCAGAGTGTGCGGAGCGATTGGACGTCATTGCCGACCAAAAGAATCGGGAGGTGGAGGCATTGAAGGAGGTACATGAGAAATTATTGGAGAACCATACGGACTACAAGAAGACGAAGGATGAAGAGCTGCGTGGGACAATTGAGCGAGCCCATGCCAATAATGCCATGATTGATGCCGCTATTTTGAAATTGAAGGAGACCGAAGCCGAGATGAAGTGGGCTATTCAGTTGAACAAGAATCAAGTTCAAGATTAATGTAGGACTGCTCCCTCGATCCTCGATTATCCTTGACTTTGCTGATGACGATATAGCAAGACCCAGAAGCTCTTTCTCACCTCCCACTCTGCCATTTCAGATTCCTCGCTTATCGCACCTCCTTCACATCGGGTTATTTACAGCCCATTCTGCATCGTCCATCCTTATTTTGACTATGGTGCATGGCGCATGGCGTTTCCGGGTAGCACAGATACCCAATGGCAGCTTTCTGTTAACCTAGATATTGTTAGATCTCATGTATGATGACCGCTATGACGACGGGGACTTTTACACTTCTTATTACATTTTCTAACGTCTTCCAAGGCATGTTACACCTTTTTTTTGGCGTTTTGTTATTTATGTTCGATGCAATCAAGGAGAAATATTACGTCAAAACTTGACAATACGGACCTTTTCAAGCTCCTTGCTCACATGAGGAATCGAAGAAGAGCCATCTGCGAGATTCACGTCACTTTGTAAACGTTTGTTCAATCACTCGTTCGGCTTAAAAGCTTCGATTCACCTTCATTATTAATCTATCAATCTTGGCATCATCAACATTCAAACTCCTGCTAGCATTGCCTCTATCAGACTTCTCTTATTTTCGCATGCCGTGAGTTTTGAATTTCCTCCCTCTTCTTCGTCGCCACTCACATGAAATGAGAGTTCATGCTTGCATTGAGTATTACTGATGCGCGACTTCACCAGATCATCTTCAACCAGGTGCCTTAATCCCAGTATTGAGAGTACAACCACGCTATCAAAATCGTCTGTCAATAAGTTTTTTATATCGGGAATGTCTAATTTCCTCAACTTTCTCAAGCTAACTTAATACTGTACTAGTAGATTCGCCTTCTAACTCACTCCCCCGCCTTCCTGCCGACGAAACCCCAGGCCTTGCCAGGATGTCAACCATAGCTTATCCTACGCCCCGTCACCATGCGACTGGCGAGAACAGAAATAGCATGGAGAAGAGAGACATTCGACCTACTGTTCGGCAATGGGCTCCCAAGGGGGGGCTCATGGGATATTTCACACATGATCGTTTTGGGCTTCTCCCTTTTGTGCCCCGTGGCACGGATACAGAGGTCCGTATCGAGAAAAAAGATGGTATGGCTCATATCCTGCTAGAAAGTGCCACCGAATCAAACATTTCGGAGGCTATCAAAAAGCTTGATCGAGTCGCTTTCATCATGGTAAGCCCGACTCTAACCCTATTCATGTGACGGTCTGCTTTTAGCTAACTTGATAGAACTTTACCGATGCACCATATTCTGAAACCGTGGTTCTCGCTCCTGGTACTAGGTCATTGGCATACAAGATCCAGGAATTCTCAACCCTTAACGCGCTCGCCAGCCAAAGAGTTCTTTTTGATAAAAACATCTCGGTTGAAGACTTCTTGCGGATGCAGGCACCAGCTGCATATCACTATTCTGAAACCACCAGGACATGGTGCTTGCTTGAACGACTGATCAATCCACCATGTTTGAGGTCAGCCAAGGACGAACATGAAACCACTCGTGATTGGGAAGACTTTTACTTCCCAGAGAGAGGAACTCACATTCTTGATGCTGCCTCTTCACATGCTCAGTCGACTCCCACGGGTGATGTTAGTCCAATTGAGTATCCTTGCTCGCCTGGCGAAAAGGCGAGCGATGTGACTCAATTGAGACAGGAGTCAAAGATCCCACCACCTGAAGAGGCATGTGCACCTTTTGCACCTAAAGGTTCCTCATCAGCCAGCTTCGACAAAACTTTGGAAAAGGTAGCGTCGTCGATCGCACGACTCGGCAAGAAGCCTACCGGAGTTAAGAGACGGGTACCATTTTCATCTGCTAGAGATGAGCACCGAAAGGTTTCCAGTCCAGAGCCCCAGTTGTCTGTATCTGCTCTTGAAGCTCGGTCACCTTCAACTGCCTGCCCTGGGCAGTCGGGGTCTAGTCCAATCCAACTTCCCTCTCTGAGTTGGCGTGCTGCCAAGATCCTCGGTATTGGAGATGTCAAATATAACCCCTTGTCTCAAGTTGAACGCCCCAAGATGCCGACGAAAACGGCTTCAGAAAAGCAAAGTCTCAAGTATAGTCCGTTGCTCAAGTTGCCCCTTAGCCCGACAGCGGTGGTGTTTACTAGTAAGACTTTTGAAGACCACGTTGAATCTCCTGTGCAGGAACCGAAATCGCCTCTTCGGCCGACAGCTCTAACGTTCACTCCAAGCCCCAAATCTGAAAACCGGTCTGCTCGCTCGGTCACCTCGGTAGTTGTGAAAAATTCGGATATGCAGATTGTCTCTCTTGCTGACTTGCTGAAGGCGGAAAAGCCAACCCTATCGAAAGTCCCTTGCTCTCCAGTAAAGACGGCCTCTCCCACCCCGGTAAAGACGCCCTCTCCCGCCTCGGGCAAGAAGTCTTCTCACACCCCAGTAAAGACGGTCACTCCGCGACCAGTTGAACAACCTTTGATTGATTTTTCAGATTTCCCACCGATTTTGCCTGCCTCGCCTCTGCAGAAGGGGGAACCTCTCAAAGAAGTCGATTTGAACACCCTTGGGCCTCAGGTCCACATTCTAAAGTTGAGTAACGGCAAATCAATTGCAGGTCACCTTGAAGAAGGCCAAGCTAAGTCTCCTACCTTCAATTCTGCTCCCCTATGTGAGGAACTGGGTATGTCAAAGGAACGCGTTGCGGAAATTCCTCGGACCCCTGTTCTCCATTTCACGATGAGACAACAGGCCTCGAGAAATCCCATCAAACATGAATATACCGAGTCTCGGGCTGCGGTCAAAGCCAGGCGCGATGCTGCTATCATGAAGGCGTGGGGCGAGGGACCAAGCTTGAAAGCTCCGGATTTTCTTGTTGAAAGCTCTAAGCCAGGCCCCTCCGCCCAATCGCAGGCCATTTCCAAAACGGCCCAAAAGAAGCAGCAACTAGTTGTCGAGCACAAAGAGAAAATAGGGTATCTGTTCCATGCCGTCGAGCCATTTCTAGATGCTGCCACTTGGTTCCCTGGTGCGCTTAGTCTGGAAATTTCCTTTGGATTTTTCCTAATTTATCATAACCCCCATGCCGCAGAACTGAATCGCATGACTGCCGAGGATTTGAAGGTCTACTTTGATCCACATGCCGGACTTTCACCCCCAACTTGCCAGTTTTTCGATAAGGTATCAACGTCACCTGCAGATGTGGATTATATCATCAACCTCAAGGACGGTGACCGTAATCTTTTCGCGAGAATTGCCAAGGAGAAAGCCTTCCAGTACGAGTTCCACTGCAGTATAGGCCAGGAGGAGTTTCTGGTTGTCATTGACCAAAACGGGTCTCTTATCACCACGCCTGGAGACCCAGTGCCTCTCGGCTCAGTCCACCTCAACATCCCTGGCCACATATACGATGCATCTCTCACCCTCTACGGCACCCCTACACAAACGAAAAAAGAAAGTGAACAGGCCAGACAAGCCGCGGAAGCTATTGCCCAGAGCCTCTTCGTTGAACCCGACCTCACCCATATACATATGATGCTGAAGAAGCCAAAGGATGTCAAAATAAGAAAGATATTCATGCGACGCTCGTCGTATCACCGGGTACTCGGACAGGAAATCGAAATCAAATCCGGCAACGACGGCCCAGATCTTTTCCTGCATATCAAGGAGACTCAGGACCTCATCTTCTCTATGAATGATAACGATGATGTCGTCACAGCTCATTGCGGCCCTTTGGCGGAGATGGTCAAGGAACACAGGCAGTGGTGGTGTATCTCCATCGCGTCTCCCATCATAAATGCGGTGCTCGCCCGAAACGCGAAAGTTGAGCCGGGAGATCAGATGGCATATTGGAAGCCAACGACTCTCTTTGGCTCTGATTCTGAGCACCTAAAGCCGAATGCGTTCCCTGATGATGTGCCCGATCTCATGACATTCCCCACCGAATCCGAGATTGCCGACGAAGCCTTGATCTCTTTGATCGGGGGTGCGGGACTAGGCGCTCTTGTCGGTCTAGCAGAGGTTATAGTCAAAAAAATCGATGCTGTCGGTGCAAATAATAATGGCCCAGCTGGGGACATTCGTCATCATGCCAATCCAGACGGCGGTCCATCCAATAAAAATAAAAACTCAAGTTCTGCTGGAGATGAAGCTACCTCAGATACCAGGATGGCTCTTGTGGTTGCCGGGAGAGCCCCTGGTACAGTGAAGTGGTAAGCTGGTGGAAAGGAGCATGCTCTCTGGAACTTGGTGCCACTCTCGGCTTTCTCGATAATTTCCCAGTTCCCATTGTTCTTTGCTCAGTTCCCTTTCAGGATAGTTCCTCCCGCTGCGATTTCAAGGTGTTTCTATGACTGAGAACAAAAAAAAAAAAAAAAAAAAAAAGGAACTGCTTTTCCCTGAATTTGCTTGGTATCTTTCGATCTGGCATCTTTGGTGCGCACACAGCCTTGAATTTCCAGTCCTGCATTTGCCTCAAGTGGTAGGAGAGGAGATTAATCCCAGGATATCCTTGTGCTCTTGGTTTGCGGCTTCTATTCATTCATGATGCCTGTCAGCTTAAGCTTACTACTAGTATGCTTAAAATATCTTAGTATCAGCTTTACTTTCGACCAATGTTTGCCATCGCTTTACGATTTCTGCAATCGGCCGATATTTGTCACAGAGATATCAGTTTTGATTCATTTACCCATGTATTCTTAGCCCAAAAGAAAAGAAAAAAAAAGCACCAAGTTTTGACTAGGTGCCTTCAAACCCTTGTTTTTCCGTTCTTGTCCACAGTAAAATAGCTTTGACCTCGTACTGTAGCTCATACTATGAACGAGGGTGAAAAGTGTCCAAGCGATGTGTACTAGTATAATTGATTGAAAGTAAATCCATGGATCAGTCGACGATGTGCCCTTGATCCATCATAACAACAGTGTCTGTATCCGGAACGCCTTCCTGCCGATGTACTATCATGATCACAGTATATCCCTGAAATTCTTGGCGGATAACCTCTTGTATAAGCAAATGCGTCTTCGTATCAACATTACTGGTTGCCTCATCAAGCAAAACAACCTTTCCACGCGAAGATCGCAGCAACAGAGCACGCGCAAGTGAAAGGAGCTGCAATTGGCCGTGAGACAAAGGCCATTCTTTCATTGACACATCAAGACAGAGACTTGGTGTGAGCCCGATGTTGGAAGCTTTGGAATCGAGCTCGAATCGCAAATGGACCTTCTCCAGGGCAGTACATATCTCGTCGCTAGAGGCTATTCCTAGTGGATCGAGATTGTCCCGGATAGAGTCGTTCGGGAGAATAAATGGATCTTGCGGAATGGTGATCAGACGGGAACGAAGAATTTCTCGTGATATACGCGTTGTATCGATATTGTCAATCGTAATCGAGCCCTCGGAGAGATCGAGCAGACGTAAAATACTGAGGAGTAGCGAGGATTTGCCACTGCCTGTTCGTCCGCAGATGCGAATCGTACGACCTGGCATTATATCCAGAGAGACATGATCGAGAGCATTTGTCATAGTAGAGGGGTCCTCCTGGGTGTCATACCGGGCAACAATGTTCTTCATGTGGACTACCCCTTCTGATGGCCATGATGCGGGTAGTAAGTGCTCCTCCGTCGATGTTGGCTCGGACTCAGGAATGACGGACGCCGTAAAGCTCTGGATTCGCGATACCACCCCGAGAGAAGCATCGAAGTTTGCCCATGACTTGACTGTTATCAGGAGAACACCGTTGACTGCCAGTAGCACGTTCATGATAATGCCGACCTCTCCAGGCGTGACATCTGTGCGGATGACGATGAGGACTGCATTGATGAGAGCCATAGTAGCTACGATCAAATCCAGCACCAGGGTGAGCCACTGTTCAACTGCGAGAAGTGTGTAGGATGGCTTTTGTGCGGTATCTAGGGCGTTCATATTATCCAGTGCATAGGCTTCGCTCCAGCCAAAAGCACGAATTGTGGTTATTCCATGGACGGTCTCCAGGAAGTTATTGCTGGGCAAAGAATTCGCTCCCATGGCCAGCCACTGAAGCTGACGACTGGTGTATAAGTAAATCTTCTGGATGACGTAGACGGAGAGAAGCAGAACTGGAAGTGTGAGCAACATGAATGTTTGGGCCATGTAGAGCAGAATGATCTGAGCTAGCAATTTGAACGCCTGGCTGCCTAGCGCGGCAACTTGGCTAGGGAGACGACGATCAATCTGCTTCATGTCTTGGCTGAATCTTGAAAGTGTGGTACCGATGTCGGTGGTTGTAATGAAGGACAGTGGGGCACCCATGACAGTTTTCAGCAATTGACTATGTAGAGAGCGACCGGATGTGGGAACAATCAGTAATGAAACTGTACTGATTCCGGTCAGAGATAACCAGTGACCGATAGCGAAAACGAGATATAGCGAGAGGTAGAACCATGTTCGTTGCGCTGCGTTCTCATCGGCTGTCCACCAACGAAGCCAATTCTGGATGATCATGGCAAAGGTTGCGGAAGATATCATGATGAAGAAAACAACCATTAATCTAAACTTTCCAATCGCTTGGGCATAGTGCTGGTAGACAGCACTATCTCCAACTTTTCGAACCTCATCCATTGATCTCTGAGGTGATGAAGTGCCAGAGACCGGAGCAGCACCTTCTGCGTTTCTACTCGTCTCGAATTGCTCGTCAATGATGCAGATATCTTCAGGAGTCTGTGCACTCATGAGCGCTCTTGTTGAGAATTCGTACTGCTCTGTTGAGAACTGGTACTGTTCGGAAATGGAGCCATCGACACCCAAGGTGATAATCCGATCGAATAGTTTCAAAAACTGGGCTAGAAGAGACATAGATGTCAGAAAGGTTATACATCCAACGTGGATTGACCACTCACTTTGATGTGTGATAAGAATAACTGTCTTATTTCTTTGGCGGAGGAGTCCAATTGGGCCAAATAGTCTTTGTATGATGCGTTCCGTTGTCCGTGAATCAAGAGCACTCAGCACGTCATCCAAAATCAAGACATCGAGCCGGGAATAAATGGCCCTCGCCAGCGCCTTGAATTTTTATCAGTCAATGATGCGAAAGATGAGACTGTATTTGGAGTCGGAACATACCACGCGTTGCTTCTGACCTCCCGAAATGGAACTTCCTCCATTTCCAACTAGAGTCTTGTCACCATTTGGCAGTTTTGCAAGATCATATTCGAGATCACAGGCATATAGAACCCGTCGGTACCAATCTTCATCAGTAACAGTGGATCCAGGAGGGCCAGCAATAATATCTCGGACGGTGCCATTCCGTAACCAAGGGGTTTGAGCACAAAAGGCTATGTTCCTTGACGAAGTTGAAACACTTCCGCTGTTAAGCGGTAGTTCACCGAGAATAGCTCTTGCAAGAGTCGTTTTTCCTGACCCTACCACGCCGACAACCGCAACTAGCGACCCGGTCTCGATTTTCAAGTCAATCTGGTTCAAGACTGATCGGCCTTCATCGTGATATCGGAGTGTCGCGCTCTCAAGTACGATCGCATGATCGTCATTAGAGCCCACAGATCTCACGCTGATGTTTTGGCTGTCCTTTTGGACACTACTCGACGGCGATGGGAGTATATCTTGGTTCTCAACGTAGGATGAAAGGCGCTTATCTTCATGCTCTGGTTCGAGTAAATACTTCTGTATCCGGTCAAGCCCAGCAATGGCTGCGATGAAATCCGGGAGACCGAACAAGATTGAGTTTGCTGGTAGCGTTACCATCTGAATCAAAGCGAACGAAGTAAACACGCGATCTGTGTCGAGGGGGGCACCACCGGTCCATTTGGCGGATATGGTGTAGATTCCGAGGGTAATTGCGGGACCAACAACATTCAAGAAGCTGGCTGTTTCATTATCATGGCCGTTAGTCCCTCAATCAAGCATACCCAAATGAGATTCTTAGATTATTATCTTACCACATCCAGCCAGAAGAACGTCGAGCCAGTACGTTGCAAGGCCCGCTGATAGTTCATTGTCTCGCGCTTCCTCGGCCTTAGCTTCCATCTCTCGGATAAATCCCATCATCTTTATGCTTTTAATGTTTTCTAGGATTGTCTTGATCAGGCCAATTCTTGTCTGGGTTGCATCACTCCAGGTTCTTTGCGTGCCCACAAAATTTTTGGAAACGTATTTTCCGCACTGCGAAGTGACTGCACATACATCAGTTGGTATGAAGTCATGGATGACTTTCAAGCGAGATGGTACGATGACTTACAAGATAATAGGATCACTGGAACTATGCTAACCCAGCCGAGCTTAGAGGTAAGTAGATACAGCCCCAAGGCAAATGCTAGTATGGAAGACCAAAGCGTATGTAACCATCCCATGGCCATTGGAACATCTTCGGCGTCATTTCCCATGAGTGTGATAGCAGAATGGTCATCATTCTTGGACCTCAGGGCTTTTTCATGGATAATAGAGATCAATGATCCCTTTGCTGCGACAACAACTCTGCGCTTTGCAGAATCTCTCCTGCCATTCAAAATCTATCTTTGAAGTTAGAAAAATAAATATTGAGAGATTATCAAGAAATGCACTGACTGCCAAGCCAAAGTAAACTGTGACAACTGCAAGAACCAACTTGAGTGCCTGGATCTGGCGATGATCATCAGCCGGAGGATTGGTGACGAAGCGAATCAATTGGGAAATCAAAACTGGTTGCGCATAACGAAGAGCAATGGCAGATATCATGTATGGAATGACTCGTAAATTGTCCCAGATGGTACATTGCATTAACGACCATGCAAGAGAGTATCGCTTCTCAGGTTTGGCTTCAAGTAGAACGTTAGGAAAGTCTTGGTTTGCGAAGATAAAATGTCCTGATAAATCCTGGTCTACTTACATCGACCCTCCCAGCACGTCTTCATTCTCTCCCGCAACACGTCCGAAGAGATACCAGTTGGAATGGAAGGAATGGTATCAAGCGTGAGAAGCTCAGAGTATCCCTTTCTTAGTAAAGGATTGACCCACCAGTAGAATGATTGACTGAAAACACTTTCTGTTTCCTCGAGCGATAAGTGTTGCCATGGTTCACGAAGAATCGAGCGCTTGCTTTGTAGCTCCAAGATCAGAATCGATGTTTTCGCAATGATCAAAGATACGTTCACAGTAGATATTTGGCACTGAGAGGCATTTGACAGGTGCAGGAGGACCATTTGTATCAAATCGAAGCAGACTGAAGTAGCCAAGACTATATTGAGCGAGTCAAAAGGAGCAACCGATCGGCCATGGCTCAAAATGGATAGATATGGGATGATCAACGAGCCTACAAAGGCAATAATGGCTGAGGCAAGGTATCCTGGATGAGATCGAGCTTTAAGTTCGACTATCAGATTAGCTAATTGCAAAAATAGCAAAATCGATGCTAGTGTCTGTCGCTAAAGTTAAAAATCCGGGTCTTCCATAGTAACTTCAATGTTTCTCTGGACAAAACTGACAAGTTTTCCCAATCCTCTATACCCCTGAGTGGCCTTGATAGCTTCCCTCCGCAAACGAAGGTATGTCCATGGTGCAAGAAGAATGAATATACTGATTGGTCCAATAGCGAAAAGAAGCTGCCATAGAGTATCGCCGCCATTTCCCAGTTTGTACTCTGAGCTCCGCTGCCAAGGAGAGCAGAGCCTCTCTTCCCCCAAATGGGAATGTGAGGCTGAGAGCGACGACATGGCAGTTCTGGCCGTAAGGAAGAAAACCCGTGAGGCTTAAATCTAGGAAGCAGGGATGTGTGGGTATTTAAAAATCAATGATGTTGATTAACATTGAAACCCAGGAGCTTGTTATCTTTCAACATTTGAAGTCTAGCGGCGAATTTTGACAAGCTAGCAGGGGTCCGCGTGTGCATCCGGAGATTCAACCTATGCTCGCTACTACATCAAGGGATTTCGAAACATCCAGAATTTCGTTTTGGATGAGCCTGGCCTTTGGGGTGGTCAAGTTGGGTGGTTTCTATGGCCAGTCCGGCGAAGCAGAGGCCATGCCGGGTTTTACTCCCTCCATGAGATAGGTCACAGAGCTACGGAATAGCTTCTGTCGAGTTAGACAATCCAGGCGACAAGCCACCGATAAGCACTAGGCTTAGCTAACAGCTAGCTGGAACCTGCTCGACAAGCACAACCAATATTCTTGCTAGAAATTGTCTCCTGTGGCGATGTTATGTGGGGGTTTGGCCGTAGCGCTTCTTTTTGATCAGGGGGGTTCAGTTGAACACGCAATCAACAATCAATCAGCGAGCCGGGATGAACACCCTTGGATTAAGAGTCGAAACTTATCCCTGCATTTCCGGAGTCCCCGGAGCTCCGATGCGCCCCCGCTTTGGGAGGCAATTGGAATTTGGGGGCTACTCCGGACCTGATAACAAGCACTGGATTTCAAAATGTTACAATTTACCAAGACCATAGCAGGGACTGGATTAATACCTCTCTTGAATACTAACTTTATAAACTTAGTACTTGAGATTGTTATACATTCAGTACTCGAGATGAGAACGGCAACAATAACCTTGGAAACAGTCAAAATGAACAGCACACAAGCTTTTGTATTCTAGTTTAAATGCAACCCAAGAACAATATGTACTAAGACTAAACACCTGTACTTCTAATAGACATCATCACGTCAATCATACCTTCAATCATCCTCTTCCGGTGCATCGTCCACACCCCGGAACCAAGCGCTGCTTGCATCAACAGCCGCCTTCCGCACATCACGCTTGGGGTCATCCAAGACAGCCCGCAAAGAGCGCAAGACCTGTGCCTTTTCAGGAAGCAGCGGGGAGATGGCAGCCGGGATCCGAGAATTGGGAGCCGACTCGGCAGACGTCTGCCTTGTGGCAAGTAGGTAAAGGCACTTCAGCGCATCAGCCCGGAGACGGGGAGGGTTCACGACACCAGGACCTGGTCTGGCTACTGTTGTCTTGAGGAGTCTCTGGACGAGACTGTGAACGTGGCCGCACTTATCAATGGTGGCAACACCGTTATCGCGGATGATAACTGCGAGAGTGTCAAGAGTTGCGGCGCGGACAGCGACAGAATCGGAGGTTTGGAGGTCGAGAGATTGGAGGAGAAGTGGGAGTAAGGTGGGAAGTTCTGGCATAACGAGGTCTGTGGAGATCGTGGAGAGGATACCAGCCAGGGCGGTTAAATGGGCTGGTTTGATGTGGTCTAATGATTTGGTGGTAGAGGAATCGTCATTACCAGCGATGTTGGCATCGCGGATACGCGACGAGATCAACGGGATGACGGTAGTAAAGACACGTTGCTTGGAAAGCAGGCGAATTGTAGCACCGTTGGTTGCGGAAAGGACATCGTCATCGCCTAGGAGAATAGAAAACCCGCGAGCAGTAGAATGGCTAGTTTGCTGGTCGGGGGAGGAAAGGAGACCCATCAGTGAGGTCAAGATATGGGTAGTGGATGGGCTGAGGCGAAGAACGAGAGCCTTGGATAACCAAAAGACGGTGCGGATGGTAGCAGAACTGAAGAACTGGCCCTCTGGTGAGACAAGAGAATCAAAAAGCTTTTCAGCGATTTTCAAGTCCTGTTTAGAGAGGAACTTGTTGACAAGCAGTGCCAGGTGATGCAAGAATGCAAGGTGAGTGGCAGGTTCTGTGTTTTCGGATACAGATCGCTTGACTAAATCTGAAAGCAGGCCTGACATATCAGGAGTTGTATTAGGAATGAGGCTCACACAGTCCTTTGATAGGCCTGCAAGGAGATATGTTGAAATAATAATGGTACGTTCTTGATCAGCATTTGCGCCATCGGAGAAAGGTACCGGTACAAACCCTCCAGTTGTAAAGAGACTGTACACATTTTGAGCGGCCTGCTCTTGCTTTTGAACCGAGACGGCTCGGACAAGTAGATTGCAAAGTCGACCAAGGATATCAAGGATTGTAGGATCATTGAGAAGGCGGTTCTTGCCCTGTCCTGAAGCTGACTCTGCAACACTCTGACAAAGACCCACGACAATCTTGTCAAAGTACAAGTCCACGTTTGGATCAGCATCCATCTGTCTCTGCTGCATGACGTAAAGCAGAGTCACAAGAATAGCTCTAGGGTAAGCTGCTGATCCGGGCTGTTCTCTTTGGAGTAGAATGGTAAGCTTGCTGAAGAGACGTCGGAACAGGGTTTCGAAGATGTCTCTCTCTATGCTGATTTGGGCGAGGGTATCCAAGGTCGACAAGTAAGTTACGTTCGAGCCATCATCCTCATCGGGAAGCGTTGCCACAAATGCAGGGAAAGTGATATCCATGATCAGTCGAGGCTTGTGCTTGGAGATCTCAGCCAGTGCTGCAATGGCTTCTTTTTTGAGGTCATCTCGGGCAGCGGATTCCTCAGTCAAGAGGATTTCATCCAGGTATTGCACGAATAATCCAATTTCGTTATCCTGGAAGAAATCACGCAAGGTCGAGAGCCGCAAAAATCCCTTCAATGCAGTAACGCGGAAAGACACCTCATCCTTGGCAGAGCCCATAAGTGCCTGTCCCAAGACATCTGAGAATTGATCCTTGAACTCAACCAAGGGGTTCTCCTGTGTAATCTCGCCTCCACGGGTTGTCCATTGTCCAAAGACCTGGATCGCAGACTGAAACAAGATAGCCAGTGTCTCAAGGAGAGCCCGCTGCTTGACAATTCCATCTGCCTCTTGGTAGATAGTGAATAAGGGAGCAACGACTGTCCGAATAATTATCGTGAAGGCTAGGACAGATGACGTCGATAGCGAGCCGAGAATCTGTTGCGCAGGCTTTGCCTGCTTCTGTTGAGGCTCTTGCAGTTGATCCTTGCACTCCTGAATGATAGGGCGGAGATATTGCACAAGGGGTAGATCTGGTGTAACCTTGGTGACACCTTCAGAGAGTCGCTTTGCGATTCCGGAAAGGGCCTCCAGAGATGACTCTGATAAAAATTCCTCTTGAGCATTAAGAATCTCAAACTTGAGAACTTCCCAGATGGTGATGGAGTATCGAGATACGGTGTCTGGGTCGTATGAATGAATACACGCAATCAAAGCGTTCAAAGCATCCTTCTATATGGATATCAGCAATTGCATCCAGGGCGTCATAAAGATAGTATGCATACCTTAACGTTCGGCGATGTGGAGTCAAGTTTCTCCAGCAAAGAAGGAATAGCATGCGGAGCAAAGTGTCTCGAGGCCGAGATACAATCCTGTAGACGGCCTTTCAAGTCTTGTGCGGTAATTCCATATGGATCATTCGGTGGAGGTCGGAAGGTGATCGGGAAGTAGTTGTATACCGAGTCAAACAGGAGCTAGCAGAGTCAGTTAGTGCATTACGATGACGGCCTACAACATCCTTACCTCAGCATGATTCGTAATATCCCATTCCACCATGACGACCTTCAGAATAGAGAAGACCATCATCAGGTTACGCGGGTCCTTCTCTCCAGTCATGAGATCCACAATTCCCATGAGAGAATCATCACCCATTTCACGCAACGCCGCCCGGTGTCCCGACATCAATTCGTTCAGCAACTGATACACCTGAAACCGTTGTGTTTGGGAGCGAGACTGGAGGTCCTGGAAATTGGCGAACAGGCTATGATAGCATTAGTATAACCATCGAACACAAAGTTGAGCATAATTCTACTCACGCCTGGGCAGTCTCAACCGCCAATTCCTTGTTAAACCGCTCCAATCCTTGCAATCTATCCAGACCCGCGACGGCACCACCATCTTCAATTCGATCACCAAAGAACGTTGTCAGGACTTGGATCTGTTGTCTCGTTAGGAAGCGGGGAGGCAATGCCTTGATCACCGCGGTGAGGAAGGAAATTGCCTTTCCACGCAAGATTGGGTCTTCGTCGTTGATATATTCGCCAAGCTGTCGGACAATATCAATCAAAGTAGTCTTCTTGTTCTCGACATCTACATTTCCCGCTCAGTTAGATTTAGATCACTAATGCGAGTGCGGGGTGGGATGATTGGACAAGATTTACCTTGGGCCACGGATTCGGCGATGCTCTTAGCTTCATCTTTGTCGTTGTCGACGACCAGCATGAAGGTCTGCAAAGCCGACATGATGTTAAATGGAGCGGCCACACCACAAATCAGTCAAATATACGAACAATAGCAGGGGCGCACCTTCCCCCTCCGGTGACGGCGACTGCCATTTTCTGTCTTATCGATAACAATCACGTGATATACTTTGCCTTATCTATCACGTGCGCCCTTGCGTCATGGGCTGAAATGGTATTGCATCTTGTACATCCCACTTCCAGGTCAGCCAAGATGAGACACTCCACTCAAATTACATCTCTTTTGCTGCTTTGGACTGCTCTTAGCACTTCAGCTGTTGTTTTAGGACTTTCCATACCCAACACTCTCCGAAAATCCCCACTGGGCCTATCACAAAATCAGCATCCTATAATGGATAAATACATCCCAGAAATCATCAAACCGCAGCCTGCTGGTCCTGGCGGTGATGCAGATTCACCTGTGATATCTGATGTTCTCCCCAAAACTAAGGGAATCAACATCTTTGCTCAGCTTACCCGTGACTTTGATCCTATCTCCTCCCGTTTGAATGATGCCTCAAAGAATATCACCGTGCTAGCACCTCGGAATAGTGCTGTCCAAGCCTTGCCACGGAAGCCGTGGGAGGATCCAGAAGACTATGCGAAATTTGGTGATGTGAATGCTTATGAGGGGCAGGATGGCCAAGACCGGGCGAGGAGCAATCTGGAGCGATTTGTCAAAGCCCATCTTATTCCTGTTAGCCCATGGAACGAAGGAGAGGAAGTAGAAAGTTTAGGGGGAGAGAAGCTGAAGTGGACCAAGGAAGGAGATAAGATATTCGTGAGTTTCTAGTCTTCTCTGGTATTATATCGTGGATGCTTTGATTGCTGACTATCATACACCAGATTCAACCCGGGAATGTCGAGGTGGACAGCATCGCGGAGAGAGTCGCCAATGGCGAAGTCTGGGTGCTGAACAATGTGATCAACTACCGTTGATTTCCACAATATAATGAGATTATGAGACAGTTGGTACAATTTTAATGATAACGGAACTACCAAGAGCATGCCAGCTTAGGCTCCATCAAGATACCTACAACACATCGTTCGTAAAATTTCCCTTGGTAGATCTTTTTAAAGCGTGCAAACATGATTTATTCAGAGCCAACTGCCCTTTTGTGTATATACCGTACATGTACACCAACCGTAGATATTCCATCTAAATCAATTTAATTCACCTCGGGGGCAAAGTTCCGCAGAACTCGCTCCTCCACTCCAGTCAAAATGGAGAAGTGCTCCATCACCTCCAGGTTCTCGGCCTCGTTCAAGAACAACTTGTCGGAGTCCTGACCAGGCTGCATCGGGTTCATCATAGCAGCAGGGTTGGCCATACCCATCTGTTGGGCCATCTGGTTGGCAGCTAGAATAAATCATTAGTATTGATCTCAATTTCAGGAGGAATTCGGCGTCACTTACAGTTATCACTGCCCAAGATGAATCCAAAGACAGATTGAAGACCCATCAGGTTGAGGAAGTACCATGACAGACTGGACACCCATTGCACATCCAGGTCACGAGTCATCACACCAGACTGGAGCATCGACTTGAAGCGAATAGTCAAGGGGAAAGGCAATTTCACTGTCCAATATCATCAGTAATGCCTAAGTTTCCAGATCCTCATGTCAACACCTACAGATCACAAATCCAGAAAAGAACGCATTGATCCAGCTCATAATCAGCGTCTGGGGAATCATCATCATCATATTTCCCTTCAGCATTCCCATCATCTGTTCCATGCCTGCCGGATCGGTCATCGGGTTGGCAGGAGGCTGGCCCCGGTTGTTGGGGTCCTTCAGGAACGAGCCGTTGCGGAAGCCGTTGATCAGGTAGCTCTTGCGCATCTCGAAGGATTCACGGTCCAGCACGGAGCAAGCGTTGTTGCGGAGGTTGACACCACGGATGAGGGCATGACGCTCGCGCGCTGCAGCGAGGGTGGCAGGAGGTTTCGGGGGCGTATTCATCAGGACGGTAGCGTAGTGGCGGAGAATTCCGGTAAGGATCTATTCATTTCAATAGATTAGAATAAGAAGTGATAATTCGGCTGGTTGACGGTTTCAAATTACCATGACCACTGAAATCGGGAACAAAATCCAATAACTATTCAGATAACAGGTTAGCTTGGGTGTCTCCATGTCCATTGGAATGACTTCTCACAAAAGCGCCGGGTCCCGAAGGATAGTCTGCTCAGCTCCTTGAATGGCCATGACGAACGGAGTCAAAAGACCAGAGCAATCAGGTTGGAAATGGTGTAAAAAATGACTGCCAGCGAGGTGGCGGGTGGATTTGCTGGTGTGGGGGAGATGAAGGGGATGTTGGACCGAAGTGGTTGAGGTTCGCGGCGGCGGCTACTATTGGCCCGCGCGAGCTCCAGCTCTCTCCAACCCGCAACTGTGTCCTTGTGATAAACATTGTTCGTCAGCAACCACAAAACAACTTGATAGCAGTGTATTTGTGATCTAAACATTGAGCAGCTACGATTGCCCTATCCGCGACCCTCTCTCTCTGGACCACAGCCATGGCGACTACCAAGGTGCCTATTTACTCGACCAACGGTTCGTCTCCCCAGATCTACCTACCCCAACTTAAGTGCTACTGGGTCCTCTTTGGCTTCAGATATGACCTATCCGCCCTTATTTTTCCTGAGCTAAAACATATCTATGTCTAGATCTCAAAGCTGCTATCGATGAGGCCGTAGTCCCCTACTTGACCAACCTCCCGGCGCCCTACACCTTCACCCAAGACCACAGCAAGACCAACACACGCTTCGCACTAGGGTACAGTGCCGTCGCGATCGCGGCGTTCACATTCTATGTTGACCGCAAGCTAGGCTGGGAGGCCGCTAAATCGACATGGGTCTTGGCCGCCGTTATTGGGTACTTCATACTCAACTCAGCCCTCACATACTGGATTCTCTACGTTGAGAGTGGGGAGGTATTTCGCGGAAAGCGAAAGACTGGGGAGACGGTAAGTTAAAGCGCACATGAGCATTATTTGCCCTTTTACTATCTGCTTGGAACTAACGCATTCAATAGATATCTTTCTCCTCTTCAGTGGTTAAACACTCCGTCTCTTACAAATTGCACATCCAATACAAGTCTCCTACTGGCAAGGTCCTACAGGACAAGCACCTCGAAGCTCCATTTACCTCATGGTTTTCGGCAGATGGCGTGTTCCACCCGGAGGCGTACCGACGCTGGTTGGCAAGTGAGGTTGATGTACTCAGACTTGCAGCGAAGGCAAAGGAGAATGAGAAGAAGAACTCCGGTGATTCCGGACGCTAAAGCTTGCGCAAATTCCACTTTCAAAAACTTACTAAGAGCAATGCTTCATGTCTGGCTTACAATGTTCACGGCTTGTCCTCGGGGTTCCTGCCATGGGATTTGTTGAGCATGGTCTACTATGCTTGATATGTCCAAGATGGTGTCAGACGTTATGATCAGTATTTGATACCTGAATCCCTTGGTTTGTTGAATTTGGCATCTGTTTTTTATCAAATTTCGGGATATCGCAAACACTACATCAAAAAGAAATGCCTAATCTCCAAAATGCAGTCCAACAGGAACATCCATATATTCATACGGCTAAAGCTAAAATAAAACACAAATCTATATCAACCATTTTCAACATATATCCAATAATCATCCATCAATTTTGGGGTCAATTCAATTGCCATTGCTATGAAGTAGACTCAGCCTCGAGAGTGCCAGGGCGCTCTGTGGCAGCGGCAGGCTTGACGTCGTCCGCCCGCTTGTTCTGGATAAGTCTCTGTGGCAAAGATTAATAACCATTTTCTGCAAATTTCCACGAGCCTCAATAGATTGAGAAGTTAAAACTTACCAGCAAATTGCGCATTAGGACAACAATGGTCACCTTGCCAATGGAGGGGACGTAGAGGGAGGCCTTCTCCTTGACTTCAGGGCCGAAGTTCTATAGAAAATCACATTAGTCAAATCGGAACTTCTGTTGCGAATAACATTTAAGACAGAAAGGGTAACTAACCTTCTCGCTGGAGAAGTTGACACAAACAGCACCTTCGCGGAGCAAGCTGGTGTCAAACTTATACTTGTCACTCGGCACACCGGTGATAACAACATCACACAGAGGCACGACATCCTTCAAGGTAGCACCCTCAAGGTCCACAACCTCGTGTCTGTGCTTCTGCAATCCCTCGCCACGAGTGAACTTTTGCACACCAGTGATATCAACACTGTAAACACAAGCTCCGTCATTGGCCAACAGGGCGGCAAGTGGACGTCCCACAACTTCAGATCGGTTCACAACGCAGATAGTGTGGCCGAAAAGTCTGTTTCCATAAGGAAGAATGGTGTTGTAGATGTTCAAGTACTCGAGGATCTTAATGTTGGCCAAGGGAGTGCAAGGAAGAATGCACTTCTGGCGCTTGGTCTCTGGGTCCAAGAAGCGGATGTTCTGGTACATGTTGAAGATGTAGCGGTGGCTAAGACCCTCAACATCTTTGGAGATATCCACAATCTGCTGCAGGTATTGGTCCTGACGGTTGTTGAAGATGGGGTAGTAGACGATGATACCGTCGACGTTGTCGTCGGTGTTGGCAGCGAGGATGTGTTCTTCGATGTCGTCACGGGTGACTTCGCGCATGGAGTACTTGAATCCACTGTATTGAGTTCAGTATTGATCTGATCTTCATTTTCGTACTTGGCGTTGTTTTTTTTTTTTTGGGAAGTAGTATGATTCGACTCATCTCTCTGCGCGACGAGGGGCAAGTATGAATCATACCCGTGAACCCCACCAACAAATCGAAGCCACGAAAAACGCCACAGAAAAGAAAGGCACCATGGAATTGAACTCACTTCTCCTCGCAGGTCTTCTGAGTCATTTGCGCATACATCAGCGCAGCGGGGTCATTGTTGGCTAGGAATCCGACCAGGTGCGGCGGCTTCTCCAGAGTCTTGACACCTTCCTGGACCTCGGTGATCAAGCGATTGGCCACATGCTTGGAAAGCATAACCTTGCACGAGGCAGGCGCAGAGGTGGTAGGGGCAGACATGATGAAAATCAATGCTCTAGATAACAGAAATTAGGATATATAGAACTTTACGCGGGGGGGAACTTTGAAGGAAAAAGATTGTTCGCTTATCGATAAGAAATCGGCTCCCGTTTTCGGTCGTACTTGCCGAGATCGCTCGCGCCGGGAGTTGGATTTTAGCCTAAGAGGCTTAGTAGATGATTATGAAGAATGTGTATGGCCAATGGATCGAGCGTGAGAGTGGGGATCACATTGGTGGGATTGCATTAATTTCCTTGAGAAGGAATAGTTGGCACAAGTGGACTCTGCTATACTAGGGTGCGTTGCCCAGGTGAACAGGTGCCACAGATCTGCTACCCGGATTCGGTCTGTTATAAAAGATGAGGTTTACTACAGCTTACAGTGGAAGAAAGTAGACATTACAAGTTTAAACCACAAAGTAAGGAAACAAAAGAAAATGAATTGCGGTCCAACATGGAAGAGACACATGGAGACCAGACGGAAGTTAATTTGGTATCCTCCCATCACGCGCCCCCCAATGCGCGAAAAAATCTAAACGTACAGGATATAATCACATTTTGGAAGGTCAATGATCAGACTGTTCCAGTCAGTCCGAGCATCTCACTAAAAACGAAACGTGATTCCTACCCCAGAACAGTAGAGCCAGTAGAGACAGATTGAAACGGTCTTACATCGCTACATCCAGGGCTTGAAACCGAAATTCGCCCGTGGGACTTCAAGGACCGAGAGGAACAGAACGAAATTATGGCCTCAAAATTGTACAAGCTATCTTGTCTATACACATAGAAAGAGTCAGGAAAACAGAACGATCACCATGGACCCCTCAAAGTTGTTTTCTTAGCTCACCTATGCGTTGAAAGACTTGTTGAAGGCACCAATGACCTCCTTGAGCTTAGCCTCAAGCTCCTTGGAGACCTGGCCCTCCTTCTCAATAGCCTGCTGGATCTCGGGGTAGTTGCTCTTAAGGTGGGCAAGGATGTCCTTCTCCCAAGGAAGAATCTTGGCAACGGGGATGGAGTCAAGGAAACCGTTGACACCGGCGAAGATAAGGGGAACCATATCAGCGACGGCCATGGGGGAGTACTGCTTCTGCTTGAGCAACTCAGTGAGACGCTCACCACGGGCAAGGGTCTGCTTGGTGGAGGCATCCAGATCGGAACCGAACTGGGCGAAGGCAGCGACCTCACGGTACTGAGCCAAGAAAAGCTTCAGGGAACCGGCGACCTGCTTCATGGCCTTGACCTGGGCAGCGGAACCGACACGAGAGACGGAAAGACCGACGTTAATGGCGGGACGGATACCCTTGTAGAACAGCTCAGCCTCCAAGAAGATCTGGCCGTCAGTGATGGAAATGACGTTGGTGGGAATGTAAGCGGAGACATCACCACCCTGGGTCTCAATGATGGGAAGGGCAGTCAAGGAACCAGCACCGTGGGTCTTGTTCATCTTGGCGGCACGCTCGAGGAGACGAGAGTGCAAGTAGAAAACGTCACCGGGGTAGGCCTCACGTCCTGGGGGACGACGCAGAAGCAGGGACATCTGACGGTAGGCAACGGCCTGCTTGGACAGATCGTCGTAGATGATGACAGCGTGGCGGCCGTTGTCACGGAACCACTCACCCATAGCACAACCAGTGAAGGGGGCAATGTACTGCAGGGGGGCGGCCTCGGAAGCGGTGGCAGCAACAACAACGGAGTACTTCATGGCGTCGTTCTCCTCAAGGGTCTTGACGAGCTGAGCGACGGTGGAACGCTTCTGACCGACGGCAACGTAGATACAGTAGAGCTTCTCAGACTCGGAACCGGTAGCGTTCCAACGCTTCTGGTTGAGCATAGTGTCGAGAGCGACGGCAGTCTTACCGGTCTGACGATCACCAATGATCAACTCACGCTGACCACGGCCAATGGGGACCATGGAGTCGACACACTTCATACCAGTCTGAACGGGCTCGTTGACGGACTGGCGGGGAAGAATACCGGGGGCCTTAAGCTGAGCACGGCGCTTCTCAGTGGCGTTGATGGGACCCTTGCCGTCAATGGGGTTACCAAGAGCATCGACGACACGGCCGAGCAGCTCAGGACCAGCGGGAACTTCGACCTGGGAAGGTGATGATGTTAGGGGGGAAATTTTGATGATTTGAAACAGGCCTGGATGTCCAATATCAAGGTTGGATAGCCCCAGGGAAGGGGAAGATAACTTACAATCTCACCGGTACGCTTGACAGTCTCACCCTCCTTGACGAGACGGTCGGAACCGAAAAGCACGACACCGACCTGGCCGGCCTCGAGGTTCATGCACATACCCTTAACACCGGAGGCGAACCTAGATTACCCGTTAATTTTCCAAACTTGATAATGCCAAGACTTTTTCGGATAACAGGGGGTTCACATACTCAACCAGCTCCTCAGCCTGGACGTTGGTCATACCGTGAACACGGGCGATACCATCACTATTTAATATTTAGTCAGTTTCTGAATCGATTCGAGTTGTTTTGGTGGTAGGCGTGGGCGCGTTTGGCGAAGTTGTATCCGTTGACCGAATTTTTTTTTCTCCCTCACGACCCTTTACCCGCCCCGGGCGGAATTGACGTACCCGACCGACAGAACGCGACCAGTCTCAGCGAGACCAGCCTCCTCCTGAACACCACGGATGCGCTGCTCGAGGATGGAAGAAACCTCGGTGGGGGAAGCCTTAGCCTCAGAGGCGTAAGAGCGGACCTGCTTGGAAGCACCGGCAATGGGACCGGGGACAGCCGCGCGAACCTATAACATGGCGAAAACTTTGTTAATGACGAGCTCGGGGGATGCTAAAGTGATCGATGTGTCTTCAATGGATGGGCGCAGGGGAGGATATGGATCCGAGGCTCCATCGAGCTCGAATTCGAGATGGAAAAGGTCGGACAAGGCGATGGACGAGGATGGCCAGTGACGGGGTGGACTCACCGAGGCGATGCGGCCAGTGGCCTGAACGGCCGCAACCGAGCGGCTGGACTGCCGCAGAGCGTTCCTGAACATTATGAAAAGGGTTCAGAGGGTATGAGGATAAATTCTCTGAGAGGGAGGATGTAATTGGGGAGAGGAGTTCGGAGAGGAGAGAAGAGGTTGTGGACGGGTGGGAAGGGAGAGCTTTCTCGGGAGGATTGGATTCTCAGGTCTCGCGCTAAACCGTTTTAAGGGGCCAAGTCCCTCCGATGTGGCCCTAGTGTACCTCCACGCTGTTCTTTCCGCTGAAACGATGTCTTTATTGTGAACTATAGCTTCCCATTTTTTTACTTTTAATTCCAAAAGATTCAATATTTCCTCCCCTTTCATACGACTCTAAATTTTCCCATGAAAAATCGTCCATTAGTGGTACTGTGGGAGTGCTCCGAGAACGGGCCAGCCGCTTTCCGTTTTTTTCTCTTCGGGTCGCCGGAATCCTTGGTCAGGTGTGTGGCTTAGGTAATGGGTTTCGTCACGGCAACCGGTTAGTAAATAGTATGGAGTGCTATAGTAAACAGAATATATACTATACACAGTTCATCTCCATTGTTACTGGAAATGTACATATGCACTCAGACTATCCTTTTCATAGTCCCATCGAATTATATCTACCAGCGAGGTGGGGGGGAATCCTAGTAACATCCCCTCTTCCATTCGAGGCAATGTCATCAAGCCCCTTCCAGAGGTTCCGAATGACATCAATCTTCCCCAACATTCCATTTACAAGCAAGCACATAACATATCTCCAGCTACACATATCATCGGACTTTGTGCAATCTGTAGTCTACGATGACATCTCCTTCCAAAGTTATTTGCATGCTTTCCCAATCAATAACCGTCCCGAAGCCAACCAACCATTCATACCCGACTCCTTCTCGAGCAAGCCATAGATATATTGATTGATATCTCACTTGGCATCCTTGCCTTTCTTCTGCTCTTTCTCCTTGCGGAACTTTTCAATCTCCGTTTCCACACTCTTGTCCATCCGCTGCTTCAGCTCTCGCCGGTATCCGAAGAAAAACAGAATCTCCATCCAGACAAACAGTGGCGCCAGCAACAGTGCCTGGACCAAGTTGTCCAACAACGCAGGAGCCCGTCCCTCGAACTTACCGTGTCCCACAAACTGTGCCACCCATGATACGACGTGAATTCCGACCGCGTAATAGTTCACAATCACCCCGTAGGTTCCGAGAAGATAGTTGCCGCATGCCGCGGAGCCGATCACCAGCGGTGCAATCAAGCCACCTGCGACCGGTTCGAGAAGGACATAAAATATCGAGTAAATGAATGCGGCGATAGTACCGAGATTCGGAGGGAGGTATTCGACGCTCAGGACATCGGGGACACTGAATAGCGGTGGACTGTTGCAGCCCTATTGAGATCAAGGGTATTGTGTTAGTTCGTATTCATCGCGTTGAATAATGGAAGGGAAGGCGTACCAGAGCAATTCCAGTGAACAGCAGAATCGGCACGCAGGTAATGTGAATGGCCACATTCACCTAGAGATAAATATTAAGTCCACCACATCCATTTTGTGTCAGAAAGTAAGGAAACCCATACCGGGTTGCTGTGGTAAGCTCCATACTAAGAAAGTCGGTCAGTACTATGGTAAATGAGAATTCGAACCCATATGGACTCACAAAGAGCAACTGCTTCTCCAAGTTCAGCGCCATTCTGGTGTGGTCGCCAGGTTGCTCGAGGGTGGGGGTGCTGGGAACAAAATGTTGGGGAAGCTCTATCATCAATTAAACGTAGACTCTGAGTGGTGCCATGTGCTTGAGCCGAGGATGCCCAGGGGGTGCCCCCAACCTGAACATCCTTGTTGTTTCTGTACGGTATGGTTCAGGTAAATTGCCGGCAGGAGTGGTAACTTTACGTATTATTCTGAAAACATTATCGTTCAATGCTTAATACTACTCAATGAATAGTTTTTAAACGAAGCTTGGCCTTACATTGGACGTTCCAGAATGATCAAGATCTCTCCAGTGTGATTGACAGTTTAATACTCTCAATTGAGTGGGTATTGCGGTTGTCACCTTCCAGTGTTCTACAGTAGTACTCTCGATACCAAAATCAATAGATATCAGCAGTTTCAAAAGTTTGTATTTAAATAGTGCAACTGAGCTCTTTCTGTATTGAAAACCTCCGTTGACATCATTGCTATCTGCTGTAGACGTTTCCAGAGGTCCAAATGTGGTTTTCACTTCATAGGTCTGTTCCGGGGCCTGGTCAACGGCTCCCGGGTAACAGTCCTACCCTTAATGCTTCACAAAGGCCTCGCATAAACCCTTTCACAAGACCTTGTCGTTGAATCCTTCAAATACTTTGCTTGTCAAGCCGCACTCAAATGTTGAAGAGTTTCATCTGCTATCAAGCTTTAAAAACTGACTTTTTCAACCCTTGTCGCCTGTTTTCTGGCTACCAGCTGCATTCAAATGCTTAAATATATACTAAGTTATACGAGGTCAGTTTTGAGGTTTCCGAGGGCAAGATTGCACATGTGAATTCTCCAGCCTAGACTGATCCTTTCTTAGAAAAATGATACGACTCCAAGATAACTGAAAAAACCGAATTCTTTTTCAATATTACAAAATCAAAAAACCAGAATATGAATGAGTGGTGTGTTGGATTTGCAGTGAACTACAAAATGCAACAGGTCACGTGGACGAACTCCGGCTTGGACCTGGACCTGGACCTGCCCGCAGTGAATCCGGAGTCAATCGTCAGCAGCCTCAGCGTGCCTGCAGTATTGCGATCTGCCTTTTTATCCCGGGCGGACTCAGTACCTGCTCCATTAATATCGGCACTCACATATCTCCGGTGTGATATTCGACCCCACTTCCGCCCTCAGGTCGTGATAGCAGCAGACTCGGTGACTTGCAGCCTGAATTGAAAGCATCGCATTGCGTCGCGTCCCGTCACAACGCTCTTTCACCTCGCCCCAAGGATCCATCGGAGACGTTTAATTCGACCCACCGATCAGCTTGCCATAAGCAGACTCTTACATCAGCAACCTCGGAGCCTCGAGCTATTCGCCCACTGTGACCACGGATTGAGATCGCTTCATCGTCCTTCGCAATCATGTTCTTTCTCAAAGAAGAGGCCAAGGTCATCACCTTGCATCCATCTTATTTTGGTCCTAACATGCGCGAGTATCTGATCACTCGACTCAACGAGGAGGAGGAAGGTCGGTGTACGGGAGACCACTTTGTGATCTGTGTGATGGATATGGTCGATATTGGCGAAGGACGGGTCATGCCGTCCAGCGGTCATGCTGAATACACAATCAAGTATCGCGCAATTATCTGGAAGCCATTCCGTGGAGAAACTGTACGTGCGCAAAGTTGAGACCTAGCACCGTGGAGATTCGAGTCTATCTCTGGATTTACGATTTCAAACCTTCTTGCTGACATGACGACCATTAGGTCGACGCAATTGTCACCTCCGTTAAGCCCACCGGCATTTTCACACTAGCTGGTCCTTTGTCTGTCTTCATTGCGCGAAAAGTATGGACCTTGTACCACGTCTGGAAAACGACCACCACTGACTTGCATCTCAGAATATTCCTTCCGATATTAAGTGGGAGCCAAACACCGTTCCACCACAATACACCGACCACGCAGATCAAGTAATTGAAAAGGGTACCAGTTTGCGACTGAAGATTCTCGGTGTGAAGCCAGATGTGGCAGCGATCAATGCCATTGGCACCATCAAGGAGGATTATCTTGGGTAAGTGGATGATTGGCTTGACTTTTTTGCTTGGATGATTCGAAATGCTTATACCTCTCTCTTTGACAGACCCCTGTAATGAGTTAAACGAGCCGCACCACATACCCACTACCTACCCACGTTCCCATTTAACATCATCCTTATCCTTAAGATGGTTTTTTTTTCGTCCTTCACACAGCGAGGCAGTTGAATTGCACAAGCCCACAACCCCGAAACCAACAAAGAGAGACCAGGCAGTGACGTGCTTTAGAATGTTCACATACATTTTTGCAACTATGCCCATTTCCTGCATGTCTTTGCATGTCTTTACATGTAGCCTGGGATTCGATCTGGAGAGTGAAAGGCCCCATTTTTAAACCCCCCCAAAAAACAACTTTAAAAAGACCGCGTGCTTTTGCAGTGTGGCATCTGCAGGCACCAGCTGAAGTAAGATTATCCCTCTCTCCACTTGTCTTCAGCTGAGCCGATGAACGGATTTGTCCACAGGCCCGAAGGAAGCTTTTAGAAACTACTACATTTGTGACAATTGGCAAAAAGAAATGCCAAGATATGTACAATATTGAAGAATTTGAAGAGACCAAATGCACTTCATTCCCATACTTGAATACCGTTGAACTCTATCTGAGTTGCCGGAGAGACGCGCTTCCTCTTAAACCGTGGCTCCAACTGGCTCCAAATGGGTCCTTCCCGGGGCCAAAGATGAAACACTGGCGTGTTCAACCGTGCGCGTTTGTTTTATTTACCTTTGAACTACACAAGAACTGGTGGAACTAAACTGCATTGGAGAACTTTCTCCAAATCTAGATTCAGGTACCAGGTACCAGTCCCCAGTATAGCACTTTCTATAGTTCCTCTTGGTACTCTGTACACTATACTTGTCCTGGTAACTTCAAAAGTTGGTACCCGCATCTTCTAGCCGGACGCGTACCAAGTCTTGTAGATGGAAAACAATCTCTATTTTGGCCTGGTGGATCTGTGTCCCTTGCAGAGTTAATTCTTCCTTCAATTCTCAGATGTTAGTCTCGGCCTTTCACGAAACAACGTAATTTCCCCTCGGCTGGTCTCAATTTCCCCCCCCTTATACCTTCCCCATCATTCTTTAGGTACACTCTCCTTTAAAACAAACTGCCTTTCCCTTGCTTCGCAAAAAAAAAGAAAACCCATCTGGGGTAAAAGCATCGGTTGACCATGAGTTATTTTCACACTGAGTATCGCAAGTTCCTGGCGAACCCTAGGTCCGCCAAGGTCGCTGCCAATCTCACGTTGATCTATGTCCCTTCAACTACTAGATTCGACGGCAGTGATGCGGTACTGACCCATCTGACGAAACAAACCGCCATTGTCAAGAAGAACGCTGAGAACATCATCAATGCCATTGAAGCTTCGGACTCGTTGGTGTTGGATGTCGAGACAACACTGGAATTCCTGGAGGGTGGCGGGGCCTATCTCCCCTCGTTGAGCGATAATTTCCTGGCCGACCGCGTCGTGACCATCCCCACGGTAGGCTATCCCCCCGATATATGTATCCATCGGCTTGCAGCATTGCTAATGCAGCTTCCTGCAGCTCCACATCGTCCGGTGGAACGCCGAAAACGAGATCCAGCAGGTGCGCATCTACTGGGATCAGGGCTCGCTCTTGAAGGAGGTAGAAATTATCGGCGCGCGTAGTCGTGCCTGGCCCATTCGCTCTGGCCAGGAGCAGACCCGTTTGCTGAGATCCGCTGCGAATGCGCAATCCGCTCCCCCACCCACCGCTCAATTCCAGAATTCCCAAAAGGAGCTTCCTGCGCGACCGGGTTCCCCTGGAAAACGCCACATTAGAGACCCTTACGGCGCTGGCTCCCTCACCGACCTCCTCTCGCCCAATAAGACCGCAGCAGAGCATGAACAGAGAGAATATGTTCCCCGACCGGCCTCCCCTGGCAAGAAACACGCTAAGGATCCGTACGCGACCGGGTCCTTAACCGAACTATTGTCGCCTAGCAAAGCCGCCCCCGCTCCGATCAACCCCTATGCACCTTCAGCTTCGAGACCTCCCCCCCGCGACCTTTCCGATATTTTCATCGACGAAGAAGCTCCCAGTACACCTTCAAAGCCCGAGAGAATCATTGCCCCCAAGGGTGCTGCCAGATACCACGAGAACGACATGGAATACAACTTGGATCAAGACCGGGCTGCATACAAGTCTAACCCCAAGCGCTTCAATCACTTTGAGCTTGGTGCCGATGATGCCGATTTGGAGGTGAACGCGAGAAAGACTGCAGCCAAGAGCGGCGCTGGTGAAACCGAGGACAGCAGCAATCTATACAACTTGGACCAAAGCCGAGCTGCATACAAGTCTAATCCCAAGCGGTTTAACCACTTCGAGATTGGTGACGACAGTGCTGATGCGGAGGTGGCCCAGAAAGTACCTGCAGCCAAGAGCGGTGCTGGTCAAACCCAGCAGGACAGCAATCAATACAACTTGGACCAAAGCCGTGCTGCATACAAGTCTAATCCCAAGCGGTTTAACCACTTCGAGATTGGTGACGACAGTGCTGATGCGGAGGTGGCCCAGAAAGTACCTGCAGCCAAGACCGGTGCTGGTCAAACCCAGCAGGACAGCAATCAATACAACTTGGACCAAAGCCGTGCTGCATACAAGTCTAATCCCAAGCGGTTTAACCACTTCGAGATTGGTGACGACAGTGCTGATGCGGAGGTGGCCCAGAAAGTGCCTGCAGCCAAGACCGGTGCTGGTCAATCCCAGGAGAACCGAACTACTCAAGAAAACATTGATCCTTCCCGTGCCCCATGCCAAGTCCACAAGGGGCGATTCGATCACTTCGAGATCGGTGATCAAGCCACCCCTCAGAAGCCCGGTGCTAAGAAGCCCCCTGTTGAACATGTGAACAAGCCTCGTCGTGACGCGGATGTGCACTTCGACATCAATGAGCACAGCGAAGAGGAAGGAGGTCGTATCATCAGCTCCTTCGGAGGCCGAGGCCAGGGTCTGTACAAGAACACCCTATTCAGCGGCCAAGACGAGGAGAGCTCGGCGCCCTTGTCGCAGTTGGCCAACAACACCAACCGACAGAAGAACTCCGACGTCCACTGGACAATGAGCGGACTCTCCCCTGCTCCCAAGTCCGACGTTGAACATGCTCCCGAGAACCACGACAAGGCTGTGAAGATGATGGAGTCTTCATGGGATAACTATGACGAATCTCCTGAACCTGTTCGCACTGCGACAGCATTGAAGAACCCTACCCGTCACAACCAGCCGTCGTGGACCTTTGGCCAGTAATCAATTACCCACGCGCCGATGACGATCCGGGGCTATTGGCTTAACGAACTCTGGTCTGCTGCAGACTGCACGAGGCCAACGTCCATGTCTCCTTTCAATGCAGTTGTATGACCAAATACGGCCGATTATTTCAATCACGAACTATGTGTACCGATACCCACCAAAACAAGCAAAAAAAAAGAACCGAGGCCAAGAGGACCGCATGCTCGCTAGCGTCTCCTGCCCTTCTGGAAGTAGGAGTAGCAGCTACATGTGTTTTGTTGGATATGGAGATTCACATCCTGGCCTTGACACCCACCTTGTCTTTTATCTCTTCCTTTCTTCTCCTCTTATTTCTCTCCCCCAGGTTTCACCTCGGGCGTGTTCATCTTCCGGTTTCTCTTACTTTCTGTATATCTTGCTTTTTGTTTCATTTTTCTATTGTACAAGATTACCACTATGCGCGGGAGGTTTCGCTAATATTCCAATTGCCAAATTGACCATGATTACTTGGCTGTATTTGTTAGCTAAAGAAACAGCTGTTCTAGGTCAAGCTTCAATCACGGGTATGATCTGGCCAGCCGTCTTCTTCCAATCCAATGGCTTTTTTTTCTTCAAAAAATCATCCAACCAGTAATAACGATCTTGCCTGGCTGTTGAGCAGCGGAGATCACCACGTCTGTACTCGTTTCGCAATCCCAGCGCCAAAGTCCTTATTGTTACTATAGTTCATATTATTTGTACCAAACGAATCAAGAGACTGCCGAGCCTCATTATGCTTGGTATGTTGCTCCGCTTCCTGCCCTTCTGCCCCCTCCACTGACCCGACAGACAGCGAGCTAACCGAACCCGCATCATGCATCGATTGTTCGCCAAGGCCCATCTCTGTTGATGGGTCTTGTCCTTTATTCTGAAGTCAAAGTTAGACAACAGCTTCATCGTAGACCTCAATCTGCACTTCTGTCTCAAGACAAGATGGAATGATTCTTACCAGCAAAGCTCGAATCCGTTGAGATATACTCTCGGGAACAAAGTTTTCCACCTCCCTAAGTAAGTCTTCACATTCCTGTAATCTATGCGATAGACTGCTGATTTGTCTAAGTGAGAGTTCAGTCGTCGCCCATACTGTTGCGGAGGGCCAAGCCAAGACCAGGAGACCAGGAGACCAGGAGACCAGGAGACCAGGAGACCAGGAGCCAATCTATACTAGTACCCAGCAAACGAGACTCTGCAAGGCTTACCGTTTCGTTCTCTCTCGAAAGGGCAGAGGATATACGCAATTGACATGCAATTCATGACATTGCTTGCAGACAGGACCGTCTCCACTGCATTTTGTCTTCCGTATGCGACATGATTCACAAGCGCGAGAAACTCGGCCGGGGGTCCTAGCCGCAACGGAGGCCCGATGTCGAGGGATTGCGACTTTGGGCTTCTCGGTGGGTCTGAGCTGCTTTAATGGGATCGTCGGCTTGGAGGGTCTCGGAACCAGGTGGCAAGCTTCTTTCAATTGGTGTGGTATGTTAGAGCCCTTGGAAGACATTGAGGATTGATGTCTTTCGAAAGCTTCACGATTGAAGATATCTCGGTAATTGTATGATTTGTCGAGTTCACTGGGTATACTAGTATGGATAGGTAATCAAATTTTTAGACGAGTTGATATTATTGCAGCCGGGGTATAATGTTAAGAACAGAGGTGATTGAGTCTGTACAGCTAGAGATGCTGATTCGAGAAATGCCAAGGAAGCAGGAAACGGGGAATGTAGCGCTTCGTCACACGTGCATTGGCAAACAAAGGAAGTGTATCAGGTTTCCATGACTTAATCTGCTTAATGCTTAGAGTTCATGTAATTAATGTAAGTTTACCAGATTTGGTAAAGAAGGTTGACTTCATAGGTGGTTGGGTTGGACTCCGGAGATAACAGGTTTTGCGCATAATGGGCTGTGTAATCAGGGAAACGTCATGAACAAAAATACTAGTTGTTTCTCGGAGGAGGGGAAAAAAAAGCTTTATGTAAAATTCCAGTCTGGTTCAATTAATTCATGGATTCTTTTAATTTGTGAAATGTTTGGGGGGCTGGCTCAGGAACAAATATCAATGGCTGCTTTAAGTGGTGGAAGAATCAAGATTGGCGCTAAGTGACGACTCGTATAGTCGAGTGGAGATTGATAAGATGTTATCGATTTCTCCAGGCTAAGTTATCGAAAGTAGTCATTCATGAAGTCAAGAGTAAAGTGACTCTAGGGCTTTATCTCAGCACAGGCTAGGATCATCTCAATCTTCAAATATGATTGGGAACTGTCGATTACACCGTCAGACCCAAAGTTTGGGCTCCAGTACTGTTAACAGCTGCATGGGCAAAATTTCTACCCAGTACTATGCAAGCCTGCTGCCATGTGTGCAAGCTTTCTACTTTGTTAGTCTGCGACAGAAATTTTGTCCATCCATTGGCTCACGCGATTTTTCCAGGTGGTGTTGCTGACGTCGGCCAGTGGCGAACCTGTACTTGGGTCAGGATCGGTGACCCCTTCCACCTCCGCATTTGACCCGGCAGTATCGTCGCATCCTGGTATTCAAGTATCATCATATAAGGACTCGCAGGATGGCCATTCTTCGTGGTTTGCCAATACCCATCGAAAAACGATGCATTCTGTGTTGGAGAGACAGGAATAGCCACCCTAGAGAAGCACGAATTGCCCGGCAAAACGGCAGATGCTAGCCCTGATTCCAGTAGTAGTTTTTCGAGAACAGGATGCAGTAAAGGTACACTTAAAAGCTTGTAGGCAATGCCAGACGGACTAAGGTGCCAAGAACACATCATCGTTCCTTTCAGTGGGAACCGCCTTCTATCCCTCCCTGGCTTGGAATTGATATAGCCATCCACCATCAAGTAGGGTTGAACCTCTTGACCTCGTCTACACCCACGGAATCGAACATCAGAGGAGTTGCCGATGAGCTATTCAAAAAAGTTTGGCTTCTTCCAGATGTCTTCCAGTTCTTGTATCAACGAACGAGCGGACGGAAAAATTTGCAAGATCAAACAAGCGAGAGGATATAAATGTAGGTCGAGGAATTTTGGTTGGCTGTTTCTGTCGTTCACCATCGATGCAAGGCGTCCCCAGAAACTTGACAGAATTCTGTGTATCCAACTAGGGACATTTTCGAGGATGCCTAATAGAAAGGAATTTCGTGGTGGATTCAAAGGAAGAGACGATAGTAATGACCAGGTGTTGAGTGTGAATAGAAGGAGCCCTGAAAGCAGATCCAGCATCCAGAGGATTTGTTTCTCATAAACTCTGGCTTCGGAATTCGTAGCAACATCTTCAGTAATCTTGAAAGCTGGTACCAATAGCTCCAAGCTTGGGCTGTCGCCATGTTCAACTGCAAATGAGTAGGCCGAATCTGCCCATAATCTAAGAGGACATTTGAGGCATTTGAGAATGCATACTGGGAAGCATGACGTAAGGTAATGTAGAAAGGTCCCGTGGACGTGATTCAGTAGTACTTATGCAAGCGCCCCCAAGCCTCAAGGTATACTAGAAGAACGGGTAAATATTCGACCGATGGCATGACCGCGCTAAACTAAAAGCTGATCACACAGGTGGATTCGGGACATATAGCTCATCTTGTATGCGAGTTTGAACAGCAAGATCGGTCCCATTATCATATGGTGTTAATAGTGCCTAGGTCATAAAAAATCGCTTTGCTCTCCCATTGGTCCTTTAAAGGCGCAGGCAATATGCGTTATGCAAGCTTCAGATGCTTTGCGATACTCAACGTCATATAGTATTTCGAATGTAGCTCCAGATTCCAGAGTCTAGACTGGGATTCTGAGATGACTCACAGAGAGCAAGTGGAATGGGCCAATCATAATGCAGGAAAGGCGGCCAGGATCCTCGAAACGTCGATTGATAGGCGGTGGTAGGAGGGGCTGCATACGAGGATTGGAAGAGAAAGGACCCGACAACAGATATGTGAAACTATTTGAAGTTAGCTTGGAAAAAAAAATTAATTTAGACAAAAGAATAAATAAAAAAGAAAGAAGAAAAGCAGAAAAGCAGAAGGGAGAAAGCTTGTATATCAACACGTGAAGGGAAAACTTAGGCATCCATTCCTCTGAGATCATCATGGCGATAAGACCCCAGAAACGGAGATAACTCTGCGACCGATTAATCATCTTTTCTTTGGGACTTGCTAAACTCTCTACTTCTCTATTTCTCTGTTTTCTCCTTTTCACAGGATATTCCTCAAGGGAATATAATTTTTCTTGCGCTATCCCAATCAACCCGATATCGCTTTTCTCTCAGCCTTGTTGGCCCCCCGCCCCTCAGATCCTGCCCGAGCCAGATTCTCGTCACTACACACCTCTCTCCATAATACCTGGAGCTTTAGACGCCCCCATTTAACCCAGCCGATTCAAAATTCAGTATCCTTGCGATAAAAAAACACGGACCGGTCTTTTGCGCCTCCATTTGATTAGCTTCGGCCGCCTTTGCGCGCATTTCCAGCCCACCAACAGGTTCACCCCATCAGTGGCGCGACACCGCGCAGTCGCAAAAGTCAGGGGTCAGAAAGGGTGCTTTAAATTGCCCCACCAAGCTTATCGACCTCATAAGGATTGCGCACAGCTTTGAAAAATCCATCCGAACCAAACCTACGACGAGGGCTGCACAGTCTATACCTTCAGAGGGAAGACCATCGCAGCAGCTGTCATTGGCGTCCACCAGCAAAAGACCATCTCGCGAGATAACGACCTGAAATCTTGAATATACCCCACCACCCGAATCATACAAATCCAAAAGCGCAACATGTCACCCACGCCGCCCTCCACAACCCCATCGAGCGGAAGCGCTCATTCACCCGACTTTAGAATCATCCGCAAACGTAATCGAGTCCCGCTCTCATGTGCTCCTTGCCGCCACAGGAAGTATGTAGCCATGGATAACTTATATTGACCCTTTCATCCAAACAAAACATCCGGCTAATCGATCTTTTACTTCTAGGTTAAAATGCAATCGATCCAACCCGTGCGAAAATTGTGTTAAACGGGGGGATGCGCATTCCTGTTCATACGCCCAAGTGAGCGCCCGGAAGAAGAATGTACAGCAGCAGACGGCACCGACTTCGCCAGATGATATGCAAAATCGCATTGATCGGCTTGAGGGCCTCGTTTTGTCGTTGATGACGAATGGTGCACAATCTGCCGGGCCCACGGCTGCTATGGCCACGATCTCTGGAGATAGTAGTGCGGGGTCCGCGGGGCTCTCCCATGAGCTAGACCTTGATGAGGATCTTCCCGAAGGTGCAGAGGAGAGCGATACGGAGCAAGTGACGAAATCCTTTGGTGTGATGAAAATGGACAATAACAAGTCCTACTACATCAGTGATGCACACTGGGCTTCTGTATTAAACGATGTAAGTCTTACTCGGGCCTTTGATATCATTTTCTTTTCTAAATTTCTTTTTCATAGATCACCGAGGTACGGAATTTCTTCGCGACACATAAAAAACAATTTGAAGAGCAGGCAGAAAAGATCAAGGTAGCTCGTCCAGAGACTGGTGTCCCTGAGTCAACGCTACTGTTCGGGTCTATGAAGCCTCTTACTCGGCCAGAGATTATGGCTTCTTTGCCCTCAAAATACATGACCGATCTTCTTGTTGCTCGTTACTTCAACAGCTATGATCCTGCTACACATATCCTTCATGGACCAACATTCCAAGCACAATACAACAAACATTGGGAGGACCCATCTCGAACTGAAATGGTATGGATTGGTATGCTATTTGCCATGATGAGACTGGCTATGCTTTCATATCACCGAGAAGGCGATGAGGCTCCTGAGTTTAGAGGCAAGGCCTTGGATATGGCCAACTCCTTCCGTAACTCGGTTGCAGAATGTCTGACTTTGGCTGACTACACAAAACCGCACCGATATTTGATTGAGTGCCTAGTTTTCCATTTGCATGGTGACTTCTCGCAAACCCGAGAAGCAGATGTGTCCGTGTGGGTTTTGACGGGCGTGATTGCACGTCTGGCGATGCGAATGGGATTCCACCGAGACTCGAAACCATTCCCCAACATAACACCGTTCCAAGGCGAGATGCGACGCCGGGTTTGGTCCTTTGTTCGCGTAGCAGATGTATTGTTTTCGTTCCAAGTTGGCATGCCAAGCATGCTCCGGGCTGCCGACAGCGACACAGCTCTTCCGCTGAACCTGTATGATGATGACTTTGACGAAGACTGCAAAGAGCTACCACAACCTCGCCAGCTGAGCGAGCCAACATCCATTTCGTATCTGATAACCAAAGCTCGTCTTGTTTACGCTTTTGGTCGCGTCAACGAGCATGCTTCGTCTATTTCCAATGCCTCTTACGATAAAACCATGGAGCTTGATGCCGATCTTCGGCACGCCAGAGATTTGATTCCTGACCACCTGCGTATCCGTCCGATAGAAGACTGCCAACTGGATCCGGTGCAACTGATCATGTCTCGCTACTCAATGAATATGGTATATCACAAGGCGCAAACTGTGCTGCATAGACCATACCTCGTGCGGGCGCGGGAAAACCCCCGTTTCACCTATTCTCGACGAACATGTATTGACTCAGCCATGGAAATGCTCGGAGTTCAGTCTATCCTTCACACAGAAACGCGGAGTGGACGTTTACGCGGCCGCTCAAACCTAGTAACATCGCTCAGCTCCGCAGACTTCCTCTTAGCTGCGTCAATTGTCAGTCTTGATCTACATCAAGGTTATACACTCCAAGCGGCAGGCCGACCATCTGGCGACACATATACTTGGGGCCATGAGCGACGGGACGAGATGACCGCAGCAATCCAACGTTCGAAAGAGATATGGGACGAGGTGCGTGATGAGAGCATGGAAGCCTTCAAAGCCAGTAGCATACTTGGCGTGATGCTTGGAAAGCTGCACAGCAATATCCCGGGGGTTGAGAACAGTACCGGAAGTAGCATGTTCGAGCCACAAGATGAGAAGCAGAACGCTGCCATGACACTAGGCCTGCTGAGTAGCGGGATGAGCCCAATGAACACGGGCATGTCTCCATTTTCAGATCCAGCCATGAGAATGACTGACTCTCCAATGCCTACAGGCGTGGGCATGGGCGCGGGCGCGGGCGCCTCAGCTGAAATACTGGGTGGACCCCTTTCACCTTTCAGCAGCATGTTCGGCCAGATGCCGGACATGCAGGCCAACCTTGATTGGGTAAGTTCCTTGAGATCTCGGGACCTACTGATGTTTCGCACGTATTATTCGTATTCCAGTTGCTAACGTCTTGCTGCAGGAGGCTTGGGATACATACATCCAAAACCCCAACTTTGGGGCATCAAATCAATTTTGGCCCATGATGGACCCCTCAGGCCAGACAGTGCAACCCGCTGGACTGACACAGCCTCAGATACCCAGTTCACTTGGAACATCACGAGCACAAAACGGAATGCCGACTACGCAGAACGAGATGGGTGCCGGGCGAGTACCGAGTATGTTCTCACCGCCGAATAGCGAGAGCAACGGCTCATCTGCAACGGTATTCACACCTATGTCCCAGCCAAATAGTTCTGGCCGCAGCCAAGGATCGATTTGATTGATTCGATGAGACCGTTTACGTCCAAATTCACCTTGAATTTATTTTGATCTCCTCTCTTGCTACTTACCTTGTTGATACCATTTTTTGATTATTCGGTGTCTGAGAACGGGATGGGACTACAGGCTGGCTCTTTTCTTGTTTTACTCTTGATACCGTGGGAATGTCCTTGAATAGGAGGAATAGTTATGAAAAGTATTTTGTAAGTACTATAATCTCTCGCTGGCCATACTGAGAATGTTACGAGGCAGGTCTTTGATTCCTCTCTACTATTTGGATACTGTAAAATTGGTATTTTATTACTTGTACACACTTTACTATTCTCATACCAATCGATGTCATCTTATGTAGTGTAGTAATAGTGTAATTCTATGCTTTGCTTCGTCTGGGGTCTGGAGCGTATTGTAATTTCCATCCACCAGTTAGCTTGGTTTGCGATTCTTATCAGCACGTGATTATTTCGCTCCCCGATTCCCGAAACTTTTCCATGCGATCACTCCGCGCGGATCTCCGACTCCAGAAACCAAACTTGATCTGACTGGCTGTCTTCGTCCTCGAGATTTCGGACACTGAACTGAAAATTTCAAAATGTACGACTCACCTACACCTTAGGCACCTTGCCTCTCTACCCCAAGGCCTGCATAATACGCGTCGACTTCGAAATCGACCTCAAGACAATAACTAACATGATAAATACCAGGCATTCACTGCGTCGAGCCTCGTCACGGCTTTGTTCTCCCTCAGTGTCATCATCTCGACCAAGATGCGAAATCTCCCTCCGATCTCACCCTGATGTCTTCGCATCTCACCACTTATATCTTTCCGCTCATGTGCGCTGGAACTCTACAAATGAAAACCAGCAACCATCCGACCTGCCAGAAAAAGATGCACCAAGACCTCGAAGGGGAGGAGGGCTTCTCAAAGTCTCCCAGAGATATCGTTCAGAACTTCAGTCTGTACCCAGTTACAAATACATACCCAAATCCAAGACCCAGACGAACGAAGAAGAAGCCTCAGCAGAGAATGCCATCGACTACGACGATTTGTATGCGAGGTCAAAAGCCGCGGATCAGGAAGTTCAACAAGGCGAAGGGAAAAGGGTATCGCGCTACAAGGGCCTCGATGATTGGGCCGAAAAATCACTGGCCAAGACCCCATACCAACGGCTCAAGTCTGAGTTCAACCCCCCGAGCGAGATGGTCTACGTCGGAAATCTGTTCTTCGATCTTACGGCAGAAGATTTGAGAGCGCATTTTGAGCAGGCTGGTACCGTGCTGAGTGCGACTGTTGTATTCGACCAACGGGGAGTAAGCAAAGGGTAAGCAATTGCTGCAGTATACAAAAGTTGTTCCCGGCACCTAACACAAAAACTTCCCCAGATTCGGCTATGTCCAATTCGAGAACCTTGAAGATTCACACAAAGCCATCAACAACGATGAACTGAGCCTTCTTGGTGGCCGTCTCCTCGTTCGACACTACGCCCGCGGCAACCCACCAGTGAAGGAATCCGAAAACCCGCCCACCAACACACTCTTCGTCGGTGGTCTTCCCTACGAACTCACAGACCGTGATCTGCAAGACTTATTTGAAGACGTGCATGAGGTTCTCGATATCCGGATTCCAGTGGACCGGCGCTCGGGTGTCCCGCGTGGCTTTGCGCACGTGGAGTTTGAGAATATTCAAACTGCCATGTGGGGCAAGGAAGTGCTGGCACGCAAGGCTCCGTATGGTCGGAAGTTGAAGGTCGAGTTTACAAACCGTTTGAGGGTGGGGATGATGCACGCGGAACGATTGCCTGCTTTGTGGGCTGAGAGAGGCGTCGGAAATTACAGGGCCGAACGCGAGAAGGAGGATTCTTTGGCAAGTGTAGCTCATGAAATGAAGCTTGAAAGGCAGCGGAGTGCCCGGAATGACCGGACCAACACTGAGCACTAGTGTGATGGTCGGATTTGTACTATAGTCAACTGTATATAATACCCTTCTTTGTATATTGGATTATCCTTGACCCCTTTACATCTGCTCTGCCTTAGCTGGCGAATTCCTCTCCCATTATGTAGCTGCACATTTGTGTATCCATGAATTATGGACAGGGCATGGCCAACACTCGAGAGGATCGTGTTTGAGTGCCTCTTTCGGTTTCGGATTACAAAGCCTTGTATCTCGGATCTTTAAATTGAACCGGTAAGCCAGCCGAGATCCGACACAACGCCCGAGCGCCTACATGTAGCTACTAGTATTTGCACAGTACTTATTATTTGGATTATCAAGTCGGCAGAGATGATTGGACTTGAGATTTGATGTTAAGATCGTAAGTTTTGAATTCAATATAATCTTGGTGTAAATGTTCATGTTTAACTCCATCGCCGAGGCTGGAAGGAGTGCGGCAGATTTGTATACTTGTTCTCATTTGTTGAGGTTTGATCTATGTCAAAGAATGTAGCACACATTGAAATAGTAGTCTGATTATTCAAGCCCAATATCCGTCTGCATCTGCAACAAAATAGTACCTCATTTATTAACTCTCGTCTTGCATAGATGCATAGATGCATAGTTCAAATGAAAATACTCCACGTGACCCACGGGGAACCTCGGCTGACGGAAAGGGTCTTAGCGTCTTTGGATGGCTGAGCGATCAACCCCACGCCATTATCCGGGGCATTGCTTCTCCTCCATTCTCCCTGTTCTCGAGTACTTGGTGTGCACAGCTTATAGCACCGGAAGTTTACTTTACTTTCTTTTTATATAATTTCTACCTTTGCATTGTCTCTAAAATCCTCCCACACACCTCAACATCATGTCGTTCCTCGGTGGCGCGGAATGCTCTACGGCGGGAAACCCTCTCTCACAGTTCACCAAGCATGTTCAAGATGACAAGTCTCTACAGCGTGACCGGTTGGTAGGCCGGGGACCAGGCATGCAAGAAAGCATGCGATCCCACGGTATGATGGGCGGACAAGACCAGGTGCGTGTGTAAAACAACCGCCGTTTCCCCGAAATTCCCATATCCTCCGATAACCAGTCAAACTAACTTACTTCTCCTCCCGGGGAACTCAACAGATGAATGAATTCATGCAACAACCCGGACAACAATTAAATGGACCCTCGCCCCAACCATTCGCCATGGAGCAGATGCGCCGTGAGCTGGAGAACTTTCAGACTGCCTCACCCCGCACGGGGTCCCCCGGTTGGGCGGCCGAGTTCGATCCCGGCGAGCAGGCCCGTATGGAGTCAGCTTTTCCTAGTGCCCAGAACAATGCGCCTGGTTTTGCGCCGGCGGAGTTTGCCCGGTTCCAACAACAGAATCGGATGGGCATGCCGCAGAATTCTAGCCCCGCTACCACGGCGACCCCGCCCATGATGTCGGGATACCAGCGGCCGATGGGGGGTATGAGCAGCATGTATGGTGGTATGGGTGGTATGGGGATGATGCGACCTATGGGTGGTATGGGTGGACCAATGATGCAGCAACAGCCTATGGAAGGTACCGCTCAAGATAAGGGCAAGGGACGGATGGTCGAGCTAGACGACCAGAACTGGGAGGCCCAGTTTGCCGAGATGGAGACTGCGGGTAACGTGGAGCAGACGGACGAGGAAGCCAATGCAGCCATGGAGGCAGAGTTGAATGAGCTGGACAGGTCAGTCCCCACCAATGATGCCTTTGAGTCCGTGTGGGAGCGAGTTCAGGCTGAGACGGCGACAAACAGAAAACTGGCCGAAGAAAACGATTTCGAGGTCACTGATAGTGTGCATGTTGGTGATTTGGGCGACTGGGAGGGCTTTGATAGTCTGAACACACGTTTCCGCGACCCTCAGCTCGGTGATTACATGTTCGAGCAAGACAATGTGTACCAGTCGGTGAATAACCCATTCGAGGAAGGTGTGAAGATTATGCAAGAGGGTGGCAACCTGTCTTTGGCAGCACTCGCTTTCGAGGCTGCGGTCCAGAAGGACCCCCAGCACGTGCAAGCCTGGACAATGCTGGGTTCGGCACAAGCTCAAAATGAGAAGGAGCTACCCGCGATCCGGGCTCTGGAACAGGCACTCAAGATTGACCCCGCTAACTTGGATGCCCTGATGGGCCTGGCTGTCTCGTACACTAACGAGGGCTACGACTCTACCGCATACCGTACACTTGAGCGCTGGTTGTCCAACAAATACCCGTCGATCATCAACCCGAATGAGGTCTCCGGCGACTCAGACCTCGGCTTCACAGACCGTCAACTCTTGCACGAGCGTGTTACCGAGCTTTTCATTCAAGCAGCCCAACTCTCCCCCTCCGGTGCACAGATGGACCCAGACGTCCAAGTCGGTCTGGGTGTGCTATTCTACTGTGCCGAGGAATACGAAAAAGCCGTCGACTGCTTCTCTGCCGCCCTAGCTTCAACCGAATCCGGAAGCACCAACCAGCGCGAGCAACTTCACCTACTCTGGAACCGTCTCGGCGCTACACTAGCCAACTCCGGCCGCTCTGAAGAAGCCATCGAGGCTTATGAGCAAGCACTTAACATCAACCCCAACTTCGTGCGCGCCCGCTACAACCTTGGTGTCTCCTGCATTAATATCGGCTGTTACCCGGAAGCCGCACAGCACCTCCTGGGCGCCCTTTCCATGCACCGCGTGGTTGAACAAGAGGGCCGCGAGCGTGCCCGCGAAATTATCGGTGGCGGCGGTGCTCCGGATGGTCTGGATGATGAACGACTTGAGCGCATGCTGCACATTAGCCAGAACCAGAGCACCAATCTGTACGACACATTGCGTCGTGTCTTCAGTCAGATGGGTCGTCGGGATCTGGCTGACCAGGTTGTCGCCGGTATGGATGTGAATGTTTTCCGCAAAGAGTTTGAATTCTAGTTTTATTCCCCCCTTCAGATGGATCATGTGAATGACTTGACTATCTATGGGCTGTTTTTTTTCTTCTTGCTTATTCTTGGAAATGCAATCGCCGGCAGGGCCTGGCTACATTTTTTTTTGTATTTGATGGTTATACTATATGATGTACATGATGAGGAGATCGAATCTCTTGAATAGATAATGTCATGGCCAATATTTGCGGAGGCCGATAGCCCTCACCCCAACGACACTTCCCAATTTCAACTTTCAGACCGGCAGGAAGTAAAGTACGAGTAATTCCAAATTCGTATTTGTTTTACTTATATTACTTCTATCAAGTAAATCGTTATACCAACTGACAAGAAAAAGAGGCAGAGATCCAGATTCCAGATTCCAGCTTCCAGCTTCCAGAGATAGGCGCATGCAGAGCATGCGCCCCGGATAGCTTGTATGGTGTATACTATACTAGTAGTATGCACTTTAGAAATCAATGATAGGGATGGAATGGAGTCGGATTCATCAAGCCATCCACCACCTTCGCTGCAGCAATTGCCTTCTCTTCACCAAACCTCCCACCAACAATCTGCAGACAGATAGGCATCCCATGCACAAGCTCAATATCATCTACCGAAGCCAGATTAGCAAATCCCAAATCCGCACCTGAACGCAATGATCATCAATCATAAACGAAAAGGAAAGAGAAACACTCACACTGCTCATAATTGAACTGATCATGAAGATTCAGATTCCTGCCTTGGATATAATCCTCCCACTCCAAATTTCTCCCTCCACCCACAGAATCAAGCTCCCGATCCGCCTTTCCAACCGGCACCGTAACAGAAGCATAGTTGAATAGATTCCACACGCCCGTATACCCAACCCACTGCCTACTTTTCACCCACGTTTTAGGCCTATACCCAACCCACGGAATAACAGGCATGAGAAGCGCATCGACACCGGCACCAAGCCACTGTTTCAGCATGGCAGTGGAAAGAGCGTATTTCTCTCGTTCCAATTGCTCGCGCTCTTCAATATCTAACGTTTCATTCTCCTTGCCGACAAGCATGCCCTCGATCAAGGGTTCGTCAATCAGTTTGCATAGCTCGCGGCAGTGGGCGCCGCCTTCGCCGCGGATGGCCTTGTACCACAATTGAGTTGCGGGTTCGTGGAGAGATGTATCCCATTCAATTACTAGCCACTTTGTATTAGCGATGGATTGTTCGAAATGTTGGGCTCACGCTTTGAGGAACCGCTGCGGTTTATATGGATATATGGCATACCTTCGTGTCCGGCGGCGCGTAATGTCTGTATCGTCTCATTCATTGCGCGAGTAACAGGTGGCTGAGGTTTAACGACTCCATCATCTACAACGAAGCCGATCCTCAGTTTCCGGTTCGTGGGCGGAGTGGCGAGCTCCGTTCGCCATGGAATGGGGATTGCAGATGGATCGAGATCCCACGGATTCGAGGCCAAGAGGCTCTGCATGAAGTACTCCGTCGTGGCTAGGGAAGAAGCCATTGGGCCTGCGACGGGCGGAACGAGATAATGCTGGTGCAGGCTGTGAAGCATGAGTTAACAACGTGGTTCGTTCCCTTATATGTTATGCGTTCATGATGGAACTCACAATGAGCAATCCCATGGTACCCGTCCTGTTGTCGGGAAAATAGAATAGAGCCCCTGCAGTGCAGAAGGAACTCTGATCGAGCCCCCGATGTCCGTGCCAATACCTAGGATACTACCTCCGCAACCGATCAGCGCGCCTTCGCCGCCGGAACTACCGCCGGAGATCAGGTTGTGATTGAATGCGTTGGTGGATTGTCCGAATACGTTATTGTAGGAATCGGCCATCTATCAAGAATGGTGATCAGAGTAAAAATGCGATTGAAAACTTGACCATCGCTGATGAAAAACGTATAAAGAAAGAAGTGGACATATACTTACCATCAGCGACTGGGGGATATTAGTCTTGACATACATAATAGCGCCCATCGACTCGAGCAGCCGTACAATGTCGCACGAGGACTTTGCAGGTTTATTGACAAGACCGATCCAACCTGCAGAAAGTAAACAGAGCAAAGTTAGCCGAATGATACAAGCATCAAATAACCCCTGGACTGAACAATAATTCCAACTCCATACCAACGGTTGTATCAAGTCCCTCAATCTCAAACCGATCCTTAATCGACACCGGAATCCCATGCAACGGCCCAACAACCTCACCAGTATTCAAAAGATACTCATCCAACTCCCGGGCCCGTGCCAGCGCTCTTTCAAAGCAAATTTCTGTCAGACATTTCGTCAGTTGCTGCGCTATGGCGGCGCGTTTACAGAACGCAGTCGTAAGCTGAAGACTAGTCACACGACGCGACGCAATAGCAGAGACCAGGTCCTGGATATCGGTGGTGTCTGTCCATGCTAGCTCTTCTGGTGAGAGTATACCACATGATCGGATAGCATCGAGGGTCGATAGAGGTGGATCGGATTGGATCGAAGCTGGGAGTTGCCATTCTGTTGGGATTAGCGCTTTTTGGGCGGCGCGTTTCTTGAGGACTATTGGTTTCCAGTGGGGAGTTTGGGAGTCGGACATGATTTGAATGAATTGTCTAGGAGTTGATAGAGCCTCAGAGTGGTAGTACCGTAGTAGATTGGTTAGAGAAGTATTGAAATGAATGTCCCACCGGCTAATTATCAATGCTTTGCTTCTGATGCGGGGAAGTGATTTGACCATACGCTATCTAAAGCTCTTTACTGGCCCCTCAATGGTACCCAATGATAACTCTGATGTTTTCTGCAAATCTATCATCCTATAAGGACGACCAAGTTTCTTTTAATGAATAGATCCATATTATTGATATCTGGACGTTTCTCCAATGTAAATAGTGTACAATAAGTCCTGTGTGTCTACACAGTCATCAGCATGCTAGCATTCTTGTACCAGCTCAGAAGCGGGTTCTCGCCATTCCGAGTCTCCGTGTCCTCAATGTAAGCCCAGCGTTCCATGAAGTCTTCATGGCTCATCACCTGGGTCAACTTGCCGGTCACGGCACGGTACATATCTTCGACAACGTTAAAGTCAGTAGGGAAGAAGATATCAAAGTATCCTTGGTGAACCTATATTTCTCATTAGCCAATATCCAAAGCAGGATATTGATTGGACTTACAAAAGGCGTCGTCACCGGTACTGTCTGCCGCTGATATCTCGTCTGAACAACTGGGGCGTTCAATCCAGGCACAGCATCCGGCAAGGAACTGAAATCACTCGCCACGAGACGGTGAGCAGGGAAGTACTGGTTAAGCACATCAAAGAACTGCATGAGACGAGTCGGGATGTACTCGGGGAGAGAATGGCTTTTGCGGAAGGGCGCCGTAGACCGGAGACCACGGAGGACGCGAGGGCCAAGGGGACTGGGGAAAGGGCGTCGGGCAGCAGCCTGGCGCACGCGAAGGAAGCGTGCTGCAACTGGATCTAATTGAGTGTTGTAAAACTCGTGGAACTCGCCGTTGCCATCGATAAGCACGCCGCCTTGTTGGGGCATCTCGGTAGCGCAATCATAACGGATGGTGTCATGACCGAAATTGTCGAAAACTTCAAGACCAAGGAAGAAACATGGCGAGTGTACGTATGTGTCCCAATCGAAGATTGACTTGTTGATAATCTCGACGCGGTCTCGGTGTCCTCGGGAATCGAGAGCATCTGTCAAATTCTTGAATTGGAGATCGGCTAGTGCGGGCGAAATTTCGATAATCTTGAACTTGGTGCGCTGGTACACTTCATAATCGGTATCACGAATGAAATCCAGGATGTTCATCATCATTGTACCGTTACCGGCACCCATCTCGTAGATGATCAGGTCGTGGTAAGGGTATAGGGTGAGCTTGTAGTTCGAAACAAGGTATCTGGCAATTGTCTCGCCATAATACGGCTTGAAAAGTTCTGTCGGAGTATGCCAAAGCTGACGCGCAATGTCAGGCTTGATTTCATCGAGCCGGTTCTCGAATTCCGTGTACCGCTCACCCACAAGTCCATGGAAAGCTGGTCCATCATCGATATTGTTGAAGTCGAATGGCTCGCCCGGTGTGAAAATAGTCGCATGCTTCGAGAAATATCCATAGTACGGGTTATAAAGACTGTCTACAGGTATCTCGTCAGCATTTGGGTCATCTCCATTAAACTTGCCGGGAGCTCTGAAACTTACCGTCAATGAACTCGCGTGTCAACATTTTCACCTGCCGCGGCCGCTCTCGCCGGTTGCGCAGCTCCTTGGCGGTGACTGTTGGATATGTCTTGTATTCTTCATCGATGTTCTTGTTTATGTCTGCTCGTTTTAGCCAAAGCATGCTAGCATCTTGCGGCTTGCGTTTGACATTGGGATTGCGCCGGGTGAGGAACGAGCGAGTTTGTCCTCTCGATAATGCGATGGGTGACTGTCGCAGGGATTGACATGCTGGATGCCTGAATAGCTGGCGAAGCAGCTGGTTGAGGACGGGGGTGTCCATGATGCGTGACGGGCTGGAGGTCCGTTTTGCGGAGAAAGCAGCACAAGTCGGATTTGGTGATGCTGGATTATGGCCTCAGGCACCAAGGCACGTGCCCAAATAGGAAATTTTAAAAAAGTATACTACTAACTTCGCAAGAGAAAGAAATGCTGAAATGAACTTTTTTTTTTTTTTTTTTTTCGCCTAATGACCTAAAACGCCGCAAAGTTTATAGAAGTTGTCTGAAATCCCCACAATATCAAAGCAGTTATTGCCTCAAGTGCTTGATTTGATCATCAATATGCGCCCGTGCCCAGATTGATACATGTAATCATTTGCATAGTATATATCTTGCATGTGCATTTAAAGAGATTGAACATGGCAAGGGTCATACAGAGGATCAACAGACAGCCAACTTGACTTCTTGGAAACAATGCGCCCATCCTTGAGTATCGCCACCAAGTTATCCTGAATGTGATCCAAAACCGTAATATCCTCGAGGGGATTGGACTCCAGAATGATCATATCCGCAATGCTCCCTTTCTTGATGCATCCAAGCTGACCCTCCATCCCCAGATACTTAGCAGCGTTAACAGTGGCAGACTGCAGAATCTCCTTCGCACTCAAGATCTTCGACCGAATTGAGAATTCCTGATTTTGGAGAACATGCAGACCAGCCAACAAGTCAGAGCCGTAGCAAATCGTAGCCCCAGCCTTGCTCAAAATCGACAACGCGTCCAGTCCACTTGCCAACACCTGTCGGTTTTTAATCTGACCAGCATCATCAAGAAACTTATCAAATGGGGGCTGCGACATGCCGTGATACGTGACCAAAGTTGGGGTAAACACAACGCCCAATCCGACACAATAAGCCGCAGTCTCTGCATCAATGAAATTGCCATGCTCAATACCCCTCACCCCATTGTCAACAGCATGGCGAATAGCCTCTACACTATACGCATGCGCGGTGACATAAGTTTTCGACTGCTTAGCAGTAGTCGTAATGGCACGAATTTCCTCTGCCGTGAACTGGACCATGTCAAGGGCATCTGAAGGCGACGCAACACCACCGCCCGACATGATCTTGATAAAGTCGGCGCCCTGCCGAAGCTCATCACGAGCGGCATTAAGGCACTCTGGAACGCCATTGCACACGCGCGACAGGTTGACCGAGTGTCCACCGCAACATTTGATCTCGTCGCCTTCGTAATTTGCGCGCTTGTCGCCGTGGCCTCCGGTTTGCGAGAGTGCTTTGCCGGCTATGAAGAGTCTGGGACCCATGACGAGTCCTTCTGTGATGGCTTCGCGAAGAGCAAAGTCGGCACCACCGGTATCACGGGCAGTGGTGAATCCTCGGAGGAGCATCTCGCGTGCGACGAATGCTGTGCGATAGGCGATAGTGTTGGGGCTTGCGGAGAACATATCCTTGAGCGAAGGCGAGCCAGGTGTTGCCGTGAGATGGACATGGCAGTCAATCAGGCCGGGACAGATGTATTGACCCCCCAGGTCCACGGTGTTTGCTTCAGGATTTGGTGTGGTTATATCGCCGGTTGTTACGCTAACAATGCGGCCATTCTTGATATGTACGGTAGAATTTGGGATGATCTCGCCAGCTTCAGCATCAACAACGTTTGCGTTATAGAATATGATTTCTGGGGCTGCTGTTCGAGGCAGCCATGGTTTGCTAGCGCGGTTACTCATGTTGTTGAGATGTAACGTTTTGTTATGAAATGCGTAGGGGTGAGAATTGCGACAATTAGTCGGAGATTCGAAATCAGCTTTGATAAATTGAAGAATCACAACTTTGGCCGAGCGGGGAAGTTTTCCAAGAGATAGCGCCGTGAGGGGTTCGGCCCATCACAATTTACTGATATGCCAAATGATATCGGCTGCTCTTGGGGCATCGACAGAAAAATTGCTTAAGCACTACAAAATAATAGATAATCTCGCCTATAATATTCAAACTCAAACTGATTCTGTTGCTCTACTTTCCTCCATCAACGCCCGAATTTCCTTTGAATTCTGGATCCATTTCAGACTCAATCTTTCGAATTATTCTGGCAGGATTCCCGGCAACGAAGTGGAAGGGAGGAACATCCTGATTGAAGTGTAAGCAAAGTACCTATTCGGGTGGATATTTACCCAGTAGAAAAACGACTCACCTTTGTCACAACAGAAGATGCGCCCACTGTGCTTCCCCGTCCAACCGTAACTCCACCCAAGATAGTAGCCCCAGCTCCAATCCAGACATCGTCCTCAATATGAATTTCCTTTCCTGCCTCTGGGCCCTTGAGTCCGCGACGCTTGGCAGGATCCATGGGGTGAAGAGCGCCGTATAACCCGACATTTGGGCCAAAGAGAACATTTTCACCAACAGTGATGAGGCACGTGTCGAGGACCAAGAGGTTGAAATTCAAGAAGGATTGCTTTCCGACTTTGAAGTTGAGCCCGTGATCAATGGAGATAGGGCCATCGACGTAAGGGTCTGTCTCGTCAAACAGAGCCTCGTCCGCCTTTGCATCCTGAAGCTCCTCGGGGAGTGGCCGAGTATCTTCGATGATGCTGATAGAAAGCGTTAGCTCAGGGTAGACTGATCCCCAGCTCGGAACATTGAAATGAGCTAGCCGACACGGTCACTCACTTCCGCCAAAGTTGAACCTTTTGGCGACGGGAGCCATATGTCGCCGCATTGAACGCCTCGCAGGCTTTCCTACAGCGGATTCTGTTTTCTTGGAGAATATCACATCCTGCATGGTACCACTCTCCGCGGAGCATTTTATCCCATTCTGGTGACGATGTCATTTTCTTGATCTCGTAACTTTCAGCGATTTAAATAATCCAGAAGGCTTTATATGTTATTATGAGAGTGGAAGTTAAATAGCAAAGGAAACATCTACTTATCTTGATTAGAAAATCAAGTAGCGGTGTGATTCAAGTGCGAATAATACAATTTGGGACGTGGGTTGGCCAGGTGAACAGAAAAAGATCATACGTGTAGTGCTCTGGGAGTCTGGGATATCTTCGGAGAATCTGAAGTACAAAGTTTCTTCTCACAGGACTGTTTACAGCATTGGGTCTTGGATAATTAAGTACATTTACGAATGAAAGTATCCACTAGACTAGGTAAAGCTCAATGCCAAATCTCTCAAGATCCATTTGAGGACTCTTCTCAACCCCGCATCGTGAAACGTCTGAAAATGGCAGGTGGGGCACAATGTAGAGGCGTTGATTGAGTGGAATCTGTGGGGTATGCCGTACTCAGATCCGGCTTTCAATGTTCATGTTGTACATGGCGTACGGAGTGGTTCGGGACTGTTTATCTTCTGATTTAAAAAGGACCGAGTAACTCCCAAGGTCCCTCACCGTCAAGTTTCTTCAATTAGCAAAGACGCTCGGCTCTCTGTAGACTATAGTCTATGACCAAAAACACATGTGCATGAAATCTTTCGTCAATCGTATGTACAAGCGACTCGCCCACTTCGGGTTATACCTCCACGTCAGGATCTGAGTCTAATTGCACTGCACCAAAGTAGTGAAAAGAGGGAGTCGTATATCAAATATACCCAACAAGCTTTAAGAGCGGCAAGTCTGCGAGCGATGCAGGTGGCTGGGGTAACGTCAAAGGAATCACCGAGAAAGTCCCATATATAAGAGATCTAGGAGTGGATGTTGCATAACTGAGCCCAAGTAGTTAAAGCTAAGCTGTCTGACAAAAATTACTGATTTTATAATTTAGTCTACAAATTCCCGCAAGTAAACATAGGCTATGACATCGCTGATTACAATTCCATCGATTCATACACGGGATTCACAAAAATGTTCTCTCCAAATACAATACGATGGCTATGGGCGAGATGCCATCTATGTATCCCCGACATCGATGAAATCATCAAAACCATCGAATCTACATCCAATGAGCTGACCATGATACTCATCTTCGATCACGTGGAACTTGACTATATAAAAACGAAAGGAGACTCGAAATAGCCTGCGCCCATAGAAACTGACAGAACTGAAAAATCTCGTCTCAGGGTGGCAGACGAAAATGAAAGCGCGTTGTCTCGTAGGATCCGAGCAATTGGAAGAAGCGCGAGCAATATTACAGAAGAAAGGGAGGGATAATGCCCGTACGCCGATGCAGTGGAGCGATGAGCCGAATGCCGGATTCACTGTTCCGGGTGCGGTGGCCGATAGCCCTCCAACGACACATTCCAAATTCAATTTCTAACCTCACCGCCCTGTTTCCCGTATTGTATTTATCACAAACAGGAATATGATCATTTAGAATAGACTTGAGAACAGACTTGAGAATAGACTTGAGAATAGACTTGAGAAGGGACTAGACTTGAGAAGGGACTTAAGAAGGGACTTGTACTGTTCCGGGTGTAAAGAGCTTTTCCAGGGCTCAATGTGACAAATCAACATTTGAACGACCCACAGTACCCACAGGGGCACAACTAACAACGTTCAGCCCTGAGCCGACACCCGGTAAATAATTCAATAATACTAGATCAAAGCAGGCTAGTTCGCCGCTACCAGTTTTACGCGAACCAGACTGTCTCAGAATGGGGTCCTGAGCCCAAGTCTTTAGTGAACAATCCCGAACGAAATCTCCTGGTCAATCGTTCAAAGACTTCAAGTGCTATAGGTGATTGATGTCTTAGTACGTACATTTGACGGAGATATACTACTACTAGTATGTACTGCATCCCGAGTCGGTTGCCCATAACGACTAGCGCCACCTCGGGTAGGGCCGCTAGAGTCCATGGGGCTCTACCCCCGCAACTCGATGTCCAGGGTTCAAGCACTTTTGGACGGACACTAGCAAAGTCGTATTGACTAGTATCGAATGACCACAACCCATTGAGTCCCCTTTTAATTTTAGACTGACATGACCTAGAAATTTTTCCAGATCCTACTTTTTCCCATGTCCCTTTCACGGATACGGATACGGGCCTTGTCATAAGCTCCCTCATCTTTCCTTGATTTCTGTCACGAATCTCATAATTTCCATTCAAAGCCTTTTCGATTCTTGCGGACTCTCAACACGCGCGCTCGTCATGGTTTTCAAGCCATTATTATTGGGCGCCTGTATAGCGTGGACTGGGGCGAGGGCATTGTCACTCCACCAGCGCGATGTACCTGCTGTTGTCAAACTCCCGATTCAACGCGGAAGCGACAAACCAAATCGATTGGCAAAAAGGGCAGATGTTGTCTCCAACTCCTTCGGAGTAGCGGTATGTCTTTTTTTCTTTACTCATATTTCCGACGATCAGGGACTGAGAGTTTTGCAGGATCCCGGACTCCTTCCCATGTACTATTTTGACCTCGACATTGGTACTCCACCCCAAACGATTCAAGTTGGGCTGGATACAAGTAGTGGCTATCTCGCAGTTACGGCCACTAATTCATCATGGTGCAAAACCTCAAACTGTTCGAGTTCTATTTTCGATGTCGGTGCCTCTTCAACGTACCAGTTTGTAAACGATGATTTCAACCACACATATGCCGGGGGTGGATTGTACGGTAATGAAGTTTTCATTGGAGACTTTGGGAGCGATGATGTGGTCATAGATGATATCTCACTATCAGCCATGGACCTAGCAGTGAATTATGCCGACTCCACCGGCCATGTTCTTGGCCTGGGGTATATTCCGGGAAAGGAATCGGATGCGCCTGCAACGATTCTTCAGGCGTTGATCGACGGTGGTCATATCAAGTCAGCTGCATATAGTCTATGGGTGGATGATTCGACGGATGAGGGGACAGAAGGAACTATCCTTTTTGGTGGTGTGAATACGGCCAAGTATACCGGTGAACTGCATACTATGTCTATCCCGGCATTGGATGGGGTACACTACCTCCCGGTGGTGCTGGTGACGGAGGTTACTCTTCAAAATGGGACCTCGAGGAGTCAAACATCTGATCTACCTGCTTATATGGCGTTGGATTCACTGAGCACGAAGACATTCCTCCCGAATAAGATCGTTGAGGGAATATATCAAGACTTGGACGTTTTATGGGATGACACAGTAGTGCCAACAATCGACTGCGCCATGAGTCAGAGCAATTACAATATAACGTTCACTTTCATCGACTTCAGCATCAGCAGCCCGCTCAGTGATTTCATCGGCAAGGGAGATGGTGATACATGTGAGTTCGATATTATCCCAAGTTTCGGCGAGACGTTAGTGCTAGCAGACAACTTCCTGCGCAATGCCTATGTGGTCTACGATCTATCGAACAACGAAATATCTATGGCTCCGAGGAATCTCGAAGAAAGCGAGGATCAAATCCTGGAGATTGGCAGTGGAACCACGTCCATCTCCGGCGTCTTTGAATCAACAACTGCAGTGGCGACAGTTCCGACTGCTGTTGTAAGCCCATCGCAGGTTCTGAATTTCCCTGCTAAATCCACCACGAGCGCTTCGACTGCTACTTCAACTAGCAGCAAGGGATTGGCAGCTGCTCCCACCGCCAACCCCAACAACATTATGGCTGGAATTGTCGGGGCGGGGCTTTTGATGGTTCTATAGAACATTGAATTGTTCAAATGTTAGCTTCGATCAATTATAATTTAGAATCTGTACGTAATAGAACCCTTGATACAAATTTCATGGAAATTTTGTAAACTGGTAGTCAATGTTTAAGGTTTATCGTTATTCTCATAGATTATCAAAACGATTTTCTAGACCACCACGACTGCCGCAGGTCAAAAAGGTTGTCACTGGTCACATTCTGAGTGTCGAGCGTTAGCGGCTGATCCGCCAAGAGGGCGACAGTGAATCTATTCGCATGTTAGACCGCATTGATCACGGCGTGGAAGTGAACTGCGCGAAAGTTCTTGTGCAGTGAGAAAATCGGCTTGCCTGTCTTTAGCGAATTTGGCGATCACGTCTTGGGTGACAGGACAAGCGCTAGAGAAGAGGTAATGAAGTTGGTGACTTGTATCAAGACTCAAGAGTCAAGACTCAAGACCCATTACACCGGCAAGACGAGCTGCGATTCCATCGAGATCCTTCATTGACTCAGCCGTGAAGTTGTAGCCTGTGATAGCCTTCAAGTGGGTTCCGGCGAGTACTCTTTTCGGCACCATATGGTGCCTGCTTGGCTGCCATTGGAACTGCTGGTGAAGGGTTGTTCTTGGGACTCCGAGAGCACTAGATGTTCAGGTGAGGTTATGGCGGCCGATAACCGCCACCCTACTGCCATAACCTAATTTCAACTTTCCGACCAGCAGAAACATTGAAGTAAATTACAAGTAATTCCAAATTCATATTTGTTTTCGAACTCCATTATATACAGCGCTGCATTATATACGGAATCCTCAAACTCCATTATACATTAAATCCTTAAACTCTATAATCAATCCATTCTCTAGTCCCTTCTCAAGTCTATTCTCAAGTCTATTCTCAAGTCTATTCTAAAAGTGACCTGTATTTAGATCAAATCCCTTACTAAGATATTCCTATATATGTATAAATAATAAATACAAGATAGGTAGGAAACAGGGCAGTGAAGTTAGAAATTGCATGTGAAATTAGGTTATGGCAGTAGAGTGATTTTAAAGAATGCGATCATATAAGACTTCATAGTCCCGGCATTCTTTACTCTACGCAACTCGAATCAACCAATTTTTCCAAGGTAAGTTCGTATTAACTTGTGCCTTTCATGTGCGCGTGATAAATCTTGATTCTCTCAACAAACACAATCTGAAATATCAAATCCGCCTATCCCCTACTCTATCCTATTTCACTCGCCACCTCCCTTTTGATAAACCCCTACAATTACAACTAGGCAGAGCTATACTAATACCCTTACCTAGAACCACTCCGAACAGAACAAATCCACACATCATGCAACTTTCCCTCTTTATCTTTGGCCTTCTCGCCAACGTCATCTCAGCGGTACCCCCGAAACACAATCGACATGCTTGAACATACGAAAAATGCAACCCCAACCCCAAATCTACGGATGGGAATCCGCATCAGAGTATCTCGTGTTCCACAAGGGAAGCTACCCATCAGTCAAGATGTCCCGCTTCCACAACTTCGCTGAAGTAAGTAGAATTGATGAAATTTGATGAAATCTAATGAAAATCAGATGAAATCAGATGAAATCAGATGAGTTCAGATGAAAATCAGATGAAAGCCACGTTTCGATTGAAAATATGTACTAACAATTCTCTCTATGCAGTGTCCCCTCCATCCCGGAGCAGGCCATTCTGTGGAACAATGCCCGATGAGCAGGATGCTCAACATCCTTGAGATACACACAGTAAGATCTACTGATTCCTTTATCCCTATTTTGATGAATATAAAAGGCTAATATATCTTATAGCAGGCCTCCTGCAGCCAATGGCGCAGAGGCCTGTGTGGTGTCCCTGGCCATGGTCGTAGTGGTCGTGGCGGTGGTCCCCGTCCCCCTACACTACCCATCCCCTCAGGTCCCCGTGGTGTTAGTGCCTCTTGTGGTCGTGGGCCTCGTGGCCGTCCCCGGCCAGGTCAGATGCAGAGGAGGGCTACCCATACTACCCATACCACTACCCTTACTCCCCCCGCCTCCGCCTCCGCCCCCACTACCCCTACCGCCACTACTACTACCTCCCTGCTCCTCCCGCTCCTCCCACTCCTCCTACTACACCTATCACTACTACCACACCTATCACTACCTCTACTCCTACTACCACTACTGCTACCTCCGCTCCTACCTCTACTACTACTACTCCTACTACCCCCCCTACCCCTCTTATCCCCCCTATCTTCTCTTTCTTACCACTTTTACCCCTACCAAAAGAAGGGGATAAGATAATAGATTAAACAATATTAATATTATATCATCATTAAAATATAATATAATATTATTATTATTCTTAAGGCCAACCTCACCTATCAGCATACAGCCTCAAGGTCCCCTAGACCAACAATACCAGTCAGTTCTCCACAGGCATACTATTTCATCCAAGCCCAGCCTTACTACCATACAACTCCGAGGTCTTCCACAGACCATCACCAATCAACTTCAGCCCAGTACTAGCCACCTCCAAGCCCAGCCTTACTAGCCACCTTCAAGCCCAGCCTCACTAGCCACCTCCAAGCCCAACCTCACTCAAGCCCAGCCCAGTACTAACCACCTCCAAGCCCAGCCTTACTAACATACAACTCCAAGGTCTTCCACAGACCATCACCAATTAACTTCAGCCCAGCCACCTCCAAGCCTAGCCTAGTGCTAGCCACCTCCAAGCCCAGCCTTACTAACATATAACTCTAAGATCTTCCACAGACCATCACCAGTCAACTTCAGCCTAATACTAGCCACCTTCAAGCCCAGCCTCACTAGCCACCTCCAAGCCTAGCCTCACTAGCCACCTCCAAGCCCAGCCTAGTACTAGCCACCTCTAAGCCCAGCCTCACTAGCCACCTACAAGCCCAGCCCGGTGCTGGCCACCTCCAAGCCCAGCCTCACTAATATACAACTCCGAGCTCAGCCTAGACAACATCAACCAGCATTCGCATCTACCACTCTAGGAAACCCCATAAAGCATAGGAATAAAGCGATCTGGTGTTCATACTTATTGTGTTTTTGCTTTGTACAATCATGTATATAGTTCCATTGAACTTTGAATAAATAGACATCACAAAAGAATTTCAAATTTCAATTCACATTTCAAATTTTACTCACCCTTAATCATTCCCCAGATGCTCTACAGTGTGTGACGGCTTGGTTCCCCACTGACTCTGCTGTCAAACACATCAACAATCGCCTGCTACAGTATTGGCTCGAGAAGGCGAGCCAGGTCATGGTGATTGACCCTGACATCAATCCCTTTTCTTTTGAAATCCTTAAATACTTCGAAACTTCCCGATCTCTCATATACACAGTCCAAAGTCTAAGCGTGGCGCACGAGAATTTCTATTGCAGAGATCGCAAATCTTAGTTCTGTGCTGATGTCTATGTATCTGTCTTTGTATCTCCATTCTATGCCCATCTGGGCATGTGAGGGCAATCGAGTCACTTCTGTCATGTAAAATTGCTATTTTTTTCAGAGTGTACTTCAATGTCTTCAAGATGTCATCTTGAATAAGACACCAGTTGACTGCTCCACACATGGCAGAACAGCCAGGCGGTATGACCAAGGGTGACTGCTGATAGGCGGACAGACCGTACCACAGAACGCTGATTGGCGTCCAGACTCAACTGACCGAGATGGTCCGAGCGTCCTATCACGGCATCTCCAAATTCATAAAATCACCAACCTCAAACTAAAGATATCTTAAGAGAACCAACAACCAAAAAAGAGCAACAATGCCAGAGCGCTCTGCTGTGTATATCGGCACAGCATTCGTCGCTGGTGTCTGCCTGACCATCGTATGCAAAGACATACTTGATTCTCGTCGGCGCGAGAAACCAGAAACTGCAACAGCACGATCAGATGAGCTTGTTGCTCGTCCAGGACCTCCCGCCATAGTAGAAGGTATCGAAGGATGTATTGGGAACACACCTCTTTTCCGGATCAAATCCCTGTCGGATGCGACGGGATGTGAAATCTTGGCTAAGGCGGAAGTATGCAAGCCCGCGGCGAATTTGATATAACAATTAACGATACTCATTCTGACTATGGTATTCTACAGTTCTTGAATGGTGCTGGGCAAAGCTCAAAAGACCGGGTTGCATTAAGTATGATTGAATTGGTATGAATCTTTAACATTCAACTACTTAACGTACCTATACTGATTCCAGACAGGCAGAAGAACAGGGTATCTTAACACCTTATTCCGGCGACACAATCTATGAAGGAACATCAGGGTCAACCGGTATCTCATTAGCATCTCTAGCCCGAGCCAAGGGATACCTAGCGCACATGTAAAGCCACCAGAGCCTCCAACCAAAAGTTTCCAAAAAAAAGCTAACAGAAAAACCAGCTGCATGCCCTCAGACCAGGCAATCGAAAAGTCAAATCTGCTATTGAAGCTAGGCGCAATCGTCGACCGCGTGCCCCCAGCACCGATCGTCGAAAAAGAAAACTTCGTCAACCGCGCCAGAGCACTAGCAACAGCCCACACGGCCTCAGCCACCGTGCCCATCTCCGACACAGAGGGCGAGCAGGTCGAACCATCAGAACGCATGGCGCGCGGGCGCGGCTTCTTCGCAGACCAGTTCGAGAACGAAGCGAACTGGCGCGCCCACTACGGCGGCAGTGGACCCGAGATCTACGCGCAGTGCAACGGGCGGATCGACGCCTTTGTAGCGGGCGCCGGAACAGGCGGGACTATCTCTGGCGTGGCGCGGTACCTGAAGCCGCTTTTGCCGAATATCACGGTTGTGTTGGCCGATCCGCAGGGGAGCGGGCTGTACAATCGGGTGCGGTATGGGGTGATGTTTGACGTGAAGGAGCGGGAGGGGACCCGTCGACGACGTCAGGTGGATACGATTGTTGAGGGTATTGGGATTAATCGGGTTACTGCCAACTTTGAGGTTGGCAAGGAGCTTGTTGATGATGCGGTTCGGGTGACGGATGCGCAGGCGCTGGCGATGGCTAGGTGGCTTGTTGAGAAAGATGGGATTTTTATCGGGAGCAGCAGTGCTGTTAATTGCTTTGCGGCTGTGAAGACGGCGCAGAAGATGGGGCCTGGTCATCGCATTGTCACTATGCTGTCGGATTCGGGGTCACGGCATCTATCTCGATTCTGGGCTAAGGCTGGTGATGTTGGTGGAGCTGTTGATACGACACTGGCTGATGTTTTGAATGCACGGGATGAAGATTTTCAATAAATTTATTGATACAATATAGTACAAGGTATGATTGACATGAATAGTAGTCAATTACTTGGAACATTATGTAATGACTTTCTTGACCGAGTCCACAGGTCATTATGAATCAGGGCAGCCTTTTGAAATCCAAACGCTTGATGGGGGACGCTCTGTTCGGCGTTCTTGATCCTTGTCTGCTGGCTGCTGGACTATCAAAGTAGATGGCAGACAGCTTGGAAGGCGATGATACATGACTCATGCTGCCCATATTGTCATCTTCGTCATCATCGTCAAGGAGGTCCTCGAATACAATTGGACCTTTGCTTTCGACAGTAGGGTCAGTATCAAAGGCTCTGCGGGAAAATATCCCAGCTCCTGGATTGCTCTCAATAGAGGAGACAGATAGCTTGGAGGGCGATGGTGATTTTCTGATGTTGTCGGTTGTGTCGTCATCGTCATCTAGTAGGTCAAATACCATTGGACCTTTGTTTGCGAGAATAGTGTCGGCCTCAGAAGCCTCCCTGGAAAATGTCTCAAAAGACGCGGGGGTATAGCGCTCAATGGAAGCAACAATCTGCTCTCGATAATCTACTGCCTGCGCATCCTTATTGGCCTCTTGTCTCTGTTCAGATTCCTGGTCATGCGCTCGGCCCACATGGCCATGCCATACCTCATCTCCAACCCAGAGCCGGAGCAACTCAAACTCAATTTCCGTTTTGGTGCGAGTTGGCATTTTACTCGTAATATCCAGCCATGTGAGACCGGGCTCCTCTTTGAGACATTCCAAAGTTTCAAGCTCGGATTGGGTCCAAGAAGCAGAGAGTGGAGGGGGATTTGCGCGGCGTTCTGTCCAATGAAATAGATTCCATTGATAAATCTGAGGCTGTGTTCGATGTGGTAAACAGGCGTGAATCTGATTCCATTTTCTTTTTTGGACGTGCCTCATGCGAACGATTAGCTTGGCATCGTCAGGCGTCAGACCTCGATTTGATTTGTTGACAGGTGTCTCCGATGGCGTGGTAGAGAAAACGTGGGAATGAGAATGTGCATTTGAATCGTATGGTAAATCAGAGGCGTCAAATGCCACATGGTTTTCCAAATCTTGTTTCGCGTGGCCTCGAAGTTTATTATTCTGCTCAGCTGCAGTAGCCGATTGGTCCGACTGGGATTGGCGAGGCGGGAGTTGTGCATCGGGAGCACGTAGGCGAGCTGTACGAGACGATGGCTGCTGCAGGTGTTTCCCGCGAATATTCTTCGCCACATGTTTCGAGATGGAAGGCGAAGGTTGGAATTCCTGAAGCGGGTCGTCTGATTCATCTCCATCTGGCGTGGCTGCAAATGACCAGTCGTGCGCCACAGGGCTGGAATGATACTTTCGTTTCGCCCGGAGCCGGCTTTCGCTCGGCGTTGATTTGGGTTTAACTTCTGTACGTGGGCGCCCTCGTCTAGGCACACTCCATAATGATCCAGAACCTGGTGGAGATGCTTCCCTTTCGAGATGTGGAAGTTTCGGGACCCCTTTCCGCCTTGTTTCGGCCGTGGGCGTGGAGAAGAGAGTGGGCAACTCGGGCGCTTGCCAAACAGGGTCTGCTGGCCGGTCATTATCGAATGGGTCTGGAGCCTGTGAAGATTGAACAACAGAATTGTTGACTATGTCATCGCCAGACTGATGATGATGACGCTGATGATGCGTTGTTGCAGTCCATGAAGGTTTGGCGGGCTCCGGATCGGCTCCGCTAGTGCCTAATGGTTCACCTTGGGAATAACTTCCCCTAGGCGATTCTTGGCCCTCGTCTATCTCATCCCCGTCTGTATCCCCCTCCTGTGACAAATCATTCTCGTAGAGCCACGTCTGCGCGCCTTCGTCTCCATTGTCGCCCCCTTCGTGCATGCTCGATAGGTGGCCATTATCGACCACAATCTTCCCAGTTTCTAGATCAATCTCATCGCCTATTTCCGTAAAGTCCTTGCCGTATTTGGAAAATATTCCCTCAAAGATTGATTTCAGTCGCATGTCATTTTGGGCGCGCGCTGCCTGTAGGTCCCACTCTTCTGTCACTTCCTCTTCCTCTGGTATGTCCGGTGGCAAAGAGAGTCGTTGGCGTTTCGCGGGTCGCTCCATGATGTCGGTCGCCAATGGAGGCTTATTATCGTACATCGGACTTAAAGTCGTTGCGGCGCAGAGGAACGCGAGCGAGTGCGCGTAAGTCGACGCGGTCGGATCTCATACACGGGATCAACCTTCAAGGGACATGGCTTTTGTTTTGTTTTTTTTCCGTATGAGATTGGATTCGTGGATGTGGTCGTGGTCTTCGTTATCAGACAGTAGAAAGGAAGGATTATATTGAGAGTAAAGAAAGAAAAAATACTATTGAGCGAGCAGCTGCACTGCGGAGTCGCGAAAGTTCAAAAAAAACAAACGGACAAAACGAGAACATGACGTTCCAAGGTTCCCGCTGCCGCTCCCAACTTGAACCTCTCCCCACATTCAATCTCCCCAAGAATGAACTAATCCCCACCACACACTATGTATTGCCAGAAGTGCCGAACGGCATTAAAGCTGGATGGCTCACTTGAGGCGCTCAACCCAGCTGCCTTTGAGCTACTTGCCAGTAAGCTTTACCTATGTTTCCAGGCGAAGCTATGCGTTGATCCTAACCAAGCTCCGAACAGACTCCACAGGCCGAACACTATCGGACCATGGCGCTGCGTCATCCGCAAATCGAACCTCCTACCCTTCAGAACGACGGGAACTTTACGATCGTACCTCAAAGCATGCTACGCCACCGGTTTACAGAAGGTCCATTCCTGGGCCACGGTCGGGAAGCCAGAGTAATCCTCCGGCGTTGCCTCGCGGTGATAGCGGCAACATGTCATTCGTGATGCTTACGGAATCACAATTTGTACCGCCGGCTGTTGAGACCCTACCAAGTCGCCCCAAGGGCAAAAGTACCGGAAAAAGCCAAGATCATACTCTAGAGGAAGGGGGGTCCTTTTCCAGCCAAGTGGAACGAGCCACTCGTCTCTTTGAGATTGTGTCAGCACGCTCGGATATTGATCATCCGATATGTGTGGAGTGTACGGATATGCTGGTGGAGGGGCTACAGAAACGTCTAGCTGGGGCTACAAAGGAGCGCGACGCCTATATTTCGTTCCTTCGCAGCTTGAATGCCTCAGTCCCGAGCGCGGACGAATTAGCGTCCGCCGAGGCATCCTTGAAAGAAAGTCTCGAAGCGGAGAAAGCGGCCTTTGTGGAACTGGAGGAGCTGGAACGAGAAAAGTCTCAGCTGGACAAAGAGATTGCAGGACTCGAGGAAGAATCCCAGCAACTAGATGCTGACGAAGAAAGATTTTGGCGAGCCCGCAACGGCTTTGCCTTGACACTGGCGGAGTTTCAAACCGAACGGGATGCTTTGAATATGCGCTACGACCATGACTCGCAGCAGCTAGAGAGATTACAACGGACAAATGTCTACAATGACGCATTTTGCATCGGGCATGATGGGTATTTTGGGACCATCAATGGCCTGCGTCTAGGCCGTCTAGCCAACCCCTCGGTTGAGTGGCCCGAGATCAACGCCGCCTGGGGCCAGACCTGTCTACTTCTGTCGACAATTGCAGAGCGGCTTGGGTTTCAATTTCAAGGTTATCGGTTGAAGCCGCTGGGGTCCACCTCTCAGATCGACAAGATTGAGTATCCCGTGCATCCAACCGGGCCAAATGCCACTGATCGAGTTGCGCCCAAAACTACCCAACTGGACCTTTTTTCGTCTGGAGATCTTCCTCTTAATCTCCCTTGGCTGCATCGACGCTTTGACGCAGGTATGGTGGCGTTCCTCGAGTGTTTGCGCCAGTTGGGGCAGTTCGTCGAATCGACTCCCGCCCCAGTAACATCGCCTCGTCGCGGGCAGACTAGCGCCACCGCCCCCGGGCTTCGACTACCCTATGAGATTCAAAAAGATCGTATTGGGGATGCCAGCATTAAGCTTGGATTTAATCAGAATGACGAAACTTGGACTCGCGCCTGTAAATACACTTTGACGTGCTGCAAGTTCCTGCTAGCGCATGCGAGCAACGTTGCCAGCGCAGGATCGAACAACTCCGCTGTCGCGGCTGCAGCCGTGGCAGCTGCTGAGACTCGACTAAACCCCGCCAAGAGTCGACCCTGAACGAGGCTGGAACTTTAGATTACAGGGATCATGCTGTGAGAAATTTCACGCAGCCTCACTTTGGTTTTTTTTGGGGGGGAAGGGGGGGGGGGGATTATTTTTCCTTTTTCCCCTTTTTTCCCCTTCCTCTCTTTCCCCCCTTTCTTTCATAGGCGACTTGTCATGGGGATGCACGATCCCCCTCCGATGCCACAAATCCCGAATCCCGACTTGCGCCCCCTGTGAAGTGGTACTTTTGATAAGCGTGGGTGCGTGCCCTCGTACCGCATGTACATTCATCAACCGTTGAAGTTTTATTGGTTCCTCCGATCGATCAACAAGGCTGGAATCATCAGTGGCCTGTCATCCGCCGGTTGGACACAGCCGCCCCCCCTCCTAGGCCACAAGGGGTAACTCGTGGACCGGAAAAATCCTTCCATTCCCATCTGGCCTGGACTCGACGTACTTGACTGGGGAAGGGGGAATAAGACCAACTCTTCCGATACGCTCTAAGGTTCCTATGGTCTGGCCCTTTTGCAAGTGAATCACTTTTTTATTACTCGGTCTGCGCGCTACATCCTAGTACCTGCAGGCGATCCGAGCCGGTGAACGGTGGTCCGTGGGGCCTATGGCGATGAGCACGGTACAAATCTCCGTCCATTTCGGCGCGCAATGTGGACCCCTGCTCCACGCGGGAAATGCTCCTTATGCCGTTTTCTGCCATTTCAGCAGGCCTAGTGTTTCACGCAAAGCCGTCATCGTAAGCTTGAGAGCGAAAAAGGAAAAAGAATCAAGAAAGATCCCCTCTCTGCTTAAAATAAAGAACCCCCCCCCTCAAAAGACCCAAGAAGAAAAACAACAACACACCCATATCCACATACACGACTGCGGCCCCGCGGCCCCGCATTTTAGCACCAAACCCATCGATCCATACCCATTCGAGCCCTAGTCCCCGGAGCATGCACGGTGTAGGGACGGTGCCCGATTATGTCTTTTCCTTCCCCCCCCCTCTCCTCATACTTTGGTACTTCCGGCTCATTCTTGCCACCAAAAGTGGAAGGAGTCGAAAGTACGAGAAGAGGATGTCCCGTACCTTTTTCTTTGTGGCTCGGGAACTAGGAGCATCCTTCCCGAGCACTGAGCGCGTCGATCACTGCAGCGATGCCTTGCCACCTAAGCCCATCCGTGCGTTCTAGGCGTTGGGATTTGGGCTAGTGCAGGATTGCTCGAGGTACTTTGACCCTCTATCGTGAATCCACCCGGAGGATCATCTTATGTACCTTGTACACGCGAGCGTTACAGAATATACCTCAACCTAGCTTAGCACATTAGCTTGGAAATGTTTAGCAGGGGGAGCTTCCGGGAATTTTTGATTGCCCAGGTGGATTTTTTTTTAGGATTTTTGTTTTTTTTTGGGGGAAGACAATTTGCTTTTCTTTTTAGACTAGGATAAGATTAGATTTTCTTTGACATTTGACATTTCACATTTCCAGAAATTTGGGGATTTTTTAATTCTCTTTTTCTCTTTTTCTCTTTTTCTCTTTTTTCTCTTTTTTCTCTTTATGAATTTTCTTTGAATTGTTGCAGCTGAAGGACCGAATCCCCGACCCACGAGTTTCGGCCGGAAAAGATAGGGACCAAAGCGCAGAATGTATTCGGTACTGAATACTTCGGGGAGCATATACGGGGAACATAGGGGAGATTTTTGACATATATTCTTTTTTCTTTTTTTTTTTTTTTTATATTACTGCTTTTCCCTTTTTTTATTTATGGCGATCTACCTGTCGCATGTCCCCTTGATTGATTTGACATTCTGGGGATGACACTTGTCTCAACGGCCATACGTAGGCATGTTCTAACGGCTACGCCCCCACCCTTGCGTCCGGGACACGAGGGATGTAGTGAACAACTGCCGAGTGAATTATGGATATACAGAATAAAACATTGTAGGAAATACTTCAATGAAACCTAAACTAGCTGAATATTTGCATTTGAAAAAAGTGGCTTGTCACAGAACCATGACGGTGGAAATCTTAGTGTTATGAGCTGAAAAGACAAAGCTGTCAAAGGGAGTGTTTCGGGCCGCTCCCGGGACCATTGATACGTATGGATACACCCATGGTCTGAGATCGAGATATACTAGGATATACTAGTAGAGATGGTATTTTTGATTTTATGAGTAAAATCATCGAAAGTCGTTCAAAGCAATGTACAAAATTAAATAATCTTTACATGATTATATGATCATCGAGATTCAATTTGACGTAAACTTCGTAGCAGCCAATAGGAAGTGGCAATAGTAAGCCGCAACTCTCAATAAAAAAGGCAGCGGAAAATGCATCTAATTTGCGGCCAGTGCACTGCATGTAATAGTTCGGTTAGGCTGTACAGTAGTCCCGAGTCAAAGGTACGCGATTTGCCCAGCTCCACAATAGACAATTCTTTGTTACCCATTTTCTGATTACTCCATGTCTTTTTCTTCTGGCTTGTTTTTTTTCTTTTTTCTTTGGGCTGGATCGCTTACAGCTTACCTACTATATACACTATTTGATTTCATTTGGAACACGGAGATCATCTCCCAATAGGATGATTGGGTGTAGCTATTGGCCGTTGACGATCAGTGTCAGCCAGGATGGATCCCCATAGCTTGCAGTGGTCAACCTGATTTGGCCGGGGAAGCAGGGGGTCGTGCGTCCGCTGCGGCGCGCCGCAAAGAGAAAGAGATTCCTTGGCCCTGATCTGAGAAGTTGCCTGGTGATCGCATTCTTCTATATTCATTTTTTTTTTTTTTTCCCCTTCACTTTTCTTTTTGAATCTTTAATTCTTTTAATTCTTTTTTTTTTTTTTTTTTTAAAAAAAAAAGAAACTAAAAATTTCCCCTTTTCTCTCTTCTCCATACCAAAAACTACATTATATTGGCTCCTTCTTCTCTCCTACCTTTTTTACTTACTTTCTTTTTCCCCCTCTCTTTTCTCTTTTCTCTCTTAACATAAAACAAACAAATTTATCATTGTCATATACCGGCATGAGAGCACGGAACACTCACTATGGACCGTTTCCCTCCCCCGTCAATGATGATGTCCCCTCAATCCCCCAGTACAACGCCAACCGGACCACCTAACGGTCCTTTCCGGCCCCGCCGATCCGAAGACTGGCACGTTTACCGCGAAACCATCGAACAACTGTACCGCAGTGACCAGCTTAAATTGCGAGATGTCAAACGCATCATGGAAAGGGAACATAACTTTGCTGCCTCGTATCACACCACTTTTCTTCTATTCTGACTTTCTTTTGAATTGCCTCTCCATGTATTTTTCTTTTTTCTCTTACCTTCAAGTTTATTAAACCAAACCTCGTTCTGCCATAACACCCTCCTAACCATCTACACCTATTCAGAGAAAAACAATACAAAGATCGACTCGCTGCCTGGAATATCCGAAAGAATATTAAAGCCGCAGAGGTGCAGGTCATGATTCGCAAAAAGCAAAAGCGTGCCGCCCGGGGCAAGCAAACCGCCTTTCGACGAGCAGGTCAAGATGTTGACCCTAAACGACTTACTCGATTCGTCCGTCGCTATGGGACCCAGTGGGAAAAGAATCCAGATAAAGACGCCGACCTACAGAGTCCTGAACCGAGTATGTTTTTTTCCTCTTGCTAATTTTGGCCCTCTCTTGCCGAAGAAGGTAATCAGTAACAGCCATACTTATGCTACTAGCAACAGAAACTCCGTCCGATATGTCTTGCTACACACCCGAGCCAGAAGAGGGAGCAGCCACTCCCATCTCACCACCGGATGTACAATCTCCCACGAGGGAGACTCCACCTTATCCCATGAACTACGGTACAGCCCCCATCCTGACATCTGATATCAGAAACCAGATACCAAGTATCAGGAATCACCCCAAATATCAGATATACAATATCATATCAGAAAGCAAAGAAACAAGGCTTTTTGAAAAAGAAAAATTTACCCCAAATCAAAGACATCACTAACCTCTTCCAGACCCCACAAACTTGGCAACCATGCCCGACCTCGTCATAGCCAGCGACGACGAACCATACGCAATGAACATGCACCATCAACACCAACATCAACACCAACAACGCCACTCCCACTCACATCCCAACCCCCCTCGCCGTGTATATCACCCCTCAGAACTCACCCACCCCCAACCCCACCCCTCCCACCACCCATCCGTGCACTCAATGCTCCACTCCCCAATCACCCACGACCCGCACGCCCACCACCACCACTCCCAATCCCAGGCCCACCACCAACACCAACACCAACACCACCAACACCACAATCACCACGGCCACATCCTCAACCCAATCCACCCCGTCCACCCACCCGTAACCGCCATCCCCTCAATAGCCATCCCAGCACCCATCTCATCACTCCCGCCCTCCATCTCCTCCCCCGCGCCAACCCCAACCCCCATCTCCATCCCCGTCTCACTCTCCACCCCAGTCACCGCCATGCCCGTCTCCGTGCCCTCAATGCCAGTCTCCGTGCCTGTCTCTGCGCCACATCAGCAGCAACAGCAACAGCCGCAGACGATGGGGCATAGAGACGATCTCGATGCTCCGGGCGAGATCGTGCCGGGCTACGACGGGTGGAGATTGGATGTGTTCCAGAACCGTCTGGAGGGCTTGCAGTATGAGTTGGACCGGTCGATGTCCAAGTGGGCGCGCGAGCAGGATCCTAACCAGGAGATTCCGGGGCACCACGAGGGTCTTGGGCAGTGAATTACATTCGATATGGTAACTGGTTTCCGTGTCTTTGTCTTGTCACTGGTTATTTTGGGCGGGTGGGTGGTTGGTTGGATTGGGTTCGGGGTTGTTTGGTTCGGAGCCGAGGATGTTCTTTCTTTTCTTTTCTTTTCCGATCTTGATTTTGATTTGATTCTTTGGCGATCCCTTACATGTACATGATTCATCCCCTACATCTGGAGCGTACTACGATTCGTTCTTGATTTTTTTCTTCATCGTCTGTTTCTATGGTTTTATGCTCTTTCTTCCCATTTCCCCTTTCATCCCCTCTTCTCAACAGTATGCAGCATCAGACAGGATCAAGGAAAAATTTCATAGCAGGGGCGTTTAGGGGGTTGGTTCTTTCTTCTTTACTTGACTTGACTTCCATTTGATGACTTAGATCTGGATGAATGTGGGCTGAGTGTGGGTGTGGGTGTACGTTTTCTGTTCCATCTCATTCTCCGCTGTATCTGCTATCTTTGTCTATATTGATACCTACTATCCGCTCTTAATTCATCATATTGTTAGGTAGGGCCTGATTATAGATGGGGCTTGATATGGACTTTTGTCAACTTGTTCAATATTGGGCTCTGGCTGATGTTAGAACTTTTGACGTTCGAGTTAGTATCGACCGGGCAGATCGTATTGATCTCACTCGAGTCGTATGGATACAGTAATAGTCATACGTTTCGCAACCGCACGGGTGTCACCTCAGGCTACGGATACTCCGTATTACTGTTTAATCGTCCGGCTTCCGAGGCCTGCTCATTGGTACGAACGCCAGACTACATTGGGAAATTTCCCGGTTCTGTCAGAGGTCTGTATTCTCTTTGAAATCAAGACCTACAGTGGTGTTTGTAGGAATATGAAGCCTGTTTTCTGCGGAAACAAACCGGTACTCTGTTTCGAGAAAAATTGTTTCTTTAGATGTGCATATCTTGAAATCCTCAAAGTAGCCATACCAAGACAGGTGTTAATGTGTCAATTCTTCCGGGGTTTCAAAGCACGCGCTCATCTACTGTATGCTGCCACAGAGCTACACAAGGCACCGCCCTGGACTTCAATTAGAAATGTCAAATCTGTTTTCAAGCTAGCATAAATCCTGCTTGAATCCCGCTTCAAATCTTTTGAGTCAAAATATATGGTAGTCTACTCTGCACCATGGCTTTGTTGCACTTACTGGCATTCTAAGAGCACCGCAATAGACTCTTGAATTATGCAGCTTTGCGAAAGGAGAATTTGCGCGGTTGAACTTGTCGACAATTTAAATACAAAACAATGAAACAACATGAAAAGAGACCGCACGAAGGCTTAAACACGTGCATGTGTGCTCGGAATCAATGACTCGAGGCCTATCGATTGATGTATCTTCCAATAGCAGAAGAGGATGACACGCCTGCGATGACCGCCAAGTCTGGAAAACTCGATGGGAGGTCTTCGTGGAGCTGATTGAGGTTTGAATCTCCTCTTCAGGATCCGTGGCCGATGAAATGAGATGAACAATGAGGGGAACAATGAGCCAAGGGCAATTATCATCCATTTATCGAAACAATATCCGGAATTGATAGTAGTCGGATGGCCAGGACCTAGTCTTTGCTCTCGACGCCGGACACATTCTGCCATCAATGACAAAGCAGCTTTGTGTTGACCGGATGACCAAAATGTGTGAGCCAGGTTGTCCATAATGATCAGCGTATGAGGATGATCGACGCCGAACTTTATCTCGCAACTCTCTAACAACTGTCTCTCAAGCTGCTCTGCCTCTTCTAGCCGGCCTTGGTCGTAATAAACTGCTGCCAGACTTGCTATAGTGTGTAGCATGTTGGGATGGTCGGTATCCAGCTTCCTCTTATAAGCCTCTGCCACCTGTATTAAAAGCTGCTCTGCCTCTTTTGGCCGGCCTTGAGCTCTATATGTTGATGCTAGATTGCTCATGCCAATCAGCGTATCAGGATGATCGATACCGAGCTTCGTCTTATAAGCCTCTGTCATCTGTATCAAAAGCTGCTCTGCCTCTTTTGGCCGGCCTTGAGCTTTATATGTTGATGCTAGATTGCTCATGCCAATCAGCGTATCAGGATGATCGATATCGAGCTTTGTCTTATGGGCCTCTGCCACCTGTATAAAAAGCTGCTCTGCCTCTTCTAGCCGGCCTTGATCTTTATATATTGATGCTAGATTGCCCATACCAATCAGCGTATTAGGATGATCAACGCCGAGCTTCGTCTTATGAGCCTCTACCACCTGTCTCTGAAGCTGCTCTGCCTCTTCTAGCCAATCCTGCTCCCGATATATCGAAGCCAGATTACCCATTCTCACCGGAATGTCAGAATGATCGACAGTGAGCTTTGTATTGTAAGCCTCCATCACCTGTATCATAAGCTCCTCTGCCTCTTCTTGCCGGCCTTGGTATCGATATATCATAGCTAGATGAAACATACTATCCAGCGTTTCAGGATGGTTAGCACTAAGCTTCATCTTGCGAGTTTCAACCACCTGTATCAAAAGTTGTTCTGCCTTATCTAGGCGGCCGAGGTCTGAATATATGGCTGCTAAGAGTGAGGAACTATTCATCGTATGTGCATCTTCTGCGCCAAGAATACTTATTCGATATTTTCTTGATAAAATCGCCATTTCTTCCGAATCGAAGAAATTGCCAGATTCCCGAGCATAGCATGCCCCTCTGTGTAATAATGCAGCCAAGTCCAGTAGACGGTTTTTGGACTTTGGTTGATATGATATCGCGGACTTGACGTGCGGAAAAAGTGGCCGACATATCTCCCAATCCTCGTAATATCCAGTTGGAAATGCATGGTTTAAATTGGAAATGAAAAGTTCCTTCCACTTCTCGTCTTGACCAACACTTTTCAGCCACGTGCGAACTGTGAGCTGCACAAGTCGATGCATCGCGAACACCATGTTATCTTTGGTACCGATGGCTGTAATGAGGGAGTAGTCTCGGAGAGTTGCAATATCACTTTCAAAACTGTCCTCAAGGTCATATTCAGATTCAGAGTCTGTAGTATCCTCTTCACTGGAGCTTGTATAAATCTCCTCTCTCTCTTCTTCACTCGGGCGTATTGTGGCATCCTTAGAAGAAGTAAAGCTATTTTCGGAAGAGCCTGAGTCTTCTTCTATGACCTGCTCTCGTAAAAGGCTTTCTGGAATTGCCTGCCAATTGAAGAAGCTCATCAAAGAAAGCAAATCCGCAGCAGACTGTTGTGTAGCCCGGATATGGTCGAACGAAATTTGCCAGGTCAGGGAAATGGAGTTCTTGGCTTCCCGGTCTCGCTGGGCGTGGAGGCCTTCGTGGTCCAAAAGCTTTTTGGCGTGTCGATCACTTTGTCGGAGTTTCCCTAGATATGTTGCTACAGAGCAACGGATCGAATGGTGAACAATGTAGCTAGCCGCTTGAACGATCGCGAGTGGCATGTATTCAAGTTCTTCCACCAATTGAGCCACCTTTTTTGTGTCGTGTGCAGTTTCTGAATCCAGTTTGTTTTGCAGGAGATCGACTGCCTCAGCGGCGATCATCGGTTGAACATCAATCAAATTCTCTTGGCCAGCGATCTCTAGCGCAACTTTTTTATTGCGGCTTGTAACAATGATTGAACCATTAAAAACCTCGAGAAGGCAGCCTAGCGGGGTCTGTGTTGAAGCATAGCGTGCGCTTGGGTGGGTAGCCGGTGGTTTGCGAAGCAGTTCGTCATCATCAACATTGTCTAGAACAAGAATCCATTCACCGATGTTGTCATCCTGTAGCCAGTTCCTGAAGAGCTGGAAGATATCGGCATCATGGTTCTGACGCCCAGGGATCCTGGCGCGGTTAGCAAGATCCCGAAGACTCTCCTCGCAGCGTGCTGCAGTACTACAGTGAACCCAGAAGATCCAAGTATGAGCCGACAGCTTCCGGACCCGGTGGCAGTATTCTATAACAAGTCCAGTCTTGCTGTTGTCAGGTCAGCGTTAGACGCATCTCTCGTTGTGAATTTTGGGTTGCTTACCCCACACCACCGAGACCCACGAGAACTATCCGAGATCCCGGAACCGAGGATTTATCCCGAATACGATCGAGGAGTGCATCGCGTCCGACGAAGTTTGGATCAGGAGGAAATGGAACCGTTGAAAACGGTTGGGGGCGGGGTTCCGACTGTTCTAGGAGGGGAAGTCGCTGTTAGTTCGAACTTCGACTTTGACCTCTTGCAGGATTTGGGAAACACACGCGCAGTAAAATAGTTGTGCATAGGCGCATGGTTGCTCCCCATCTGGAGGCCTGAATTTTGACCGGAAATTGAAATGGAAGCCATGGTAACAGGAGATACCGACGTAGCTGGGGAAATGGACAGGGAAAAAATTCTGCGTCCTAGTGAAAGATTATTCTCCTCGTTGTCGCCCATCAGGTGATGAGAGCGCTAATCTTGCATGAGTTTAGGCTGTTCAGCCCCAGCGGTAGTCCTGTCTGCGTTTCATATCTCTCCCGTCATCAGGCTCTTAGCCACTGGTTCCTTTTCGACATTATCTACTTGACTATATTCAGGTCTCTTGGAGATTGTCTAATACTCTCAGTTTTTCAGTGAATTTATGAGGCGGTATCAAATAGGCTGCATTGTAATCGAATTGTCTCTGTTTTAGCCCCCAAAACTTGCACATGTGAATGCTCCACACTATCAATCTCCGGTTAGCTCTGAAATATCAGTCACTCCACTATGTAGTATTTTCGTGGGTTTTATGAAACGTAGAGCCGTGTAATAATTCAAATGTTTATAGATGCAGATGCAAAGGTCCTCTTCGAAGGTTTCCATTTGCTTTGTACCTCCAATATCTCTTCAAGATACGTTTCTTGCTATCAAGTTACCTAAATTGTCTACTTACAGTACATACTAGTCACGGATACACGGATAAATATATATCTAGGGTGAAATTTGAAAGTGTTTCCCCAATTCTTTTTTCCCTGCGAAAAATAGCAAAACTCGCCCTCTTTAAACCCACATGTGCAATATTTTAACAACTTTATGTGTGAAAGATAATTTTTAAATGCCTTCAGCTCTAAGATTAGAAGAAGTGGTCGGAGACTGATCTTTATAGTAAGCAATTTGATTAGATGCTTCCGTTCCGAAAGTATCAGCCCTGGAAAATGGACATGATATTTTTCGGGATTTTAACTATGCATGTGGGGATGCGGCTCGTTTGCTAACAAATTCGAACAATTTTTCTCATCCTCAACTTTCAAGTCGTGCCAGCTGGCAACTCTACCAGCAAAAATCATACCAGAATTTCTGATTGTAGGAAGGAATTATTTATTAATTATTTATATGTGTGGCATAATCAGAAAAAAGAGTTGATGTAAAAATGTATGGAGATATTGAATATCAAAGTTGCTGAGTTTTTACCTTTTTTTGCGGGGAAAAAAAGTGGGGAAACACTTTTGTCACCCCACGTACATTACTAGTATTCGTCGATATCTGGCCGTGCCTCTGAATGTTTGAATGTCGAAGACATTAGATCAGATTCCCGGATACTATGATTTGAAAAACCTGCGCAGGCATTTACCCCAAACCTTGAATTATACCTACTGCCTAGCTAAATAAACCCTTGGAACTATGGATGTGTTGATGAATGTGTAATCAATACGAGATGGACTTGAAAGCATCATTATTGCATGTATACCAAGTAAGAGAAATGTACATCTTCGTTGCAAACTATGTCTAATAGGTGGCAGGCATAATTGGGGATTGAATTAGGGGGAGTAGCTTCACTCGCCTGAGCTGATGCTGGGAGACCTCAAAGCAGGGTGATCCTGAACCTTCAATGTGACAGGTAGTAGATCATGGTAGTGCTACATGGTAGAGGAGCTCTGTGATCCTACGCGCCCCTAATTAAGCGAAGTAAGCGCGTCTGATCTTGATCCTGGGGGCTGATTGGTCGATCAGGTTAGTATGGGAGACTCTGATCCTGCGAGCGTATAGGTCCTTAAGCGAGATCAAGCGAGCGTGATCTGGATCCACGCGTCGTGATCTTGATCCTCGCGTGCCATTGGCCTGATCAAATATAACCTTGGGATCGTTTTGATTCTGACGCGCGATTGGTCGATCCTAAGCGAGGTGGTTGATCTGGGGGACGCGTCCAGGGCCAGACCTGAGGTATAAATACCCCGGTTTTTCCCCCTCCTCTCCCTCTTTTCTTTTTTTCCCCTTCTCCAAGTCTCATCACTCTCAAGTCTCTTCTTTATACTTTCATTCATCTTCATCATACTTCATCATCCTTCATCATCCTTCATCTCATATTACATCTTCTATCTTCCTCCAAACAATCTTTGATGACAATCATGTCCATGCCTCATCCACTTTACATTTTTCCACAAGTTCTTCATCCATTCCCTTCTTCTATTCGTTGATGCTAACTGCCTTCAAGGTTTTTGAATGTTCATTATCATTGACACCTTGCTCACCTTGAACATCTCACATCTACTCGTCATCGTTCGACATGACCTTCATTTGCATGTTTGCATTCTACTTGCTCTCATTTCTCGTCACTGACTCTATCTCAAGATAGCTACATGCTTATTATCACTCATGCCTTGGCCCATTTGACCAACATCTTAACAAGTCTGAAGACTTTGATCAACAAACACTCTGGTCATCAAATCGTCTCGGCCAGGTTGCCTTCCGACATTCTCTCGACAGCTTCAAGCTCGAGAAAGCAAACACTTGACACTCGAAGAAGAATCAAATGACAACAAGACATTGAAAAACAAAAGTTGTCTCGAAACACAAGACCTCACTCAAGGAAGCGCCGGTTCAAGCTGCACGTCTTTATTCACGTCTTCAGAATGGTGTGCCCACATCTTGTTTCCCTTTCTCTCCTTGACTGCTCATGCTCATATGCCTTTCGCAGTTCTCTGGATACAAAACACCATTCGCATGTTGACGAAGACAGACCAACCAACAAACATCACTCTGGTCTCTCGTCTCCAAAGCAAAAAGCAAAAAGCAAAAAGAAACAACAACAACAACGAACAACGACAACAGACACATGGCATCAAACGACTGAGGAGGATGAAACTTGGGGAACAGACAGATCTTGCTGGGTTGATTTTGGAGACTGCTGTGGGCTTGCTCATGCTACGGCATGAAGGACGTGGTTGATTTCTTGTCAGATTTTTGTTTACTTTCCTTCTACATTTTGTTGTTCGTGACTCCTATACTCTTCACCTTTGTTGACTGTGTTTTGTGTCAGTGGTTCTGCTTGCTCTCATTCCTTGGAACATCATGACAGGCAATTTCCTTTGTGCGACCACCAGGTCTCATGGACACTGGATAGGAACTGCATCGGATTTGGTTGTCACCGGCAGCTGATCCATCTTTGGCATGAGTGCTGGACCTCTTCCGAGAGTAAGGCTTCCAGGTCAAAGATTGGAGTGACACCCTATCCTTCTCGGCATGAGTGCCGGACCTCTTCCGAGAGTATGGTTTCCAGGTCGATGTTGGATTAACTTCGTGCACCGCTCAACCCTTGACTTGATCTTCCATGAGCGCCGTGGACCACGGAGTTGCGTTGACGGATTATCAATTGTCGGGCTCTGAGTACAATGTGTTTCGTTGTTTTTGGGGGCCATTATATGATGGGAAGAGTGTGGGTTCAAGTGGTTCTGTTGGCTCGATTCATCGGTTCGCGAACAATCTCTCATTTCTCATTGTTCGTACTGCAGTCTACTCTCGTTCAAGTCATTTTACAGAGAATCAAAGACCGCATTGAAAACACCAAACCACATCTCAAGTTTCCACAGTAGATTCTAACAAGGTCGGTTGCCGATGCCATTCCTTCAACTCCTCCAGAGTTGGAACGTAGCCTGATATGCCATGGATGCAGCGCCGGTTGAACTTGTCTTTTCTTCTAACCCATCCTAAACCTTGGAAAGCGCAACTGTGTCGTGAAGTCCCAATTCCCAAGGTCGAAAACTTGAAGCACACACGTTCACGCAAGACACTACCTAGTACTTCATTTCCCCCAATCCACCCAAGGACAAATTCCACCAAACTCACCCACTCACACGAATTCCCCCAAACCCGCGAAACCCACTCCCCGAACCCTCCTGCATATTGACCATTGACAACACGAGAAGCCTCCCAGGCACGGCACTACACTACACTACACTACACTACACTACACTACACTACACTACACTACACTCACACAACCAGCTCCACCTCAGTTCCAACCCATCCACCCCGATCCCAATCCGCATCCAAACCATTCGTACTACAGCTAACAATCCCTCGAACACAGCCTCGAACCCGAACCCACCGCAGGGCCCACAACCGCCGCACGTTGAAACGAAAGACCCGCCTCAGGCTCACTTCACAGTGGACCCAACCCCACGATAAACGATAGATGGTGCATGATGTACGTCGTATGATGTATGTATCTCATGCCGGAGGCGAACGTGCGCTGCAAGCCGCAGTCGCAGCAGCAGCAGCAGAATGACGCATCGGCTGCCTTGCAGCGCAGATGGACGCATGCAACTTTTTCAGGAAGGATGTGCATGGATTGGTGCGTTGGTATGGCATGTACTTGCTATTTTGCGTTGCGTTGCGTTGCGTTGCGTCATATGCAGCGGGTTTAGTGGGTGGGTAACGGGTTGGGGGCCGAGCTCTTAAGAGGAAGCGGATTTACTACTGTGGTAGGTTGCTGGAATGCGGAGGTTTCTTTTGCTGGCTTACTGTTCATGATTTTCTTGGTTATCGTAAGAAGTGGAGGGGATGAATCTGATTGTTTTTAAAATCTACTGAGCTAGGACGATTCTTCCAGGGTTCGTAATAAGTTGGAGTGATACCGGTGAATTTACGTTTGCGGGGATTCTCTTCCGCAGTGACTTACAGTTTGAGTTTACAGAGGGGCTTATGACTTCATTCGAAGCACGATTCAATGTTTGTTCAGATAGCATCAAGTAAATTGGAAAATGGAAGAGCTCCATTAATGCATTTCGCCAGTAAGATACAGAGAATCCCAGGAAGTACCGTCGCTAAACCAGGCCTATTCCAGAACAAAAAAAGAAAGAAACCAAGGTAAGAAGAAAAAGCGGAAAGACCAAAGCGACCCGACCTCAATAAAAACAGGAGGTGAAGAAAAATTGAATATTTACGGTGCGTAGATGAGGTGCCACTGTCTGCTCATATAGAGCCAGGTTGATGCTCATTCGGGTTGTGGGGAATATATGTGAATCATAGATGAAGGGGCGGTTGGATGCTTTTGACGCTGGCCCGTAAACACAGAAACAGAAGCGAAGCAGAAAATAAGATAGCCGCTGTCGTCACAAAAGAAGCTCTAGTACGCCCGGAACTCCAGGCAAAGTCTATATTTCTCAAGGTAAGAGATTGGTGCCCGTCTGGAAGTTCTTAACCGGGATATCGCCCATCTTGGTATTTAGCTGGGGTGGCTGGTCGAAAGCGGGCTTGGAGATGGCCGAGAGGCTTTGTGTTCGACCGGCGGTGGCGCTATCTGTGTTTGAGAGGGTGGCAATCTCAGCGCCAGAAGTAATGGCTGCTTGAGAGGGTCGTCGCTGGATGGTTTCCAGGTATGGGCCGGGGAGGTAACCGACACGTCCGTCACGAGCACGGCAGCGCCACCATTCGGAGGCATTGCCTGTTGGGTCTGACTTGCTGAGGACAGCAACAATGTCGCCCTTTGCTACGGCGAGATCGATGCCGTTGCTCTCTTGTGTCTCGGGGGTGTAGTCGTAAAGGACGCGGCAGAAGTCCAACTTGGTTGGGTCGAGCGAGGCGGACTGCTCGCCATTGGGGCCAAGTAGCTGCGCCCGGCGCTTCGCCTCTGCCTCCTGGGAGCGGGCGAGAGCCTTGATTAGCTTGCTCATGAGGTAGGGAAGACCGAAGACGGCAACGAGGAACATGAAGAAAGGCTTCTTGGAAGGCTTGGCAGGGGCCGGTGAGCCGTCGGGAAGAGTAGCGGGTGCGGATCGCCCGCCCATGAACGCGGCAAAGGCTGCGGGAGTTAGAGAAGTGGCATCTGCTGGAGGAGGTCGGCCGGTGATTTTGGCGATCAATGTGCGGAACCAGCGAATAAGTGTGAAGATCCCCAGTGCTGAGCCGAGGGTGTTTCGCAATGTTCCAAACTGCTCTGCGACAGAGACCATTGCTGTGGGAACAAAGTTAGAATATTGTCATCCCATTTGAGTCCACAAAAGATTGAAAATGATGTCTTACCGAAAAAGGAACTGTGTGTGGCCATGTAAGTGCTTTCCAACATCTGGGCAAAGCCCCCGAATGCTCCAACGATGCTTTCAATCATCTGGAACGTGGCCTGTGTGCTCTGACTAAAGGAGTTTGTCAAGCTGTTGGGGTCATTCGGGTCCTGCCCGGGCATGCCTCCATACATGCCCCCCATCCCACCCATGCCGCCGCCGTACATGCCTCCCATACCACCGTAGCCGCCATAGCCTCCACCGTACATGGAGCCCATGGAGCCGAAGCGCGAGTATGGTGATGAGTAGGCACCCATGCCACCAAGCCCGCCATAGGGGCTGGCACCTAAGCGGGACGCGCCATAGGGCGAGTAGGCATTCGCGTTATTATTCACAACGGAGTTGAGTGCGCTGGGGCGGGAGGGTAGGTCGGGGGCGGTGGAGGTGGTTGCGGGGTTGCCCGCAGAGGGGGTGGTAGTAGCCATGGCGGTTGAAGCAACAGGACTACCGGCGGTGGGCACAGAAGATAAAGCGTTACCTGTACATTATTAATACGGGTTACTCGAGAAGTTACGATGGGAACGCGATCGAGATTGCCTCCACAAAGCCTCGGTTCACCGCTTTGGAGGCCGTTGGTCCCGAGTTCTGGGGAAAGGGAGAGAAACTCACCAGTAGCAGCACCGGCTCTTTCCCACGGTTTTGGTGGCGACACCGACGCCATAATAGTTGACAATCTAGCGCATCGGGTCAAGAAGATGGGGGGAATGAAACTGGGGGTGGAGCGCGATGATGGGGAAAGGGAGTGGGAGAAAGGCAAAGTTCCAGGTCGCATGTGGCCGGGAGTGGAGAAGCCGAGGATGTCGGCGATTGCCGAATGTGTCTTCGATCAACAGTATAAGTAATCAAGTCGCCACAATTTTCTGAGAGAAATGTGAGACTAAAACCAGGTCCAATACCTTGTACCTTTGTTCAATCTCCTGTCAATTTAATTGATCGATTTTCTTTCCAAAACATGGTACAAAAGCTTTGCGGGGTGAAAATCTCTGTGGTGGCAAATTCATCGCAAGTACCGGTGACTCTTATCACAGTACCCGAAATGGGTATGCAGTTCCGAGGCAAAACTACAGTCAAAACATCAAAATTTATCGAGTCAAGAAAAAAGTTCATAGAAATTTATACTTCTGTCATTTATCACAAACAGAGTTCCGATAGCTGCCAGACATCATTTGCAAGAACTCTAGTATAGCCGAAAAAGCCAATATAAATGCAGTGAAGAACACTGATGCAAGTATCCATTCCCAAAAAAATCACAAATAAGACCAGTCTTTTCTCAAACGCCAGATACAATGGTCGCTATATACAACAAATGAGTATGCTAACAAAAAAAAGATGTCGATCAGAGTTCCTCATGTTTCACAGAGCGACGCATGGGGTCGTCTGAACCAGGGGCCTTGATCTTCCATTGACGAGGAGGAACAGGCAGACCCAGCCAGAAAGCCCATAGTCGGTTGGCCTCTGAGCTTAAAATTCCATAACTGTTGATATAGGTTAGTAATCTTGTCATGACTTTATATTGAAAAGAGGAGCACTTACCAAGTCCAAGGGATTCCGATCCAACTCTTCAAGACATACATGGTCGTGTCGCGAAGAATTGTCCACTCGGAGACGAGGTCATCGTAGGCGGTGGGCTTCTCAGGGCGAGGTGGATACTCCCAAGGCTTGCGTCCCTCAATCTTCTGACCTCCTTGGTACCATTCACTGTCATCATCATCCTCATAGTACAAATTACCAGCACCATCGTGGAACACACGTCTGGGCTGCTTCTCATCCGGCTTGACCTCGGCTTGCTTAGGAGCGAGAGGGGCGTAATGGTGCAGGGGAAACGCGTGCTCCTGGCCTGCTTCATAGGCTTCGTGGAAGCTGCGCGCGGCAGCAAGACTGTGAGAAATACGGCCGAGGGTGTTGATCAAGGAGACCAGCTCGGTGCGGCGCAGAGGCGGGTTCTCACCGTTCTTGGTCTCGTCATACTCGAAGAGAACCTTTAATGCGGTTCCGTATCCGTTGACTTGGAGCTTACCCCAAAGACGGCACTTGTCGCAGCCCACGCAGTCCATCAGGCGGCTGACGTTGCGGAAGCGGTTTCGGAAATCGTCTTTCAGGCCGTGGGCAATGGGATCTTGGAACATGAGCTCCTCGTCAAAGATACGAGGTGGGCGCGCAAGAATCTCCGCAAGCTGGTTGACTCGCTGCTTGGTATCGAAATCCTGGACGGGATCGCTGGTACAGAAAGTGTAGCTCTGCAGGTGCTTGCGGAGCTTGGCCACGGCGCGGGATACCAGGGCGTAATTGAAGTACATGTTGGAAACACGTTCGGGGTGGTCATGCAAGCGCTCCTTGTAGCACTGCATATTGGGTTGCCACTGTCCAGTCGTCTGGTTCAAGTAATCCCAGCAAAGATGAGTCGAGATCGAAGCGTGCATACCACTGATAAGACGGTGGAAGACACGCTTCTCCAGACATTCGTTATCTAACGGCAAACCTTCCAAGCGCTGCGACTCCTGCAATAACACGCTGCGGAAATCAGATGCGGCTTGAAGTCCGCCCATTGGCACGCTGACGGCCTGCTCCTCCAGCTCCTCTTCGGTAGACTTCACGAAACAATTCTCGCGGTAGATGGCGTCCCATACTTGGTGTGCACCAGGTCCGGAGTATCCCGTGAATCGTTCAGGGTTGTCCACAAGACTCACGTAGTCGCCCTTACCCGCTGAGCCCTCGTCCTCGGGGACACAGTAGTCTCGGTCGTCACATTCATCATCATATTCGACCACACAACTTTCCCCAACACCCTCGCCGAGCATTCCCTGGAGGGGTCGTTCCGGACGTTCCGCTTGTACCTTTCGAGGTGGGTGATGGGCTTTGGGTCCCTCCAGCTTGCTCAGCTCCTCCGAGCGCCAGGTGAGGGGAATGTCCTCCTCGGAATCAATAGTATTCACAGCGCACGCAATATTTCCACACATGCTATCGGCATCGGACCAGAACGGGCATTCTTTGTTAAACAAGTTCAATCGGTAATATGAGAAGAAATCGGTTTCGGTAGTAATGCTTTGAAGGAGGGTGTAAACTTCGTCGTTCAATTTGTTGATGGTGCCATATGAGACACACGCGTCTGTAACCATAGCAGAAGGGTCGAACTAGTGATCACGAGAGAGTCAGCAATTGAAGTCCAACAACGGGGGGTTTTTTCTGTATGTCTCGCCTGCCGGGCTTCCGAGAATGACTTACAGCGCATTTCGCGGTATCAAGATCTTGCGAGGCATGACTAGTATCTGCCAGACTCGCCAAGGCGAAGACCGCGGTGTAAAACAGCTTCGCGGCGGAAGGCATGTTGGCGACCATGAGTTGGGGAAATTAGAGAGAGTTGTATGAAGAAAACAGAACGCGGAGTGGAGTCCGGCGACGCTGTATACGCAATGTGGCGCAAAACGAAAATCTCCCCAACGGTATGCGAAATCGAGTCACAGGTGTGTCGCGCAGGTCGGATAGTAATCACAGACTTCGATTCATGTCCCGGAAGGAATGTTGGCTTATAAAGAAACAAAGTTCAAAAAGGAAGTGGACAATCTGGCCCTTCGCCGCAGTGGCGGATTCCTTTATCACCGGCCCGATCGCCGCCAAGACGTGGTCTGATGCACGCTGATTGGCTGGAGCCTTGTAAACCCCAACTTATCAATTGATATAAATAGTTTGGTTGATCAATCAATGGCTTCATGTCGTATGACTGGGGAAACGGTTGAGTATGAGATGTTGGGGAGATCACTTCTACCTACGTTTATGCTGCACATGTGTTGTTGCACCGAATACATGTATGTTTTGGAATAGGACAGTCGTACAACCCACGGTCAAATCATGTTAGATTTGTGGCTGATTGTGGCTGCCAGGAATATATCCATGGATGTAGCGATACTTAAATCTTATTTTCGAGCAACCAAGATCAGCCTACTAAACGGAAGAGGAAATGTTTAAAAGAAGAGAAAATACCAAATATTAAAAAAAGCAGAAAACAGAAGAGGTATCGCCTGAATAAGCTTCGGCAAGACTCAAAGAAGAGTAAAAGAAGGTTCAAACCGAAAAGTGAAAGATAAGAGGTTTCTGACTTGCCCGAAGGAGGAAAGTAAAAGTGGCCGAAAGGAAGCCTGTAAAAGTCTTTCATATACGCAGCATCACTGAGTCTGACATCCATATACAGTCAGATAACTTTAAATACATGCAAGAAACAAAAAAGGAGCCAAGTTTGCAGTCAGGCATAAGTCGCTGGGTCAATATTTATCACAAAAGAATGGACAACAAAAGGCTGGGATATCCAAAAGAAGGTTGACTAGATAAGATCACAGAAGCAGACAAATTCAACCAAGCTTCTAGTGACCTCCTGCCCCCCCGGCTCCGCCAGCGTTGCCTGAACCACCAGAGCCAGAGCCAGAGCCCGAACCAGAGCCGGAGCCGGAGCTGGAGCCGGAACCAGAGCCAGAACTCGAAGAGCTACTCACAGCTTCACCACCAGAAGAGGTATACTCAAAGCTGTAGGTCGGAGTATACTCTGCCGTCGTGTCGACCGCAATAGTGACCCAACCAAAGATGCCATCAGACACGTCATCACCAATATAAACATACTCGAACACAGGGTCCGAGGTGCTATCCTCCGTCTCGACGAGAAACACCCGATCCTCGGCATTTGTAGTTATTTCAATTGTATTGGTGCTGTAAGGGGAAGTAGCCTCGACAATGGAAATCAAGCTCTGGTCCCAGAACAGCTGGCCAATATGGGGGACTGTACCACCGGTCAGGGTACCGTTGGAGAGGATTGTGGCATTCAGATGCAGAACCACGTGGTGGTGGGTAGCACGGCCGGAATAGTGGCCGGGGAAAATGGACTCGAACGTCGCGACTCCATCCGAGTCGGTCGCCTGGACACCGCGGAGGAAGGTCTTGTTTAGGTTGCCAGTGTCTGCGGTGTTGCCGTTGCCGGAGGAAACAACACCGGAGTATACCTAAGATGAGGAGTAGTCAGTGAGTTTGACATGCAAGTAATTAGATGGAAGGTTGCGGTGTTGACAAAACATACTCCAGTCGAGTTGCAGTTCCAGATGTCCCAGTAGGCCCCCTCGATAGGATCACAGGTGCTGACGTCCAGGAACTGAGCTTCAATAACGATCGGAATTCCCTCTTCGTCATCGCGCACATCCTCTCGGATCAATTCGCCCAGCACATAGAAGGGACCGACTTCACCCTCGGGGTTGAGCACGCATGTCCCACTATCAGAGAAGACCGTGCTATCATCACTGTCAACTGTGATGTCCGATCCTGTGTACAAGTGAGACGTATCAAGGATGGTGGTGGTGTCCCGCCTGGACTTCAGCTGACGGCGGTACTTGTCCACAGTGGCTCTGCGGCGAGCTTCGGCACGGGAATTGAGACCAGAGAGCTCGCGCTTTTCTGCGCAACTGGCCAAGTCCCGGCGAACTCGCTGCTTGAATTGCTGAACGCCCAGGTCACGATGTTCCAGCTCGTTGTGGCCAGGGTGGGCGAGAGTGACCGTGGCTAGGCCAACAGTCGCGAGGAAAACCGCAGATTTCAACTTCATCGTGGAGGAAAATAGCAATAGTTGTTATAAAGAGGAGACCTGTTTGTTTGAAAGATGAGAGTCAATATTGCTGTCGTGATGAAGGTAATTGCAGCGTCCGAATCGGCCCTTTTATAACTTTCCTTCTCACCATACAACACTTTCTCCAGAAATGTTTTCTTTCTCATTCGTGGCTTTTCAAATATGAATCCCCCCGCGTTGAAACAGGTCTGTCGACAGAATCGTAGACATTGTGCCACGGGATCAACAAACAACACTGCCAAAAATTACAAAGTGGTGCTCTCAAACTGCCCTGGAAAAAGTGAGTTGCGTATGTCTTCTCTTGGCTACTCTATATTACGTGCCATTCTAGCTGCTTTCGAACTTCTTACAGGGGACGGAGATGAATTTTGGAAAAGGAGCAATAGACTTCACCACGGTAGATCCAAGCCACCAGTATGTGCACGGAACAAGCTCCGAATTTACAGTGGCAACTATTCAGCGAATGTGATGAATATTCCACCCGTCATAGAAGAATTCTTTTTTTTTGAGTGATATAAGGCTAACTGAAGAAATTAGTTCCAGCCACTGACTCCCTGCCACCATTATGCACTTCCTATAGCCTTAAATGGTTATACATAAGTCTGTTGTGACCTAGAGCGTAGTATAGTATAGAAAGCCCCGCTTGCCAAGGTTTCAAAGTCTAGTGCTGGTCAAGTTTGTCCAGGAGCAATCGGTTGGTTTTGGATACTCATTATGCACAAGGTGCACATGCATAAATGAATATGTCGAGAGTGGATGAACATCGATTGATAAATTTGTACAGTTGAAAGCACTTGTGGGAACATGCCTTAGACACCATACACACACCAATCATCCGACAAAGCTACCAGCGATGGTGAAGTTGAGAAGTGCTCAATATCAGCACCAATATTGACTCGGCGCTAAGAAACACGCGTTCATTCATGTCAGTTTCTCAATGTGATAGAAAGCGCCAAGAAATGGAGTAATTAAGCGGAATTATACTATCTTGGCTTGGCCGATCATCCCCCACATTATAGACCAATCCCGTTGGCAAGGTTCGTAACGTTCGTGTGTCAGATGGTCGGCACATGTGCAGGAATGCCACGCAAAAAGTTTGGCTTAAGACCACAAAAAAAATCTCGCGTGCGGACCTCGGGGCGAAAAACCCTCCAAAAACCGCGCGCAGCCTTACAACCGTTTCGACCGCGTGCCACCATTCTCCACTCCCGCTGTGGTAATATCAGAGCGCGGTGTGGTAAGAAGTAGCAACATTCGCTTTTTTGCCCTTTCCTCTTCTTTGCTCGAATTATACTTCCACGATTCATGGGGACGCGTCAGCCTCCCCCGGTCCAAATGCGCCAAGAGCCTGAAGAAACGCCATTGACGGATTCGTACTCCGTGCCAAGGATATCGGCAAATCATCTCATGTTGATTTCCAAGTGCGAAGGCCGGAGAGGTTTGTTTTTTGGTCCCGCCCCTTCCCCTCCTCCGGCTCCCATTCTTGGCGCGGAGACTTCGAAACGACTACTAGTATATGTGAATTCTGGTGTATCGAAATCTGACAAATAGTGTATTATTGAAGAGAAATTCATGCGCAACGGAGCCTATACATCATGCTGTGCAAATAGCGTCAATTTGAAGCAAAATCATATATGACTAGTAATCTAAAGAGCTCGTCATCAGTAAGCGGTTGACTTTCAAATATAAAAAAGCATTAATAATAGATAATTTAAGCAAGATTAAGTATAATAACCTGAATGTATTAAGCACCTCCACGGAGATAGAGGTGAAAAAAATTCAGGTACTTAGGGGGTACTTAGAGAATATGTCCAAATCGGGTTAGAGGGAGTATATGAGTAATTTGGGGAGTACGTGTAGCAATTACCGATTTCTCGTAGCTGTGTAAAAGATAATTAATCTGTAGTAGTGTCACAGTGTGAATGAATGCACTATTTTAATTGGTTGTTAGTGGTAAATAACGGGACGGTCCGAGGGGGTTACGCTATTGGGACTAGCGTGGAGAATAAATGGATAAAAAGGTCAATTTGGATTAATCAAGGACGTCGTGGTGCAGCGGTTAGCACATCCACTTCCTACTCTGTTTGCAATGCACTGCTAGACAGTCTTTTATTATTACTACATATGCGCAAGACTAGGAAGTGGAAGAGGTCGGTTCGACTCCCACCGACGTCGTTTTTTTTTTCTTTTCTCTTTATCTTTCTGCCTCCATCCTTCTCCTTCCCTCCCCCTCTTCTCTGTATAGATTCCCTTTCCATCCAGACTCGAAGATCGATTAAGACCCAAGAATTGCCCACCATGTCCACAGGTCTTCCTATAGGATACTGTTCCATGATTCCGTATATTGCTGCCAATTCTAGGTGTTCATCCGAGATGGACGAATTTGAATTTGGTTCTATTCTTTTTTCTGAGCACCTAGTGTCAGTGTACCAATTCTTGACCTTGTAGCAGCTAGGTGTAAGATAATTATAGATATCTTGAGGACTCCTGAAGTATGCCTCAATCGGAAGCGTCTAGAAGGAGAAAATTTGAGTGTTTTGGAACATTGAAGCAGTAGATTATCTACAAGATGTTCAACCTGCAAGCTTAGAACTACATAGTGCCCTGTGGTTCTCTCGCTGTGCACGCTGCCACATGTGCCGTCAGCGAATCTGGACGTGCATAAATATTGAAGCTTTTGCTCAAACATCAATTTCATCAAGCATCTCATACGACCGATCCTTAGTCTCCGGGAACTCGAAGCACATACACGACAACAAGACTGATCAAGTTGGTAGCCAAGAATATCCAGCCCATCTTCAAATGGTTCGGCCATATGACCTGCACTTTCACTCCATCTTTGTGTAGACAACTCGTTCTCTCTGTCTCTTCTTGCTCTTCCTTCCTTGCAGCACCCAATACCACAGCATTGCGTTCTCGCCCTCGTTCCTTGTTCGTAGACTCGTTCTTCGTTCTTTCAGGTTATGAGCGCTCGTGCCAGTCAATTCAATCTAACCCGTTGATTGACTCTCCCGTTCCTTCGTTTACGCAGTTTCACCAGCGTTTCCTGTAACGCACCCGGCTTTTCAGCGTTCCTGCATCGCTCACCCCTTGTTCGCTGGTCTCTCAGATTGCACCTCTTCGTTCGCTGGTCTTTCAGATTGCACCTCTTCGTTCGCTGGTCTCTTAGATCGCACCCCACATCGGAAGAATCAGTTTCTTTCATCGAAGCTCAGCAACAGCTTCCACCAGCGACATATCCTACAGGTCATCACGGTACATCACTGTCGCCTCGTGAACAATCGCACTCGCCGGAAGCCGGAACCTTCACAAACCGCGCATTGAAATAACGGTTCTTTCTCGGGCAACCGCGATCCATCATCCTCACCCCACGACAAGTCACTGTCACCAAAGCCTCCACAGTCGGAGCATCCCTTCTCATCCTTTCTAGCCATCCACCATGTCTAGCTTCGTTCCTGCTGGACGTATTGACGCTTTGTCGCTTGCGAACAACGTTAAGAAGCTTAAGACCGAAGCTGATTGGCGCAAATGGAAGGAAGATTTTGAGATTTTATTGGGAACTTACGACCTGAAGTGCTGGCGGATCTTCAAAGGTCTTATGAAAAAGCCAGATGGACCCAGTAGGGAGCGAATCTACAACATTCCCGTCATGAATGCGTTTCTTGTTTCGTTCTACAATAATAATGTGACGGACGTTCCTGATGACGCCCTTGGCAAATTACAGAAGTGCCTATCTGAATGGTACCAGATCAATCTCACGGGATGCATGCTTCTTAATGCGACAATCTCGCCTGAGGCTGCCACCATGATCTCAAACGTTCATGACCTCCGTGAGGCGTACCTCATCCTTGAGAAGGCTTATTATCACACGTCCTATCCAAGTACAGTGCTTATATGGGAAAAGGCCGTCCATCTTCGCTACAAGAAGAAAGACACGGCACAGGGTCATTTACAACGATTCCAGACTGCGATACAGGATCTACTTGCTGTTTACCCCAACATTGTTAACAACATTACTGTGTTCCATATGTTCATCTCGAGCATACGGTTGCATCCTGGTATGGAGCGGTTTACCGCAAACCTCACTGTTGACACAAAGAACATCACAGACGCCGTACTCGCCGACGTCTACTCACGTTTCCTGTTGAATGATAAGATGTTATCACCAGGTTAAGGATTACTCGATTCTCAGAGAGTAGAAACAGATCGGGGTTCTATTAACTCCGTGGCGCTAGGGATTCCATGGGCTGATGGTGCATGTGGAAATAAGTGAGCGATTCTGAGATCATTCAAGGCTTCGAAAGTTGAGAAAAATATCCATCCATTGAGCAAAACTAGATTAAATTGCATTGAAAACTGTTTCATAACACTAACAGTACATTAAAAACAACACGCTGTATACTTGGCTTTCCTCTTGTCTGTCAGTTCTCTCATCTTGCCATTTCATGGTATGAGGAAGCTCCAAGTATTTGGAATTCGTGTACAGTAGCGACTACAGCGCAAGCAAGCATCCAAGAGAGAAGTTCCCAACCAACCGATCTCTACAATTGACTCCACCGGCTTTCCGCGACCCGTTCGCAGCCCCCACATGTAAAGACACTAGACTCGTGAGAGTCCAGCTACCTGATCGTACTAAAAAGACGAGAAAGACATGTCGTTAGCTCGAGATTTCTAACCAATGGAAGGACCGGGACAAAACTTACACCTTCAACCCAGAATCCATGCGGGCCCAAGTATTTCTTGGAGAAGGCATTATATTCATGCCAATTGAAAGGCCGCGGCTCACAGAGCTTGACACCATGAGACCAGTATGTGACAAGGCCCTTAGATGTGCCGCCACACTGCAGCCTTCCCGCTCTGTACTCGACAAGAACGGCGTAGATATTGGCAAGCTGATTGTTTACGTCGCTCTCCCATATCCAGTCACGCAGTTCCTTCAGTTGATTGACGCGTTGAATGACGTCCCAACTCAACAGAGGAGATTCTCCAGCGCGTGCGATCCTATTTAGACATTAGCATCGGTAATATCCTAGTTTCTTGGCAAAGTTGTACTCACTTGCGCTTGGATTCCAACTCGTGCATTCGTTCTTCGAACAACCCGGGCATAATGTTATCAGCGATGCGCTCCAGACACCTGTCGATGTGGCTATCAATGTCACTACAAGTGTTGTTAGTTATTGATAATCGACCAAACAGTACCTTAGCTAGACTTACTCGTCTTTCAGATCGGGTTCCAAAGAGCTCCAATCTGCTGGCAGCTTCTTCCAGTCCGTCAAAGGACTCGAGCCATTGTGTTTCCACCTCGGGTTTCTTGGCCCCACTTCCTCCGTGGTTTCTTCGTCAACATCAACCACGTATGACCTATCGAGGTCCAGTTCTTCAACTTTGATGAGGAGATGTGGAAGCAAAGGGCGGCGTTTCACTGTTTTGGTTGGAGGGAGTGTCTTGACTGTTTCCTTGACGGTCATCTCTTCGGTCGCAATTTCTTCGACCTCCTCATTCACCTCCTCTTTGGCATTGTTCTTCTTCTTGTTGGATGTCTTCTTCTTGGTGTCTTTCTTAGTATTCGACTTTTCCTTGGACTTTGAAGCCGCTTTTTCCTTGGTAGTCGATTTCTTTTTCTTCGAGGGAATTTCATTAGAGGCTTCCAACTTGCGCTTCTTGTCAGCTGTCCCGCGGTCTGCAGTTTTCCGCTGCTTCGAATTTTCAGCGGGAGATTCAGTGGAAATCATTCTGGTTCGACGGGATGCCCGGCCTGACGCCTCGTCGGGGCTCTCCACTGGGACGAGCGGCATCGTGGTTGGATGAGAGAAAAAGGTGAGGTAATGTGAAAATGAAGGTCCTTGTGGAGAAATTGAAAAGGTCTGAGTTTGGGCATCAACTCCAACTTATTAAAGCCCAGGGACCGTCTTGGTGCAGGAAAGAAAAAATTCGGAAATTTCCAAGGCTGGGAAAAGATGTCCCAGCAACCATACCAACATTGAACAGGAACAGGAACAAAGAAGGAGTGCTTACTCTGGCTCTCTTCAATTCTTTGTTTGAGCTGCTCTTTCCCTTCCCAATCGCATCGACTTTTCTTTGATGATTCTCTCGTCTGCTACCTCTACGCACTTTAGCGAAATCGACACTGATGAAAGAAAATTTCAAAGAAATAGATTTTGGCGCTTGGAACAAAAAAGAATCATTTAATTTTTTCAATTTATTATGGAGAACCAGACGAGCCAAAATTAGAATATCGAGATTCGATATTTATTGATATTTGTTGATACTTACACTGGGTTTTGGCATAACGGAAGATTCATGCGAGTGCAAAGATGTTCTATCCAGGCTAAAAATAGATCCAGTTGAGCTTTTATTGTTGTGTTCCTCGCCATGACTGTGTTATTAACTGCCAAATTTCTCCAGGGAGTTGGAAAACCAAGACATTCATGAATCTGGACAGAGACCATCAAGTTATCTATGGGCTTCTCGTTTAAATAGATTATTCCAACTAGAGAACAATATAAATCATGTAGATGAGGAGTGCTATTGATCTAGGGATGTTAACCTTGAAAGTCACCTGTTCAACGTCCTTCTAACCTTTATTAGTATATTCAATACCATCAATTGATCGATTATCTATGAGATCAGCTTCAATAACTAGCTAGTAAATGAGCATCCCCAAGCCCCTGTGGTGATCAGCTTGTAAGTCGCATTTGAAGGGTTAATCACCAGCTAGTAAGACGTGTTGATCATCTCCAGTCTTGACTCTTCATTACTATTCATACTGGAAGCAACCGCACTCATCCGTTATACTTAATTCTGCATCAATCGAGAATGCGACAAAAAACCCTCCACTTGGGAGAACCGTCGCTCGACCAAGCATATTTCTTCCTTCCCAATCTCTCCAGATGATACAGTACGTCCCGTAATTTGTAAATGGTGCAACTGCCTACACTATTTAAGTGATTATTTAGCCCCACTGCCAAGAGACACTAGTCTATATTTGGAGTTTTCCCGAAAATTCCATGGGTATTTCTGCGTACATGAGTTACATGGTAGTTTCAAGCAGGTATTAGCTTGTAAACTCAATACATGTGACACCTCGATGCCCCTCGTCTCAATCGGCTTTCCTCCCAAGGCACACTTGACAATTGATCACAAGCGGTCCAACCAAAGATGGATACAGATTATGACTTGGAATATCTCGCGGCCTCAAGGCACAATTCTAGGGCCTCTCTTTTAGGTTGATCATTTGCAGATTCGTGCTAGAGACAACAGCTGACAAGCTCTAGAAGATTCAAAGCCGAGAGACACCCATTCCGGTTTTCTTGCCTTACCATATGAGCTTCGAAACAAGATAATCAAATACATCATCGGCTCTACGTACTCTACTCACGAGCTCGAGGCATGGCAAAAGCTTCAATACACTGGTTATCGCACAGGTTGGGAGGTCAAGCCGGAGGACTTCACTATCAGTTCTACCGGTCTCAAATGCCATTCGATAACATCCTTCAATATTGCTCTTGTGAATAAACAACTTCGACAAGAGGCGCTCAGGATCATCTTTCGGAATGCGACTGTCTGTATTCATGTCCACATCCCCAGATACGGACCATTCAGCACGATCCCAAGCGACATATCCAAGACCTATCGTACTCTCCGCGAGTATTCAATGCTACTGGAACTGGCACGCAATATTACCTTGATCGTTGATCCACAGCCTGTGTATAGCCAGACGCTATCACATAAAGTAGGCTCAGCCTTGAACACAATATTTGGGTACGATAGAAGTGTACTTTGGGGTCTGCTGTCAATGTTATGTATTGCTATCCCAATGGCCGGTATCGCTCAACTCGCTGCACGGGTTTCCGCTATTGCGCCTTTTCAAGGAAAACGACACACTGATCTTCAAGGCCTTGTTGATCTTCTCGTGCAGGTGCCCGGAAGCAGCACACATATGAAGACCATTGTCTATCTGGAGCACTTGCATCCACAAGATCTTGAAATTGTCCTCGGTTTATTGAACTTGCGACGTGGTCCCAAGACGCTGGAGGAAGTTTGGGCTTCCTGGTCTGGGTATGATATGGGTCTACAGTCTATAAAAGAGGAATATGAAAAACACTATAGGGGTTTAGTGATGTTTGCTGTGGAGCAGGCTGGGTGCACGGAGGTTCTCAGTATGCCTGCAGAATTTGAGGTTGATGAGACCGACGAGGGGGATGTTCGTGGCACTCAGTACATAGGGAGGAGCCGAAGAACCTGGACAGAGAACAACAATCTTGAGATAATTCTAGAGTGACAACTAAAATAGAACTAATCTAGTTCTAGGACCTCTTTAACACTTATAATTACGACTGTCCGTCTTCTCACGACTGGGGATCGTGCTAGGCTTCCCCTTACCAAAAGCCGAACAAATTGCCGGATTCATTTATTTGTTTCGGTGATACATTACTGTACTCGAATACTAGCAATTCAGCGGTGTCAACGAGGCAGCCGTGAAACCATATTCCATTTAAATGAGCGTAAGCGGCTAGGAACATCGAGTATGTACTACGACTACGACATTCGTATGCGCTGTTGGAGACTTTTCAGGTCGTAGATTACGGAAGATGTATTAGCGATATTAGTGGTTTTTAGATTGCTCTCGACCATATCACAAATCAAAAACCGCTTCGATGGGGATAAGTTAGGAGCCATTACTTGCAGGTCGGGTGCCGAGTAAGCCCACCAGACCGACTTGGAAATAGGAGCAGGTAAGTGACAGATCGCCAGATTCTAGAGGGAACTCCCAAGATACAGTTACGAGACGAGGCACCGTATTTTAATGAAAATAAATCACGGTATCGAGACTGGTACAGGAATATTGATATTCCGGGACTCTTCCTAATATAGTCTAGTGTGCATTAGTAGTGGGGCTAAATAATCACTTAAAGAGTGTAGGCGGTTGCACCAGTTTCGGGACGTTCATCTTCCCGGCTGGACACTTGCCAGTGGGAATACCATTCTGCGAGTATTTGGAATTCTCAACTATCAACATCTGTTCTCCCCCCGCCATATTTTATCCTGCTTCATCGCTTTAGCTAGGCACTTTGGCAAGCGTGATTCAACTGTTGATTCCATCAAGACTTGAACTCGACTTCCATATCCTTTCGTTGATCCTACATGGATCCTCACTCCTTCCTCTCCCAACGTGAGGTGAATTTCAATGTTCCGTGAATGAATTCGTATACCCTCTCTTTGCCATTCTCCCGTGGGATGTTATTACTGGAGCCTGCTACCACGGAGTTTTCGACTAGCAACATCTTTATAGCGTCCGCTGCTTGTCTTCCGTCCATATCTCTCCTCGCTGCCCGAGATTGAATGCATTATCACCAGAACCTTCCACGAGTGATTTCTGGACTATAAAAGAATTTCTTGCCTCTTCCACATTTCTTCCTTCTTCATCTCCCTTCTCCAGCCAGCATCGAATTGTTCATTTCTGGGGCCTACCACCATCGATTGTTCAACTATTAACACCTTTCTTCCGTCCATATCTCTCTTCCCCGGACGACACCATCATTGTGTGAGATTGAATACATCGACAATGGAACCTTCCTCAGGTGAATTTTCGACTGAAACAAGCTTCTTCTAGCGTTTTTCTTCTTCGTCACCTTCAATCCCCACCTTGGGCGACATTGAATTATTTGTTGCTGGAACCTTCTGCAAGCAAATCCTCGACCATAAAAGCACTTTTTACTCCCTCCATCTTTCTTCCGTCTTCATCTACCCTTCCCTCTCTGGATACAATTCAATGCTCGTGGCTGGAACCTCCTATGGGCGAATCTTTGACTATAAAAGCCCATTTTGCCTCCCTGGACTTCTTCCTTTCTTCATCTTCCCCCCGGTCCATAAACCCGATCCAGGTCCCTATAACCCCTTGAGTCAGACTGAAGGAACCCCCCGCAGAGAAACTCTTGACCTCGACTATGAAAGCCTATTTCACATCGCTCGATTTTCTTCATCACACTCTCTCGTTACGCGAGATCACTGGAACATTCTGTGAGCAGAACTTCGACTATAAAACCCAATTTCGTCCTGTTCAACTTTCTTCCTCCTTCATCTACCCTTTTATGTTTCGGTAAGATTGAATTTTTCTTGCTCGAACTTTCCGCGAGCGGATCATTGAGAGGTATAAAATCCGGTTTGTCGTCTTTAGCGATCTTCCTTCCTCATCACTCCTCTACACACTGGCCAAAATCACTAGGACATTCTGCGGGTAAATCTTCGACTAAAATTCCGATTTTTCGTCTTCCACATTCTTCCTTCCTCATCGCCTCTGCACGATAGGTGATATTACTGGAACGTTCCGCAGGCAAATTCTTGGCTTTAAATACGATTTGTCGTCTTCAACGATCTTCCTTTCTCATCACCCCTCTGCACGACAGTTGATATTACTGGAACGTTCCGCGAGCAAATCGTCGGCTATAAATCCGATTTTGTCGCCTCAAACTTTCTTCCTTCTTCATCACCCCTCTGCACGACAATTGATATTACTGGAACGTTCCGCAGGCAAATTCTTGACTTCAAATCCGATTTGTCGTCTTCAATGATCTTCCTTTCTCATCACCCCTCTGCACAATAGGTGATTTTACTGGAAGGTTCCGCGAGCAAATTGTCGGCTATAAATCCGATTTTGTCGCCTTCAACTTTCTTCCTTCTTCATCACCCCTCTGTACGACAGTTGATGCTACTGGAACGCTCCGCGGGCAAATCCTTGACCATGAATTCCGATTTGTCGCCTTTAACTTTCTTCCTTCTTCATCTCCCCTCTTCTGCATGCGTGAGATTGAAGAAATCTTCTGCAGGAAATTCTTCGAGTTCGAGCATAAAATCCCATTTTGACGACTCCGCCTTGCTTCGATTTTCATCTCACATCGCCTCCCCGGATGAGATGGGACTTTTCCGAAAGCAAATCCTGAATTCAAAAGTTTGTCCCTCCTCTGACAAAATTTCCTCAACTCGATCAAATACACAATGCGACAAGACATGGGTCGCCGCTTTCACCCGAAACAGTCTACTCATAATTTGTGAGCTCTGGCACTAAAAAAAGAGCCAAAAATGGGTAAAAGGCACACCTGCGCTCAACATATACCAGCGGGTAATACATCCTAAAAAGATGGCCAAAAAAATGGAAAACAAAAATTGAAAGAAAAATCAAAAAAAATGAGGAAAAACGAGAGAAAACGAGAACAATGAGAAAAACGAGAAAAACGAGAAAAACGTGAAAAACGTGAAAAACGAGAAAAACGAGAAAAACGTGAAAAACGTGAAAAACGTGAAAAACGTGAAAAACGTGAAAAGCGAGAAACTCCGCATTTAGCTGTTGAGGAGCTTCTGTGCATACGAACCGTGCAGCAGATCCTCTGTGATGCTGGGAGGGGGGCGGGGGGGTCGCAATGTGATGAAAATCTAAGCCTCTGTTGCTGCTGCGGTGGAAGAGCATCCAAAGTCAGGTGCTCTTCCACTCGGAGGGCAAGAGATGGGGTATACAATTCTAAGCCTCCGTTGCTGCTGGGGGAGTGCTATGTGACGAGAATCTAAGCCTCCGCTGGTGGTGGTGCAGCGATATGGTATGAGACTATACGCCTCTGTTGGTGGTTGAGAAGTGATACGGTATGAGACTCTACGCCGTTCGAGAGTCAATGCTGCAAGAGATTGCGGTGCTCTTCCACTCAGCGGGCAAGAGTCTTGCAAGGTTCGCAATTCTAAGCCTTGGTTACTGACGGGTGGTGGAAGAGCTCAGAGAGTCTCTGCTGCTTGAAATCCACCTTAGTCAAGCTTTACGATACCCGCTACGCTTGACATCGAGTCTGGGCACCCGTGGGCGAATGCTTGGGGTTAAGCATCGAGGTCCGCATGCATGCTTTGGGTTGGGATGCTATTGATGCATTTCTCGATCAACTTCTACTGAAAAAGCCGTCCCGCTATTCCTCTTAGAATACGACACCGAAGGGGAAAGCAATTTAAGGGGGGATCATCAAACCGAAGCATGAGCTTTTGTCCGTTTAAAATGCTAGACTGGTGTGACGAGTCTTGAACTCCCATATGAAATTCGGAGCGCCATGATAGTGACGACGAAAATGAACTGGTGTCGATGGGGTACTACAAGTTCAACCCGTGCAACACCATGGCCGACTATCCGTGGAGCAATTCATGACCAACATTCAATGTTTTCTCCCAAATACATACATTTTAAATCTAAACTCCTCTAATCCTAAACATTCAAAGCCCCTTCCTAAACAAGTAGAACTACTACTATAAACCATACCCCCAAACCTTCTAAAACAACCTCTCCCCATTCACCAAATCCCTCCCCCGAACCATCTCCTTAAGCCTCTCCTCCTTCCCATGCACCAAATCAGTCCCCGCCTGCTCCAACACATCCGCATCCACAATATCCTCTAACCCAAGACACCTCGCCGCAAAAGTAAAAATCTTCCGCTCAACCAACGCCGCATTCCCCGTAAGCCCATGATCGTCCCCAGGAAACAGCCTAATACGCCTATCGCCCTTCTCCCCATACTGATGAAACAGCGTCTCCGAGCACGACGGCGAAAGCACACTATCTGCCTCCCCATGCAGCAGCAGGAGCGGCCGCGGACTCAGCGCCCTGACGGCCTCCGTCCCGGCGATCTGGGACGCGATGGCAACGACGCCGAGCACGCGCTCGGGCTCTTGCGCCGCGACGCTGAAGCACGGGCTCCCGCCGAAGGACCAGCCGACTACCAGGAACTTTTGGGCGCCGTACTGCGCGTGCAGGTGGTCGAGGGCTGCGCGGATGTCGGCGGTGCAGGTGGTTGTTTCGGAGGGCGTGCGGTAGTCCAGGCGGATGCAGGGGATTGAGAGGAGGAGGGCGATCTTGTCGGCGAGGGAGGGGTAGATTCCTGCGTGCGGTTGGCTGTTAGTGGGTCTGTGTAGGTTGGTTTCGAAGGAGGTTGGGGGTAGGGTAGGGTTGGAGGGTTGGTGTATGTTACCTGCTGGTCCGGAGACACCTCCGCCGGCGCCGGAGACGAGGACGACGGCGCTGGTCCGTTTGTCGGATTTGTTGTAGCTTTGAACTTCGTAGATGATTGGGGGCTCGTGGATGATTGACGGGGCGAAGGAGTCTTGTGGGTCGCAGACTTTGATGTTTACTTTGTTGGCTATGCAGAGCTTTGGCGTTGAGGGGTCGATTTGGGGGGCGTGCATGGGTCCGATGTTTGAGAGGGTGTGAGGGGGATGTTGTTGGGACATTTTGGATATAGATTAAATGTAGATTGTATGATATTTTGATTGGCAACAATGATTTGTTTTAATTGAAATGCTTAAGGGTAGTAGTAGCTTGGTCTGTATGTAAATTGATGATAGAAGGGCTATATCTCAGGATGAGATCAACTTGACGACAGAGGCAAACCCATGGCTTCGGTAACCTTCGCATGGCACCGATGAAGCGGGTTATATTTGATCATCTTTGGGTATACCAGAACTATGTGCGCTCTTGCCATTATTCCCACATCGATCACGGATATGTAGTCCCATTAACAAACGTGGTGGAGTTCCACTCATTCGCCATCTAACATTCCCATCAGCAATCAGACCTTCAACGAAGAACACATCCAATCCACTTACATGCCAAGCATCGATACGCAAAGTCGAAACGCCCTCCGCAGTGTCGCCGACATTTTGCAAAATTCCAAAAGCTATAAGAGTCACCGTGTCAGATCACAGATTATAGACACCCAAATCCCAAAAAAAAACATACCAACAACATTATTCAACCAATAGTACTCCTTACTCCCTGTCGCAATATTGATCCTCAAATGCAGATTGCCATCGGGCTGCTCAGCTCCCGAGGTTTGCAGGTATAGATAAGCCCCATCATGGGTCTGCAGATTATATCTGGTGTTCGCGGAGAAAATGCCCGTCTGCGGATCGGCGGTTCCCCAGTCCGCGCCGAGATCGAGGATCTTTCCTTTCAAGCGGGGTCCGGTGAAGTTGCCGCCAATGATAGGGATTGCAGCTTGGATTCCGGCGGGAGTTTGGAATTCATAGACTGAAGGGGCGCAAATGACGTAGGCTGTATAGAGAAAAGAGAGTTCTGGAGTTGAGGGGAGCGAAGGCGATGATTCTTTTGCGAGGACGGTGCTGGTGAAGGGGAGGATGGCTAGGAGGGTTTTGAGGGGTTTGGTGAAATGCATGGTGAGTTATTCTGAGGCTTAAGGATACTAGTAGTTATAATGGATTCTTGGTTGATTTGATGTTGATTTGAACTGTAGATGCGAATTGGAAGCACTTGATATTCCAATACCTGCACCACAAAGCTGACCTATTTATCCTCCAGATGTCGACTTGTATATGCCGAAACTCACACCCGGGTCCAGCCCTGATCGACATCTGGCGAAACTAGATGCAAAAGGCACCTATAAGAACCCCGCATTCTGGCACTGGGGAAGTTTACCCGAGTTGAAGAAAGTCCCGTTGTAGATTAGTGTATCACGTCGCCGAGGTTCAGCCGTACCCCACATTCCCCCGCGTTAACATCTGAAATCTTCTTTCTCCGGTGGGCGAGGACTCGTGGAATGGTAAATATTGTATAGGGCTGAAGATGAAATTCCAGTGCCAAAATAAACAAGTAGTTGGATGATGACTTCGAATTGTGCAACCGGATATTAATATTCAAATGTTCAGAATGTTGGCAAAATATCAATGAGTAGAAATATTCTGCATAAATAGGAATCTGATCCATCAATCAATACGCTACGTATACCACACATGCAGCTTCAATTGCAGAGTGGTATATGTAACTAATACATTCTCTAGAGTCTATTAGTAGGCTCAGATAGTTTGAATGGCCGACACTGCTTTTCATACTTCTCATGCTTTAGTGCTTTAATGCTTTAATGCTTTAATGCTTTAATGCTTTAATGCTTTAATGCTTTAATGCTTTAATGCTTTAATGCTTTAATGCTTTAATGCTTTAATGCTTTAATGCTTTTCACGCTTTCATTAATCCAAAGTTTAACCTCGCTCTTTGCCACGCAATTTGCCGGTAATGACACCGCCTTTTTACATGATTAAAGAGGCAGCGCGCGCTCCCGAACGCCAAGACCGCTCACGATTGGCCAATTGCCCCTCTCCCTAACGAAATTTGCGTGCACCTAGTAATTTACTAGTGCCCACCATAATCCTGATTCCGAAGTATCAAGATCTTAGTAACTACTGATGTCTCCCACCATCACTTTTCACACCATCACACGTCCCATTTACTCTAAAATAATTGATTTGAGCTTTTCATAGCCATATCTGGCCCTCCACAAAGTTCTGGCTAATTTCAGTGGCTTGTGGTTGTGTGGTTATTAATTCAAAATAGTCAATTATACGCATAACTGCGCCTTCTTAATTATGCTTAGCCCTTATGAGTTTCCAGATCTCTGACCGACGAGATCAAAAACGGCGAAGCACCACCAGCATTTGGAGTTTCATTCTACAGAACACATGTGATACTCTCCTTGGCTTGATGATGAATCTGTGGGTGTACCAGCGTTTCGATTTGATTGTGATGCCGGAGAAAGTTATTTCAATTTTGATGTGTTGCCAGGAGCTGCGACCGAGAGATATTATTTATTGCAAGGCTATAATGGACATCTACGGTGTCTACTAGATGTGCGAGAGCATCAACCCCACCACTATTTCTTTTAATAGTTACCAAGATCAAGTTACGTGAAAGCTCAATTTTGAGAACAAAATCCCATTGAATGTGCCTGTGTCCCGTATATAGGGTCATAATACAAAAGGGACATAATACAAAATTGCCATCCCAAACACCACAACACCAGATAAAACCAAACCAGCCAAACCCAACCAAGAGACAAATTTTGCAAGTCCACATTCTGACAAAAGACTCCAATCCATACAAAAAAAAATAAACAAGCCAAGTATCCACTGACATGAAGGAATATAAAGAGAAAAAACACAAGAGCAGCCGACACCCCAAATCATATAAACAGGAAACAGGGTATATCATAATTCATAGAAAGAAAAAAAACACAACCCCATCAAACCGAGTGCTTCCGATTCTTCTTCCGTCGCAAACTGAGCTTCTTCTTCAACTGCATAAACGGATTGGTGAGAGGCCGATTATAAAACGGGTCATCCTTGAAGTCCTCGTCCGTGAATTTCTGCCCAAGTTAGTCGCCGCAAACCACAGCCGAAGACAAAAGGGGAAAAGAAAAAAAGCCAAACTCACCTTCCCAGGAAGTCGCATGAAATTCCCATACTCATTCATCATGTTCGAGCCCTCCTCATACATATAAGACTGACCATTCGGATCCGTCGTTCCAGGCGGGAAGAACGCCGTCCCATCCAACGGCCGGTGTCCGCGCAGCGAATCCATAATCTTATCTTTTGGCGTAGCCCGGAGAGCCTCCTCGTTCGACTCGCGCACAGCGTCAAGCGGGCTATGTTGGCCGCGATTGCGCTCGGGACGGACAGCGTCATATGGACCTTCGTGGTGGTAAGAGTAGATTGTGATATCGTCCAATTCGTCAATGATGTCGGGGTTCACAAACATGGAGTTCCGTGAGTAGCGGCCCGAGCGGCTGCGGCGCGGGATAGTTGTGTTGGTATTGATGTTGAGCGAGGTTGAGCGTTGGTGGCGCTTTGGCTGCTCGACCGGGTGGTGCTCTGGACCAGTCCACCAGACGGAGGGGACGGAACGAGCCGGCGAGCTTGAAGTCGTTGAGCGAGGCTGTGAGTATGTGGGTGCCGGGGACATGTATCTGGCGTATGGGTTGTTGGAGGTTGTATTGCTGGCGTTGCTGACGCTGCTTGCTCTGCTTGAGGAGCGGGAGAGGGCAGGCGTGGGTTGGTTGTATGGGTGATGTGGGTGGTGGAGGGAGGCCATTGGGAGGCAGTCGACTGCGGCCATTTTGTGCATGCGATCTTTACGATGCAGGGTAAGTGTATTTGTTTGTTGGGTACCTACTAGGTACTGATGGGGTTTTGTAGTGGGAGCAGATATATCGGATGACTCGAGAGGGTCACGCGGTTGATGTATACGGATGACCTTTTGATGCGGGTGGGGCTAGAGTATGCACAGTAGATCGATAGAAAGCGGGGGTGTGAAGTATTTAAGAGGGAGAGTGGGAGGTCGCCGCGGATTTAAACGGGATCAAGTAGGCCCAGGTACAGATGTAAAAAGGTTTAATAGTTCACGAGGAAAGCGTCGGACCGCGGAAACCTCGACTCTGACGTGACGACTTGCGTATGTCAGGGCCCAGGATCGCCGCGGAAGCCGATTATAAGATTCGGCGCTAGAAAATCTATGGATGCGAAAAAGTGAACTAAACTGAATTAATGAAATATTTCCCAAAATCGAAATTAACAGAACTAAACGTGAATCGGCAGAGACAGTTATTGCCCCACTAAGATAGTACTCGAATAGGTTTAGTACCAGTTTCCACAGACCATTTTCTATTGGATTTTCCCCAGAACACTTGAATCCCATGATATCATTCGGAGGCAAATTGATCTTTTGTAATATTATATCATAGTATCAGGGCAGAGTTCGAACCAGGAAATCACTTGCACATGTAGTTAATCTAAAAACCCACGTAACTCATGTCATATCTTGACTGATTCAAGAGATAAAAATAAAAAAAAAGACTCGATTTCTGCCTGAGGGATCTGTCGCGAGACCCTTGCACAATGTGCTTAGTCACCCTTTGGGCCTTGACTCACAGTTGCATCGAACCAACCTACGACTTCCGAGTCTTCCATCAGATGACGCAGGTTCCTCAATAATCCCGCAGAACTTCTTCATTCCTGTAAAGACTCCTCGTTCCAAAGGAGGTGATGACCCGTGCACCTGGGCACTATCGATTAAGCATAACCACTAGCGAAACGGTGCCGAAATCTACAAGACTGGTATGTGCGTGTCGATCTTGTCCTCAATGCCCAATGCCGAATGCCCAATACAATACTCCAATTACCAATTACCATTTATCATTTACAAAAAAGAACCCAAAATCCTCCAAACCCACGTACAAACATTCACAGTTGAGGCTGGGAATCACTCGGACCAGATCCAAGACCGAAATACAGCCCTTGCATGTCTTCGTCCATGGTTAACAGTAGAAGTTTGGAAGGGGGCTTAGATTGAGTTCCGCCCTTGAGATGCGAGATTCGTGGGACTTCAGGAATCAGTACTACACTCTACTACACTCTTCACTGGGTCGAGGCCGGTCGGTGCCCAAGGGATGTTCCAGTCCCTTTCACCCAATCAGAGCCATTTCCTGATTCTGACTCAGCATGGGCAACTTTTTTGACTTTTTCACTTGGGGTTTTCAGGTTCAAGTCACATTGGATTGCATGTCCCTGAATACTAGAGTCTAAGTCTATGAGAGGTGTTGACTACAGTTTGATTTGAACTCAGTACCTGACTACGCGGTACTCTCCTTCTCCGCGATATCCGTGGTGGAGATGCAAAGTGGAGTTCATGACGGAATTGCCGGGTTTATGACGGCAGTAGATGGGAAATTTCCATTGATGAAGATGATGAAATTGACGAAAATCTCTTGTAGATCACAAGGATGTAGTCTGTTGATTATTCCGAGTTACTTGGCACCTCTCTCTGCTCTATTCTAAGTAAAATACTTCCAGGGTTTCACACAGGCAACGGCTGGGGCATCCAGGATTATGAAGATCTCCATGTGCAATGATGTCTTGAAAGCGACTGCATGTACAGCAATATGCACGGTCCTGCAATCAAAAAGATCAGTGCGAAAAAACGAATGATCAAATGGCTATTCTTGTCATAGTTTTCTTGTAATCAACAGTGGAAGAAACTTCTATACTACCTGACGTAGGCATCTCAACCCGGTCACTGCTCCAATGACTCATCAACCTGCAAGGCCCAAAGCACCGTCTCCAATCATTTCACTAGTTCAAATATGCGATCCATGGATATTCTTCACTATAGAAAAAACGACACAAGCTACCAGAATGATACTCACTAACCAACAAAATGGCTAATCCAGGCTCCCGGGAAAGTTTTGTATCGGTCTTCCACCTTTATTCCAGCTGTAGGGGCTACTAGTCTCCTGCTTCGCTACCTAAATGGAAATGTCTCAAGCAAAACTCTCTACTAATACCCGGACTTCCAGAAAGTCCTGCCAACACTGGATCAATAATAGATTGATGTAAATGTGAGCCTACTCAAAATAAGCAAGGAGCCCAGCCAATGCGTCCTATGCGCGATCCCCGTGCGTCGCACATAACCACGCACCTCGGATCGACTCTACATCTGATACTCCCCATGCACGCGATTCTATTGATAATCATGCTGACGTGGAAAGCAAGACATTCCTCGTGGCCTCGTGTACAACATACTAAACCACATTGGATTCAATTGAGCGCAACGCAAGGAAGAAGATGTGATGCGTGCGGGGCTGTGGCGATCTGCGGGAAGGAAAAACGTTGTCGCCTTGTCAACACGATGGAGAGAGAAGATTCCGACCTCACCGCTTATACAGGCTGTAGACTATTTTCGCTTGAGTTTACGCGTTCTCTCGCTTTGCTTTGATTGCCGTTTTCCCGTGTTTAAATTTGTCGCTGCTGGATGCGTGGCCGCGTAAGCTTTAGCCTTTGGGGAATCTTGGTACTGAACAGGCACCAGGAACGAGAATCTGGGAATCTGCGACGGTTGCTTTGTCGCTGGTTTTTCCCCTGGATTATGAACCGCGGCGCGTCACGTTCGTTGCGTACCTACTAGTGGTAATCAGTCTTTCTTTATCGGTTCAAACGGGAGTAGAGTGATAGCAGTGATAGCAGTGATGACCTCGGGGAATGCAATGCTTTCTATGTATCGTATCAATATTATACAAATATAGTGTACAGTAATGCAACTTTCGAGCGCAAGATGAAGTTGTTCAACAGCGCTGCTGGAAATCCAAATTCCAACTCAATAAATCAGGAGCTCAATGTGCTCATGCAAATGCCATGCAAATATTTCATAACCAAAAACGCCGTTTTTCCAATATTATATATCCAAATCACATTTCTCAGGCGTTATTCGCACAGGAGAAGCTGGCAGTGCTCTGGTTGTCATGGATAGCCTTGCCAGAGACCCAGAGACCCATACCGCATAGTGCAAAGGCAATAGCGATGATGGCCAGGTTGATCATGGTCAGGGCGATCTTCTTGGGAGACGAGAAGTACACGCCCTTGTTCATGAAGAGCCACATGATAGACGGGAAACCGAAAGAGAACCAGCTAGCAAAGAGAGCAGTCTAAGTTAAGGGTTAGCGGTGAATTCAGATCATACATGGACGTGTCTTCGGAAAAAAAAAAAAAACTTACAATCAAGCTCAGTAAGTCACTGAAAACAGGGATCGCGGATGCGATGATCCAGGCCAGAACCCACATGCCCAGGGCAATACCGATCCAGGAGCTGATGGCGAGCGTATCACGCTTGTGCATGCGGTCGGTGCCGCGGAAGATGCGCACGTACACGTACTTGAATGCGACGTGGCCATTGATGACACCTGCGATGACAATGGTCGGCAAGGCGATACCGTAGGCGATCTTGGAGATGAGGGGCGAGGCAGAGCCCAGGGCTGGTGAGGTGACTCCATCTCCGGCGTAGCGGTAGATGACGACGGCGGCGATGAGGTACAGGGACACATCAATGCCCTGGAGCAGGCAGAGGGACTTGGTGAAGTCGCGTGGGTTGCGCAGCTCGGCCATGAGACCGAAGAAGGCACCGTGACTGCAGAATGCGAAGACGATGTTGGTCACTGCTGTGAAGCCGTGGTAGAGGTTTGTGTTTGCGATGGCGACGACGGTGGCGTCGGGCTTCTCGATTCCCAGGGCGATCATGGTGATGAGCACGGCTGTTAGGATACTGGCGAAGGAGACGAGGGATAGCCATGACATCTTCTCGAGGGTGCGGGGGAGAGAGCAGACGAAGGAGATGATCATGCCCACGACTCCGAAGACGATGGTGCATGTGCCGTGGTTGGTGATTGTGTTCATGGCAACGGTGAAGGTCAACAAGTGACTGGCCATGATGAAAATGAAGAAGATGATCCAGCAAGCACCGACGAATTCGCGGCCGAACTTGCCTCCAATGACCTCGCCGGCGTCGGCCATGGTGGTGATCGACGGAAACCGCAACTTCATCTGACCCATGATGTATCCAGTGTAGGTTGTGATAACACCCAAGCCGAGCAGCACGATGATAGAGGGCACAAGACCCATGGTCGCAACAGCAGCAGGGAGAGAAAGAACACCCAGCGACACTGTCTCGGCAACCATGAGCAGACCACACTGCCACCACCTCAAGACCTTGTATTTGACCTCGGCCGAATCCTCATTTCCAAAAGCATCCTGTTCGTATGGCGGCGTGATATCCTGCTTCTCATCCGCCTCCAAGCCAACCTGATCAAAGTCCAGCTCCTTCTGTGGGATATCCGAAGCACCCATTTTGAATGTTTTGTGCGAGGTATAAGTATCAACCAAAAGCTTGATAGCAAGCTATAAGACGTGTCGCGACGCAATCAAACACCGAAACGGTAAATAAACGAAACTGCGAAGCTATGCAAGGTCAACGAAAAGGATCCAAGCAAGCGCAACAGCTTCCAAAGCAAAGATGATATGTAGAAAAGGTAAGAAAGAAAAAAAAGATCCTTGAGTCAAAAGTTCTGGATAAAGTCTCGGGATTCCAGAACCGGAGCGGCTTGCCGGAGTGGGTTTTGATCTCGGGCCGTTTCAACGAATCGCGGCGCCGAGACGTAATGAAAACCATAGAAAAAAGTTTGGTTTCCCCAGTTTTTCCAAGCCTTACAGATCCATTTAAGCAGAAAAAGAAAGAATCTGCGCCGGCATCGGCGTGGCCAATGCAGGCGCAGCCCAAGGTTGTTTTTTCCCCTGCTATTTTGTGCATTTTTGTGTAGAGGATCGGAATTCGAAATGCTTGAGTTTTTCCACGTGGCGACTAGCTTGGTTCTGGCGCCGCTTACAAATTACTAGCTCGTAAATCCCTGCAGAAATTTTAAAACCTTATTGTGGGAATGTCGATTTGCGCTTCGTCGTACTGCCACATTCTCTCTATGGTGATGGTCGCTAAAGTGGCATGGGCATGTGAGGAAAATATGCCCAACCACTTCTTTTTCCCCCTTTAACGCCATTGAGCTCCAATTTTGTGTCAATGGAAACATCTTTGCGATTCTTAGACCAAAGATTCTATCGGTCTGCCATGGTCCATCCATGCTTGTATAGTCCGTCAGTCCCACTCGGCAATGCCAAGCCGTCAGATGATTTATCCACATAGCAGACTCCATTCGTCAAATTCTATATGCGGTATGCCCTGGTAGCGAAATACAAAAATAAATTAGCGAACAAGAATTACGATAAGATTATCCATTCCAAAGATGTGCCTATTCATGTCAATCCAACATCTTGACAAACATGAACCGTGGCCATATAATGAGGGGGTGGTCCAAAGTTCTCATAACTTCCATTGATTAGGTCTCTACTATACATTGACATAACAGAAACGGATATACAGAAATTTGACGGTACACAACCTCTGGAGGCTTTGGAAAACAACAATAAGAACCGATGGATTTGATGTAGCATACTTTCCATTGTGGAAGATTGTAATGCTATCGAGATAACATTAAATTAATATTGTCACTGTTCTGCCCCATCACTTGAACTGACCGTTCGAGAATCGAAACAGCGATTTTCGAACATCCGAGCACCGCGTTTATAGGAGCTAAGCGGCATTATGCCATCAATGGATACGTTCACTCTCCTTGGTCCTAGCTCGTATGCTTCGGTGGCTTACGGCAATGGGACGCTTGGCTTGTGGGTGTATTCGCATCCCAACGCGCCCCCACTCCTGAAGAACTGTAAAGCTGGGTTAACAAGTTTCAATCGTAAGAAAGATAGACTACTTCGCTTACCTTCTCAATTATTTGTGCCCTACTCGGCGTCTCAAGGCTCAATGAGGTGGAAGCAGGTAATTGCGGCCGCGATCCATTGACCTTCGATCGGAGTTTTCAGTTCAATAAACCCTCCAAGTAATCCGGATGAGCTTCATGACAATTAATCGATCAGCTCCTGATCACCCCGCAACACAGAGCTCAAGTAACATACATTTTACCCGAAACTCAATAGAGCCCTTTGCACCATCGGAGATAGTTCCGGAGCAGGGCTGCCTGCTCTCAGATGGTGGTCCTTCGCGTTCCGCACCTCGTTCACAAAACGAGTAAACTGTGTGTAATGATTTTCTTGAAATCGGATACGCTCTTTCTTCAATCGGGTGATGAAGGAAAGAAAGAAAGGCTTTCATCTTCTGATAAACTTATGGTCGTCCGTTTTCACTTGTATCTCCAAAATGGTCCATAATTGACGCAGGCCGGGATGCTTCCTGTCTGCGGCTAACAATTTGCGTGGCGAAGATTAACCACAAGAAGACGGAGAAGAGAAACAAAGTCGGACGGACAGAGCAATTTGGATAATGAGGTCCGACATCAGCCACACACAGCAACATCCTAACCGCTCAGCTTCCTAATAGCCTCATCCAAGGTCGCAGCGACGCCGACCAAGGCTGACTTTCCGGCTGCGCCCGCTGGTAATGACGTGATAACCACACGAAGACCGTCTCTAGCTTCCACGAGGTCTTTGGTGTAATCCGCGATGGTGCCGTCGGCGATGGTTGACGGAACCGAATTACCGCGGCCCTGTGGCTGCCCGCTGGCGCTCGCCTCGTCCGACTGCAGAAATGATCGACCGGAAGACGGAACCGAAGTATCGCGGCCCTGCGCTTGCCCGCTGGTGCTCGTATCGTCCGACTGTATGATTGATAGACCGGAAGACGCCTTCCGCTTCTTCGAGACAGTCAGCCACATAATATCCGTCAAACCATTTCTAACCGAGTCGACGATCATGTCAAACACCTTGCCTTGCGCAAGCTTGCCATTATCACGCACGTCAAAGGCCACATCATCAATAGCGGCCTTGACTACTTCGAGGTTTCCGACGTCGAACAGACTGGGAGAGGGAATTGACGTTTCTCCGAAGGCAAGAATGTGTCCGCACGCCTCAGCCACAGCGGAAGCCGGCGCGTGCATCAGTCCGATGTTAACTTGATGCCGGGCGGATCGAACGTCGACGCCGACAAGGTATCCGGCCGATTCAACCCATTTCCCACAGAGCACGTAAACCCCCTTCAGTACGGGGAACCAGTGGTGACCTTTCCAGAGAACTATAGGCGCCGGAGACAGCGGAACTCGCCCTTCTGCGTGGAAGGCACCAGATGGGGGGCAAGTAGTGCAGACCGAGGTTCAGCCATGTTGGGATTTAGAGCAACCAGGTTTAACACCGGAGTTGAGTCAATGCTAAGCTTCGACCACGGATGGTAGGCCTCATCCCCCGAGTAGTTCCTTTTGACATCAGTCGTTGTTGGTCGGGGAGTTGGGGAGGCAGAGACGGCATTGCTCTGACAAGGCCAAGAAAACGACGGAAGCCATAGTTATCCCGGAGCTGAGGTCATCTAAAAGAAGGGAATCAATCACGACAATCATTGAAGTAGTTGTCATGTAATATATCACCCACCTGTCAAATCCCCATGGCGGTCTGCATACGCCATATAGTGAGGCCCAGCCGCCCTAAGCATCTGTGGCTTTTCAAAATCGGCCCACAGCGTGATAAAGCAGTGCTCTCGTCTTCAAGAAACGTAGACTTCACTCAGCCGAAATAGCCAGAGCAACTAAGCTATGACAGTCCACCTGCCCCAAGTCTTTAGTTGTCAGCATTTGGAATGGCTGGGCAGCGGGGGTACAGAGGTGACGCTCACATTTTTCCAACCGGATTAGACTCGGGGCTCTTATAATGTAGCTCGTGACTTGAGCGATGGCCTCACAAACCTCCCCCGGCAGTTCATAGAGGGGAAGTCGGCAAACCTATATTTGTTAGTCTCCAAAATTCAATGTGGCACTTGTTTTTATAGGACTTTGCTTACCGGCCAGGGTGTGTGAGGGAGTGAAGGTGAGATAACTTGAAAGTTGCAAGGTTGATTGAGAAGAAAGTGAAAGGAGAAAAGAAATAGAAGTGAAAAGAGAAGTATTTATAATCGAAGAATATGAGGGCTGGTACTGTCAACAACTTGAACATATTCAATATCAGTGAAAATGTTCATCTAGTGGCTTGTGAGCCGAGAATATTGAATATGATAATTCAATATTGATTGATGAACACTCTCACTCTCTTCTTCTTCTTCGCCAAGCATCGTTTTCCCGTCAGGTGTTTTGAATATGGTTGAAAATTGCGAGACCCCATAATCGCTTCCCATATCTCCAGCAAACCTCATATTTCAAGTGCTGGATACGGGTTTGCGCCTAATATGAACTTGAAATGTGTAACAATAAGTAGTCAGATGCTGAGGCAAGGAATCATCTTGATATCCTCACGTCATGGCATTCTGGACGAGGAAGTCCTTTTCGCAGTCATCTTCCAGTCTGTCCATATGGAGTGCAGATGCAGATATATATCAGAGGCAGGTGGAGGGTATAACAGATAGTCAACCACTTTGACCGCCGTAGGCAGTTCGAGACTCAGTCAGCTATATTTGCCACAGGCACAGATGGACATCAAATAAAAGCTCGTTGGCAAAAGCCCTCTGGCATTCTTGGTGAATGCTGCGGCCCTTTCAGTTTTGTCTCTTCAGTCGGGGAAGATTTTCTCTTGTGGGTACACTTGATGATATTTACCCCGTTGCAAGACATAGACATGATTGTATAGAGCATCAAATGGCATATCTGGTAGCCCAAAGCCCATGAAGTGAGTCACAAGATAGTGCTGATCTGTCGAAGAATGGATACGAAGGCCTGTGTCTGTTGATAAAGAAGATCCGTTAGCATAGATTTTGACTAAAAAAATCGCCCAACTAACAGGTGCTGAGCCCACAACAAGGTACTCTCGATAGTCTCACTGAAGATTCATGGCTCACAGGGAGGGAGGTGGCAAGCTGGAGGATGGTTCTTGGGTGTTGTAAACTGAGCCTAAGAGCTTCTAAATCCAGTCAATTCCTGACAAGATCAGGCTCATGTGCTCCAACTTTCAACCATATATTCTCACTCTCCTTCAGCCTATTACATCGCCGATTGGCTTTTCACACTTACCCTATAATGCAATCAGGCATTAGGAACTTCTGGTAATAAGTGCATGGAAAGGTTCCTTGCACAGAGAGTCAACAGTGTAAAATGTAGAAGAGTGATGATAGAGAAAATTAAATCAAAGTGACTCAAATTAACTTGATATGATTACTGACTAGAGGGAAGGAAGACGCGTGAACGGGTTTCCTATTTGGGAAAAGTCAGTTTCTCGCGTTTAATAAAAACGACCCTCCTTCTCTTTCTCCTTCTTCTCTTCTTCTTCCTTTTCCTCATCAGTGCTACGTCTGCCCGGCGAGCCAATTTTTTTATCCTCTCACGGTCTTCGCAGGCTGTGTTCCCGGGCATCTGGGGATTTTCTTTGGAAACCAAGCTTGTCAGCCCTCCCTCGTGTCGGCTGGCTAGTTTCTCTCAACGAAGTCGTGTGACAGCATTAACATCGAGTATTTTCTATTTGATTTTCCTTAATGGCTGTCCGCGCACCATCCTGTTTGCCCTCGGGCGAGTACAGTACTTTTTTGATTCAAGTTTGTCAGTCCTCCTTCGTGTTGGCTGGCTCTCTTCGGTTCGCGAAATTGACAGTGCTCTGTTGTTTTTCTTGGTTTTCTTGAGAGCGTCAATGCAAAAACTCCCATTTGCCCGCAAACTCTTATTTGCCTTTGGGTGAGGTTTGGAATTTTTTGATTCAAAATTGTCAGTCCTCCTTTTGGCTTGATTGGCTACCTCTTCATGCCTTCGGGCAGTTGAACACCCTGACTGGCGATTTCAGGGGCCAGTAGGAAAATAGAGCTTTTTCTATCACCGCCTAACAACCGCCCTCTCAAAACATATAGGTTTTGTAAACGGCGGACCTGTGGATTACTGGATCTAATTAACTCCTAGGGATATTATTCCTACCGTATACACCCGAGGTCCCTATAGCATCTACTCAAAACGGCCTCATAAGCCATTCATCTGGTATAATCTCGTTTGACGTGGCTTTCACTTCCGGATCCCAGGTCAAGACTTTCCGTATAAAACACAAAAACTGGTCTTTCTCCTCTCCCGGTGGGATTGTTGTGACAAAGTCCTCGAGTGAGGTTTTTGGTACTGGTACTTCGGAGACCCAACTCCCTGTAATAGCTTTGAGTAAGAATAGGCGTTGAATGAGGAGGTGGTGGGTTGGGTGAGCCTTACCCTGTGCATCAAAGTAGGTTGTAAAAAGCGGGCTGTTCTGAATATAAATCAGAGGAGGGGGGCCAAGATATCCGATATATTGTGCTAAAGCCAATGGAATTACATACTGGCCATGAACATGGTCAATCGGGTCGAAGAGGTTTTTTCCCTCCAAAAGTTCGAGGGTCTGTATCATCTAGTTAATAGTTTGCTTACTTATAGCCGACGATTGTGTGCTCAACTCAACTCACCATAACGCCAATTGACCATATATCAGCTGGAAATCCCCATGGTAGATGCAAGAGCACTTCGGGAGCGCGGTAGAGATCAGACATCCACCAGTCTTGATTCAAGCATCCTTCGACCAGTCGCATTTGACCATAGTCTGTAAGAATAGGGTGGCTGGAGAGTGCTAACATGGCAGGTATAGATTTGTAGACAACTATCGGCATAGCCCCAATGGCGGAGGTTATCGGCAAACTTGGATCCTGGGATTCCTGGTCCTCAATATCTTGCAGGCTAGTGTCGTCATCAATCTCCATTAAGACATTCTGGGGTGAAATATCTATTTCTCCGTAAGTAGATACTTAAGATGTATATAAGTAGACTTACCAGTATGGGCAACACCACATGTTGCATGTAGCCGGTTCACAGAGATGAATAGGCGGTGTATCAAGGATTTCACTAAAGCCTTAGGGATCATGGCATTAGGAAATGCCTCCTGTAATGTACGGACACTGTTGCCTTGAGGCTTATATGCAATGCAGTGATGACGACCAGCGAGACTTTCTGTTTCAAATATATCACGCGCAAGCCTGGTAAAGTCAAGCCCAGGATGATCCTTATCAGCGAACTGTTTCAAACGCTGGAGCATGTTGATTTCGTTGAGAACGGGAGAAGGCTCGGTATTATTGTTGTCAATCCGCACAGAAATTTTCAGCGAAGCATATTCATTCGCCCTATATTTCAAGTTAGTAACAGGCGCTGTTATCAAAACAATTCTAGTGGGATAAGACCTTTCATCCCACGCAAGCCAAACAGTCGAGTAGGCACCATAGCCAAGCTTCGCAATTATCCGATATCGATCATTAAAAACCTGGCCAATTTCGACAGGGTATTAATATTTTCCATGATAGAATGGGAGGGTCTGCTCTTCGATTGCTTGACTGTGTGCTGCCATCGTGTGAGTCAGTCGATGGACGAGGGGAGGTGGTTGAAAACAACGTGATCGGACAATGGAAGAGAGCAGGGACGACAATGTTATGAGGCGCATCCGTAGGCCGGCCATATTTTTACCTTTGAGACAGTCTTTGCTCATCACGGCTTCAGGTTGCTGGGGTGGTTGAAGTTCTGGCTGGCTACACGTGACTCTATCAAATACTAGTACTAACCAAACATTCCGCTTCAACTTGATATTCTCTCCGTTGGGCCCTTGCGTGGGGCTTCCTCCCAACCTATCAGCGCTGATCATCCCCGGATTAGTGGATCACGATTCACGATTCACAGATCGGAATCTTCAGAATCGACCCCACCAGCGACGCCGCCTCCAATTCTTGAACAACCAACTACAAACCCAATCTCCATGAAGATCACCATCGTCGGCGCCGGAATAGCAGGCCTCTCTCTCGCCATTGCGCTCAAGAAATCAAAAACGACCCATCACGTCAGTATAGTCGAATCAGAAAAACACCTCGCAGAGCTAGGTGCCGGAGTCCAACTTACCCCACAAGCAGTCAAGTACCTTTTCCAATGGGGTCTCAAAGAAGATCTACTTAACGAATGCATCAAGCCTGAGAAAATTCTCTTCAAAGACTGGAAAGATAGCAGGCTCATTGGTGCGCTGGACATGACTAGCTTCGAGGAGGAGTACGGGGCGCCTTATATCGTCATTCATCGCGCTACGCTGCTTGCTATATTATACCGGCACGCCATTAGCGCTGGGGTAGTCATTTACTTTGTTCACGAGGTGACGGATTACCGTGTTTTTGAAGACACGCCAGATATTGAAATAGACGGGGGCCGCAATTATCTTGATTCATCGCTGGTCATTGCCGCTGACGGTATCATTGTCTTCTTTCCTGATTTTCCGTACCTCCTTATGATAAATTGCAATGCTAATGCGCAATTCAGGCATAAACTCTTTCGCCCGATCACAGCTTCTAGGCGCCGATGATCCTGGTACAAAGCCTACCGGCTGGGCTGCGCTAAGAATGATGGCTGAGGTATCAAAGATCAAAGCCAATCCTGTCACAGCCAATCTCGTGGATCTAAGCACCCACAACTCGAACTTCTGGGTTGCCCCTGACAGGTCGTGCATGGTGTATTTGATCAAGGATGCATCAATGCTAAATATCGTTCTATCTCATCGGGATGACGTCGACATGAAAGATTGCACATACGAAGAGCACAAGAAGGTCATTTATGATCTATTTGGGGACTTCGATTTGCCGTGAGAACACTTTCCATCCGAATATGAACTTGAGCATGAATCCAATCTAGAATCAATAACTAACTCCAATCCCAATCCAGCGTAAAAACACTTCTCGATCTCGCCCTCCCCAAAATAACAAACTACCCCGTCCACGCCGTCCCTCCACTCCCAACCTGGTCCAACCCATCCGGCACCTTTGCTCTCGTCGGCGACGCCGCACACGCAATGGCCTTCTACATGTCCATGGGTGTCAGCCTCGCAATCGAAGACGCAATATCCCTCTCAACAGCCCTAGACCTCGCTTACACTAACACAAACACAAACACCCACTCACTCAACGCCAAAGCCCAAAAGCACGCACTCGACGTCTTCGAACATGTCCGCAAGCGCAGAGTAGCAGCAGTCCAAAGCGCCAGTCTACAAGCCGGTAATTCCTACCATGTCTCCGAGGGAAAGGAGCGAAAAGCACTGTACGAGTTGATCAGCCGGTGTAACGAGTCGGTGGAACTGGAACTTGAATCGGAGTCTGAGATTTGCGGCATGTCAGGCGAGGAGAAGCGGATACCTTGCCAGGGCTCGGGGGAGGTCGGTGGTCTTGCTAATCAGCATATTAGAGATTGGTGTTATGGGTATGATGCCATTGGGGAAATAGAAGCATACTTTATGGACTCGGAGGCGGAGAACGGAAAACCTCCTCTACCAGCCCGTCCACGCCCTTAGATCCGACTTCGATTCTGCCCCGAGGCCCGACCATGTACAGGACGACGTCTTCATTTTCGTCGACCTCCCGCGTGCGGACGAGGTAGCGATCTCTGCACAGTCGATTGATGAGCTTATCTGTTCTGTCGATGGGCGTATGCACGTCGGCTTTTGCGCGTTTAAGGTAACGCATGAGTTTGTCTTCGTTTAGCGAGGGCCCGTTCAACGTGATGACGGCAATAATGAAAGTGTAGAGCCCCGTGTATATGGCTTCTTCGTTGGCCGAGGGGGCTTTGGTGGGGATCAGGATAGATGGGGTGCGGTACTTGGGTGGTAGGGTGGTAGATAGGATCCAGGACTTCCTGGTTGAGTGTTTCTTGATTTTTTGGGTGGCTCTCCGCTGGGAAGTGGTTATGTCTTGTTTTGGAGGGAGCTCCGTCATTTCCATTCCAAATACATCCATCAGTTTGAGCTGTGCGTGTTGGAAAACGGTCTTGAACATGCGTCTTTCCTGGTGGACGAGGACTTTTGAAGTGATATCTTCGCGTTTGATCGGGAGGCGCTTGTGTTCTTTTGCGAGAGCAAGGTTTACCATCTTCTTGACCAGAGAGTCTATACTGGTCGATGTGTGCGCACTATTGGCCCTGATATCAACCATTTCGACGTCGATTTCTGTTGTTTGGATTAGTGCTAAGTTAGAGAACCTGCTCGAGTACTTTATAGAGGGAGTGATTCGAGTATGGCAAACAGCAAACAGCAAACAACAAGCAGCAAATATAGTCAGCAAATCTCATGAATTATTAAAAATGCTAAGAGACTTTGTCAGGTGCAGACTTTAACACAATGGTCCGTCCATCCCACTATACAAGATCCAACGCCATCAAGACCGACCAATAATAAACCCTTGGAGGACACCATGTCCCCAACGCCGCAATGCTATCGTACAGAAATCATACATAGGGAAATGTGGAAACACAAAAGCCAAGCGAACCAGAAACCGATTATACAGCCCGCTCACCCATGGCTGCGCCGTTTCAGTAAACGCCGCTGCCTCTGCGAAGCTTGCATAGCCTCCTCAGTAAGCAGTTCCTCAGGCGGTTGAAACTCCCACTCCGTCACATCGGGGATGGGTTGACCAAAAGCCATAACCTGGTCAGTGCCCTCCTCCCGGCAATGCCCAGGTATTGCAGAAAGGGCCGCTGCGCGTTCGTCGGGATCAGAAAAGAAAGATGTAAAGGGTTTATCGTCAGGCGGGGGAAGAAAGAAAGGGACCGGATCGGCAGGTGGAGAAGAAAAGGCAATGGGGTCGTGTGCTTTTGGGCGCTTGGCAGCGCTTTTTTCTGTGGGATGGGATTGTTCATCATCATCCGGGCCAGCCTTGGGCTTGACGGATTTGCGGATTTTAGCCGCTGAGTCGGACGCGGAGCGCGCTTCCTGATGTAACTGTCGCGCGGCCCAGGCATCCACATCATTGGGGTCGGGTGTACTAGGTGGAATGCACGGAGAAAGGGAACTTTCCTCTGCTTCTTCGATGGGGAGTGAACGCTTCTGTGGGCGTCTGGCTTCGGCCTCGTCGACGAGGTGAGATGATTTCTCTCTAGCGAGCTTGCGCCTTCTTTCCTCGTCTTTCCAGACTTGGAATTTGTTGAGCAGGGCGACTAGCTCTGCGATGAGGATCTGGCGTTTAGGCTCGTAGAGTTTCTTTTCACTTTCGTGGACGCCTGGTAAGCCCATTAGACGTAGCCAGTCTTGGCCGCGCAATTCCTCAAGTAGGCGGTCTACTTGTTGTTTTTCGTGCTGTGCGCGATCGCGCTCAATGTTGCGCAGTTGTTTTTCCTGTCGTTCGAATCGGCGATGTGCACGGAAATATAATTCTTCGTTGAGGGGGTCATCCTCGGGGGGTGGTGAGGAAACTGAGAGCGAGATGACCTCGCAATTGTGTAGCTGCTTTAGAGGGTTACCGAAAGGCGTGGGATCTGGTGTAGTGGAGAGTGGCAATGGCTCGGAGAGGTCGTCTATTAATGTGACAATTGTGGCGGCTGTCAGAGTCTCTGCTTTATGGGTAGTCAGTAGATAGATCGTTATCTTGGACAGGGTTTGATATCCTACCAGGCTTTGATTGATCGAGACTGATTATCTGCTCATAGTTATAGAAGTATTGAGCGAGCTCGCTCTTACGAGAACCGGTGTCTGCTGAGCGCAAAGACCGCCTCTCTGTTCCTGTCGACACGGGCGCAGGCTCATTCTCCAGAAGGTCAAGGTCACTCCTACGCTTCTGATGTGACCGGGGCTCCGCAACCGCACTTTTTACTGGTAATTTTTCCGGTTCATCTTGTTCCTTCTCTTCTTTGATTGTGTCGGTGGGCGGCTCCGTAAGAATGGGGTCTGGATCATTCTTTCGGGTGCTACGAGTGGTCGCAGGGGACTTTAGGAATTTGCTCTGAGCTTCCGACGCGTGAGCAGATGCTCTAGATCGGGGTCTGATAGTGGTACTGATTGTGGGAGCCGGCGAAATTGTATCCAATGGGTCGGGAGATTCGCGGTCATCGTGCAGATGATGGATCGCAGAGGGGGTATTGCGATCGGGTACGCGAGGCGACGCGACAGAGCCATTGCCATTTGCATGGAAGCGGGCGGGGGTCTTCAATTGACTCAGGGAGTTGATAGAGTCTGGGGAGGCGGACGAGTGCTGGCGAGCGCGTCTCGTCGCCGTGCGCGGGCGCGTGGCGCTCAAGGGAGGATTTGCGGAACGAACTTTCCCGACCGGGTGAGTGTCCTGGGTTGTGGTTGTGTCGAGGCAATCTGGAGAGCTCCTGCGACGGCGCAGGCCGTACTCCTCCAAAGTTCGCTGCTTCTTCATAGGCGGAGGGCGACCATCATTCCCCGAGCGGTCTTCGGGGTTCCGTCGCACTGAACGGAGAGACGGCCGCGACAGGAGGCCCATCGCGGACAACTGGGGGAGGGGTGGGAGGGGTTTCTCAATCTCGAGTCATAGTGTGGTCACCAAATAGGTGATTCGGAGGGAAGCCCTCTTGACGAGTCGCCTGGCCTGTTTCTTCTTCTCGAGATTGGGAGTTCGGGAGCCCTGGAGGATCGTCGGAATGAAGTTGGGATCGCGCTGGTTGAGGGCGTGATGTGAGGAAGAGGTTCTCTTGGCAGCAACCAGATCTCTATACAAAATTGAGACAGAGTGGGCACCATGAACCTGGATGCTTTGACTATGGGAATGTGTCAATATTAATTCTACATTCATTTGTCTAATGATGAGGTTTCTAATACGCTTTTTTTTAATTTGCAATGAAGATTTATTGGCAAAGGAGATTTTCGAAGAGGCAGCAATGTTAGTGCACATCTATATATATGCTCCATGCTCCGGCTTTCAAGTACATCAAGATGGACGACAAAACCTCAAGCTTGCAATAAATGTCCCCTTTCTATTTCTCCCCAGTGTCGTCAATACTTGATTATTTTCGAATTTAGGGCATCTTCATGTACGTCAGACTCGGCGAAAATTGAGGATTAACTCTGGAATTTCCGAACCCCCACGGCGTTGTAAAGGTGGGGGAAAACCCCCTCAATCGACGCCGTGAGACATGAGGGAGGCAATCTCCGAACATTGTAAGGAAAGATTTTAATACAGTTCGCAATCCTATTTCCAGGCCAATCTCCAGTTCGTCGGAAAACCCATGAAAATCCGCCTGTGAAGCAAGTGAGTCCAATCAAGAGCGGTTAAAACCCCGCATTTCAATGTGAAGAGCGTGGGGGAAAGAAGACTCCGCAGAATTGGGGAACGACGTGGGGGTTCAAGATCAGAAATGAGAATTTGGTTATTTAGCTGTTCCCATTGCCCACTTTAAATGCCAGGTTAGTCTTTTCCAGTGATAAAAGTGGAGGTGAGTGGTAATCCTGATTGTCTCTTTGGTTGGAAAACCCCGAGAAATTGACTTGTTGAAAAAGAAACGGGTATTAGTCTCTTTTTTTTCTTTCGCAACACATCATGACAGCCAACGGTTCTATTAAGCGAAACCCCCTCTCCAAGGGAGTCTATGTGCCCACGGTCGCATTCTTCAAGCCAGATGAAGAGTTAGACCTGGAGACCACCGAGAAACACGCCGCATACTTGGCCCGCAGTGGTGTGACTGGTCTAGTCACCCAGGGAAGTAATGGCGAAGCGGTACACTTGGACCGTGAGGAGCGCAAAGCCATCACAGCCGCCACACGTCGCGCCGTGGATGCTGCAGGTTATCCATCACTGCCTGTAATTGCTGGATGTGGTGCCGCCTCCACTCGAGAGACTATTCAACTTTGCAAGGATTCCGGTGAGGCCGGTGCCGACGCTGTACTGGTCCTACCTCCCAGTTACTACAAGGCCCTCGTAAGCAACGAGGCCCTGCACGCACATTTCCAAGCCGTGGCCGATGCATCGCCCATTCCCGTTCTCATTTATAACTTCCCCGGTGCCTCTTCTGGACTGGATTTGTCCTCGGACGACATCCTCGCACTGTCCACGCACCCCAACATCATCGGGTGCAAGCTCACCTGCGGTAACACGGGCAAGCTGACTCGAGTCGCTGCCTCGTCCAAGCCAGAGTTTTTGACGTTTGGTGGATCGGCTGATTTCACTCTTCAGACGTTGATCGCTGGTGGTGACGGTATCATTGGCGGGGTCGCCAACCTCATCCCTCGATCCAGTGTGCGCGTGATGGAGCTGTACCGCAGTGGGAAGGTTGAAGAGGCGCAAAAGCTGCAGGCTATTGTTGCGCGTGCGGACTGGGGTGCCATTCATGGCGGATTTGTCGCTGTGAAGAGTGCTTTGCAATCATACCGTGGATATGGTGGACTGCCCCGTCGTCCTTGTGTGGTGCCGTCCCAGAAGGCCATTGCGGCCATTCATGAAGAGTTCCGAGAGGGGATGGAGACTGAGAAGGCACTAGAAGGTTGAACGTAATTTTATTTTAGATAATGTGACTCTCTTTACCCCGCTGTTTATCATGACTAGACTAGTTGAAAAGTACTAGTAGTATCTGTTATAAGGCATAACACCCCACACCAGAAGATAAGGCTTTTCTGTTTCCTGTAGACATAGGGGAAGAAATGTGACTGTGGCATTCCTTTGTCGCTTGGGCCATATTCTTAAAAAAAAACATAGAACAACTTTGAAGTAGTTATTGCGATCAGATCTCTGCTTGACTAATGTTTAAAAGGTCCAATCTCTCTTGCATTAGCCATTGAGGTCCATGTGGAGAAAACGACCCCGATGTAGTATGTGGAGGTCGCACTTGACTTGTTTATCAATAAACACCAGTCAACAGTCAACGCCAAAGAAATGTAACGTTCTATAGAAACATTCAAGGGATTGTGGATACAGTGATAGATAGCTCGACCTTGATTAATTATCCTCATTTGTTTTTCATGCACGAGGCACATACCAGGAGGTGATCCGCGTTTGATCGGCATGTTTGTGCTCCAACTTGAACTTCCAGCATAAATAACTCTCCCCGGTCGCTTTTCAATTCTAGACTCATTCTTTCTTTTCAATTCCTCAATCGCCAAACTTCGCCATGAAGTTCTCCGTGGTGCTGGGTCTATTGGGCGCCTTGACCGCGACCGTCTCGGCCGTCAAGGTGAATCCACTTCCCGCGCCCCGCAACATCACCTGGGGCTCGTCGGGTCCAATTCCCGTTCAGGAGCTCTCCCTGCGTACCACCGACGCCCACGGCCACACTCACGACATCATCAATCAAGCCTGGGAACGCGCTTGGCTCTCCATCACCACGCTCCAATGGGTCCCCGCCGCCACCGAAGCTCCGATCTCCGTCTTTCAGCCATTCCCGACCGGCGCAGGCTTGACCAAGCGCAGTAGCGCCGCAAACCCAATCAAGTCCATTCAACTTACCCTGATCGACGGTGATGCCGATCTGCAGCATGGAGTCGACGAGTCCTATACACTGGAGGTGACGGCGTCGTCGGGCAGTATCAAGATCCACGCGCAGACAGTCTGGGGTGCTCTGCACGCGTTCACCACGCTGCAGCAGCTTATCATCTCAAACGGCAAGGGTGGTCTGATCATTGAGGAGCCGGTTAGCATCACCGACGCACCGTTGTATCCCTACCGTGGTGTCATGATCGACACTGGTCGCAACTTCATTTCCTTGCCCAAGATCTTCGAGCAGCTCGACGGCATGTCTTTGTCGAAGCTCAACGTGCTTCACTGGCACTTGGACGATTCCCAGTCGTGGCCTGTGCACATGGAATCTTACCCCGAGATGGTCAATGACGCATACTCGCCTCGCGAGACTTTCTCCGCCGCTGATATCCGTAGCGTGATTGCTTATGCTCGTGCCCGTGGTGTACGTGTCATTCCCGAGGTTGATATGCCCGGTCACTCCGCTTCCGGCTGGCAGCAGGTAGACCCGAGTATTGTGGCCTGCGCACACTCCTGGTGGTCGAACGATGATTGGACATATCACACTGCCGTCGAGCCAAATCCCGGTCAATTGGATATCATCAACAACAAGACCTACGAGGTCGTGGCCAATGTCTACAACGAACTGTCTAGCATCTTCACGGACGATTGGTTCCACGTCGGCGCCGATGAGCTCCAGCCCGGCTGCTACAACTTCAGCACATACGTCACCGAGTGGTTCTTGGAGGACTCATCACGCACATACAACGACCTGGCTCAGTACTGGGTTGACCATGCCGTGCCCATCTTCCGTGCCGCCGGTGCCCACCGCCGCCTCATGATGTGGGAGGACATCACCCTGTCGACCGAAGCAGCCCACGACGTCGCCGACGACATCGTCATGCAAACCTGGAATAACGGCCTAACCAATATCCAGAACCTCACAGCCCGCGGCTACGACGTTGTCGTCTCCTCCTCCGACTTCCTCTACCTGGACTGCGGCCACGGCGGCGCCCTAGGCAACGACCCCCGTTACGACATCATGTCCAACCCCGACGGCAGCGTGAACTTCAACTACGGCGGCAACGGCGGGTCCTGGTGCGCCCCCTACAAGACCTGGCAGCGCATCTACGACTACGACTTCACCACCAACCTCACCGCGACACAGGCAAAGCACATTCTCGGCGCCGAGGCTCCCCTCTGGTCTGAGCAGGTCGACGACGTAACCATCTCCCAGCTCATGTGGCCCCGTGCCGCTGCTCTCGCCGAGCTCGTGTGGTCTGGTAATCGCGATGCACAGGGTAACAAGCGGACCACGCTCCTCACGCAGCGCCTGCTGAATTTCCGCGAATACCTTGTTGCGAATGGGGTGATGGCTACTGCTTTGATGCCTAAGTACTGTATGCAGCACCCGCATGCTTGCGACCTTTACTACGACCAAAGCGTTATCACCTGATTGGTGGGAATAGGAATGGAATCAGATCGATCCTAAGTCTCCTTTGGTTGTACATACTCAACTCTTTACCATCATTAACACGGATACCCAATAAAACTATTAATTCCGGAAAGCGCCCTTGTTTTCGTGTCGGACGACTTATAGCTACCAGTACCTACAACTGCCCTTTAACATCAACGGACCGAATGCACTCCTCACGTCACAGACCATGTACTCTTGTAGCCACAGAATACCCACCCCTTCATTCCACCCACCAACCCTCCAAGATCCAAATCTACACTTCCACCTCCCGACTCCAGCACACTCCCAACTTGGACACCCTAAGCGATCGTACCACCAAAGATCACGCGGCGCAGGCATCTCACAGACCCCCCGTGTTTCAGAATCGGTCCGGCCAGTCCAGTCTGCTCATCCATCTTACCAGCACGCGGTGTCGTGCAACACTCTGAAGCAGACAGAATCGAGGGCTTTTGCTCGGGCTTGCCGGCTGTGTTGTAAGGCTCGTTACTTCTATTACCATGTGTTACGATAAGATCTCGTGCAGTATGTACATGCCAGTCTACTAGTACATTTACATCTCTATGTGCGAGTTTTGGGACTTCCGAGGTGAATCAGCGCCGGTGTCTGGAGCTTGCTATGAGCCAGATGCTCTTATGTATATTAGAACTTGAAAGCTAATTTATTCAGCACAAAGTTCACTGTGAAAATTCCCAGTGGGCTTCCAAAGACTGGTTGTGGCTATTTTTTGACATTCTCACAGTCCATCTCACGTTCACGGGTTCTTTCTCTTGTTACACGATTATTTCAAAGCCAACGTGGCTAGGTATCTAATCAAATATTCTATCCAGATGATCTTAGATGTATTTCTATGTACAAATAAACAACTCCAGGGCTTAATATTGGAAGATGTGTTGTCTGATCCGATTCTCCAAGATTATTTCAGTTTATAGGTATCACAGCCCTCGAGGTCTGGTACCTATTCTCTATAGTATGTAGTAGACACATACATAGTCATTATTTACCAAGTACATCCATGGATGAACAAGATTACCATGTCGAACCTTGCTGAGCATACATAAAGTTGAGTTCGCAGAACCTAATTCATGAATGTTAAAATTCCATTTCTTGGTTTCCCCTCGGCATCCCCGGTCGTACATCTGCAGGGAATCTCATCGGTCATGATCGGGTACCACATAAATCTGTTCGCCGGTGGATCTGATCTTGCTCTGCGTGGTTCCAAGGGTCAATGTTGGGGTTGGACACGAGGTAGACAGGGTTTGTGGAACGTACTACCTAACATTATAGCCACTTATCTGGTTCTGGTTGGCTGATGGGTGTGTATATGGGCGTTTAGCATCAGAAATCAAACGTTGAGGTCTGGTAACTTTGGTAAATATTTGATGGTTTGAATTTATATATGGCTTTTTATGGCACATGGTATTAGGTGAGTGGGAGTGAGATAATGGGGATAGTTGGTTCTCTAATGAACGAGTTGAGATTCAGAGAAATGAAGATTCCATTCTATTAACCGTGGTTGATGATGAAGACTTGTGTGGCTACTGTAGTATGTTCCAAGTAGCGTGTATGACATTGAGGTTTAATCCGTAATGTTTAAATAATTGAAAAATTACTATGCACTTGATGAGAACCCATATTGTAAGGTTGAGTGTTTCATCACGTTTCGTTTCGTCTTAGGTTTTCCTATTGGGGACTCTTTTCGCCGCTTATTATATCCATACTCGGACTGAAGGGATTACGTCGATGGGGTGTATTGTATTCCACGGGGTACATTGAACCTTGAAAGATTCGTGTAACGACCTATCTAGGACAACTCAGAATATCCAATCTAGGTCAACGTTATGTGATTATTATCAATCAAGGAACCTCCAGCAGCTGCAGGTGGAACCAAAGTATTGGTTACACAAATTCTACCCCTGGACGTAGGGCCAAAGCGTGCACAGAGTCTGATCCTCGGAGCAGTTACGACTGGATAAAGGCAATATCGGTCTGATCATGTTCACGAGACCTTGAAATTCCAACTTGGAAGGTTGAAGTGAATCAGGGAAAACTTGGAAACTGATGTGATTTGTCTCCAACCCGAAAAGGATTTCTATGTGATATAGTATTTTACAGATCAACAACAAACCAACCTTGGAATGTCATATTCCAACCCCGGCAGGTTGGAAGATACAGTATTTCAAAGTTCACAATTTACTACCAGCTCAGTATACAAATGTTTGTATTGATTAAAACCAAATTGAGTTTGACACTGAACACGTCAACCATGGAACAACTGGATCAACTGACAAGTTAAACTTTCGATTCCCGAAGTCGTTCCATGGTTCCCCTTTACTATACAAACAATCCAAACCTTCGAGGTTGGCAGCATCGTACAATCTGACAAAGCAGATATGAAAGGTATCCCTTGCTCCCAGGGCATCTGCAGGACACCGTGAATGCAAATGTCGACGCCCATTTAAATCACGAGGTCTCCAACCCAAGCATGCACCTCGTATAACGTCAAACGATAAGCACCTAATCATCATGATCCCCGAATCCACTGATCAACCAAGGGATCAAGGAGTCTACGCAGACTGACGATACTATACAGCACAAGATATGTAAAAGCAAACGCAAAGACAACTTGGAAAAGACGAACCTGATCTCCGGACTCTCCGGATCCATAAATTTACCCGACAGGGCAAAGATCTGACCCTGCAGAAACCTGAACCACCCGCAGACAAACACACCAGATCAGCAAGCTATAGAACCTAAAGCAGACGCAACAGAAAAGAGAGAGCCAGTTACAAGCGTCCGAAGCGAGGGACTGTCATTCACGCGCGAATCCTGTGGATTCGATTCGCGAGAGAGCTTGGTAGAGTTTATGTATGATTTGCTGTTCATAAAGATAAATGTGCATATACGGTCGAACATTGCAGGTACGATGTCAGTATGTGTTCAATGGGACCTCGAAAGGAGAAATGCCAATGCAGGGGCCTTGACCGTCCAATTCGCCCGGCAGTTGCATCATGATTTTCAAGATTTTCATTTCCACACTTAGCGTTTCCTTTACGATGTACTCTATTTTACTTTACTTTTTGATTTAATTTTTACCCTTTAAGCGACGCTGGCAACACGGCACACACTGTGCACATGCGGACTAGTCAGTGCCCACGGAGTACTCAAGTGCTCCAAGTAGGAACGCAGATGTGGATCTGAATTTATCTGAAATTCTCCAAATCCCAACACCCAGCACAGCGGAGTTGCGTTTCCGAGACAAAATGCCTCCTCACAAAAAAAAAAAAAAACAGAACAAACCCACCAAAGCTAGCGCCCAGTTACATAGGAAAAGAAGAGCTGTCGTGGCGCCCACTATGACGTCCACGCTTCCAGGCAAGATCTACATAAAACTCTGCAAGTGGAGCAGAAGAGAAAAAAAAGTGAAGGAATTTTTCGCTCTTTTCGCGTGGATCGGGACACCGCCTCAGTGGGTGGATCGTGATCAATTCGGATCGTGGACAGGATTTACGATGTCATCTCGGGGACGACGATGGGGAATTCTGACAGGTCGAATCGTGTCGTGGTGTGGGTTCTGGCTGTGGAGACGGAGGTTTCCTGTTACTGTGCCACACTCCTCTCTCTGTACATACTTCGTACGGAGTATGTATTCAGTACAGAGGATGTATGCCGTCATAGACACGCGTACGGTCTCCGCAAGGAGTATCAAATGCACACGAATACAGATTTCACATTCGGATCGGATGTGATGAGTAGATTAACAGAGCGCACTGTTGATTTAATCGATTTCAATTTTGTATGTAATTCTTGGAGAACATGCATTTTTGCTGTTTTTCTTTGCTTTTCTTTTCTTTGTTCTATTGCGATGCACGGGGACGAGAAATTCCCGAGCCCGTGCGGTAGAGCGTGGCATTTTATTTGAGCGGAGAAATGATGCCGTGAAATGATGTATCGAACATGAAGTGATTCGGGGGGAAATCGTGAGCTATCGAGTTTTTGTTTTCGGTCGTGTCGATCATTGGCGCTTATGCAATCTGCTTCCCGAGATTCCCGCTGCAGCGACAGCCGTGGGTTAGATAGACGGGTTATGTTTGGTTCAAGTGGCTATTTGGCTTTGGCTTTGATCTGGACAAAGTACAAAGTGTATAGTGTAAAAGGTACAGCATGTAATCCGTACTCCGTAGATCTTGAGTATTCTAGTCACTATACTACTGTGCACTTCCCGTTTGGAATCTCGTTTCGTTTCGTCTCGTTTCGCTCTGTTTTCATCTGGCTTGTAACTTGCGCTGCTGTGCGTGGCCGCACAAGCCACACGCCTGACTCAGGAACTCTGATTGATCCAAGCTTCCAGATGTCGCTTAAGCGCTATGACTCCGGGGTTCGCTCGGGGACCATCGGTAACCATGAGTACCCGTATACTCCATTCCCCTTACTCCGCATGGGGATCAAGAATCTCGAACTCGTGCCACGACTGTGTAACACGTCCAGGACATTCCTCTTCGATCGCAGTTACACCTTACACATTTCTTGCGCCAAGAAATCCACCAAAAACACACTATTGCCCCGTAAAATTAGCCAAAAAACATTGTCGGTGTTAAATTCAAGCGAGACGATTTGTTCTGGTTTGTTCTGCTGTACTTCGTACTCCTCCATTAATCCGATCGCGTCACCTCAATCGAAAGCTAGAACTGGTGCCCGATGTCATGACGGAGCTAAAATAGATTAACTCTTGTAGCGAGCGGCCCGTCTAGGACTAGATCGTAGGACGTACCTAGACATAGCTACCTACACGAACCTCAGGATCGACCTAGTCTTTCCAAGGTTCGTATTATGCATGGATCTCCGTGCATATAGTGTACGGATACGTACATGTCAATGCCCATCTCGAAGTACGAGTAAATTGATGTACATCTATATCCAGTACACGAGTCATGGCCCGAACCATTTAGGAAGGAGGTGAATAAATCGAAGTGCCGATTTCC